TTGACTCCACTGCATGGCCCGTGGGATTCACTGCGCGACTCGACACTCGGAAGAAGGTGCCTGGAGAAGTGATTGGGGGACCGGTATCCGGTATCTACCGCGTCTCCATAAACCTCTATGGCCAGAGACAGCATGCCACTGGGATTGGGAAATTTCTGGGCCAGAAAAATGTCTGGCTGGGTACTCCAACGGTCTTGGGACAAGGAAGTATACTTTTCAACCCACACGCGAATGTGCGCCGTCAGATGAACGCGGCAGCAGTCGCCAGCAATAACGCTACTGGACGCTCGACCGTTCGCTATGAGGTTCGAACTGCTGAGGAGGTGAACGATGCCGTTATGAAGATGTTTGATCAGCTCATCACTGTGGACATCCCAACAATGGAGCCAAGTTCTCACATCCTGACCCCCTGCTACCGCATCAGAAACAAGCTCTCTGGTTTATGACAGAGAAAGAGAAGCCGCGCAAGTTCGGCCCTAACGAGGAAGACAACAACTCGTTGTGGCGAATGGTCCGCACGCCTAGTGGTAAAACTCAATACCGCGAGATCATCACGGGACTTGTTCTTGATAGCAAGCCCGAAGAGTCCCTGGGTGGCCTATTGGCTGATATGATGGGTTTGGGCAAGACTTTGAGCATTCTATCGTTGGTAACGGCCTCTCTTGAGTCATCTCTTGAATGGAAAAGATTGGCACCTCACCCCAGCCTTGTTCGCGCGATTCCTGGCATTCGCAATACGCGCACTACCCTTCTAGTTGTCCCTTTGAGCGCGGTCAGCAACTGGACAACGCAAATCAAGGAGCACCTCGCGCCAGACTCTATCAAGTGTCATACATTCCATGGCCCAAATCGCATTACTGATTTGGACGAACTCGCGAAATATGACGTCCTCATCACTACCTATAGCACCGTTCTCAGTGAGATGAATGGGCGGGGCGCCAGGCGCGGAGACAGCCCTTTGAGGAGGATGAATATGTTCCGGATTGTGCTTGATGAGGCTCACACCATCAGAGAGCAGAATGCAAGGCAAACAAAGGCTATACTGGATCTCAACGCTGAGCGCAAATGGTCTGTGACTGGAACTCCGATCCAGAATCGCCTGGAAGATCTTTTGTCTGTCACCAAATTTCTCCGCATTTATCCTTACAATGAGCGGAGCAGTTTCGTCCAGCATATTTTGAGTCCTTTCAAGACAGGTGACCCCACTGTTCTCGCTAGCTTGCGAGTCATGGTGGACTCGTTCACTTTGCGCCGTGTCAAGGATAGAATCAATCTGCCACCCCGCAATGATAACATGGTCATATTGGATTTCACCGAGCAGGAGAAGCAACTGCATGAGTTCTTCCGCAATGAGTCAAATGTCATGATGCGCGTCATTGCTGGAGAATCCAAGAACAAGATGGGTGGCCGGATGTACCACCACGTTTTGAAGGCCATGATGATTCTTCGTCAAGTCAGTGCCCATGGCAAAGAGCTTCTGGACATTGAGGACCGCGAGCGGATCAAAGGGTTATCTGTGCACGATGCCATCGACCTGGAGGAAGGTGAACCGGCCGAAACACCCGCGGCCTTGGACAAGAAGGCGTATGGCATGTTCTCTATGAGACAGGACATGGCAGAGGATCTGTGTGCGACTGAAACCTGCAACAAACCCCTCGAGCCAATTCTCGCTGCGAATGGAGAAGTCGACCGCGACGCCCCGATGGCGATATACCTGCCCTGCGGCTGTGTCTTCTGCCCGAATTGTTTCTCTGGTTGGAAAGAAGTGTTCGATTCGAACTCCGAGATTCCCATGGAGTGCCCCGGCTGCAAGGGATGGACCGCCATGGCCTACTCCGTAATTACACCCACTGGCCTTGACGAATATCAGGCCCAGCAGGATCAAGAGCGCCGTGACCGCCAAAATGGGAAGGTTGGCAAGGTTTTCGGTGAATATGAAGGCCCGCACACCAAGACCACCGCACTGCTTAATTACCTCAAGGGAAGTGTCGAGGACAGCAAGAAACTCGAAGGCGAACCACCCATCAAGAGCGTTGTGTTCTCCGGCTGGACCTCCCACCTGGACCTCATCGAGATCGCTCTGCGAAACAACGGACTGAACGGTTTTGTCAGACTGGACGGCACGATGACCCTTGCGGCACGAATGAAGGCCCTCGAACTGTTCGCCAAAGACGATTCGATCACCATTCTCCTGGCTACCATCGGTGCAGGTGGTGTCGGTCTCAATCTAACCTCCGCATCGCGTGTCTTCATCATGGAGCCACAGTATAATCCAGCCGCCGTTGCGCAGGCCATCGACCGTGTTCACCGTCTCGGACAGACCCGACCCGTGGAGACATACCAGTTCGTTATGAAAGGCAGTATCGAGGAGAAGATCCAGGAACTTGCCAAGAAGAAGCAGCAGCTCGCAGATATGAGCATGAACCGTGGTAAACTGGATAAGCGGGAGGTTCAGGAGGCTCGTATGCGCGAGTACCGTTCCCTCTTCAAGTGATGGCTCTTCATGATTCTTTCCTTTCCTTTCTTTTCGTTCTTTTTATTTCTTGCTTTCTTTTACGGCACTTTTTTCGCGTTTTTCAATGTTCCCCATCTCATTTGATTTCTTCTGCCTAGATCCTGGCGGCATGCTGGTTTCGTTTATATGATACCCGGGAAAGGAGAAGGCGTTAGTATAGTTGTTTTGAAGCATACCTCTTTGATCCTTTGATTCTCCTTATGGGATGGCATACAGGATGTTTCTTCTTTCTTTTCTTTTTATTGCTTTTACTTTATCCCATGCGAGCTTTATACATGGCTGCTTGCTTTTTTGATAGATCGTGCTTTGATGCGTCTCTCATCACATTCCATTGTAATTCTTTGCCTTGCCCTAGATCGAGCTTGTTTATAATCCCGGAAATGACTCTTCCTACGTACATGGGATGGTATAATAATCTCTTTTTTTTAGCCTATCCTATCATTCTATCATTGAGATAAACAGTGAGTAATGCTGCTTCGAATTGCTGGTAATCCCAAGCTGCAGTGTATCCTCGTCGCCATAGTAAATTGTCTTTGTCAAATAATCTGCCTGTCCAAGACAGCCTCTTTAAGGCGTCCTGTCCTGGCTTTTCTTGTTCAACCCTTTGGAACTAGGATATTGGCATAGGTTGCCAGATATTTCAGTGTCTTGACTTCGATCTTCGCCTTTGGACCTTCGTCTGGACGGTCTTTTACATTACGTCGGAGCCGATGAACCAAACTCCCCGTTGAGAGGTACCGTAAAATAGTTCACCGATTGACTATCCCATAGCGTTGGGGTGTCCTATCAAAGTTGTAATGCTATCATGGGATCTATGAATCATACTTCCAAGCTTCAATGTCAGCATGGCCGGTTCCAGATCCCTCTCTTCAATATATCTCAATTTGAAAGGACGTTCCATTGATCCATAGATGTACAGACAAGGATTATACACTGGCTCTATAACTCTATGACTGGATATGGGCCGCGTGTAACGTGGAGGAATTCGAATTGGTTCCATAAGGTTAAACTTCCTATTCTGCTCATAGATCGGTGAATATCGCCATAAAACATCGAACCTTGGACTTTTGCGGTCTTTGGTGCCTTTAAAACCTACCCTGTCAACAAGGCAAGGCCCGAGCCGTTCTTATAGCTCGTGTCACTATAATCGGTAACCCCATTGAACCTTGACGGTTAGAAATTTTGCTTTGACCCTACGGGTTAAGCAGGCCAGGTCATGACTCCGCAACTGAGTCTATAATCTCTAACCAAGTGAACACTGAGCGGTAACAATAGAGCCGAGCTTCGACTTAAGCAGGCAAACAACGGAAGTCGAAATCAGCACAGGGTGACCGAGGTCCTGGCCAGGGTTCGAGGCGCATAATCAAAAGAGTTCATAAGGCCCATTCTATTCTCTGTATTCGTCTGAGTGAACCTGACCGCTCCTTGTATGAATCCCCAGTCTTGCTGCGATATAACTTGGATCTTGCGAGTGGTTGCAACGGAGTATATCAACAAAGTCTATTGGAATTTCATGTGCTTCCCACTAGATGCAGATTCATAGATAAATTGAAGAGGAACGAACGAGCTCTACTGATTCAAGATCTACATCTCATCATCGTTAAATATCCCTTACATTCCCAATCTTATCAAGTCCACAGGTCCCCCAAGCGCAACATGTGTTTCCACATTTTAACCCTCGCCATAGCTTTCATTTCAAATGCATAGGCGTGCAACTACCTCAACGTCGCCGGAGCCTGCAGTTGGTATGGAGATGGTCCCACCTGTGGTAGCTCCATAGACGATTCACACAATTCCACAGAATATCACCGCTTCGATTACAATCCCGTACTGGGGTACGTGATGGCCACGTCTAAAGGGGACAACGCGGGAGCCCAGTTCTGCGCGCAAGAGAGAACGAGCTGGATAGGAACCTGCTGTGGATGCTTTGGAACTGGCTGTGTCACTAGCTACAAACGGCTCTGGTGTCGAACCTGACCAGGAGCTCCTCACCAGTGACCTGCGCCATCGCCATCACCATCCCCATCGTTCTTGTGATGCTGATTGATATGGTCTCGATCTATAGCCTCCAATTACTCGAAGCACATACAAAGTGCTAGGTTTTTGTAACAGAGAAGGGAAGGCGTGAATTGAGATTGGTAACCTTAGGGCTAATTGATGCTGTAACTGAACACGACGGGGGAAGACATAGGGTAAGAATATACCATCTGCAGAAAATGTCCACTTTGGATATGAATCGCCAGATGTGGCGTAGACCTATTGTCTAGAAATCTAAAACCAAGTTCGAGATTCCAATATCGCTAGAGACCAGACTTGATATCATGTTGTATTCATTAGATCTATCCATGCACCCGTGCAATTCGTAAATGAACCGTCCATGTCATAACGCCAAAGTAATATCACACAGGAAAAAAGATGACTTGCTCAATTCCATGCCCGTTTCCCACCTAGAGCTCCGGACTGTATATCAATATGCTGAGAGAATTCACTTTTGATATTGACTGTCTCCATAAATACCAACAGAAACAGCATTCAAAACCCTCTCCAAACGGGTCCTCAGCTTCTTCAGTTCCCGCACTTTAGCAGCCCGCTCCGTCTCGACACTGCGTAGCTCAGTCTCCAGCTCCCGAATTCTGGTCTCCTGCTCAGCCTCGGAGGCACCGATACCAGGCAGCACAGAGATAAGATATTCGATTTGCTGTTCCTTGATAATGAGGTCACGCGCGAGTTCTCGCTGCCGGCTCGCAAATGTGTGGGGTGAGTCGGGTGCCGGGGGGAGGTTAGGGTCTCCTCCTTCTACTGGTGCTTCGGGCGCAGCGCCAGGTTGTTGGGGCCGCGCGAGAGGGGGAGATCCAGGTCCTTGTGCAGCTGCGGCACCTGCCGCTGTGTTTGCGATAGCTGCTGGGACTGGTGGTGATGAGGAGTTCTTGGGTATTTTGGCTAGGGCTGGTGCGGCGTCTGGGACATCTGGGGGTGGTGTTGTAGGTGCATTGTCGTGGTATGTTGTGAGATAGCCTAGTGTTGCGTAGAATTGGGTTGCGAGCTGGTTTGTTCGTTTGTTAGCAAGGTTTTGAATGTAGGCTTTGGAGGGGCTTTACCTGGTCAAGACAGGTCTGGAGCTGGGTGAGGATGTCGGCCATGATGGCGACTGGAGCTTCAGATGTGCAAGTTGTGTTACGAAGAAGCAGATCCGAGGGAACTAGCGAGGTTGTCTAGTCGAGAATGAAAGCGCGGAGCAAATGCGGAGAGAAGCTCCAATGCGGTGAGGCGTTTTCTTCCTTCACAACACTCGATGCGCCTGTTGCGACTATACCATGGCCTCGCTGCCGGACAGTCTCGCTTGAAGCTCAGATACAGTTATCGGCGCTGCTTTTCCAGTACCCACATCCATCATGACCTGACACCCTTCTCGCGCCGACTATTCAAATTACCCTCTGCACCGTCTCCGCCCTCACAACATCACAATGACCTGACTACCTTCCTCTCCTACGCCAAACACATATCCCTTCCAGAGACAAGCACAGTATACGTCGGCACGCACTATGAATATACAGTCCTCCAAACGCTCCGCCGGTACGCCCTAGGACTCCACCGCATCGGCGGCCGCGACGACGCCGGTATCGACCTCGTGGGAACCTGGCACCTCCCAGAGCGCGAACGAGAGCGCGCACTACGTGTACTAGTGCAATGCAAAGCACTTAAAGCCAAATTAGGCCCGAATCTCGTGCGCGAGCTCGAAGGGACGTTCCGCCAGGCCCCTGTCGGCTGGCGCACGGGCCAGACAGTCGGCGTGCTGGTCGGTCCGCGTGAGGCAACCAAAGGAGTCCGCGATGCGCTTGCGCGGAGCACTTACCCCCTATTTTGGATGATGATCGAGCGGGACGGGACTTTGAAACAGGCTCTTTGGAACGCTCGTGCCGAGGAACTGGGGCTTGGGCCTCTAGGCGTGGAAACGCGATATGGGGCCTCTGAAGGCGAGTCCGGCTCCGTTATCAAGGAGGTTGCTTTGACCTGGGATGGATGTGATATCCCTGATATGGGTCGCGTGGAGCTTGATCTGGCTCGGTTCGAAGAGCAATGGCTCGCATCTTGGGCTGCAGACTTGCCGGAGATTGAGAAGGATAAGTTGCTGGATATTGCTGAGAAGGTGCTACCGCATGGCTCATCGGGATTTTTGTCAGATGGGAAAATTTCGGATGCAGACCGGACGAAGGTCCTTCAGGCTTTCCAAGAGCGGCAACCTGATCTATCGGTATCGGCGTGAATACACTACTGGGAGGCCAGAGCATCCATGAGCAGTTGTGTGGCCAAAATTTTGAACAAAGTGTACGATTTATGACATGAAATAATCCAAGGGTATAGAAACACCAACAACCAATAACCATTGAAAAAGCACGGCTCCCCCCAAGAAACGCCAGAGAGCATAGACTCCCACATAAACAAACCATCGTGATCTTCACCCTTGCATCGTCGACCAAAAGTAGTTTGCATAGAAGAAACGGGAGAATTTCGGGTCGATATTGACCACATGGACATCGCCTTTGCGGCTGTTGCGAATGACAGCTCGGTTGAAATTGCCAGCCTCATCAGGCTCAATATCAACTCCCAGAGAACGGAAAATTTTGAGTCGCAGACTAGATATAAGTTAGCAGCCATACCAACCCCAAAAGAGAGCACAGTCACGCACATAGTCGCATCATCAGCCTCCCGCTCGCGTCGCGTGGTTTCGTCACCCTCGAGACCCTGTGACTCGAGGTCGGCCAGTCTCTCCTTGAGCATTTCGAGTTCACTCTCCAGGCGCTCGCTTTCAATCTCCAGCTCCGAGGCCGCTTTGGCAATGCGGAACTTCTTGGTGTCCAACTCCACGATTTCCGCCGCGTGTTTGCCTGAATCGTGCACTGCCACGGCTTCCTCGTGCTGGGTAGAAAGAGAATTCAGGTTGCGGGAGAGTTTGCGCAGGGCAGATTCGGCCTCGCGAATGCGCAAGTCGCGCGACTGCTGCAGGGTTGAGAGCGAGTCATTGATGCGGGTGACGGCTTGTTTATCGGGTTGGATGTTGAAGTTACCGATCGTGTGGTGGATGAGCTAAAATAGTCAGTATATTGCAAAGTATAACCTCACATGAATCAAAGAAGTAGATACCGTGCCAGGCTCCTCGTCGAGCAACATTGTGTCTGATGTTGGGAGAAACGAAGAGTTGTTTTGGGTTGTAGCGGCAGCAACAGCCAGCCACAGCACCGCCACATGTGTAGCTCCTCCGCAAAGTGACGTTGCGCTTGGGATTTCTGACTTGGCTTCCTCAACGCTCTCTTCCTACTCTCCTAATCATTAAGCCTTACCCGTCCGCCTCACTCTATCTAAACACCAAGTTTCTGTTCTACCATGTCCAACCTCCCATGTAGGTGGTTTGTCCCCACTGATGCCTGGCGCTTAACGGCTGACTCGCTCTCTCAGATGCCGCAGATGCGGAAAGGTTTGTTCTCTGTGAAATGTCTATCCAAGTGCCCAACGACAAAAGCTAAATACCTTGGCGCCCAACAGTCCCTTGAAGCCTGCCGAACTACAGGTCCTCCGGGCACAGTACGAGAAAGAAGGCGACTATGTCGGAATCCAGACAAAGTTCAACTACGCATGGGTATAGCTCCTTCAGCCACTTCGGAGTGCCCGCGCTAACTGGTACTCTCCGCCTTGCGGGGATGTTCATTATAGGGTCTGATCAAATCTAACGCTCGGTCCGAGCAACAAGAAGGCGTTCGCCTTCTGTCCGAGATCTTCCGCGGAGCCCCAGAACGCCGACGTGAATGTCTATACTACCTAGCACTTGGCAACTTCAAGCTTGGGAACTACGGCGAGGCCCGTCGATACAACGATCTGCTCCTCGAGAAAGAGCCCGCAAACCTGCAAGCAGCCAGCCTCGGGTCACTCATTGATGATAAGGTCGCCAAGGAAGGTCTGATGGGCATTGCTATCGTGGGTGGCTTAGCGGTTGCAGCAGGAGTGGTTGGTAGTCTGGTTCTCAAGGGAGCCAGAAGACGGTAAATGCGTTGGCGCCTGCAAGGGCTGTGGCACAGAACTGTCCTTGCGTCTGGAGTATAACCAACTACCAACTGTATTATGGGCTTTCTTTCTTTTTGCTTTTCGCTCGCATCCAAGGCGTTACTCTCTTCATTGTACTCTGTACTGGTATACATAACATGATAGTACAAAATATGAGCCCGATCTCAGACAAAGGTGTATAAGTCATGCCTCGAAGGTTCCGATGTACAAATGTTCTTTGTTCTTCTATACTCCTTGCATTCATAAATTTCCGAAGTAAAGATTAAGGAAATAAAGCTGCCTGATGCAAGTTCTACTCTATTTTTGTGTACGAAACGTGTTGGTTTGGCCTTTTTAAGGCGATCGAAGGCGATTGTCGATCAACGTCATTGCCTCCACCTCATATCTCTCTATCACACTTGCTTCATCTTCCTCTCTATCTCTCACTCTAACTTCCTCTCTTCCTCTCATAAGACACCTTAGACACCTCGTGTTTTTAGGAGAGACCCCTGCTCTCACTTTCACGTCAACAATGACTATTTAAGCCACCAACACTTCTTAGAGCCTCTCCCCGCAGATAAGGCACTGTGACTGCTCCACACAGCATTTATCGACTTGACCAGCTTCAACCTTGCGATTTCCACTTACCTCTCTGATCGCTTAAGCATGGAGAGTGACTCTGATCGCATGTTCTGTCATGCCTGTGGTGGGGTTTGGTTGAAAGACGAGGCGCATGGCTTGACATGCCCGCATTGCGAATCCGATTTCACCGAAATAGTATGGATAATACCTCAGTTTTTGTCTTATTTTCACACTTCTGACTGTGATTTGCTCCTGTTAAGGTTGAGATTCCCCCCGATATTCCCCCCGATAGTCCCCCTGAGCACGCCGCAAGCCTGTCGCAACCACGCGTCAGCCCATGGGGAGACCACAATCCATGGGGAATAGACGAAGAGCTCCCTGGAACACCATCAAGAGATATTCCTTCTGGATTTCATCGTACATACACATCCCCCGACGGGCGTTTTACTTTCAGCAGTACCACGCTCGGCACCGGACACTCCTCAAGCCCGCGCGCATACGGATCCAACGCTGGGATCCCGATGATGATGCAGAATTTCGACAGCATTATTCGAGGTCTTGTGGAACCAACAAACCAACCAGCAAGAGGCTTGGGGCTTGATGATAATTTTAATCCTAGTCCCTTTGGCTGGCCCGATTACGAGCGTGTGGGAGATCATCAACCGGGCCCGGCTTCACCTGATCTATCCCCTCGCAATGCGGATGCACCGCAACCACGAGCTCATCAGCCAGTGGGTCTAGCTGAGTATGTGTCTCTTCTTTATGATTCAATAACTAGCAGACTAACCCCGCATCCCAGCCTTATAGAAGCCATCCGTGCTGATCTAGGGACACCAACTACACGAGCGACCCGCCGAGATCGCCAAACGCCAAACCCTCTTGCTATACTGTCGGCCCTACTAAACATGAGTCCAAATGGAGATGCAGTATACTCACAAGAGGAGCTGGACCGTGTCATCACTTCCCTAATCGAGAACACCGGGCCCGGAACTGCGCCGCCCCCAGCTTCTGGAAGTGCCATTCGGTCTTTGCCAAAGAGGAAGGTTGACAGGGATATGATGGGCCCGGAGAACAATGCGGAGTGTTCTATTTGTATGGATGCCGTGGAACTTGGCACGGAGGTCACTGTGTTGCCATGCGAGCACTGGTTCCATTTCACCTGCATCGAGGCATGGCTAATCCAGCATAACACCTGCCCGCATTGCCGGCGGAGCATCAGCCAGCGTCCAACGTAAGTGGCGCGACACCAACACAACATGACCGGACTCAGAACACCCAGCTGACAGCCCAGGCATAATGATGGAACCAGTGACAATCCGGTAGTCATCCCGGATAGCCCTGAGCAGCCGAGATCTCGTCGACGTCTCAGCTCAGCTCGAACTACACGCAGTGGCCGCTCCTCTTTATCTTCTTTGCAAAGTCGACTCTCCCCACGACTTTCACCCCGTCGCTCCCCTACACCTGAAGGACAAGAATCTAACCATGCTCCTCGCCGCTCTAGCCGAAGTGAGGGGAGCAACGGTGGATTTACTAGCTGGGTCATGAATCGATTTGGAAGCAGCACATAACATTAACCTCGACCTTGCTCTGATATACACGCAGCCCGTCTTTTGGCTTTTTCTAACAATATGTTCTTGGTGTGGCCTTTGATTTGTTTTAGCGGCAAGACTTGATGTCTATTTTTCTCTTCTTTCTCTTTTCTCCTTCTCTTCCTCTTCTCACCAATACCCCCTTTACCGAATGTCTTTCACTCGATGCGATGGAGCATGGTTTATGGATGAACTTTTAGCGAACCCGCTCTTCTCAGGCTAGGCCTTTATACACCATGTACATACTTCATCTGACTTGATAACACAATGTTATGGTGATATCTCTCCTATGAAATCTCGAAGAACTTGTATCCTATTCCTCCCTCCTCATGCACGCTTGCAAACCAGTCACTGATTATCCCCAACCTTAACAATCCTCCCCGTCTCAGTCTCATACAAATAGCCGGTAATAGGAACATCCAAAACAAGCGGACTATCCCTCAATAACAAAATATCATCCAAAAGACTCTGACGCAGATCCCCAAAGGGCAAGAATGCAATATGATCAACATTCTGCTTCAAATCCTTACGGATCTTACCGCGAATCACCTCATCAGTGAAAGTGAGCATCCCACAATCCGTCTAAAGAGAATAACAGATCAGCAAAAGCTATAAATAGAACCACTGGGTGACTGAAGGGAGGGATGCAAGGGGTCATGGTAGGATGTATATGCACATGCACAATGTAAGTTACATATACGTACATGGTGCACGATGATGATCTCCCGAGTACCAAGAAGCTGCTGCGAGATTATGATACTGCGCAGCGCATCTGAAACCCTACCACCCGCGTTGCGGATGACATGGGCGTCGCCTTCTTCGAGGCCTAGGGCGCGGGCTGGATCTATATTTCTGGTGTTAGGGAGAAGTTGGGTGCATAGTTCAGCTCATTGGGAGGTGATATAGAACGTACCAAGGCGCGCATCCATGCATGCTACCACTGCTACTTTTCTAGAATTTAGATATTGTGTTAGATACTCTTCTTTCTTTCCGTATGCTTGTCAGAGGGTGTATCGCGTAGTGTACTGTAGTATAGACTTACCGCTGTGGGGGGAGCTGTAGGTCACCCTTAGTGAAGGATGCCGCGTAATTAGCGTTGGCCGCTTCGAATTCCTTTGCAACCGACATGTTTGGGATAGATTAATTGGGGGGACCTTGAGGTGAGACCGAAGTATATAAATGGGATGCACACCCCGCTTCTGGTGTGATATTTGCTTCCGAGAAGCCCAGATGGCGTGCTGGGACTTGGGTCCAATGAGTATAAGATACTTGCCTGAGTGATATTTGCTTTTCCTTGGACCCTTGGAGGTATTATGTATCGATTATATTTGATTGACTGATTCTAAAGACTGGTCATACGTTAGAATGAACAGTATTCCATACAAACAGCACAAGCTCAAACCTTAAACTCCTTTTTCGCAACTCGCTCACACAGATCCTTCAGGGAACCACCAACAGCTTCGAAATCACTGGCCTCAAGGTAAACCTGTCCACTCAAACGAGTCCACAACCAAGCCCCATGGCGGAAAACGGGCAGGAAAGTACGATACTCATCAATCAACTTACTCTGAATCCAGGAAAAAGCACTGCGAGCCTCGTCCTCAGTCAGAACAACAAGAGGAGCATAATCAAAAGACTCAGCAGCCCCCTCCCCAGCAGAAGCAACAGCAATAGGAAGTCGCACAGTCGTCAAAGCACACTGGCGCATACGACTTTCCTGGCCAGGCTTGAGATCAGGTTCTTGGAGAACATCCGTGCCAAGTGTAGCAGCGACGGCATCAGCTCCTTCATTTGCGACCTTTTGACAATATGAGATGATAGCTTCTTCGCCGCCGCAGACTTCAGCGCGAAACTTCAGCGCGGCTGGGAGGCAGATGTAGGCGGAGTCATCGCTTGTAGCGACGAATTCGAAAAGTTGCTCGAATGCGGATTTTGTTGCGGGCGTGTTGGGGTCTTGGAGGACTGATGCGATAGTCTCCGGGGAGTCCGGCGCTGGGATGAAACCCCAGGAGGTTGGGAGTGTTGTGCGGAGGAAATGTTGGTTGCGCTTAGGGACATAGAGGACTGCACAGCCGCGGGGTGTGTAGAGCCATCTTGATTGAGTTGGTTAGTTTGATGTGATATGGTGTAGATAGAGAGTGCGGTCATACTTATGACAGTTCGACGTGAGAAAGTCAGGCTGTAGTTTCTCGAGGTCGAGGTGGACATGCCCAATACCATGCGCAGCATCAATGATGCTCAGAATGCCTTCTTCACGACAGATAGCAGTCAACCGCTCAAATGGGAAACGCACACCGGGGTTGCTAACAATGCAATCGAAGACAGCAGCCCGGACCTTGAGACCCTCCTCGCGGGTCTTACGAACAACCTCGCGGAATCGGCGCTCCAGCTCATCTTCAGCAATGGGATATTGGAACGACACCTTCCGGGGCTGGAAGGGGGAATGCTCTTGCAGAGAGACGACGCCCTTCTCGACGGCGCCGTAGACAGGCTCGAAATAGACGAGTGCTTCATCGGGCTGGAACGCCAGGTTGTAGAGCACAGTTGCAACGCCAGTAGTGGCATTCTTGACAAATACGCACTCGTCTCGTGGAGCATTTAGCACCTTTGCGACAGCTTCTCGGGCTTTGTCTAGGTGCTCTGCGTGGTATCGCCGGATATATGGATCAGGTTGCTGATCGGCCAGGTCCATGAAGGCGCGCTGGACCTCTTTGACTGGTGCAGGGTGAGCGCCAAATGATCCATGATTGAGGTTCTTATAGGCTGGGTCAAATAGCCAATGCTTCAGCATTGGTTTGCCGAAGGGCGTTAATTGACCTGTTGAAACCATGATGTTGGCTGTGGGGAAGGATGGGATGAAGAATGTATCGTCACGATATTCACGACTTGACGGATTAAACCCAATTTATATGCGCCCAAAAATGAAGCAATGACTCAGGTGTCAACATCAACCAACCTTGGAAAAGATACATGTAAGAATATTGAGGGGATCGAAACGACAGATGACTCACAGCCAATGGCTCTCATAGCCGAAGCTCCACATGTCAAAGGGCGTGGACACGGACATGCAAGTATGAGTTACATTGCCATTGTACCTAGGTGACTATACGTACTTGATTTCCTCTGCCGGGTGGGGCTTTCCTATCTTAGCTGCCGCCGCTTTTATGAGGGCACTCAGAGTCAGGCTCACTGAGTAGATTTCAGTCCGGGCTTAGGCTCACTGAGCTGCTCAGACTAGTCACGTGATTAATCAGTGAGGTCTAATGAACGCTTAGTGAGCGCTTAGTGAGTCTGATTGGATGCTCACTGATCGCTCACTGATTACTCAGAGACCGGTCAGAGTTATCTATTGAGCACCCAGTCTACACTCAGACCATACCCAAAGTAGCAAGCACTTTGCCCCACAATACTATTTACTCTGCGACTACTTTTTGATGGCCCTCAATTTCTATTATGCTCCTCTAGTTTCTAGGGTTGCACTGTCTTCTAGTCTCATTACGTTCTCAAAAATAGCGCACTTAGCCATGATGACGTAAAACTAGAGGCATAGAGTCTACCTATCACGGCGAGGTGCCGGAGAAGAGACTTAGGTCATATCAAATTACTAAATTATAAATTGGGACTATTTTCTTGCTTCAATCCTCTAAAATAGCTTTCTTAGTTTTCTACCTCGTCCTTTCAGATTCTCTGACTTTTTCTTGCATTGCGTAGGAAATTAAACTGGCCATAGGTAGAAAACAGTTCTTTGCTTAACAAGATGAGATCGCTAAAGAAAAGCCTAACAATCGACTACAAAAGAGCGGCTATGTTTTTGGCGCCTATGTAGATAAGGACGCTATCCGAGAGAAAGATAAAAGGGTGCCTAAGACTAAGAGGATGTACTGCGGCGCTGTTAATCTTTGGATGAAGTGAGTTAACATGCAGTTGTACTCGAAAAATACCGGCATAATAAGTTACTGACTGGTATAGGTTCGTTAGATAGTATGGGATCGAGGGCTACAAACCGGGGCTAGGCTGTGCGATCCTAGACTATACACTTATCAAAGAGTTTCTTCGATGGTATAGTCACTTCGCGCGTAGGACAAAAAGTAAAAATAGACGACTAGTGATGACATCGGTTCTTAATTGCGCAGAAAGACTGTTTAGAGGATTTGAAGAAAAAATGCAAATCAAGATTGTGTTAGAAGATAGGAAAGAGATATCTAGTGTAAGCTATCGTTTGGATTTTATTTTTGTGTTATGGAAGCCGAGCTAATTGTGACATAGTAGATAAAGAGAATATTGATAGAAAATGAAAAAACCATTAAGAATATCGAGGATCTAGACCATAGCTTTACGAAGAAGGACTTTCTCCGAATGATATCCTCTATGTGGCAAGCGGATTATCGCATTTTTATGCCCGGGTTGCTTAAGGCTATTATGACGTTAGCGCTTTAATTGTACCTCTTCACCGGAGCAAGGATTAGGGCATTCATACCGGCCTATAAGGATAGAGACGAGAGAGGCCTAAGATATAAGGTAGGAAACTACTATTCGGGGGTTGTGCGTGGCTAATTTTCTATTTAAGCACATCGATCTAGTCTTGTTTCTATCTTCTACGGCTCCTTAGAAGGTTGAATAGAAAATTAACTAAGTGTGGCTTAAAGGGAACCGAAACCTAGACTATATAGTGTAAGCAGTCTAAAAAACCTTGAAAAGGTTGGCTTGAATTAAGGGCTTACTCGTTAACGTATTTTTAGGTTCGGAATCGGTATTCGTGACACTAAGAGACCACAATTCGCCTCTGGTTATATTCTCTTAGCTATTGCCCTCTAGCACGGTGCCCTATATGGCATTAAAACGGTTAAAGACTTTGCTAGGTTCGACCTTTTAAGCGGAGAACCTATCGAATTACGCTAGAAGGAGGAATTTCTAGAAAAGCCTGTTCTTAGAAATGTTATAGCTGATGGCCCGCAAGATGTTCCACTCTATAAAGAACGGTTCTGTGAATTACTAAGAGGAATAGTTACGACCGCTAGATATAACAAGAGTCTTACCATTTATATAATTCGAAAGTATCTCGGAAGCATGGTTGAAGGTGAGGAAAATCAAAGCGCATAAACCGCTAAACGAAACAATTTTGCTGACTTTAGTATAGGAAAACATGGTTCTGCCTTAGTGTCTCAAATATATGGACATAAAGACGCGGGGACATATCCTAAAGAATATCTGTTACACTGCTCTTCGATTGATATAGTCTCGGCCGTTCTCGGAGAAGAAGAGCAGTCGAGTTATATCGAGTACTTCTAAGGCTTTAAGAGGTTTTATGAACGTGGGCTTCTAGGGGAACTGCCGGCTAAAATTGAGGCGAGTATCCTGTAGACGCTAGAAGTGGTCGATATTAGACGTCGAATCAAGCAGCTTGAAGTATCACACAGCGACAAAAGTGTTACAGTTGCCGAGAAGCTAAACTATAGAAAAACCTTGATTCGTCTCCGCCTTATAGGACTAAAGGAATACCAGAACCGCTAGGTACGAGAGAAACGAGACTAAAGAATCCTTAATAGGGGCAAGGCAGAGCTAGTAATAAGTGACAACGACGTTTCTACGCGGGCTTAATCCTTACTTATGCCCGAACTTGCCCACATTTTAGCTCTTATGTCTTCTAATAGGGAGCTCTCGTTTGATGAAATGCTTCTTTTCGTGGACGACCTAAAAACTTATTGTGAACGCGATGTTAGTGTGGCTTATCTACCATAGGAAAGCCCTATCTAAGATCGCTGCCCCGCTAGAGATTGTCTCGAAGAAATTAGATGGTAAGTGGCCCTAAAATATAATGCTGAAATATATACTGATTTTCCTAGTATGAAAAAGTCTGATAGAAGTGCTTATATTCATAACTGTTTTCGACGTGAGATAGCTCTAGATCTTAAAATCTTAGAACAAGAGCTGAAATTCTGTTACGAGTGCATAGATTGGTTTAAATTAAGCCAATAGCGAGCTTATTGCTCTTCTTATATTTAGTTATAGAGGACATAGTATTGTGAAGTGATTGTATACCGAAATATAGTGATCCGGCCTAGATACTGCCCCTTTTGCTTATGGAACATAGACCTCGAAGTAGAAGACCGATTACATTAATAGTCGAAAAGTGGCAATCTAAAGCAATATATTGAAGAAAAGCATATGCCTAGAAACTAGGGGCCTGGAGCGGAGCCAATTTGTGGATATAGCCAAGCTTTTGCCGATGAGCGTGGCCTTCGACATTATTTGTATGACATCCACAAGCTAAACAAAGCTATTTGGTCAAATCTAAAGCTCCCGAGAAAGAGAAAGCGACCCTATAAGGTAGAAGCGCAAGATTCTTTTATAGAGCGGGACGACTAGCTTCCGAAGAAACTTCGCTGTTACCGCTACCTACCTCCGCGTCTTGAACATAAGTATTAACTGCTAGAAAACATAGCTATGCCCGTTCCTATATTGCACTCGTTCGTCGAGGAACATCCGGAGCAATTCTTCTATTTAAGTTCTAGTGACGAGTTAACTAAAATTAGCAGAAGCAGCCTAGTTGCTTCTTGCTTTTCTCGTTCAAGTTTACCATGTAGTTCGGATCTAACAACTCCCGGATTTAAGGAATTTATTAATCCTCGAATCCTCGAGCCTTATACGATCGACGAGAACTAGGGAACTTAACCTTATGATTAAGCTTCTATGCAACCAAACCCTCTATATATATATGACATCAAAAACAAGCTATCTAGGGATGTGACACGCCTACAGCCCCTCGGCCAAAGTTATGCCGTTTAACCTAATCCTTATTCTAAGATCAGTGATCCTCGAATCCTAAATAGCTCTGATCTCCGCGTGGAGGATATAAGCTAGTGTGAGCAGGTTACTTCTTAGCTTAGTTGCTCTCTAAGTGCGATAGTAATCAAACTAATGCAATCACTTTACTCTCCCCTAAGCTATATGACTAGCGAAGAAAACAAGAAGGAAGGCTTACTAAAAGATTCTGGCTCCTTTATATCACACGGCAACGGACGTTCTTCTACAGAGTCTAAGGTTCAAAACCATTCTCCTACCTATTAAGGTCAAACGCTACCTCGTGACACGAATCAGGTCATTAGCCTCCGTAGACCTCTCACTAGGTCCTAGGCAAAACAACAATCGACTTAGCACTATCTAGATTATGTGGACGAAACAAAATCACGAAAGAAGCTTAACGCAAAAGATAAACGAAAGCTATATGACTTTAAGAGTCAGAAGATGACCCTAAGGCAAGTTAGACCTTATTTCCTAGATATTGCTACGGTCTCCCTACGGCAAGCTTAGACGGACATTAGGCTTCCTGACCGACGCACGAGATCAAGGGTGAAGTAAAGCAATAGGTTTATTGTTGGTAGTACTATACTATGTTTTAAATTATAGTGTATATTATTTGCTTTTTAGCGTCGCAAATGCAACTAGGTGATACCGGCTTTTTTGTAACGGTATAGCCCCTCTCGAACCTACAAGGGATTCTAGCTCTAGGTAAGACTAAGTTTTGTCGGAGTTTTATATCTCTATACACTTGATATTATTGATTCACTTATTCCGTCGATATCTAGTATCAAGAAAATAATATTAAAAGAACACTTTTTGGAATATATGCGACCTCTTCCGTTCTATTTCTCTACTATTATCGTTAGAAAGGATGCGCCCCCTAAAGGTTTAATTTAGAAATCTAAGATGTCGTTACGAGCGAGTGGGTAGTTGACAACTGTATGTTCCAAGACATGGATTGGCGTAATAGGAAAGAAAGCCCATTACAAGGTCTGGTTGGAGAAATTTGAATACCATTACCAGGGCCTACACCGCCACATTTGTTTCTATGTAATGTTCTGTAAGTAATGTATTGTAACGTTTTGGTTTCGTCTTGTATGATAACGTTACTTGTTCAGCATGTAGGTAAGCTAAGGAAAAACGAAAGCAATCAAATAACCACTATGTACGTGTATTCCTCACTATGCGTATTGCGCACTATGCGGGTTGACTATGTGAATTGCTCACTACGCGAATTGCTCACTACGCGAATTGCTCACTTTGCGAATTGCTCAATTTGCGAATTGCTCACCATACGGATTGACTATGCCAAAGCTTAGGGTATGTTATTGATGATACGAAAGTAATGCACGGATGTACTGTATGCAGTGTACGAAAGAAAATTTCATTTCACGCCTCATTTTCCTAATTGTACGAATTCATGGTTCTCATATATGTTAGACCACGATATACGAATTTTTGGATCTAGAGGCACTTAGCTCTTTCCCAATGGCTCTGAGCACTTTTTACGCACGGACAGGTAGGCACAACTCAATTCCACGGCCAGCTCGGAATTATTTCGCATTAATCTTTGTCAAGAGTGAGGCTGTAGAAATTAATGCTTACCTTTGGAAAGTACTTTGATTATTTACGGTGGTGTACTCTTTACAATCTAGCTTTACCGCCAGCGGCGTCGGTTTTCTTATCTTGGCTGGCGACAATGGCCCGGGAAAATCTTTACGGACAATATAATCAAAGAGCTGTCGCTAAATGATAAATCATACGGTGAAGGTAAGACTTGCCTAGAGCAGCGTGTTTTCTGCAGTTTCTTTTCTCCGACTTGGATGAAGAATCAACCAGCGTCACTGAGGCATTGCTGTCTCTTGCGCGTTGGATTGTCCTGAATGGTAGAAACCTGCTTTTCTTTACACAGTTCATCTACAGGGGCCTTCATATTCTCCTGTGTTTCCTCTAATTATTGGATCCTGTCTTCGTCAACCCAAGCTATACCCATTTCCAATGATATGCTCAAACTTCAAAGTCGAGGGCTCCGGCCAAGGTTCTGTCAGCCAGCTGAACTGGATATTAAATTGATTGTGCGAATTGAACCTTTCTGCATAGCTTTCAGTTGGCAATCTTTGTGTAACATGAGTTGAATTTGTTGGGCCAACATTAGAGCAGCTTCCGTCCCTTTAATAATGTAGCTTAGAGGGTTCAATAGCCTAAAGGATTGCCATTTCTTTCATAGATATTCTATGTAAGGTTCATCATCGGAAAAAACGGCCAGTATTCAAGCATCTTCCTTGCTGGTGCTTCAATCAAACATTTCGTCGGTCGACGGGTCGTATCGTTGGCCTATGTCCTGTCCCATTCGTCGCCTGCTCAGCCCATGGTTCCGTACTTTCCAGAATCATCGCGAGTGCCATCTCAATGGCTCAATGTTCCGCCGCATATACGGTGGACATATCATGATCACCCATCTGGCTATGAGCATGTTGGTCATCAAGGTTCACGACCGCAGCCACTCCGATGCTTCCATCAATTCTGCAAGTGTCTTTCTCTTGGGTATTTTGTCAGGATCTGATTATGCCGTTCCACCACGATCTTTCTGTTGTTGATGATCACTTGCGGCGGCATCTGTCATGGTGCTAGGATTAATGCTTAAGCTTCCAATTGATGTTGATTTGTTCGTGCACATGTCGAATTGTCTAATCAAACACTATCTGAATCTCCACTTGCCATGAGCATTTAACAGTTTTTCCAGTATTTTGGTCTCCTCAAAGGTCGGAGAGCCATTTTCTCCGATTCTCAACGTATGTGCTAATACTCCGTGCAGAGCATCCCTCGGCTGCCAGAAAATTGGGTCTGTATGCCAATTATTTCGAATACTAAGTGGAAGGGACATGCGCCAATTTTAGATTTGAGTTACCTTAGAAGCCTTCACAACACAGGATGAGTCTTTTGTTATACTTAGTCAAGAACCAGAGGCACTGGAAATTAGAGGAGCGATACATGGTTCAGAGCTTCATCGGCCTCTCTAATATAATGCTTTTGTAGTGGCCTTTAGTCACTGACAAGTTACTTCGTAAGCACATCTTGTTTTGTCAGGTACATGCTCAACGAAATATCCAAAGCCCTAGTCTATAAAATAATCACATGATAATGATAATTCGGAAATTTTATACCCGAAAGAAAGCGTTCACATCCAAATCGCCAAACACGCCAATGGCAGCCTGCGAGCTTTCGCACACACGAACATTTTGGATGTTTTGGGTGGGATGATTCCCACGACGAGAATCAGTGACGCCCAGTCTAAACCGACCACTATCTCTGATTTCGATTCGCTGACCAGTCCGTAGCAAATGAACCTCTGAGCGGCGCTTATCAAGTAATTCTCGCGAGTAGTGGATCTCAGTAGCTTGCTCTTCAGTTTGACGAACGATGCGATTGAGGGCTACCAGCTTGTCCTGAAGCACTGTCTCATCCTCGTCAAGCCCTCCGATCACATTTACAATACCATTCTCCCTGGCTAGGAGCTCGGCTTGTCTCTCCTGGCTGACGTTCTCCGAGGGATGTAGAGGAGAAAGTCTTCATCGGGTTGCAATTTGTCAGCTGACTACCATTAGATTCTCCCAATAATGATTTTCATATACAGAAAAGGGTCGATGATGCTCGACAAAACGTTCTTCCACCGGGCCAGCCGTTTGCTCAGCAATTGCACCTCTAATTCTCCAGAAATACCGAAGCGATCGCGGTCCAATTTGCGAGTTGTTCCACCCAACGAGCGGTCAATAAAAGCGCGAAAAGTCTTTCCAAACTCGTCGCATGTCTTTTCGCAGCCCAGTAGGAGTGAATGAACGTGCGCTTCGATGTCATCCCTGGCCGCGGCCGGGGAGTAGCCAGAGGCGAGTGAAAGACGGTGTACAACAGTTTCAAGAGAAGCCAACTGATTCAAGAGGTCGGTCAAAACCTCAGGTGTGTCTCCAGTTGTTTTGATTTGGTCTGCTAGAGCAATGATGCTCAGTTGGGCGTTTGTTACAACCGACACAGTGGTGTAGGACACATTGATCGGGTCGGTCATTCTGAACACGCAAGTTCATACAAAGTCGAATGATCACAACGAGGCAGAGGAAAATAGGGCAACAAAAGAAAAAGATTCTTGTTGGGAGTGGAAAGAAAGGCATTATATTTGGAGGGGTTCCGACCTTATAAGTGTTTGCACGTTGGAGTCTGCCTAGACTGCGGACGGCAGGCTCCTGGGATTCTGGTTGATCAGTGTGAGAGATACGCATGAAACAGGGCGGATGGCGATACGATATGCGCGGGACCCACAGAGTGCATCTAGATTCCCCTGAAAGCGAGGAAGCAACCTTCCTTTCGCTTCCTCGCGCTACATTTTATATCTAGATTCACCAAACTCGAGTATAATTAGCTGTTCTTAATATTTATGATTCATCTTGAAACACTATTCACTTCTACGTATACGTGAGACCCTCACATTCCTCACAGAAGATCCCAGGGGTGAATTTCATATTCCTAGAATTTAGAATAACCCCAGGAGCTAAAGTGTATTTCCTAGGAGACGACCAGCTCCAAGAAATACTGTCGTGGTGTTTGATAGTCCCCTGTATCCGTAGATGAGGACAGCTGCTTGAAGATGAATAACCAATATTAAGAACAACAATAGTTGACTGTAGATACAAGACGAAGCACGAGGAGGCGAAAAGAGAGGCTTCCTCGCTCCCGAGGGAAACCAGATGAACCAAGTCGGTCACACAGATCATACCTCCATTTGTCCTGTATGCCTCGTGTATAACCCTGACACAAGGCATTCCTCTTGTCTGTTGCAGAGAAACAGATTCCATAGTGCAAATCGTCACGGCTCGGTCAAGAGAGGTTTCAGAATTATATAAATCGGCTTTAGAGAGGAGTTACACACACGGTCAATTCCAATAACTTAGGCAAATGCTATCGAATGTTGCTTGCCCTTCATGGCTCCGGTCTGTTAAGAGGGGAATTCAGTCGCAGAATAATTTAAATACCATAAAGATCCTAGGAGGAAGTAGAAGTGCAAATTTGTAGTTCGTATGAAGGATTCCGATGAACATGACTTGACCTACAATCCTCGCGCGTACAGAATCACACCACAAAAATGGGGACAACTAATCCTGGCTAATCCGTCCTAACTTAAGAGGCGACCTTGACAAGGCGAAAGACTGGCAAATGAAGGAAAACTACCGTGGCTCTGCCTGTATTCCGCACTAAGACATAAAAGCCATCCATTATCCGTCTACAATAAGGATGTTTTTTAAGAATTTGGAAAGGGCAGAGGAGCGGCGTTTGTAGGCATAGATCGCATCTAGTAATATATCTAGCGTGTATAAGTTGACAGGATTGACATGTTGAAAAAAGAGGTGGGACTTTGCTTACTGTCTTTTTCTTCGATTTCGTTCTAGACAAAAGCTCTTATGATTCGGAAGATTTAACGCACGTATATTGGAAAGGTGGCTCAAGTGCATTTGAATTCGAGGTCCCGCTCAGAGAGACAGGCTTTATAGCGGACGCGCAATTATATAAGGCGTATTAAAGATCTTGCGTAAGATTTTTAGCCAAGGGGGATGACCGGAGCGCCATATTACAGAGATACGAGGGGAAGGTGTAGAAAATAAACAATATTTAAAACATTCGCAAACGGGGACTAGGCTGGCCTTTTGTATTAGCAGGAACCATAATACATTGTTAACTTGAGATGGGTTTAACATGGTTAGGACTATAGGTTATCTCCCTCCAGTTCCTAGGAGGGGATCCGGCGGTCAAGAGCAGCCTGCCATCCCTTTAAAAATACACACTTTGATATTATTTCTTAGGGATCCCACTGCAACTATACCAATTATTTCAGGTTCACGTTGTAAGCAACTTAAGATAACATATAAGCATTTCTATGGTCGAGCTAGCACAGGATGCTGCCACGCTTTCTTGAGGTCCGCAACTTTAAGATGGATCACCGAAGTCCTAGGAACTGCGACATATGAATTTTGGTCAGTAGAAGCAGGGTGGTAAACCGGCTGCACATCGTGCATATTGCTCCTAGGACGGATTGCATATGTCGTAGGAACATGTGCGCGTTGGACCTGGTGAACAAAGGTATACGTCATCTTTTGCCTCAAAACCACCGGCTATTGTAAGCCAGTTCTAAGTTCCAAAGATGAGCTATAAAAACTGGGTAAATCCCATGGATAGTGAAGTACCAAGGTTTCCACCGGAATTTCGCAATTATAACAAACCGGCTCATTCTTTTACTCTTTGCCTTGAGTACTCAAATTCATCCTACGTCCAATTCCAAATTGAGATATGGGAATTCATCTTCGGACTTTCGATTCAGCAAGTAAGAGACAAAATCCGCGTGCTCCTAGTGTCAAAGCGATTCACCGGAGGTACGTTGGGCTTTGGGTTGGGTGAGTAGCCACGATATGCTTTCTCAATTTCCTTGTTTACTGACTCCTTAGGTTTCTTGTTGACAGCGGGAATGTTCTAGTTCACTATAAGCCGGAGCAGGGATCTTCTGTTCCCAATATTACCATAATCAAAGAGTTCATCCTGTGGAACATGTACCACACGCGTCCTACAAAAGGACGTCTTCAACCAGATGGAAGGCCCACGGTGAAGGCTACTCTGGTATGCGCGGAGAGGGTTTTCAGTGGCCTTGAGTTAGCTACTGGGAACAAGGTTGCTGTAGAGGACCGTTCAGATGTATACAGGGTTAGTATAGCAAGTTGCGAAAGTTGATAATGCCGGCCAGGGCTTACCTTTCCATAGTGGATCATTGGATCGAATTGCCACTGAGGTTATATGAGTGGTCACTGAAGAGGCACAAGTACTAAATGCTTGGTTCTTTGTCTCATTATACAGCACATCAGGAGTTTGAGTGAAGCTCATTCATCAAGCTTGACAGTTCTTATTAAAGTACAGTAGACATCGAAGGCTAAACAAGCGAATTCGCGCGTCGAAAATGACGACTTCCTGACTTATTAACTGTAGAGTACAGCATGGATGGATGATATCATTTACCCTGACCTCTCGCTTTTGGCGATATACAGGATACAGCAACTATATATATCCTTGTATGTACACGTGTAATGTCCCACTTCCTGAAAACGAACTTGGAGCCTCGTCAAGGCCTATCGTGGCCCAGGTGCCGTTTAAGTTATTAGGCTACCCTCATGGCGCGCGGCTTTTGAATCTTTGTGACGCCTCAGCGAAGTCTAGTACGGCTTTGACCGTCCTAGCCCGCGACACGATGTCTGGCTTACCTCTCCTACCTTCGGTTGAGCCTCCCAGCAGACTCGACACGTCGTTGAACGCGTCCCCAGCTTCACGTCTTAGCTCCCTTCGGATTTCCCTCAAATTTGGGCAGTCCACCAGCACGTGGGTGACTGTTTCTTGCGCGCCGCACACGCACTGGTCATTGTCGCGGAAGCCGAAGGTCTTGGCATAGTAGAGTACAGCAATATTCGAAATCAGCTTTACCACTACACTCTCTCGAATCCATTCCCAAACCCTGACTCGAAACACGCTAATCTAATTTTAGATCTTCCCCAGTAATCCCTGCATGACAGTATTGTATTGGTCGGTAATATTAAATAGGTCATTGTTTTAGTACCGTAAATTCCTGTAGATTCAATTCGAATCTTTTATGCAAACAAACCAAACAAAAGGTGAATCCTAACATTCTAGCAAGATTTATCTACCACTCTCCCACTTGTCGGTCTACTTATCATAGGCAGCCTTCGCCTACACTCGTTTAACACATAATAAAAGGCTACGGTGGCACTATAGAGAGGTAACCCCGGTAGGCAAATATGCTTCTTATTTCTATGATTCCTATTATCTACTGCGATTTTCGTTCGTTACTAGTTTATATTAGAAGCTAGTACCCGGAGAAGCTGACATAGGTCTTTTAAGGCTGTGATTGTGTGTAGAGATGTCGTAGAGCCTATATCACGTTGGTCCTATATCTTAACCCGAAGTGTTCGAGCCATAGGAATATAACTCGCTATACGCTCTAACCCCTAGATATATTGGTAGTCCCTACGCAACGCGGTCTAACTATAGTCCCTCCTCGCCTAGTGGGCTTAAGAACTAGTCATAGCTAGATACTCTTAGGCTACTCTAGTTGTCCGAATAGGAGGATAGAAGAGATTATAACTAGCACCCGCCGACCTATATTCACTACCGTATAGAGTGGCGAGTGACCGTTAACAACCGGGAGGTGTCTAAGGACACGGAGGAAGACCTCGTTTTAGCTCCTAGTGCCTACTAGTAGCTGTTCTTAGAGAAGAAGCTAGAGAAGGTTCTTCGGCGTAAAATTGCCCGCTATCGGATAGTAAAAGCTAATAACACTGCTATTGTCGTTTTAGTGAATAATCGAATATAGCGTAATCTGACTAAACGATTTGACGACACCGAAATCATTTGGACTGCTATCGAGAAGTAGCTCCTAATGTGGTCGGGTCTGTTCTCTAGGGGTAAGGAACTTACACTAAAGATCTATTTTAACTACGTAGATAATCGTTATTCTCCTATGGCCATCGGTCGGAAAGTGGAGAAAAGAGGAAAATCCTCTGTCACAAGTAGGATGCTCGATAAAAGAGATGCCTAGCTAGATACGGAGGAGGATGCCTCGGGACAAAAGCTAGTCTAGCGTAGCGTTTATAATCTAATGCGATACGCTTCGTCGATATGCCTTAGGGGGCCCTATTGTTAGGTGGATCTAGTGGGAAAAAAAGCACTATTAACTAAAAACTTATTATCTAAAACGCCTAGTCACCTACGTCAAAAAAGGTGGTGTCTCAGATAGTCACAATGATATGCCGGAAACGGTACGCGAGGAATTATTTATAGAAGAGTAGTAGAGACTAGAGAAGAGCTATCGCAAAGGTGGATATATCATCGGAAATAGAGTACCGTATCCTCCTATCAATATTAATGTCCTGCCTTCGTAGTCTTCGGTCTCTAGATCTGATATTTCGGCTGCCTAAGCTGTTGACTTAAAGTCTTTAAGCCCGCTCGAGATCCCTAGATCTAGAGACGAAGTAGTCAAAGAATATAGTGAGTGGTAGGTGTTAAATGTCACTGATGACACTCTTAAGGCTGTATTTCGACAAGTCTATGACTTGATGCCCGAGGATGGTCTTGACCTTGAGCAGGTCTACAAGGATCAAGACCTAGGATTTTTCATCGGCAAGGGAATAAAGATAGGCATTGCTCGACGTTTCGTAGAAGACATTCGGCACTAGGTCGAAAACGTGAAGAAAGCAATCCCTATTCAGAAAATAATTTAGCTACAACCTACTTAGCATTGGTTCACGTGAACTTTGAAAAGTTTAAATAGGTTACAGGATGGATCGAAATCAGTTTCACCACGTTGCTCTCATAGAGTCTTTCTCGAACCCTACTCCCAAACACGCTAATCCATTTCCGAACTTGGCTCGGTTTCAAGGCTTGAATTGTATTGAAAGCTATCATCACGTGATAAAGGCTCCATAAATTACGTGTAATGCTCCTTCCAATGATACTTGCATCTCACAGCCCTTTAGCTCGCTCTTTGGCGACTTTCCTTCTGCTTGCCCTCAGTCTCTCGTAGCGATATTCGTTAAAGTGGCAAGGCCAATCCATTTTGAGTAGTGTGCACAAAGTCGATCTATGATGAGAAAGAGTAACTCAGAAGCTTAACATAAAAAGCAGAAATTGTTAGGTAAGCATGTGATTTTGAATTAACTTATCTAGATCTAGGCATGTATGTTCAGGCTCTCTGCTCCTCTCCCAGCAATATTTCTGAATTAGATAGAGTACCGGATTGTTCAGGCCGCGTGTTTGCTTCTGCTTGGTCAAGCAACCTCCGTAGCAAATTGATGGCTTCGGAGTGGTATACTGAGGATTGAGTGGAAGCGACATTAGACATACTGGCGGTTGGTCCTCGCCGAGCTGGCTTGTGAGGCAGCGTCACCTGCACCTTGAGCTACTCGGCCTCCTTCCCCCAGCCTTCAAGCCAGTGCAGAATTGCACTACAGTACGTCCCGAAACCGGTGCGACCACCTACACTCCTCGATTCATTCTCCAACCCTAATGCCAAGTCTCATTAGTCTATAACTGGACTAGCCCCGGAATATCAATATTCCTTTCTCACTTCATTTCCGTAATTTACTTTCACTAGCCCGCATGATATCTATGAGTGGAGGCTGCAGAAAAAAGAACTCAACGCGTTCAAGGGGGAAATGTATATTATGCGCTATGTGGGGATCACCCCTTGCTGATGCGGCCTGTAGCGTCCTGCCATGTAACCGCTCCGAGGTGCAACATCAGCAAGACTGTTTGTTGATCATTTGACATCATATACACCGGATTTTCTCTTCTGCTTAATGGCTTTCTCTTTCCGTTTGGTTGCCTTTGTATGTCGATTAGTATTTTCATTTACATTTACCCCCTTTTTTTTTTTTTCGGGTCCCGCTGGAATCCAGCGGGATCTCGACACTTCTAGGTCAAGGGGGCGGTGGGTTTTTGTGCAAAGTTGGCCCGCTGTCCTAGGCTATCGTAGTTGCCTGAGCAAACTATATACCCGGATTGCAAGGGAAGGATCAATTTGCACGCTTAGCACTTAGAGATGATGCGCTCGTTGCGCAAAGAGCTTACAGGAAGAACTGAAATGCTTGGGCGACCTAGGAGATCCTGCAGCGATATCTTTGGATAATTTATCCTTCTCTAGTCAGAGATTGTGGAAGTCGTCAAGCGTGTTGAGAGGGTCGGCTGTATAAGGGTCACCCTCTTGCCAGAACAATATATCCAGTGATTGCCAGTCTTGGTATATGAAACATGTGAAGCAGCCACGAAGAAGATGAAGCGTGATATTCAGCCACGGGCACAATGCCGCTACGGCCAAGCGCTAGAGAAAAACGGAATCAAGGGGCTAGGGTGCTATCTATGGAACACCCCTGTTTAATACCTAGGAATCTCCAATCACTCTAGGTTTATAATAACTTAAGGAAATTCCCTCTATATAAGGAAAGGTAGTACAAAATATGATTGGTATCCACTTTCTGTGGCGTAGCTGGTATGTCGCATAACAATGTGAATGCTACTCGCTGGTATCGAGACGGAAGCTTTGGACATTAATAATACTACATCTCTATGTAACTCTGGTCCTCGTCCTCCAATTCTGTCGATTACACGCAGATATTCTCAACTTCAAGTAGCTTACATTTCCCTTGTATGTCTCCGTGTGGAGGTCCAAATTTATTGGCCACGGACATCTAACGCCAAAGCCTACAGCCCTCAAACAACCTCAGATATCATATAATGCAGCCTTTCATTTTCGTCTGTGCCATTATTGCCAGTATGGCAATGACTGCTCCAACTGACTCAGCTGGAGGAGTTGTGCTGGATAAGCGTCAGGTATGATCAGCTCTTCATATTCCGTGCTTGTTCTCTATGGTATTCGGATGGTATCTGTCTGAATACAGATAGCTAACCGATATGGTGGGTATAGGGTGTGAGTATCTCCCTTTGACATAGAGATGCATTTGCACGGCTATGTTAATACAGGTAGCTAACCGATGTTATGGATATAGGTTGTGAGTATTCCTTTTGAGGTGGAGATGGAGTTGCACGGCTATGTTAATATAGGTGGCTGACCGATGTGGTGGTTATAGATTGTGAGTATTTCCGATTGGAGTGGAGATAGTGTTGCACGGCTATGTTAATATAGGTGGCTGACCGATGTGGTGGTTATAGACTGTGAGTATTTCCGATTAAGGTGGAGATGGAGTTACACGGCTATGTCAATATAGGTGGCTGACCGACGTGGTGGGTATAGGATGTGAGTATCTCCCTTTGACATAAAGATGCATTTACACGGCTATGTCAATATAGGTGGCTAACAGGTATAGTGGATATAGGGTGTGAGTATTTCCCTTTGATATAGAGATGGAGTTGTATGGCTATATCAATATAGGTGGCTAATAGGTGTGGTGGATATAGGGTGTGAGTATTTCCCCTTTGATATAGAGATGCATTTGTACGGCTATGTCAATATAGGTAGCTAATAGGTTTGGTGGATATAGGGTGTGAGTATTTCCCTTTGATATGGAGATGGAGTTACACGGCTATATCAATATAGGTGGCTGACCGATGTGGTGGGTATAGGATGTGAGTATTTCCTTTTGAGGTGGACATAGAGTTGCACGACTATGTTAAAACAGGTAGCTGACCGATGTGGTGGATATAGGTTGTGAGTATTTCCTTTTGAAGTGGAGATGGAGCTGCACGGCTATGTTAATATAGGTGGGGCTGACCGATGTGGTGGGTATAGATTGTGAGTGTTTCCGATTGAGGTGGAGATGGAGTTGCACGGCTATGTTAATATAGGTGGCTAATAGGTGTGATGGATATAGGGTGTGAGTATCTCCCTTTGACATAGAGATGGAGTTGCATGGCTGTGTTAATATAGGTAGCTAACCGATGTTATGGATATAGGTTGTGAGTATTTCCTTTTGAAGTTGAGATGGAGCTGCACGGCTATGTTAATATAGGTGGCTGACCGATGTGGTGGTTATAGATTGTGAGTATTTCCGATTGAGGTGGAGATGGAGTTGCACAGCTATGTCAATATAGGTGGCTGACCGACGTGGTGGGTATAGGATGTGAGTATTTCCCTTTAACATAGAGACGGATTTGCACGGCTATGTCAATATAGGTGGCTGACCGATATGGTGGGTATAGTTTGTGAGTATTTCCCTTTGATATAGAGATGCATTTGTACGGCTATGTCAATACAGGTAGCTAATAGGTTTGGTGGACATAGGGTGTGAGTATTTCCTATTGATATAGAGATGGAGTTGCACGGCTATGTCAATATAGGTGGCTGATAGGCGCGGTGGGCATACATAGTTTGTGAGTATTTACCTTTGACAGACATGAGTTGCACGGCTATGTTAATATAGGTGGCTGACCGATGTGGTGGTTATAGATCGTGAGTATTTCCTATTAAGTGTGGAGATGGAGTTGCACGGCTATGTTAATATAGGCGGCTGACCGATGTGGTGGGTATAGGATGTGAGTATTACATTTGACATAGAGATGGAGTTATATGGCTATGTCAATATAGGTGGCTAATACGTGTGGTGGGCATAGGGTGTGAGTATTTCCTATTGATATAGATGGAGTTACACGGTTATTTTAATATAAGTGGCTGACCGATCTGTGGCGCAGACTTGTGAGTATTCCCCTTTGAGGTGGAGATTGATTTCCACAGCTATGTGAATATAGGTGGCTGACCAATATGGTGGATATAGGTTGTGAGTATTTCCTACTGAGGTGGAGATGGAGTTGTACGGCTATGTTAATATAGGTGGGGCTGACCGATGTGGTGGGTATAGGATGTGAGTATTACCTTTGACATAGAGATGAATTTGCACGGCCATGTTTACACAGGTGGCTGACAGATGTAGTGAATGGCATCAACATGCACCTGCAAGTTTCATTACAATCTTGATCGAAGTCGAGAAGGTATGTGAGTGCCGCAAACCCATCAACATTATTATTGTTTGGTAATAAATAATGCAAGCCTCCAACTTACTTTATTTAATATGGACATTGAGGTTGCATTAAGGTGGCTAGTTTGAGTTGCACTAGTCTCGGTATGGGTTTTTCCCTATTTGATAGGTTTTCCTTTATCTTCGTGCAAATGCAGAGACTATACTGTAGCTGTATTTTGGTCATCATCGTCTGATAGGTTATATCAAAATGAATTTTCTAGTGGAGACTTCTAATTTGCCGCAAGTTTCTGCCAATATTGACGATCACAGCCTGCTGCATTCGGCTTCTTCGGCCTCTATCATATCACGGATGAGATGCATCCTTCAGGAGGGCTTGTTGTCCGTCTTCTTGAGCCTTAGCTGTGTTCGAAGAACCTGGGCCTTGATGAAGTAGCACATCGCTGGCGGGAGTACTGCCATGGTCGTTCGGACCGACAAGAGTCCATATCTGAGATTGTGTATATTCTAGCATGGTGCGAGCGTAATCAGCTAGAGACGGGGGACCAAAATCCGAGCATGGTGCATCTATGGCGTTATGGATCGGAGATTTGCTAGGACTAAAGGCGAATGGGGATATAGGAGCGGGGGACCGTAACGGTTGCTGCATTGCACCACTTTCAATTACTGCATATAGGTGCTGTCTGTGAGAAACGGTTTAGCATCGTCAAAGCATATGATCGCGCCATCAAATGATTCAACATGAGCTCACATTCAAATAGTCTATGTCCGATATCGGTACCATGACCAGCGGTAGAAGGGAGGAGAAGGGGGCGGGGGGACAGGATGGACTGGAAAAGGTATACAACGTCGTCCATGTAAGAGATTTGCACGTGAGGAGCAAGAGCGACAATGGTAAAGTTTGATAAGTGTTTGGTCTCTTACCTTTGCCCAAGATAAGTAATCTTAGCCTTTGCTTCTAATTGCATTCTATCGTTCGATGATGCAGGCAGGGTAAATGGTGCTATTAAAGAGATAGCAGCCGTCGCGAACAGATGCCCAACCATAGCCGATATTGTTCAGCTTCCTACGGTAAAGAATGATAACAAAATATTGAAAAATTTAGGCTTCTTGAAAGGTGATGTACAAATAGCGAAGAAGCCCTCACGTATCTTTTCCCGGTGATTGCCATAATAGAGGCAAAGACTGTTAACTAAATCCTGACTTCAAATCTCATCAATATTTGCCAAGCCCTCAAACAAAAAACACCATGACGGGAGAACGCTCCAGGCTCTGGCCAGGAACCCGATTCTAAACTATAAAAGAAATGATGGTACATTTTACGGACGAAGCTCAAATCATATTGTCTCCTTGCCTGGTACTTTGAACCGACGTGCGCTAGACGACCAGTGGAGCTGCTTGAGCATATGGTCGCTGCATTGCGGAAAACGCTTGGTGAAGGACATCTTGATCGACTGAAATCTCAACACTTCCTAGGAGAAATGTATGTGACAAGATGGAAAAACAAAGCGAGCAGTTGAGCTCCTTGCGCATGTGGTCGCTATTCGAAAGAGAACGCCCGATGAAGCACACCGCGAACGATTAGCGTCTGAGCATGAACTTCCCCGACCGTACCTAGCAGATGGGCAGACCAAGAGAGCAGTGGACTACGAGCCATGAAACTTTAACATTCCAGAGTAGCCAGACAGCCGTGCCCATTGATTGGGCCCCGTTTGGCCCTTTCTTCAGCACTGGTGAATTTACACCCTTAGTTTGTTTTAGCACGGGATGAACTACTGTATACGAGTCATTTCGAAGCCGTTACAAGGTCTACAAGTGAACTTTTCCCCACAATTACAAATAAATTATGTGATTTTGACGTTATATCTAGAAATCTCTTACCCAAGCTTGTGTCGGTAATGTCCATGAACTAGCAAACAAATAACAGAGACCCTTGCATTCGCATAACAATATAGGAAAAACCTAAACAACTAGGCGAAAACCTATACCAAGGCCTATGTAAGTGACGGCTTGCTCAGCGAAGACTATATTACCGGATCTTGGCGCACTTTCCCCCTAGATCAAAATTATGAAGAACTTCTCATAGGGACCAACATAGCCCTGACAATTAACTGTCCCAGACCCAGAACTTCCACCGCCACCAGTGGAATTATCCAAACGAAGGTAGACGCCAGGAAACGCCACGGAAGCAATAGCCTTTGATCCGTCAGGCTGTGATTCAAAGCGGAATTTCTCCCAGCTCTCACTACCATTCCTAAAATTTAAGGTTAGTGATACCACTCAAACAGGTGACCTAGCAGGCTATAAACTAATTTATTAACAATACGAGGAGAGGGAATCCTCACTGGCAATTCACCTTGCCTGCACCACTTGGGTATCCCTGTCCAGGAGTGACACCTCGGCCATCTAGGCGTAGATAAACGTTTTTGAACTGGGAAGAGTAAATTGAGAATGTGTTGTTATCGTCAGGATCATTCACAATTATAAATCTTTCGCTTGAGCCGACATAGTTCTGGGCATTGACTGTTCCTCCACCTTGATCGCCCCATGAGCTGGCGCCATCTCCGTCAATTCGGAGATATGATCTAGGGAATTTTTGAGATTCAATGCTGATTTGTAGCTGGTCTGGAGACATTGTTGAAATTGTAATTCCTAAACTTAAATGGCAGATATTGGACTGAAGTCATAGGTTGAACGAACAAGAAGAGGTAGGATGTTGAAATTGTGTTCTCTGCTGGGGAATCTAGCCAGTTTTATCTATGCAAGTCCTGATCGCATGACGATGAAATGGCTTCATGTAACTGTAATAATGCGTTTTCAACTCTCCACAAAACCAACCGCAAACGGAAACAGCTAATAATGAGACGCTCCATAGACACCCGCTATTAAAAAATGCATCCCCCAGGTAGTCATCAGAATAATGATGACGTGAACTAGTCAACCAGTCATAGTCGCCCAAGTCTTAAACAAATTTGTATGGCAGTTCTAGTAGAGTTTGGTTATTGGGTGGAATATGGGTTCCATAGCCCAATTCTAGGTCATATGTGCTTTATTGATTGGTAGCTTCCAGCATGGATTCAATAAGCCTATATTAGGCTAGACCATCTTCGATGGTTTAAGCTTTTCAGTTTTCACATAACTACTTCCAACGGATAGCAACATTGAGTCTAGGTTGGTCTAGACGGCAGGCGGTGCCACTATATTATTTTTTTTGTGAAATTCAAGACCGCAAAAATCAGATAGGCTCTCATCCAAAGCAAAGCAAACCTTGTAAGATTGATGACATAGGATAACTTGAGAGACAGATACAGAATTAGCCCTTCTCACATAGGAGATAAATATGGATTTATAAGCCGGACAACAACAAAATAGGGGCCTCTTCACGATAAAACCATACTTGCGTTTAACTTGGAGAACTGAGTACGAGAAGGTCCGCCCGGGTAGTGACCAAGACCACAACAAGCTTGACGTGAAGAAAATACTTGAATGTGCTTCGAATAAGCTTTTCGTCGATGTCAGCTCGGCATTTTACCGGTGGCCACGTCCATTGTCGATGTTGTATCACTCCGGTGTGCACCCATACTGTCGTTTACATTGAGGTGTGGACGGCGGCCGTTATTCGAAGTCTCCACTCATGTAGTGCGCAGTTTCAGGCATTTAGGCAGTACCACTCCTCGGGTTAAGTCTGTTTATTTCATAACCGGAGATTACAGCTTTAGGTGCTCCTGCACAGCTTGTAACCGTGCACTATAGACATACCTATTATAATAGCAATATCTTCAAGCATCCTAATGAAACCTTAAACAGCAGCCAACCCAATGTCCTTAGGCTTACAGATTCAATTGGGGTGGGAAACCCTAAATACGAACTTAATAATACAAAAAGGACAGAATGCAAAACCTTTTTCGCCTTCAGGTCAACTTAATATTTAGCGTCCGAAGCGAATGACCGCCGCCAAATTCGGGTATGCCACATGACGCACGTCGATCATCCGAGCCCGTAACCTTACGCTAATTTCGTCCGTGGTTCGGCCATCTACGGTTTCTCGTCGTTTTCAAAGTCACACTGATATCACTTTAGGTAGCTCTAGTGATACGACACGAGAATTGCTACTTCAACGTCAGTTGATAGCAATACTTGGAGTCGAATTATCTGCATCCCTACACTTGGAATAGTTTGCGGCCACAATAACGTCACTTAAACTTTATCGAACTTTACTTGATATATAGCATACAATACATCAGAAGCTCACTTGCAGACTACTATTAGGTGATAGTTTCTACAATATTTTGTTTCAAGGCTTCTTCTGTCGTTCAGTTCCGCATATCAATGAGTAATTTTGGGGAAACAACAGGTGAGATCGAGCGTCAAAAATTGAGGTTACTATTCACTAGTTCTTTAAACGCTCTCGAAATCAGGCCTAGCAGCTTATAGGTAGCAATAATAGCAGACTCGGTGTGGCTTTTTTTTTTCAGTCTATAATGACTCCCAAGCACAATGTCTTATCTATTTCACTTTAATGACTAAAATGGACTATCCTACTTCGCCTTCCCTAATTGACCGGCTATTCAAGTGACATTGTAGGGTAGCCTGAAATCTAGAAGATAAGCCTAAGTATTAAATCCACCTACAGCAATCTTTAGATAGTATAACTATCGAACCTATAGTTGGCTAGACCCTCTTCGATAGGAAACGAACAATATTATTAATACTATATAGAACCCGCTGAGTACTCCCGGTGCCCTTACGGCGGAGTTTATGAAAATTCTATACTATAACGACCACCCCACAACCACCAACTCCCCGGGGCTACACTAGCCCTTAAATTGGTGGACTTATACTTTTGCCTATAGGAATGCTACGTCGTCAAATCTGCCCAGAAGATACGCCTCGAGGATGAGCAGCGATAGCTTGAAGAGTCAAATGAGTGGCTAGTAAGCGACAACGATATCCTTCTACAGCTTTGCAATGAGCAGACACTGGTGTTATAGGATCGAAAAAGAGCGGTTTAGGCCCTTTGTAATGGTGTGGGTTCAGCCTTGCAAGCGAGCGATACTCAAGCCTACCGTATTGATGGGCCTTGATAAACTATCAGCGTGATGGAGCTTGCGTGGCCAAAACTGGTGTCAATTGGATCGTATCGCTATTTATTTGAGTTCTCTCCTAAAGATCAGCACTGATTTTGGATGAGGCCCATCCAACCGCCGGTGAAGTTTCCTTGATCTTGGTGAGGCCGTCCGCTGCTAACCTTTCACGGCTGTTGATATATCCGACTTTAATTTCCAAAACTTAGCATCTGATCGCCTAACCCTCCTAGTTGTCTTGACTTGTTGTAATCGAAGATGAATAAATTCTCTGCTCAGCCTCCGGCATTCCGTCCCTCCCAGCCCCATTAAATCGCTACTTTACTCACGCCTCTAGGACTTGACGAAGCTGTCAACAGGAACATGGATTTGGTTCCCCGAGGTGGGATAAAAGTCTTCAGAATGTCAGGCATGCTCGGTGAGATTCCAGCTTTGGAAAATGCCCTTATAGCTCTCCACGGCTTGTAGGATTACGGTTTTTCTGTCACTTGTACTCCGCAAATCGGCGGGCGGTAAGCCGGCTAGTGACAGCTGCTCACTGGAGGTGTGAACTATTGAATTACTAAGAATATAGCAGTAGCTTTGATCAGTAAGTGCACAGTCCCATCGAACAGCAGTCCCTGCGATGCGTGTGAGATCGGGAAACTCCAAGGCCAGGGTCATTATTGACCAATGTCCCGGGCTCTTGTTCGAAGGGCGGTGTGGGGTGCGACGCGCCGAGTATGAGAGAACCACCAGTCCACCACTTCCCCGCAGCCCCAAATTAGACCTAATTAGCCAGTCAGTTGGAGCTTGACTCGATAAAAACTTTATTTATTTTTCTTTCAAAATTATTTTTCGATTGTCGATTTGCCTGCCATGCTCACCTCGAGAACGCGAGAATAGAAGGAGTGATACCGCCTTTCAATGGATGCAACATCACACGGATAATGGGGAGGTTTCACATTGCTCGCAGCATAGTGGGACACACGGTTTACATTGATGATATTTGGGTTTTCTCGAACGTTGTGGCCTTTTCTCCAAGCCATCAGCAGGTGATGTACCTCAACGGACGAACCTGATCGCCAGCCGGTGGCGCACGCTGCTACACCCTCGTTGCCTTCTAGGGATATGAGAACTGCAGGTGAGCAATAATGCAACAACCCGAGGCGCGTGCGCGCGGGCCGTGATTCCGCGCTCTGCGAGCGCCCGTATTCAGGTCGAGCACCTGTAGCCCGTCGGTTTTTTTTTCTGGACTTGTACCTTTTTGTCCTGGGCTGAAGGGCTTGTGCGTTGAGTAACCTAATATGGAGACAGCTCTAGATTGATTGACAAAATCTGGGGTACCCTTGCTTTTGCCCACGTCCATGCATATGTGAAAAGTCATATTCGCCATCTGGGAGGTGGACCGTGTCTGCCGACCAGTGAGTCTCTGATAAGCCGACTTTCTTAACCATTTTACCATTTCAATCTCCCCGGCGAGATAAAGGGAGGAGCGCACATAAGCGCAATGACTTTCACAAAATAAGAGCAATCATGCCTCGATCTCTATCCATAGGAATCATGGGTAATAGTCACTTGGAGCGAGCCTCCTTCGAACCTAAGTGACATCGATTCCCAATAGCTAGCTGCACAGGATCGACAGCCTAATAAACCGCTTTAAAAAGGAGACACACGGGCTAAGTGGTCCGGCTCCCCGCACCGTTTAGGCCGTTTAACATCAATGTCAACAAAGACGCAAGGATCACTGTCATTAGCCTTAGACAATCACGTATGAAAGCCTTTCTTTTGCTCAATTTTCACCAAATAACTAACTTTATTTTCGTACACGTATCTACAGGGCAGGTCGACACCGATCGACGCCCGGGAAGCTTTCCCGGCCATTGAGATGCGGCAATGAGATTACCGTTGTTGGAAGAATCCCGACCGCAGAAAATTGCAAATAGAGACGTCCCTAATTTTTTTTTTTTTTTGTGCATGCTCTGGACTTCTCAGAAAACCCCAGTGACATGCCTAATATCTTTCTGACCAGAAACAAGAAGATCCCTAGCAGTTCGTCCAGCATAGGTCCAGCTATATGTATTTATAGAATAACAGCATTTGTTACGGGAGTGAACAGTCTATGGCAAGATCCCAGACATTTAAAATTTTTATCTAGCAACGGTCCATTAATTTCATCGTACCAGCACCATACAATCCAGCATATTCGCCATGTCTAGCGTTCGTCCCATCTGTGGGCTGACGCCAGGAGTTTTGGTTTGCCACGAACGCCTACGAATGCCTATGAACGCCACGCGGCTGGTCCGCATTCCAGGCTTGTTATATTCAACAATACGGTAATTGTTCGTACGACAATAGACACTCCCGTGGCGGTAAGTTTTCTGACGATAGGCGTGAAAGATTCAATGATATGGGCGACCATTCGGGCGCTATGCATACACGCAGTGGTCTAGATTGGCCTCATGTTAGAGCCATACTTTGTACATAGCTTTAATGCAACCTTTGTTTTTAATTGGAACTTGATACCATGTGTACAGATTTGACAGGATTGACAGGTTCGACAGTGCTGGTGAAGGCCCCCCCGCCACCTAGCAATATTTAGCGACTGTCAGTCAAGTTATAAATATCTGGGACGCCAGCAGTGGATAGACTTTCTGCTCACGCTTTCCCAACATTGTAAGACAGTCATTGCAGTCCTCCAATAGAAATGGCTTTCGACTGTGAGTCCTTGCGTTCTATATTTGGGTGCACTCGGGCTAAGCATTCAACCAAGACAACTTCCAACCTGTTTTTGGCGTCAAAGATAGGTCCATGGACCCATGCTTTATGGTAATTACTGGGTTGAAAGTTGGATTTAAAGGAACTGACCGCTAGCCAGGCGCAGGCAACCATGCCAGCAGACGCACAATCGTTGGAGCTATCTTATACCCATTTCGCACTCATATATATCGACGCAGATGGCATAATTTGTCTACGAGTCTCAGACTCTATCGCAAAGAGTTGGCAGGAGATACTATCCACACAGGTAACGGATGCATTCCTGAGAGCTGTGGGTATGGCAATAAAGACTTGCTCCTCAAATTATCAAGGTGAGTATCATGTTCACCCAGCAATCTTTCGATTGATGATCAATGTTAGTCGAACAAGGCATGCCAGTATCCCCAAACCAAGCACCTGCAGTAATTGCCAAAACCACCCATTCATCACATATGACTCAGGAACACTATGTTGGGACGAGGTTTGGGGTTGAGGCACGCATGCGAAAGCCTGTCCCAGTGGCAACTTGTTTTCGGCCTCTAGTCCGGCCTATCTGCAGACAGTCTTGGCCCTGCTTGTCCACTGAAGATCCCTCACGTCACCGGAAGGAGCTTTGCAAAAAAGATTTCAACATGATTAGCGACAAGAAAGCTATGGTATCCGTCAAAGACCGTGATATATTGGCCTTATATTATATGAAGGCCTTCGAGGATCTGCAACAGACAAATTGTCGAATCCTTGCGAAAGCCTATATCAAGCTGGTGGAGCCTCAGAAGCAGGTGAACTATCCATACAATGGGCGAAAGATTGTTGCAATGGCTCCAAGGCAGTTTGATCCTGAGATGACTAAACCACCGTGGTGGCCTTCTGGAGTAAGCCATCGAGAGCCAGATCACCTCCCTAAAGTTGGTAGGAGTCCCATGATTCTTTCCGTGGCCAGCACATATCTAACCGTGAATAGAACGCATTCAGCTTCTGGTTCACATTCTTCGCGAGCTGCGCACCAGCCATGGGATTTCGGTCGCAAAACTACAAGGAGCTGATCAGCCTATTCGCCATTTGATATCCCCACCTGAGCGATTACATATCCTCGACGAGCTGTATCAAGTCAGGCACCAAGAAGAAAAGTCCTTAGAAGGATCAACTGGTAAGCGCAAAGAGAAAAGTCTCGGTCGTTTACAAACTGATATCTCTTCCATAGATGGACAAACCATAGCGTGTATCTCTCTTGTAAATCGTCCAAAACCAGCGGAGACAAATGCTAGCTGCGCAGACGGCAGCGGAAACAGCACAATAAGTAATCCAGTCACAATTCAAGACTCTGAGCCTTTTGTAAGCTGCTCGAGATACGCCTCTACCTTGACTGCGCCCGATAGACAGTTCTCCACCAGTTCATCGTCGAGCGCCCGCCCAAGCCAAATCACAGGTGTCAAGCCCGAACGACAGTTTCTCGAGCATCAACGAAGGTTTGACACTATGTGTGTCCCTCCACCTGTTCTGAAGAGGAAACGTGGCTCCTTTGAGACCTACCCGGTTCATACAAGAAGCCCTTCCAGTCTTGCGCACGATTCTCCACCTTCTCCAAATACTAGTAAGCCAGTGTATGGCACTCCTTACCACCTTCAGTATCCGGAAGCCTTTTTAATGAGGTCTTCAACCACGGATCTGTCACGAGAAATAACAGTGGAAAGTTATGATTCTTTTAACTGTTTTAGCTATTGTGCGTGAGAGGTGAAGAATTTGAAGCTCTTGAATATTATGCCTCAGTCTTTATAACCTCTCAAGCATTGATTTATGGTCTAAGAATAACCGAGGTATAACCATGAAATGCAGAGAGTCAAGCTGTCTATGTATTATCATACGTTTATCCCGAACTGCTGTCCTACAAAAAGTACCTTGACATTCCATGAAACGGCAGCAAGGAATCATCATTCAGTCCCACTCTTCTTATTTAAAAGCGCAACGTCTCCCACGATGATAGATGAAAATGGTTTTACGATAATTAAGGAACTCTCAACATGGATTTCCCAACAAAGAACTTCAAGGACCAAGGGAACCTGTTCAGACGCGCGGAGGACGGCCGCCATGCGAGGGCTGACCAGTTATTGAGGGCAATGAGATCCAATTTAATCAGAGTAATTTGGCATACCTATTTCCGGGAAAATATCTAAGATCCTCAGGCATACGGCTACTCAATTTTCTCGGGATAGTTCATATCTAAGGACAAATTGGGGCTCAAATCAGTCCAGGGGACGTCATGTGGATCTGGACATTTTTACCGAGCAAGGCAGTGGATAACATTGGATAGTGGACAGGTACTATTGCTTCCTACCGAGTCTCGGCCGGCCTGTTCCGCGATTAAGGGTAGCATATTTGCCCTAGGGCCCGCATCAGGGCGGATCGTCTCATCATGTCTCTCGCGCCTTTTGTCGTACATGACTTACGCAATCACTAGAAGAATAGGCGCACCGAGCCGACGAAACATTCAACGTGGCGGTTCGAAGTCCTTCCCAGGGTAGGGCTGTGAAGGAACGAGGCAGGGGGCATTTCGAACAAACACAATCGCAAATATTCATGATGATTTCTCGAAGGATGAGGGAAGGGGAGGTGGAATACGGAACTATTAGTGAACTGCGGCGGATGGAGCCATGCAAGAAATGGATTTTACTAAAGAGTTGCTAAGATACTTTCCCAGTTGCATCTCGTGATTTGAATTACAAGCGTTTTCATCTCTTTACCCGACTGGCCCACCCATCATGGCCGATATTGGAGCAGTATTCTCACGTTAATGCCCATGTATAACACATGTGATGATTACCAATTTTTCCTGGGTAGATATCAACCAACCTTGGTGTTCGTAACGTCATCAGAAGCTGACCCTGGAAACCTGTGAGCCGTCCAGGAATTACATAGCCCTAGAAAATCATACCAAGCTTGTAGGACTCTCCATCTTAACTTTCTGAAATCAGTCACGTTCCTGTTGACGAACCTATGAGCCCTAGGAACACACATCTTGGCACTGGGAGCCCTCTTGATCCCGGAGGCTTTGGTACGGTTTCTGGGAGCACAGAGGCCGCTTCCAGAAGCCATATACCCCCAGGAAACCCGACGTAACTTCTGGGGTCTTCTACCTCCATCTCGGGGAACCAAAGCCGCGTTCCTGTTGATAGCTTCATTACTTCCTAGAATCTAAAGTGCAACTCCTGGTATTGTGTGTCAGGGATATAACCTTACAAGAAGGATGGGAGATATGATCTGCGGGATCCACATGGTGTATATAGGTTCTCCTAAACGCGAGGAAGCTACCTTTCTTTTGCTTCCTCGCGCTACGACTTGTATCTAAAGTCGATTATAGCCTCCTTTAATATTGATTACTTACCTGGAAGACGCTGTCCCCATCAACGCATACGTGAGACCCTAACACTATCCCTGGGATATTCACTCTACGTTCCTGACTAAATACGGAACTGGCCTTGGGAATACATTGGCTTGATGTGGGGGATGGGGCGCCCCTGGGACCTTACCTTAGGGTCCTAGAATCAGTATATTGCCTTCTGAGGTCGCGGAAAGCCCTCACAAGATACCTTCACCAGACCTGCGCACAAATCTGCGTCATTCGATCACTCTCAGGAGCCGCAATTACGCCCCCAGGAACGAAGAAATGGTCAACAGGAACGCGGTTTTGATTCCTGAGGTGACGATACTAGACCTCAGAAGCTACGTCGGGTTTCCTAGGGTCTACGTGGCTCCTAGAAGCTGCTTCTTTACTCCCAGAAACCTTTCAACGGCCTCCGGGAGCAAAAAGACTCCCAGGGCCAAAGCAGGTGTCCCTACTACTGATAGAGCCGTCAATAGGAATTCAGGTATCGTGGTAGTGATGGTGGATAGTCTTACAAGCTACGTACGATTTGCTGGTGCTATGGTATTTCCAGAGTCATCGTTTTGAAGTTTTACAACACCAGGTTTGATGGCCTTTAACACAGAGCTTCTGAGATCATTGGTCGACGGCCTCGCAAAACGCGTCCGGTTCTTGGGAGTGAAACAGCTCCTGGAATCACCCTGAACTCCCAGGTCTGGTCGCTGCACGTACCACACTAGTGTACGCAGGTAGTATCTGGTATTGCTGGTCGCGATGGAATTGTGATACTTGCAGGGGGGCCACGCCGAGTGGTGACCAGCCTGTGCGCCTGAACCCCGCCCTCTTATCGCATCCGGATTCATCAACGTAGACTAGATGATAAGATTGAAAATCCGACAAATTATGGAGATATAGTTCTCGCAGGTCGGCATTACGCTCCTTTGCATGTTGCCGGGCCGTCTTTTTGGACCAACCTGTGGCGACAAGGGCTCTTCTAATGCTAGAGGTTGTGATTATGGTGTGGAACTCATCCTAGAGGAAGACAGCCATCTCGTCGAGGTATAAGCCCGGTTTTTCCGACAGGTGGTCGCAGAGCGCGTCGATCATAAGCGGCGTTACGGTTGACGTCCGACCTATACGAGTTGGGGGTGCGTGGACGCTGCCAAACTGCCGTAAATTTCTGCGGATATTTATTATCGTGACCTTGCTGCATTCGGCTTCTTCGGCCATTTGAGTTGTGGTTAGTGACTGGCACTCTATCATGTCACGGATGAGATGCAGCTTTGAGGGGAGAAGTCTTGGGGCCATATTGCAAGCCTAGTTGGTGTATGATGTCGCTCAAGTGTAATTTACAGGGGAGGAAGCCTGCTGCTTAGGGAGAGAAGAGGGGTCGAGTGGTTTCGAATGTATAGCAGTTTCCTGTAATTTACAGAGGACAAGGTCACGCCTGCGTCATGTAAAATACAGATTCTATTTTAAGAACCAGGGGATCGACGGGATTACCATATCTGGATTAGCGTGTTTGAAAGTAGGGTTTGGGAATTAAAGTCGAAGAGTGTGGAGGTAAATCTGATTTCGAATACTACTGTACGTGATTTTCCCAAATAGCAGCCATGCATCATTGGCGAATACAAGCAGAGGCAACATTCGTGCTACTGCTTTGGCTGCACCGTAGTGAAGCCTAGGCGATCCGTGGTATATCTACCTTGTCCATACTGCTAGGGGTAGATAAAGCCGAGAAACATGAACTTAATGATATCCTATATTCCGCAAGCCCGACGATATCATTTCAAAAGATCTGAAAAGAAGACGTGGAAAGTATTTCTCCATATGGGCGGGGCGGGTTCATCTCTTAAGAAGCCCCATAATTCTCTGTGATGGTTACTAAAGACAATTATGTAGAAACAAGGGACTATTATAGGGGAAGCTTACTCCAAAGATGTGACTCCCAGGAAAATGGAATTGTTGTTCCCGCTACCAGTAGCCTCAGAAAGCAATACCGATACAGATGTCCCTCATATGTGAAGAATAATTCCAATGTGGTCCACTAGGAAGTAGGAAGAAGGGAGCTGCTTTCCCGAATCCGTATATGTATCCACCTTTGCCTTTCCCTTAGTATACTGCTTATCTCTAACAACAAATAGAAAAGCCTCCCCAGGAATATTGCTTGAGTATGGTTTATGACCGACGAAAGCGACGAATCTACCTCCCCCCTCCCGCCCAACCCGTCCCTTATCGAATCACGGCTTAATGCAACCAACAATTTGACTTCGGTTTTAGAATTAGATTCGCCACCAATCAGCCCGTTCATCACTAGCGTTCATCATGGGTTCGGATGATGAGCCTCAATGTGACCCGTTCGCTGCCCGCGGGCAGTGACCCAATTCCTTATGGCTTCCGTGCTCCGACAGGTATGCTCACGCTCGGTTTGTCCAAGGTATAATGTGACCGAATACGGCAAAGATGTGTTCGCAGCAACAGGTTTCATAGTGACCGGTGTGAGGTCGCCGTGGCAGAGTATCGCCTGTCGAAGATGATCAACACAATGGTCAACGTGTATACGGCGATACTCTGGTGGGAGAGCCATGGAGTCTGAGTAATATTCCAAGTCTAAATGTTTTCGTATAGCATTCAAACAATGGAGACTGTGAAGCACGTCAGGGCCGCCGTAGAAACCTTCTTTGGCTATTCGCTCATTGCTATGCATCTTCGTGAGCGCTGGGAGCTCGGGGTCTTGGTTCAGTAGTGATACTTCAGAGTCTTCTAAGCGAAAGTATCGACCTATAGAGCCATTAGAACGACAGTGGAATGAATAATATCGTGAGTACGAACCGCTAATAAGCTTATTCTAGTTCTTATCGATCTTGGGGCTAGGAAGGCCGGCATACTGCAGTTCATCCGGATTGATTGAAGAGTAGAGATTGCTATTTGAGTCGTCTCGGACCCCGTTCGTGAATCGTCTTTTCTCTAGTCTTAATAGTGGTTCTGGCATATCTAAAAGGATTCGGTTGTTAGGGACTTTTTTTCCGCATAATACGCGCCATCCGCACAAACCTGAATCTGGCATCGCCTATATTGAAATTTTATCTTCACAATTACATCCACACCGAGGGAATTTGCTAATGAGCAGGGTCAATAATACAAACGTGACTAACGACCAAGCATTTGGAGAGAATGCTCGCGTGAGCAGCGTCGACCTAGATGGTCTCTGTGTGGCAATATCTTCAACTAGCTCGGCATCTGGTTCATGTTCTAGGCCGACATACGCAGGATCACTCTAGGGTAGGTTCAAACGCTGCATAATAAAGTTCTCGAAGAAGAAAAGAGTACTAAAGGATGAGCTTAAGTTAATGTAACCCAATATTTGCAAGCCTTGCTAGACAATCTTCAGAGAAAATTTATTAATCTCGGGTAATTCCTGTCGAACAATATCCAGCAATTCGTCTATTCACTAAGTGTGACCCTAACCAAGCAAGAGGAAATTACTCTTCGCGGCAAACTATAGAGCGCCGGTGTAAAACTAATCAATATTCGTAATCTGCGCTGTATTCTAGATATGAGAGCAATTCACGTAAGGTTGAGTTAAATTGTGATGATGCACGGAATGGGCTACTGTAAGGGTATCATCAATAAAACATATTATGTTGAAATCTATTATTACTGTTGAACATGAGCATTATAAGCATTTTAACGCAGTTCTGCTTGTTGGTCAAGTGATTATGGGACAGACCGTGCATTTAGTTGTAGGTGACGTTTACTTAAGATTTTCAATAATACCGGATCATTCACAGTCTGGCTCTTTGAGACGGTCAACAATCTGAATAATCTTTCTTTTGGTACTGTGGAATATACTGATAGGGTGCTATTTATAAACAAAGCAAGACTTTATCTAAGCCAAACTGTATAATGCAATTTTATGATGAGCTATTATGGGGACGGTGCGTGAGCATTATGAAGTTTGAACGTTAAGTTGAATATTCAAGGATGGTATTGAATAGATCCGTAGGTATCTCGTGTTGGATTTGATCTCGTATCTGATCGACCTTATTGGTGAACTGTCTCTAGGTAAATAGCCTCGATACTAGGAGAGTAAATAAAGAACGGGAGGTTAATTAGACCAGAATTCTGGTGAAACAAGGCTGATATTTGCGCTCCCGTTGTAAGCTGTCATACGAACGGAGCCATATAAGATGTCATCAAGAGCCTAATGCTTTATCCACTTTATTCTTCACTTAACAACAATTCTTCTTAGTGTCCGGTATTGATATAGTGAGTGATTTTATTCCCGACGTATCCTGTGTGTCGACTCTCGCTAACTTATACCACCTTCCTTCGAGTTTGAAATGCAACTCCGCGCTCTTACTGTTTGCTTTGCTATGACTGCGTCAGCGCTTCCGTTGGCGTCTGTCAAATCCTATGTAGTAAATGCGGATGTTGTGAAAAGTATCGATGGGAGCTTGACTTCTATCGTTATTGCCCGGCGTGTTGATGAAGGCGATATACCTATCGGTATCGCTAAACGTGGAAGCCAGGCAGATGCTTCTATCGATATTGCCCGGCGTGGTGATATGAGCGACCCGTCTATTGATATCGCTAAACGCGGAAGCGAGGTAGATGCTTCTATCGACATTGCCCGGCGTGGTGATATGAGCGACCCGTCTATTGATATCGCTAAACGCGGAAGCGAGGCAGATGCTTCTATCGACATTGCCTGGCGTGGTGATATGAGCGACCCGTCTATTGATATCGCTAAACGCGGAAGCGAGGCAGATGCTTCTATCGACATTGCTCGGCGTGCCGAACAGACTAAGCCCTCCGTTGATATCGCGTGATGGATCCACAAATACTACCGCTCAATTTAACGGCTAGGCGTTCGAAATTGACTATCTGTAGCTGGTCTCTAAGCCATAGCAATAGCTACTTCTCGATTAGCCTACCAAATATTCGATGGAAATGGTTGCGGCATTCTTTTGTGTACCTAGATTGATCTCTTAGAATCAGTTTCAATTATTACTTGGAATTACCCGGCATATACAATAGCGTGTGTTAAGCAAAAGTGCGCAAAGACGCTAATCGAGTAGCTTAGATTAATTATAACTACAGACGCTTGCTCGTTTCGTAAGGTACTCTGCGTATTTGTTCTGACCTTAGCATGCTTATGTGACTAGATTATCAGGAACTATATCATATAAACACGAGCTCTAATTAGTCGTGTTCTCGGGCGTCCGATTATAGAACGTTTCATGATATAACCTGTGTAATTGCTAGTGTATATCTAGTACTGATGGGAAGAATATATTTCAGGTAAAACTGGCATAGTAATTTCCCAAACTACTGACTTTCAGCTTGTTCTATGATTAGTAGTTAGATTATTTGTCTAATACAGAATTGCCCCAATCATTTCTCTCCGGTGGCTTTCACTGCCTAAGGGACAAAGCTTACTGCACCACTAACTGAACATTTCATACGTTCGAGCGGCACTTTATTATATGCTTTTAAACCTGGTAGGGGTGATTCTGAAGAGATGTTGCCTGACCATAGTGTTACAATGGAGGGGAACTCTGTCAAATTCGACCATTGCAAATCGGAATTGGGGGCGGTATGCTAGCTTCACTATTTGGTCAAGCTAGGGACAAGAAATAGTTTGCGAACTGGAAAGAACGCAAATTGATATATCTATTAGTTGAGCGAGCTAAATTAATCATCTTCTACGTAGATACATTAATACTATATAGCCAACATCACCGCGATCGCTAAAACCTAACCACCTATAGTAGCCCCTAAGGACTTCGTTAGCGTAAAAATGTGGAAAACGGATATGTTGAAATATCCTATTCTAATTGCCACATAACATTTACTCTAAGTACTTATGACTTAGCTATGCTACTTTTAGTACTCAACGTAGGCTGTACTTTAACGTCACAGTCAATTTATGGCTGAACAAATGAACACTATACACACCTATTATTATTGCGGCGGTTGCGAAGGAGCTTTTGTTAGTAAGCATTAGAGGATTAGGTTGCGTTGTCCACGGAGGGAGTAGAAAACTAATAGATTAGTCCCTATAACCTAGTCAATCGCCCTAGGAAAAAAGGCCCCACCTGATTGTCAATCGAAATGGATAAAGATGTTTGCTGAGGCCCAATGAAACAAATAGAAGACTGTTCCGAGGCCCTCTTCGACGTGCTATATAATAGGACTTTGCCCCGCATTAGCTTTGCAGACGTGTAATTGCTAGTTCTCGGTTATCTTGGGGCGTAAGCGCAGAAATCTTGTTATGCGCATATATTTATACAAAAATTCAGAGAGTATCTTTGGACAGTGGCCTAGAAAACGGCTTACGTTTAAGATAGACGGGCGCCCGTTAATATCAAGCTATGGCGATATTCACACTATCTTGGCTGCTCGGGTTTTAGGACAAAGTATATCCGTCGGCGCTTCTTCTGTCTACATGGGCGCGAGCAGCCTAATGCTCCTTATCTGTAGGCTGGGCACTTTTCTGCTTTTTCTGCCTTTCCTACGCGGGTAACGCCCACTTCACCATATACTTATACCTTAGGAGTTGGTCCGCTATAGGTCGTTCCGCCGGCTTAAACGCTATCATAGCTCTTAGCAAGTCATCTAACGTATGTAGTTCCCCGCCCGTAACGTCCCATTCGTACGTCTGCTCTGTCTCACCACGGCCTATGTCCTAGAGGCGCTGGCGTAGACGCCGGAAAACGGGAGTGCCGATACGGCGGAAGTCATCGACCTATGACCTATCCTCCTTGAAGAATTCGGAACGTTTATGCCAAGAGTTCCACTATCTCTAGGGCGGTTGGCCTAGCGTATTGATTATTTCGGCGACAATATCATCTCGGTCCTAGGAAAATGTTTCGAAGAGTGGACGCTCGCCTAAGACCTCGTATAAGTTGACACCTAGGGTCTATATATTAGCTGCGGTGGGCTGGATAATGGGTTCGTCGAAAAAGTCTTCTGGTGGAGAGTAGAGAGCTGGGGTATAGAGAGTCGGTGTGGGTGTGTCTGCCACAATAAAGGACGTTCCGTAGTCCGAGATGATGATTTCCGGATTATGCACCTCGTTGGCAGGCATGCTTAAAACCATGGAATAGATGGTATGCGGCGGTGCGTGGGGTTCACTAGGCTTCCTATCTACTCGGCGGATAGGAACCTCGTAGGGTTTACCGAAGCGCTTGTATAGCTTAGCTATGCTTAGGCCGTCAAAGTTCGGTACGCGTAAGAGAAAGTTGCGTAAGTGGAGATCTGCCTGCGGTTAGTATGCGGCATTAGTAAACGTATATGCACAGCCTAATTATCCTTACCTCCGTGGCATATGCCGTTTGCATACAAGTAAGACAACCCTAAGAGGAGCTGCGCGGCAGTGGATCTAGCAGCGTCCGGTGGAAACATGAAATTTATGCTGTCCTCCTTGGACTAGGCAATACTACCACTAGCAGGCTCTCCGACTAAGCACCGATGATGTCCGTTTGGACTATGAAACGAGAATTGGTCTAGTAGCGGCGGGATGAATCGCTTTCTAGGATGAGTACGATCACACTTCGTTAGGTAATGCAGGATTTCCCCCTCGTGACTATCTGTCGATGCTCTCGTAGTTAGTATCTTTAGCGATACGTAGCGCCCGCGTTGCTGATCCCGGGCTAGCTAAATCGTTGAATATCCACCAAAATTAAGCTTGTGAACGACGGTGTAGCGGCCACTACAAAAAGTATCTCCGATGAGAGTTAGGTGGTATCCACCGGGCACATAGTCCTCGAAATATTCAATATCTACCTTAGGATGGTATATATCTTCTATTGGTAGAGCTGACGAGTTAGCTATGGCATAAAGGCATCGAAAAGGGTGTGGCGACGGAAAGGCTTTGTGATAATGGCTGATCTTTGGTGTGAATGGAAATTGGCGCCTGAAGATATTCTGATTTCGTCGACGAAGTATTGCGAGCTGGCAGAATGAGCGAGAGAGTCTCTAGCCAGGGTTTATGTTTATGTTCTTGTCCTTAGGAGAGTTAATCGAGTGACGTGCTGTTACTGGTAGTACTGAAAGGCGGTGTGGGACGGATGGCCTCGCTGCTAAGGCGGCTAAAACTCTCGATTATCTGCTTCGCCTCCTCCGAGTGGACTGCTTCACCGTGGCACCTGCATGGCTAACATTGAATTCTCTGATTGATTAGCTGTAGCTAGGCCTTGTCGTAAGCGGAGGCGGCTAATGATAGGCCAAACCTGCTCCTCCTCACCGATCCTTGTCGACTCTGAAACTCTACTACGTAGTAATCCCTAGTAGGAGTATAGCGTAGATGATATATCTTAAGCCAAAAGAAAGTATTAGCGGCTAAGAAAACAACAAACCTGAACGTTAGAGAGGTCTGAATGGCTTATAAAGGGATATGTTGACTGCTCTATCTTCTGTCCTATCATTTCTCTATACTTCTATATCTTACCTCTTCTTGGGCATATCCTTCCGTATAAAAATTTGGCCCCGTTAGTCACACTGCTGCTATGGCTATATAGACAATCGAGTATATCTGGAAGATCGCACGGCCAAAGAATGAAGCTATTGCTCGGGCACTGATGTATGCCGCTTATACGACGGCGATTTAGATAGACCCTAACACAACGAGAGTCTTGATTCGGTAAAGTTAACTCTTTTTGGTGTCTGATAATCCGGCTGACATGCCGGGCTTTTAGGTCTTATATTTATCCCACGACTCGAACCGGAGGCGTTTACGTTAAGGACAAATCATATATCACGGTGTCCGTGAAGAATCTATAGACGATATAATTAGGACAACACTAGTTAAGCTATGGCTACACACCACACTTAAACTCTTTCGACGTAAATAGAGTCTCTCCGAGCAGCATTATCAAAAGCGACAGCACGGGTGCGTTATGGCCAGCTTCGATAGAAACGAGACCAAAAGAGTCTTTCTTAGGACCACCTGCTCTTCTTGGTCCGAAAAGTGCATTTATCGTTTGGCCTTCCGAAGAAACGGGTGAATGAAACCATGATCGAGAGGGTCGACGCTTCTCGGCTTAGAGGGGCTATACTGTATTGAGTTATCAGCATGCTAGGTTGGTTTCATAACCAAGTAGCTGTGCTTAGCAGAATAAACCTGACCTCCTACTTAGTATGTACTGTGGTATATTCGTGGGGCTTATCCCCTCTCTCTCACTTAGATAGTCTTTCCCTTCTGCATCCATTTACACATCCATATGCACTCGCTTCTCCTCTTCCGTACAGCTACCTCCGTACACGATAACGCAAGATATGTCCTTTTAAGCGCCTGTTCCGCTAGAACAACTTTGTATATTGGGTATAACCTAACCCTACCACCCTGTAGGAATTACAGCCAATCACTCCCTATAGAAGCCCTAGACATTGCGACTGCGATGTTGAAAGGGAGGTACGTGATAGACTAAAATGCTACATCCTCGTATTTTACGTAACTAGGTTTCGGTTTCTGACGCGCGGAGGCCTGCCTAGCGCCTAGCCTATGTCGGGTTGTTTGGCTCCGGGATAAACGTCGAAATCAACAGAATCGAATGTTTGTATGGTATCGTCGAGTGTATATACAAAAGAATTTCCTTTTGGATCTCTAGGTCTTTACTGACCTGAGCCTACGAAGTGTATAAAAGTTTGGGGTTGGATAAGTATTAGAGAAACCTGTAAATCAGAATCCCTAGAGTTAATAAGCGCTGTACTATAGTACTTGGGTTCGTAAACCTACACCGATTTCTTTTGCTCGCTTCCTATCTGAGGCCCTATATTGAACGCCTTAAAATCGAACTTAGGCCTGCTATGTCATCAATTAGCCAGAGCAGGGCCAATCGTAGATTTTCTTACAATGGCAACATAAAATTATATCTTATGGTTTTACCGTTGGATGATAAACCTCAATAGCGACTGTACTACATGGCGGCATAATACTACGGCCCTCGATTTAGTGTAGCTTGTTTAATACTTATCCGCGCTAAGGCTTTAGCGATGGGGCTAGCAAGAATTACTTAGTGTGCATTAGTTAAGCCAATTTCAAGAATCACTATAGCTCGTTTTTTGTTGGACATTAACTTCTGTCCGTTGCGCCGGGCAAAATCTTAGAAAACTCTAACGAGCAAAGTTGCTGCTGCAAAATCACACCATAAATTGGCTATTTTGTATGTTAAGACTATAATGTCGTCGGGTTTGCTTGCTATTATTGTATAGAACGCTGTTAATATAAGGGATGTTAAGTATGTGGATGACATATTTCGCTTGACTATGCAGCCTATCAGGCGTATAATGTATATGTGTTGTATTTCATGTCGGTACTGCCGTTTGCTTTACTTGGAGTAAATTTATTTGAGTACCTCTATCATAGAAAAAATGAAAAAAATGAAAAGACTAAAGAAAGGAATTAAAAGTTTACCCTCGCGGAAATTTGACTAAGGTCGCGCTCGTAGTCGTCGAGCTTTAGATGAATACACCGCAAACCAGGGACGGTTTGATGGTTGCAAGGAGTTAAATAGGCCTCCTCGTAGTTGGTGAATTATGGTGAACATTTATAGCAAGCTAGTCGGAGGTTTTTAATCTAAAATTGTCTTTTCATCGCGAACAATTATTCGTCTCCACTTCTAGCGCAAACATTTCTAGACAGGGACCTACGTCGTTACCAGCAAACCTACCAAGTAGCCTGGTATATATGGCCACAAAAGACTGTTTCCCCTTTTATCTATTCTAGTTATAAACGTCTACCGCGAAAACTCTACGGCAGTTATATCTTTCTCACTAAAACAGTCACCACTTAAGTTATCAACTTCGCAAAGGCACGATATTGTCGCAAACAAACACGCTATATTCTTCGATTCCGTCCACCCACTTTATGATGGAGAGCATTGAGGAAGAATTCGTCTATTCCCGATATAGCTAGGGATACTCTACGGATACGGATACCATCCGTGAACATAAGTATCCACTACTCAATGGTATAGCCTAGCATATGATATTACTTGATTCATCTGTACTAACTACCCTTTTTCACGGGTTATAGGAACAACTTATCTAGACCACGCCGGAACAACACTCTATGCCAAATCATTTATCGAGTTATTCTCGGATGATATGATATCCAGTCTCTTCGGAAATCCCCATTCGATGTCTGTATTATCACGACTGTCTATAGAGCGGATAGAAGACGTGCGACTCCGAGTCCTCTAGTTCTTTAATGCAAGCCCCGATGAGTTTGATATGGTTTTTGTGGCAAATGCGACAGTAGCTATTAAGTTGATTGGAGAATCTTTTCGAGATGACCCTCGGGGATTTTGGTATAGGTACCACGTTGATGCCTACACTAGCGTGGTTGGTGTTCGGGAACTCGCGGATATAGGCTATCAATGTTTCGATGATACCGATATAGACGCTTAGATCTCTGAGCTAGACATAGCTTAGTCGAAAATTCCTAAGCTATTTGCCTTTCTAGCTTAATCAAACATAAACGGTCGACGTCTCCCACTTTAGTGGTGCGGGCAAATCCGTTCCGCTGCTAACGAAGGAAGGAATATATTCACCTTGCTTAATGCCGCCTCGTTTCTATTAACTGCTCCTCTTAACCTAAGTGATGTAGCTACCGCTCCGGATTTTACGGCGCTTAGCTTTTACAAAATCTTTGGATTCCCTGATTTAGGGGCTTTGGTTGTCCGGAAAAGCACTATATCCGTACTTAAGCGACGAAAGTTTTTCGGCGGGGGTACCGTGGATATGGTGATAGCGTCCGGAGCACAATAGCATACCAAAAAAGAAACCTCAATCCATGAGCGGCTTAAGGATAGCACCCTTCTATTTCACAGCATTATTGCACTTGATACCGCCCTAAAGACGCACAAACGTCTATATGGGTTAATGACGAATATTTCTTCCTATACTAGGTTCCTCGCTTAGAGAGTCTATGATCGACTCTCTGCATTGAGACACTTTAATAGCATAAAGGTCTATGAGGTTTACCAATCGAGTTATAGGAACCTAACCCTCTAAGGCCTAATTATCGCTTTTAATATAAGGAACAGTCACGGCGAGTGGATCCCTAAGTCCGAGGTAGAAAAACTGGCAACGGCATATAATATCTAACTACGTTCTGGTTCTGTCTGCAACCCTAGAGGAACGGCCATGTCTCTTAGATAGGAAGGAGAAGAGCTACGTCGCTATTATGCCACTAGTTTACGCTGCGGTGATGACTATGATATATTAGATGGCCGACTAACTAGCATTTTGCGTGTTAGTCTAGGAGCAATAAGCAATCTGAAGGATATAGACTCACTGACAGAATTCGTCGAGGAGTTTTATATAGAGAAAGTCCCTCCTTTGGTGTTATTGAGTCCTCCGATAGATGCAAGCAATACAATCGCCCCTTAGTTTTATGTTGAGAGTCTAACGATATTTCCCATCAAAGGCTGTGGCCCGTTCAAGATTCCTAAAGGCAAGCGTTAGGAGGTCAAAAGAGAAGGGCTTGCATAGGACCGAGAATGGTACCTCGTTCATCAGGTGACCGGCTTTCCTATAAAGTAGAAAGAATATCCTTAGATGGCGTCTATATATCTATCTGTTGATCTAGAACGCGGCATACTCCGTATCACCTATAACCCTAAGGCCATAGATGGTCTATTCAGCCTCGAAATTCCGCTTATTTAGGATGCTAAAAGCACGAGTGTTATAAGTTCTCTAGTGCGCTCGAGTTGTCGAAAAAGAGTACCTAGTGCCTACGAGCCTAGCTTATGCCTTCGTGCCTACGCCTCGCTAGTGGTCTCGGCATTCTTTATAGAGCTCTTAGGTGTAGCTTGTACTCTCGCGCGGTTCTCTTCACTTAATGCAGAACTCAATATAAAACCATCAAACCTCGCTAGTATCTAGAAGAATCGGTTCCGGAGGCTTGCTACCTTAGATTCCTCTTCGCGTGCGGACCGAATACCGCGCCAAAATTGCCAAAAATACGTGCTCGTATCAAACGAAATGTCCGTTTTAATCGTATCTAGATTATTAGTCAACTATCTCAACAAAATAATTAGAGCAAACACTAAGCCTACCTCTGGCGTGAGCAAAGCTATTAGTGTAGATTTGTTTACGAGCAACATCGTTGTTGCTGAGCGGGCCTGTCAAGCAGCTCGTGCTGAATGCCCCTACGCCGAAGACCACTGGTCATCTATTCGTATTGGGCAAGACTAACTCCTCTTAGATACCGTTAACCCTTGCTAGCGCTGTTAGATGCTATGCGTTGACCAGCCTACGGGCGTAAGACGCAACGAAATATTTGCTGCGCTGCCTAAGATGCGAAAAGTCGATGGTAGAGTTCAATTTGGTAGATACGCGGTAATGTCAACAAAGGAAGGCGAGAACATTGGGAAGGGCCCGGGTAGCAGGACAATTATAGTGGGAGATGTGGTGTTACCAATAGAGCAGAACCACTGAGCGCCACCATAAGGAGCTTCCTCTATTTGTATCTTTAGTCTTTTTAGTTCGGAGACATATATTAGAACATTGGTCACTAGTATTTAAGGAATTCTGCGAAATAGTTGTGTGTATTTGCTTTGACCTTGTTATATTTCGAAGATTCCTACTGATGATAGGCAATGTGGTCCGCATTCAAGGATAATTGCTATTGTATATATACTTCGCGAAAAGGCTAACAGAGACTGTTATGTATCCGGGAGTTTATAGTAGGTAATAATGGCTACCTATGTCTAAGATATCTCTTATCGCCCCAATATAGCCGAACGCAATAGATAAGATCAGGGTACAGTCACTCCTTAAAATCGGCTTAGCCAATACACACTAAGTCTTTTTTAGCCCCACCACTAAGGCGTTAGCCTAGAGAAAGTAGTGAGCAAGCCGCATCAAAGTGAGGCCGCAGTACTATGCCATCTGTGTTCCGCCGCTACAGTCAGTCGCGAAATCGGCTTGACCGATACAGACTGAGTAACTCTTCCCTGGGCCCGCCGCCAAGAGTTTAGCGTAGTCTAGGGGTCGGCACGAATACATATTCGTAACATTTTGAGATATTCGCATTCGCATTCGTAGATCACAGACCTCTACGAATATTCGTATTCGCAAGGCCAATATTCGTACGAATATTCGTACAAATATTGCCCCGTCACCAAAACCAACTCCCACCCAATAGGAAAAAGTATATCACGTGCAGTTTGTTTATCCAAGTGACAAGTCGCGCCCGAATCTGACAAGTTTATTTCAAGGACGTGTTTCGATGACGGTAATAGAGCTCAGAATGTCTGGTGCTGAATTGCAAGCTTCAAACAATGATGGCTCCGGCAGCTCATCTGTCGAATTGCCACCACGCCCCCAACGGTCTCAGAGAATAGACTACCACTTCTTAAATGGTGGAAGTGACGAAGACGATATTGAAGATCATATCAGAAAGAAACCCCGACTGGATTCGCCACCTGGTCGCTTAGAATCGATTGGTCCTGAAGACTCCGCCAGCCAGCTGCATCTCAATCTACCTACTCCTCCGGAATCTGTTCCACCAGGGGGCTCTAGATGCTTTACAGAAGCCATACGGCCATACAAATCGCACAGAAAAGCCCGCATTAAGCCACTGAATCAATGGCTTTGGAATCAATTTCGAGTTAGTCCTCTTCCGGGCAAGCAATGGCGGCCCAGGCGAAGCCGACAGCTGCTTGAGGATCGAGAGATCCAATGCATTCATTGTGGCTGGAAAACCACAGATTCGGCAAGGGCAACATCTACGACCAACATGAAGACGCACCTAGCCAAACACAACATTTTCGAAAAGTCCGGTCCAGAGGACCTGGGCGAGGGTTCCAGCGAGACGAAACAGCACTCAATTGCTTCAATATTCCAGTCCCGAGCCGAGCATGATACTAGAGCCCTGTTGGAACAGAACATACTTCGATGGGTTGTGACAGATGATGTGGCATTTACGGCAATTGAGTCCCCTGCGTTCCAACAGATATTCAAGGACTTGCCGGACGCTCCTCTTCCTTTCTCTTCTCGAACAGTTGCCCGCCGCATTGACGCAGATTTTGATCGCTGTCGGATCCAGTTGATCGATGAACTAGCACGGACATGCTCCACAATTGCGCTTTCCTTGGATGTCTGGACAAGCAAGAACCATAAAGCCATTCTGGGAGTTATCGGTCACTGGGTGTCCACCGACTTCAAATATCAAGAACGAGTCCTGGAGTTCAGCGAACTTGCTGGATCCCACAGTGGAGAAAATATGGCGGAGACTCTGCAGAAGATGCTTGTCGAGCTTCGGATTGAGGAGAAGCTGCTCACAATCACAGCTGATAATGCGTCGAATAATGAAACGCTGGTGTCTGAGCTGTATTTTCACCTGTTGGAAAAGTACAACTCGGAGGATTCCAAATTGCCCGATAAAGGACGTCTCCGATTTCAAGGTATTGACAGCTACATCCGGTGCCTTGCACATGTCCTCAATCTCATTGTCCGCGACATCCTCTCGAGGATGAAATCTGGAGATCACAAGTCTGCCATTGAAGCCTGTGATCTCTTACAGGGAAATAAGAAAATCGGACGGCAGTCTGCGTTGGCCCGGATTCGGATCATGACTCTCTGGATATTGAGGACACCTCAACGACGACAGCAGTGGAAAGTGACTTGCCAAGCAAATGGCTTGAACGACAAGTTCATCGAGTATGACGTGGAAACCCGCTGGAACTCCACATACCGTATGGTCCAGGGAGCCTTGCAAGCCAAAGCACAGATCCGGATGTGGATAGAGCATCAGAACCAGTTTCCGCCATTTTCAGCTGACGACTGGTTGCAGCTGGAACAGCTCGAAATGATCCTCTCCAAGTTTGATGAGTTCACTCAACTGGTTTCCCGGCGGAAATCCCAGATCAGCCTAGCCATTCCCATCTATTACGAACTGAATGACATGCTCGAAGATGCAGCTTCTGCACAAGGCGACTTTTCGGGGCTTAGCTCTGACATTACCTCCGCCATCTCCGCGGGGATGAAGAAATACAAGAAATATTATGAACTAATGGACGCCCAAGATGCTTATTATATAGCTCTTGTCCTTGACCCACGCTTCAAAACCCTCTTATTGGATAAGGAGCTCGGGCAGGTGACGGCGCCAAAGGTTATTCGATCCATCAAGGATACCTTGCATGAGCAATACCCATCGAAATCATCACTGGAGCAATCAACGTCACAGATTAATCAGGACAACAAGCGGCAAAGTCTGGAGGCTCGTGTTCTGCAGAAGCTGCAACCACAAGTGATCCAGCGTTCAGATATTGACCGCTACTTTGAGGAAGGTGTGGTGACTGTTGATGAATCTGTAACAAAGGATGAAGATTGGTTATTTGGCTGGTGGAGGACGCACAAGGATGAGTATCCGCGGATGGCAGCTGCAGCCAGGGATTACCTTGCCATTCCGGCGGCTGAAGTCGCAGTAGAGAGGTTGTTTAGCCGTGGTAGGGATCTGTTAGGGGTACGTCGACATTCTCTAAAAGGTGAGACAATGCGGAAAGTGATGCTGTTGAGAGATATATATATAGTTCAGAGAACACCCAGTGAAAAATCCTAGAGCGTCTTGCTGGTATTCCCAACCAGCCGCTGCTTTGCTTCGAAGGATATAGTAGTATAAAGCCTCTGTGGATCATTGTTCGCAAGGCACGGAACATCAAGTGAAGTCTTGTCACTTGGGCTGTGACTGCTCACTAGTTATTCTTTTGCCACGTGACCGAACTTGCGAATATTCGCGGCGAATAGAAAATTTATTCGCATTCGCATTCGTCGTGCAAAATGTCTGCGAATACGAATGCGAATTGCGAATATTCGTAACGAATACGAATATATTCGTTATTCGTGCCGACCCCTAGCGTAGTCATTTGCTTGACCAAGCCGTATCAAAGTGAGGGCGGCAGTACTATGCCATATGTATTCTGCCGCTATATACAGTGAAGTGCAAATCCAGTTTCACCGCCTCACTCTCTCTTTATCTCGGCCCCACTGCCAAGGCGCTAGTCAGGAGAATGAGTGCGGATTAGAGGAACGAGTAGCATCTTCTTAGAAGGCATAGTTCTAGATAAATTCTGTCCGTCTCCCAAGTTTTTGGTTTGTAAAGATACTTAAAATATAGGAATTCAGAGAACGAAAATTAATTAATATTCGTTATTTCTGGAATCCCAAAAAGGAAATCTGACCTGACGGATGTCCTAAGGCAAGTATGTTCGACTTGGCCGTTGAACAAGAATGCCTAGCTTCGGGAGGGAGCCATAGGGCTTGTTGCCCATTTACAGCTATCCATTCTCTCTGTAGAGATATGTGTGAGTCCATATTTAGTGAGTCAGCGATAGGCTTGCCACAACTGAATTGGACCTTGAATAATCCTACGTTAGTAGAGATGTAAGAGCCATCTTGCGAAAATTCCAGCTTCGTGACAAGTCCCTGGGTGCTCAAGGATTCCTTCAGAGCACCCGTGGCTGGATCCCAGAGCCCTACTGTCTTATCATTGGAGCCGGACGCCAGCAGTCGCCCATCGGGTGAGAAGGCTATAGAGTGAACCGAGCTTGTATGGCCCTTGAGCGTCTCCTGGAGAGCGCCCGTGGCTGGATCCCAGAGCCGTACTGTCGAATCGTACGAGCCCGACGCCAGCAATCGCCCATCGGGTGAGAAGGCCACGGATGGAACCAAGTTTGTATGGCCCTCGAGCGTCTGCTGGAGAGCGCCCGTGGCTGGATCCCAGAGCCGTACTGTCTTATCGCCGGAGCCGGACGCCAGCAGCCGGCTATTAGGTGAGAAGGCCACAGACAGAACCCAGTCAGTATGGCCCTTAAGCATCTGCTGGAGAGCACCCGTGGCTGGATCCCAGAGCCCTACTGTCTTATCATCAGAGCCGGACGCCAGCAGTCGCCCATCGAGTGAGAAGGCTATGGAGTGAACCCAACTTATATGGCCCTCAAGCATCTGCTGGGGAGCGCCAGTGGCTAGATCCCAGAGCCGTACTGTCTTATCCGACGAGCCAGACGCCAGCAGCCGGCCATTGGGTGAGAAGGCCACGGACCGAACCCAGCGCGTATGGCCCTCAAGCATCTGCTGGCGAGCGCCCGTGGCTAGATCCCAGAGCCGTACTGTCTTATCCGACGAGCCAGACGCCAGCAGTCGCCCATCGGGTGAGAACGCTATGGAGTGAACCCAGTTAGTATGGCCCTTGAGCATCTGCTGGAGAGCACCCGTAGCTAGATCCCAGAGCCCTACTGTCTTATCGTCAGAGCCGGACGCCAGCAGTCGCCCATCGGGTGAGAAGCCTATAGAGTGAACCGAGCTTGTATGGCCCTTGAGCGTCTGCTGGAGAGCACCCGTGGCTGGGTCCCAGAGCCGTACAGTCGCATCGTACGAGCCCGACGCCAGCAGTCGCCCATCGGGTGAGAAGGCCACGGATGGAACCCAGCTTATATGGCCCTTAAGCATCTGCTGAAGAGCGCCCGTGGCTGGATCCCAGAGCCGTACTGTCTTATCCGACGAGCCAGACGCCAGCAGTCGCCCATCGGGTGAGAAGGCTATGGAGTGAACTGAGCTTGTATGGCCCTTGAGCGTCTGCTGGAGAGCACCCGTGGCTGGATCCCAGAGCCCTACTGTCTTATCATCAGAGCCGGACGCCAGCAGTCGCCCATCGGGTGAGAAGGCTATGGAGTGAACCGAGCTTGTATGGCCCTTAAGCATCTGCTGGAGAGCACCCGTGGCTGGATCCCAGAGCCGTACTGTCGTATCGTCAGAGCCCGACGCCAGCAGTCGCCCATCGGGTGAGAAGGCCATGGAGTGAACCCAGCCTGTATGGCCCTCGAGCGTCTGCAGTTCTGCGCTCCAGTTATCATGAACTTGTGGGAAGCGGCAGACCCAATCAGGAAGCTCTGATTGGAACTGCTCGCGAATTATTGCCGTTCGAGGTGCAAATACCAACCCTGCATAATAAATTTGAAGTGGCGCTTCATCGGCTATCTGTCGGTTTTTCAGAACAAACCGCTTTGCATCATGTAGAAAGGCGGCCAGAGTAGAATTTCCATTACGGTCCTATCCTTATTAGTCTGACTCGTGGATAACTGTCTACTACATACTTACTGGTACCATCCTTTGGAGAATGTCGAGCATACCAATCATCTCTGATATAAGGCCCAGCAGGCTCATCGCTTCCATCCAGTGAAGAAAATGTTTCTGGAGGAACAGCTGCACTTCTTCTACGCCAGAAGATAAAGCGTGGCTATTTTTGAGATGATGTGTCCAGTAGCGACAGGAGTATTGCAACTCCGACGATAGATACTGGTGGATACTCAGAGAGTCGATCTGTGCCCTACGCGCTCCAGGGTCTGCTATATTGCAGATATCTCTCCGTAGAAGACGCATCATAGTTCTCATGCAGGATTTTGCAATGTCTTTGTGCTTGGTTGGCGCATCCACACGAAACTTCGTTGTAGTCTGGACCAAAAATTCCGGAAATGAGAGATGCAGAATTCTAACAGGCTGATTTTCGTCGCTGGGGATGCTAAGAACCGACCGAAAGGAATCCAATCGATTGCTGATCTGGTCCACTTCTATCCCAAGAAACGGAGAGAGTGTGGTTATAGAAAGCGGAACAGCAAGAAGGATGATAGCTCCCACAATATCCTGAAACTCTAGTAGAAGTTGCTGTTGTTCCCTCTCATCACTCTCTTGGTCATCGAGGAGTCGCGTCAGGATTGGCAGATATGTCTTGTCCATTTTGGACACATATTTGGCTTGGTTGTTGAGAAGCTCTGCGAGACGGAATTTAGGTTCCCATTTTGGATTCTCGATGTAGCGACACACGGTGGCAGCCGAAATAAACAGTGGAACAGATACCCTAGCTAACTCTTGGATGATATCGTCGCCAGGCCAGTCCTGAGGGACTTTTCTATCATGCTGGATTTTCGTAAATCGGTGTCGTAGGAATAACTCTATGTCGTGTTCCGTCACCTCTTCGGGTATCTCATGAAGGGCCAGGTCCTGATATACCCCGTTACCGATCTCTGAAAACCCAAGGCTGATGGGGAGCTCTGGTCTGCTGGTCAGGAAGACTCGAAGGCAAAGTGATTTTACCTCCTGCAGACGAGGCAGCAATCGAATAATATTTTGAACATCTTGGTCGTGCTCACATTCGTCCAAAGCATCTATAACAATCACAGTATTCTCAGGCAGTTGATCGCGTTGATCAAAACCGAGCAACGGTCGAAGGAGTAGCTTCTCAAATTGCTCCCTGAGTGATTTTGATGAGATGTCAGGGTCGTTGTCAAGTGCCTTTTGCACGCCAGGTCTTAACTCTGGTTTCCACAGTATCAGTTGCCTGGTTAACGTTGGGAAAAGCTTCTTTGCGTTCCCTCGGTCCGCCTCGCCTCTCTTAAAAAAGAAGCTGGCACCCAGATAGTTACGATTCTTGGCCGACCTTGCCACCGACCGAGAGATTGTGGATTTTCCTGTCCCAGCCATCCCCTGCAACCAGAATATACTTTTCGAGGATGGTGAAAAAGCCCACTCCGTTATTTCCCGGAGGAGCTCGGTTCTTGTGCCTGGGAGACATTCCACTTCGTCGCGATCGGAGAATGACTCGAACCCTGCATCTATTGTGCTTTCTAACTTTCCAAGATCAACATGTTGGTTGATCCGCTCCGTATTTTTGACCACACTAATCATCAGGGACCTACACGGTCCTTCAGCCAACTATACAGAGTCAGAGGATCATGCTCGATATACTTACGTCTGGTCCACCTGTAAAGATAAGAGGAATGATGACTTATATCTCTCCAGTCTCCTTATTAGGCCCTCCACCTCCGTGCGTTCCAAGGGCCATTTCAAGGCTCGTAAGCCCATTTTCCTCATCAGCGCTTTTCCCTTTCCTCGATCGAGTCTTGCTTCTAATGCTTGGAGATCGGAGAGGCAAGCAGTAATATCGCTGGGTAGTCGTGAGGATGTAGATGGGCATTTTGCCTTATTCTCTTGCAGATTGTTCTGCAGGGCTTGAAGGGAATCTTGAAGACCAAAGATTGCCCGCTGCAGGGTGAGAATTTCTTCCCGTGCATTTCGTACCTCTTGGATATAGCCTCCGCAAAGCTTCACGAGGCTTCCGGTCAATTGAACAACGGCGATGACGCTCGCCGCCGAGGATAGACCATCCATTTTGACGGATATACCATAAAGATCAGATCTTCTCTCAGACGAGTACGATAGCAATCTAAGAGGAAGAATATAGATTCGAAGTCATGTTGGGCATTTCTGGCGAGCAAAAAGGGGTATGTGTCGGAATCCATAGCTCGGAGGTGGACTATCTAAATTGCCGATTGCTTTGTAATTAGTCATCCAGCCCCCATAAATTGCCGGCCGGAATAGGGCTATACAGCAATTCAGACCTTTTTTGCGACTCCATTGGTTGAGCTCTATGTCCACTCCACCCTAGGCTCTGACAGTATGTAATCTTCCGCCGATGAGGCTGTGGAGGTCCATGCACCGCATAAGCCCCTATGACTAATTATATCTTTTCGTAACTTAGTTCGTTAGCGAAAGCTATGACTGGTCGAACGGGTGCTGGTCGTTGGTCGACTCTCGGCCCGAACCGACCCAGACCTATCCTGTTCCTGTCCCGGCCACCTCATCAACTTATGACAGCACGACACGACCATTATGGCGCCACGACTTGCTCCTTCGCAGCTAGTTATGATCCGTGATATGATCAGCAGCAAATCGCTGACTACTTCTCAAATGGCGGAAGCGGCAGGTTGCAGCAAACGTTCGATCATAACGATTAGTGCCCAAACACCTCCGTATGTTTGGCGATGTCCGAGCGCCCTTGATCTCTCGCGGCCGTCCTCGCATCGTTTCACCTGTTATCTTCGAAGCGCTATGCGACCACTTGCTAGAGAAACCGGATTCATACCTCGATGAGATGGCCGAGTTTTTGTACGATGAATTCGACGTATATGCATCTACGTATTCTATCAGCCGAGCCCTTCGATCGCATGGCTGGACCAAAAAGTGGCTCGACGAATAACACAAGAAAGAAACGCGGATCTGAGAGATTACTATCTGCACCAGCTGTCAGATTTCTGCTCGTATCACTTGGTCTTTATAGATGAATCAGGCTGTGACAAACGGGCTGGCTTCAGGAGGACAGGCTGGTCTCCCGCGGTGTGGCACCTGTCCAGGTGTCCCATTTCCAGCGGGGTCAGCGATACCAGATTCTCCCAGCATACTGCCAGGATGGCATTTTGATGTCGCGAGTCTTCCAAGGATCGACTGATGCAAACCTATTTGAGGATTTTGTCGAACAGCTTCTTCACCATTGTGGTCAATGGCCCCAACCGAAGTCTGTTCTCATTATGAACAATGCGTCCTTTCACCATACTGACCGAATAACGGAGCTATGTTCAAATGCCGGCGTAAAGCTGCTGTACTTACCACCATATTCACCTGATCTAAACCCCATCGAAGAACTCTTTGCAGAGCTCAAAGCGTTTGTGAGACGAGATTTGCAGAAACATACAGGTCGAGATTTCAAAGAATTCCTTGAATGGAGTCTGGACATCGTGGGATCCAGGAAAGACAGTGCACAAGGGCATTTTCGACATGCGAACATTGAAGTTGAGGAGGAATGATTATGGATATACTGTATCGAACATCTGAAGTGTATATCTCTATGCTTGGAGGCTTTATGTCCAGTTTAGCTATAATGTCCTCTTTATTGTAATGGTTTCTGATAGATGAGGGATCAATATTTAGCCATCGGCTGGGGGTGGAATGCCATTAGCAACTTCTGAAAGAGAGTACAGGGTATGCATAGTGTTACTGTATGTTTCTGACTCCCTTCCGGGCGACCATTTGAAGTCTGTGACGGGAGAGGGCTTATGACGTAATGAATCAAGCCCATTCAGATGCACCTGATGCACCCATTTCTAAAATTGGCGTCTTGGCAGTGGGGCCGAGAATAAAGAGGAGAGAGTGAGGCGGTGAAACTGGATTTGCACTTCACTGTAGTACAGTGACATTAAGCTCTACCATTTAACGGTCAAAGTATAATGTAACTATACGTGGCAGGATGTAGGACCATACTAAATCATTTTCCTATTTCCCTTCAACTTAATGTGGTCTACTCAATGACTTATCTGCACTAAAGCCTAACCTAAGTGGCAGGAGCAGAAGAGAGTTACTTAGTGTTATTAGTCAAGCTAATTTCGAGAATTGCTGTAGGGAAAGCGTATGGTTCTCAGCAAGGCTTTTGGAATTGATATCTAATAGAAGATACGATGACAACATCCGGGTTTCTCAACCAATTAGAAACTCCTCCCGTAGTTCAGCCGGCATATTATGAGCGCTCATTTTACGGGAGTGATGTATTGGACAGGGAGTGATGAATTGGACAGGGAGTGATGAATTGGACAGGGAGTGATGAATTGGAAAGGCAGTGATGAATTGGACAGGCAGTGATGAATCGGCTAGAGAGTGGTGGATTCGTAGGAAGTAATGGGCGAGATGGAGTGAGGAATTGAAAGAGGATTACGCCATTTCAACTAGGTTTCCTTCAGCCTAGTTGCCCCGAAATTATCAGGAATACTATTCATAGCACCCCCGCAAGCTCGAGGGGTCAAGTAAGGAGAATGGACAATCGTGTTCCTAGAACATTGGTGTCGCGAAAAATGGCGTTGGTGATAACTAAATGACAATTTGCATGTTCGTACTTTCTGCGTCATCTCTTCGCCCCTTATGACCCCTGCGGGTACTTAGGGAGGTCACAAGCATACATGTGTAACTCATGGTGATGACATAACATGTGCACAAAAGCACAAGCAGAGCTTGTTTATCTAATTTTGGCTGGACATGTAGAAACCAATTCCTTTTCAACGCAGTACGTTTCTTCTTAGAGTTAAGGATAGCCACACTGACCCATACGTATTCCCAAACAGCTGTTTGTCTTCTTCCTTCTAGTTTCTAGGAGTTTATACCAAGTTCCCGGGTGCTAATGCACAAGAGATGATTCAAGACCTGCTCAGCAAATCCGTCCTAGGAACTCGGGCTTCCGTTTTGAGTGATTAATACCCTATCCTGATGACTTCGCAGGATATATTCCCCTCTATAGAGATCATGACGGAGCTTCAAAATTAATGACGTAAATTGTAATTCGCTGAGAACATTTAAAGGCAACAACCTCCTATTTCTGAATGTTATTAATTTCACCCCGTTTCTCCAACTGCACCTGAATATTTGAATTAGGCTCAACGCCACTAGGATGTCTTCGCAACAAAAGATTTTCCTGGGTACCCCTTTTCCCCAAAGCATGGATGCAGGTTAGTACTTTGTGTTTTTTTCCCTCGTGCCCTAAGGTAAATTTAGGCTAACATGCACAAATTAAACTAGCTATACAACCTCTAAGGCTATTACTAGACATAATTATCGCAAAGATCTATAACGAATTCACGATTGTTCAACATCATTGCTACTAAAAAGACGGCATGCTTCGGGCTTACGAAAGAGCCTACGAAAAGCAACAACTTGAATTAAACGCCTAGCTTTGCAGCATGTGCCGGTATATCGAAGAACTTGAACAGAAGAACCGGAAACTTAACGAGAAAATGAGTGGCATGGAACCTGGGAGGACAAGTATTGAACAGGCGAGTTCTGATCAAGGGAAAGGCTCCTAGGGGTAAAAGGGCTTGCTTATGACAGCGTAACATGGAATGTAAAGACATCGTTGGGTCCTACATCTTGAAAGTTCAAGATATAAATCGGATGAATCAAGCAAGGGGGGCTTTTGGGCCTAATGTCTATAAGGAAGTTTTTAGGTCACCTTGGAACAATCTTTATTTAGTTGTATCGTATAAATAAGCTGTTTTCAGACAAAATTATTTAAGAGTATCTGGAGTTCCACTTGGATGTCCACTGGACGTAGCACGATAGCCTTAATAGACAATGTAACTGGTTGTAATGGCCTAATGGGACACCTGGCTATGAAAGCCTCTTATATATTGATTCAAGGCCACGGAGGGCTAATGTGAGGAGTTTAGCATCTTAATTCGCCGGTGATCAACTATCACAAATCCGATGGTAGTAAACTATAGCCAACTGACTTCTGTTCTAGAGCTTGCGCTAAATGGTCATGGTTAAAAGGCAGTGGTATGTGAGACAAAGGACGAAATCAAGTGGCCGTGAGCACCGGTCGCTAGTTAACGGCCAAAGAGCCTAGCTAGCCTATGAGCCACGGACTATGGGCTAGCTAGGCTCTTTGGCCGTTAACTAGTAACCGGTGGGGCTTACTAACCTGATAGGCTAGGGAATACGCGGCTACAGTGCCGATTCGATCATGAATAGGGTCTCTTAGAGCAGACACTTATTATTAGAGCGAGGCTACATTATCCGGCACGCTTTGATCACTACCACCCGCTAAAGCACGCGAAACAGAGTCTATGTTCTCCTTATTGCGAGCCACTTTATGACTAAAAGCCACAAAGATGGTGTTCGTACCATCCTGGACAGCCGTATTAAAGCACTGCGTAGGGACAATCGTGCGAAGGTTTTGGTTATAGAAAGTTGCCGGAACTTGTTCCCTCGCTTTCTCCTTGGCGAATATTTCTACCGGTCCTGGGTTAGACGGATCGACCGTTATCTGATTAATCACGTGATCCTATCTACCCCGACTATCTCTTCCCCTAAAAACGATACGGACTTTTTGATTCTCCCTACGCTGTGACTTATAATCAATAGTCTAGGCTTTAGGTTGTTTAGCACGTGCGAGGTAACTTTCCTCACTATCGTCTATGTCTATGTCGTTTGACTAGGTCGACTGGTTTGTGTCGTGCCACCGTTTAGGAGCTAATGACCCCTTTTGCATTGCATTCGCTTCACTAGGATCTCCGGAGTCTCCTTGTGAAGTAGCAACGTCACTCTAGTTTGTGAAATCAATTTGCGTGATTGCCCTCGGCTTCTTGACTTCTTTCCGGGGGCGTCGATGACCGAACAAGATTCCTCTCTTTCTGCCCGACGGCCTGTCTACTATTATATGATCGGAAGCTCTAGAGATACCCGTAGGTTGTAGTGTTTCGTCACGGCGTCGTTTAGGAATATAAGGCGCTGCTGTCGTGTTATTCTGTAGACTCTCCCTAGCCTTGCTATTATATTGAGATGCGATAATATTCTCGGATATAGGCGGCTGTTCTCTAATTGCGTGTCTTTCTACCGGTTGATCGGTTAGCGTTGTTAAAGTGGGTGGCTTATGGTCCTCCCTTGCCTAGGACTCCACTAGAGCAGCCTGAACTTCGGTTAATGTATTCCCTGGTATGTCGTCCGCCGGTGGCTGCTTAGATTCTAGATGCTCAAAAATCACTCCGTTTCGTTTGGATTTCTGTCCGACCTGCGTGGGTATTTGCGACTTAGGGTCTGTTAGGTTTTCGGGAGATGTCGGTGCACTTGTTAGATTTTCTGGTAAATTGGTCTGGTTATCCCCTACCGGGTTTGCTTCGTTTGCCGTGATATTCTTAGTTGTTATTTGGACAGTGCTTGGTTTAACAGCCTACGTCGAATAGTTGGCCCTATTCCCCGTGGACTCCCGAAATTCCTTATTCTCACCACTGCCGGGGTCAAAAATATCCGCGGAGGTCGTAATAGTTGCATCCTAAGGGGTCTGGCTTTGCGTAGATACGCCCTAGCCTTGTCTATTAGTTAAACCGGCTTCTTCCTAGTTCTGACTAGCCCTTAGCGGCTTAAAAGATATCTCTGTAAAGTCTATTTGGGTCACTGGCCTGATTAGACGCTCCCGGTTAGATACCTCGCTTGGCTGTAATAGCTTGTCGATCTGTCGTTCTAATACGTTATGTGGTTGCTTAGTAATAAAAGGGTTTTCTTGCTTTTTCCGCTGTGTTATATCATAAGGACTCTATTTGGCGTCGCTTCGACACCTAGGACGTACTACACTCTTTGTTTTGGACGGCCCGTGGGCAGAGGGAGAACTAACTTATTAGGGGACCACTTCTCTTGATTCTAGTTCTCCGGTTTTTTCCACATTTGCGTTCTTATATGCATCGTTTGTTGTTGTTTCTTCCTCGCGTTGATTGCTCTATTCTAAATGTTCTCCCGGGATGTGCTGCTTAGTAGCTGTGGACGTTAAGCTTTGGCTGCGTGTGGTCTGTATCTGCTGGTGCGCAATTTCAATAGACATGAGGTCGTCGGCTTGATATTCATAAATTAGGTCCCCCGTAGACCCCGTGCCCGTGTCGTCTGATATCTCCGTGTTGTTATTTGTACTAAGTTCAGAGCTTTGCTGTAAACGCTCACTGTAATCGACATGGCACGCTTCCTCTTCTCCTAAATGGGACGACCGATCTATACCACTTAAACTATCGTGTGTACTGCTGATGCTTGCTAGAGAATTGTTTGACGCACGCTATTTTAACGGCTCTTGATGAGAGCGACGTAATTGGTGCTTTCGGCGCTTATGTTCTCGCCGCCTCTGCTTTTTTCCTTGTGAGTTTTGTCTCTCTCGCGTCTCTCGACGGTAGCCACGCCGATTTGCTTTTCTAAGCTTTTTCCGATCAATTGCTCGTGAATATGCTCGGCTTTGAGATATCTCTTCTCTGCTAGAACGTGTGTTCGCTTTAGAGCTTTCCTCGGTGACGAAAAGCGGCGATATCGGACGCTGATCTCCGACACCAGGGGGACTGAATTCTAACTAGTTAAAGAATATGTAATACACACACTGTCTTATAAACAAAGTGGAGACTTTCTTGGTGGTCGATGGCCATATAGTATAGAGCTGGTCGACGAAGAGAAACCAACGGTCTTGCCTCTAGGCCTTAGCTTACGGATTGCCACATCGAAATCTGACCTTAGTCTCTCTATCATTAATAAGTCCCCTCTTAGGGTCGCAATCAAGTGGCGAAGCCTATTGAAAGCACTCGGCTACGCGATCCACGAGGGAGTCGAAAATGTCGTTATCATATTTATATTTCATATTGTTTCGTGCCTTTAGAAGTGCCTCGCGTGCAATTTGTCGATTAGGGGAATGCTTTAGTAGAGCTTTGATTTGGTTAGATTGATACCCTAGCTTCCGAGCCAGAACAGCTAAGTCGTAAAGGACTCTAGGGTCTGCTTTCTCCTAACCCTTTACCACCTAATCCTGGTTCTCGGGTTCTTTGGCCATTTTCGGATAATAACGTATTGCATATAGCCAAATTTGTCGATAGGCTAGTTCGGTAAGATCGATCCTAAGGCTTTTGCAATGCTGAAATTGTGTTTCGGACATCTGGACTAAGCAGTCGCCGCCTTTAGAGGGTGGCTACGAAAATGTATTTCGTATTGCGCGTTTGATAGTCGGTTGAAATTTGTTAAGCGAAACTAGTCGCTTTAAGCAATTTGCGGAGGACTCTAGATACCACATATTCTAGAAAAAAGTGTAAAGTGATGGAATGATGCGTTTCTTTGATTTCATTTTTTTCTAGATTGAGGCACGCTTAGCTGAAGTGAATCCTGAGAAAGCCTCGCCGCTAAAAATAAGCCCTTTTGCGAGTTTTCTGTCTTTGTTTGAAACTCTAGGAGCTAAGAGCTACAATAATTGTATTGAATGGGGGTCGATTTTCAACATTTTTGAACGCTTATGCTTTACCAAAGACGCCTAGTAATCGTACAAATCATTTAGACCGTGGACTAATTCCTATATTCATTAGATTTAGAGACAATATTCTGCACTATATAACTAACCTTATCGTAGCCAATGGCTAAAGCCCGGGAGATTAAGCAAAGTTTCATTCCCTGCTCGAGTAGAGCTAGTAGTGCTAACAGAGAATTTACTGCAGCGCGAACATTATCGTGGGATTTAAGTTGCTGCAAACGCTTTAGTTTGTTTGGTGAAAGACGAGCCTTCTATCGCTTCTTAAAATAGGCATTTGCCTTATGTTGATATTGGCGAATCTTACGATATATTTCGCTATCTATTGGCGTTTTCTCGTTGCAGTATTTATCGATAAGAGTTGCTTTAAGCGAGGGGCTTATGTCTGTAAGTTATCAGTGCCACATACCGCATAGAGATGCTCTATTTCAAATTCTATAGTAGTCTAGTGTCGGCCGATTTTTGAATCCTTGTAGCGATTGATGAGCTTTGAGATAGCTAAGTCTACGTACTATCTAAGTATAGATTTACTGTCTACCACTGATCGTAGTCTGCTAAAAATTCTTCACCGGCCTTTAAACGATGCTGTCTATACAGGCATTTCACTTGCCCACTGGAAAACTGTAGGTGAGGATATTCATCGGATATGTCACTTATTAGTTAGGCAGCGCTCGTTCGCGACTTTTGGAGTGTAGCATCGAGACTATCGCTCGATACGACGGTAGTGATATGGTTAGGAACATCTAATCGTCGATACCCTTCTTTACTAAAGACTTCGCGTAGTCTATCTACGTTCCTTAGATCTAATGCCCGGCAAATAGAACTGTGGGGCACAATCTAGCTTAAGCTGATTAGAGCTATCCCTCGGTATTTCTTACTTCGTTCACTAGTCACGCGACGTTTATGATCTGTGTATATAGACCGTTCTATAACTAGAATTTAGCTGCTAGTTAGACTTATATTGGCGGGGTGGGGGAGGGTTGTACCTATACTTATCGTTTTCCTCGGCCTTAGAAATGCGAAATAAAGACACCCCCTTGTTTCCTTCCCCTTTATTGAGTGATTAATTCAATTCGTTGCCGAGCCTAGTCGCCCCGAAAAGTGAGGGCTCGGTCACACAAACTACTAAGGATTGTCTGTTTATTAATATACAAGTTAACTCCTCGAGCTATAACTGAGAGCTTTTCCAAACCCTTATTCTTTAGAACCTATTTTTCCCGAGCAATTCTATAACAGCCATGTCTGGGCATGGCGATAAGCGTATTACAATGGTGGACTTTAGAGGAGCGGTGAAAGAGTCACCTTAGTTGAATAGGTCAATATAACAGCAGTAGCGTGATGATACAAAAAAGAAAAATCATTCTACGCTTAGTAAGAAAACGACGAAAGTCATTAGGGGAGGCCCGAAGAATTTCGGGTTAGCTCAAATAAGTGAAAACCACTATGGTTCTTATTCTTATATCGTGAGATATAAGTCTCCTTAGGATATATATCGGCGAGCTATCTCTTGTATAATTGCGGGCAAGGTGACTATTGCCACCTATCGTTCTAACCTATCACGAGTGATCGCCTTTAGGGAATACAATAAGAAAGATATGGGACAAATGGTTGAGGTATACGACCGTCTTTATCACCAAAACATTTTGTCTGTATAAGAGTGCTTTATAAATAAGGGCTCTATGTTTGCCCTAGTGGACGACTTACCCCTCACTTTAGAACACCTTGTCGGATGCCGTACCCTTTACCCGTCTAAATGCGAATTAGCCTTAATGCTTTGGCAAGTATGTCACCTTTTGTACTTCAAACACGGAGACTTATTTATATGCGAAGACCCTTAACGGCGCTAGTTACCTTGGCGAGAATGGTTGGGAACACTAGTTAATGACATGCCGGTATATCCTTTTGGGCCTAGATAGTGCAATCAAAATTGGTACGTTGTTCTTATTTCTCTAGAAGCTTATTACTAAAAGCTTTCTAAGCGAACCTTGAGTCCTGCTAAAAAAGATTACCTATTAAGACATAAAGCACACACATAAAGTCTCTTAGTGGTATTTCTATAGAGCTTATGCAGAAGTATACAAAAGATAATAGGATGGTTAGAGTTGATGATTTGGATCGATGGCCCGTGGATTCTGACGCCGTTGGCTTTCTCTCGGCAATATCTACTATAACATTAATAGAAACCTTGAAGCAGGTAATCAGTGCTTTAGTTCCGTTGTTGTTTATATGTTATGTGCTAATTATTAGAAGAATTCACTTTTTATCAATAAGAATCGGTCCCGGGGGAAACTGGTTCTGCTAGCGCGAATAGTTATTCTTTCTACGAAGATCTTCTATTTATATGACACCTAATCCTATCCTATAAGCCTATGAAGTCTTTGCCGTTTGCTATTCTGGATCCTGAATTGTGAATCCTAATGGTTATTTCCGATCTTGAGAGCTCTAAAAACGTCTCCTAGCGCAGCAATTCTAAGTGCAACTTGCTAACGAAGCTAACGAATTCCGACTAATTTGTTGCCCTTTTCTATTTCTAAACCTAAAGCCCATAGGTGGGACCTTTTCGTGCCCTTGATAATAAATTAAGCAATCTTTATATGTTCTTCCCTTTCGAAACCAGAACGAAAATAGAAAAGATTCGGCTAGCTGTTCTTTAGTTAAAACTGTAACTGAAAAGTAGGTAGAGTAGGAACATATATTTCAAGGGATATGAATACTCAAGCGCGGTTTGGCCGTTGAACTCGCAAATTGTTAGAGTACCAAATTCAATGGCAACTGCTACCTACACGGATCGCCCTATAAACGAAATTTGGTGCAAATATCTATTTACGAACCAAAATTACCGGGCAAAAACAGGCAACTGACTGGTGGGTGGTTGCGGGGGGAGGAGGGGAGGAATTGGAGTGGATGTTCGATGAATTGAATATTTGCCTAACTCGCGAAGATAAAATATAGGTGGTATTTGCTCGTTTCACTACAAAATACTCAAAGAAGATCTTAGACCTAGCGCAGGCTCGTAGAGGTACGCGTGAGGGCTGAGGAAAAATGCGCGTCTACGGAGAATATTTCCTCGTCGTGGTATTTAGCTCGTCGCTAACAACTGCTCTTGAGGTGCTGTATATAAAACCTTGAACGCTCCCTCTTAACACGCTGTGTCGTAATATGTTGTATTAACGTGTATTTTGAGACATAGGCTAGGTAATCATTGAATATAAACAGTGTAAAACATATGGGAGATGCGGGATAGAGGAGTCTGCGCGATCATGCCACGGCACTAAAGGAGAGAAGAAGGGGGCGCACTTAAGCGCAGCACTGTTAGTCTGTGAAATTTCTTTGGCACTTAAAACGTCTTTTTATTAATACCCTGTATTAATAGACCGATTGGTTCTGTAGGTCTTATTTGCATAGATTAGAAATTCAATCTACATTAACATTTAACATAAGGATGATGACTGTGGCATGATATTTAAGCAGACAACTTTCTAAAAATGGACTTCAAGCCCTATCTTATTTCAAAATAAACTGTGCTTAATTAAGCTGGCTGGAAGTCTGTTTTATGCAGACTTAGTTTCCGATCTAAGTGTCTACACATAACTCCTCTTAACTCGTCTCGCACTTGAGCGGAGGCGGAAACTACAAAGTTATCAATAACCTGACTTATGGATGAGGATAAGAAATGCTAACCCAAAACAAGTGTTTTGCCTTGTTCCTCACTTATGTTTGGAAGTCTGGCAATATGTTTCCTAGAAGCCTCTTCCGAAACAATATGTTCGTAATTAGGGCTAACGTTAAAGATAGACGCACGCCTATTGATGCCGAATACGTCTCTCGTTTTGCCGAATGCTAAATAAAACGAAATTTTTAGGATCTATTACTAAGTTAATATGATACAAATTAAAATAAGGTGTTAACTCACATAGCCGTTATCTAGGACGTTATTAGCGAGAAGTTTATTTAATAGTGACTACGCGGCAATAGCAATTTCTATCGTTAAAATAAGCGCTTGTGATTTGATCGTAATAGAGGAGTTCTCACCTTAAGTCTACACCTTCTAAACAAAATACACGCGACGCATATATAATGTAGATGTGTTATATCTATAAAAAAGCTTTTTTAAGTAAGGGATAACCCCGGCAATTCTAAAATCGGTCGTAATAGCTAGGACACACTCAAAGCCGTCCGTGGGTTTGCTAGCACCGTACGGTCCGCTCACAAACGTAGTGTACGACGCAAATCTATCAAAAGCTACGTAGGCTTGAAGAGCCTTTGTGAGTCCTTGTTGCGATTGTATAAAGAGTTCTAAGACTTCCTGTTTTTCTAGAGACTAAGACGTCACTATGAACGGATGGGACTACGCCTAGGATAGCAAGCTCACGGTAGGCATCTAGAGGTTTACATATTAACCGGCTTTTACCTGCATCGGACGTGGTAGGACTACACGAACCTTGAGCGGCGTCCCCGCTTGGCTATTACGATTCGATTCTTATCTACTATTTTCGCGTGGTTCTCGTTTAGATTTTGTGTAGGTAATGTATGCACGCGGGCGGTGTCGTGACGGAAAGATTCTATTTCGAAATGCGAAGATCGCGACATATACGATTGTCGTAATAGATAGTATCCCGAGTGATATGCAAAGGTATATCCGTGAATCAGAAGCCGCGATTGGTAGATAACGCTAAGTGGAGTAAATGAAAAGAATCGCAAGCAATTGATATGTGCGGATAAATACTTCAAAGAATCGTCGGCGGATGAAAAGCAAAGAAAGAAGCATAAGTGCGACTATTGACATAGCGCCCTATAGTAGTTTAGCTCTTATCGGCATGTTTGTGGGGCGTGGAAGATACAAAAAGAGCAAATAAATTGCTATGATTATCTAAGTTCTATTCCCTTTGACTAACCGTTATAGCCAAGGTAATGTAGAAGGCAAGGAGCATGCCTGACATCTAACCTATAACTCGATGCATCCGTCTGTAAGCTACCAAAGAAACTCTAATAATGTCGGCAAGGAAGCTTAAGTGCGTGGTAGGAATTAGCAAAGCTAGGTTTATAATTGCTAGCGTTCCCGCTCGATAGCCAGCGATTTCTGTATTTGCCGTTCTAAATAAGAGGAAGAAGACATGTAGCGTGGTATATACAAAACATAACAAGATATTAGCTCGACTCTAAGGGCCGCAAATGCGGTGGCGATCGACTAAGTAAGGGTAAATCAAATGCTTTGATATAAAAAGAGATACGATATCTATAGACTCAGCGAGAAAGGACGCTAGGCGAACAAGAACGAGTATTGATAAGAAACCGCCTATGGAAATAGCACAAAATGACAAGAGCTCTATTGCCTCTCTAGTCTATGGTATTGGATCACGGCACAATGAAGCCTGCTAGCCACCTTATAAAGTTCCACTATACCAACAAAAAGCATCATAAATTTGCCTGGTGTGCGCGAGAAAGCTTCTGTTGCCCTCTAGGTATCTACTAAATTAATGCTACATCAAGAAATTGTGCGACCCCTAAGCTGAACCTGAAAATTGGATTTATATTGAGGAACTGATAGTGGCACTTCCAAGTCAATGTGTACCGTTGGTGATATAACACCTATCAGCGAGGGCTGGAATCTGATGGTGAAAACACATAACTGCCTCAAGCTTAGTTTAGAAACCATAGTGTACTTGCGCCCATCAATTAAGTGAATCCCACAAAGACCGTCTCACAATCAGGCGGCAATATCACGCATGAGATGCTATTGATTTACACGATGTGTATGAATTACTTATAATATTGTAACCTCTACAGTCATTGACGAAATTGGCTTGACCGATACAGACTGAGTAACTCTTCCATGGGCCCGCCGCTTTAGCGTAGTCAATTGTGCCGACTTCAACGATTCCAAGATGGTTTGTACGGGCCCTCGCTTTTTGGACGGTTGGTCCCCCGACGCTCCCATAAGCCCTTCTTTTCCTCTTCTTGCCTCTCGCTTCTTTTAGTAAGTCAGGCTGGCGTCTTCTCCCTGGCTACCGAAACGGCGTCTTCACGTTCTACTTCGACATTCATCACCAGTCTCTGCCTCTACAGTCGTTCTCGAAATCGGCTTGACAGATACACTCTTCGTCACTCTTTTCTGGCCCCACTGCCAAGGCCTTAGCGCAGATCAATCATTGAGCGGGCCGCATCAAATTGATGGACGTCGAAAAAAGCACCTCGTATGATACTGTATCCTGGTATGTAAATTACACGATGCTTACAAGAATAAAATGGAATTCCGTGGAGATGTATTGCGGGGGCTATGTGGTAGGTTGCCTAGCAACTGGCTGCCGGACTTTTTACTAGGCAACTTCAGATTTCCATCTCAACCTGTAGAGCATGGATTGATTCCCTGCGCCAGCCATCATCATTGAGAGGCGTCGCTGGCTTAGCGGTCATCAACAACTTACGTCTGCAACACAGTATCTCGACTAGGGTTCTGTCGTTTGCTTGCGAACAATAGCCTTTCCGGCAGCCGATGGCGTAGGCCTCAACTAATAGTCATTCACCAGAAGTCTGTCTTTACAGTGAACCCAGAAACATGAGACGAAGTTCTCCCATTAGCCATGATGATCATGATGTTCAACAAAGTGAAACGTTAGAGACCTGGGACGATACATCACAATATGCACCAACAGCTGGTTACCTCCGACGTTCACCCACCTACTCGTCCGACATAAGCTGTGCCAACTTTGACTCCACATTTCCCATCGCTCCCACTTCTCTGCAAGAACATACAGTATCCGTTCCTTTCTATCTTTTTGATCGTAAGTGGCGTAGTACTTTCTTCTCCACATACAACATCTGCAAACGAACACTGCAAGGCCCATTACAGTAAAGCCACAAATCACGCTAAAGAGGGTGGAAAGCTCTCAGTCTGGAGGATAAGATGGGCTTCTAGAATCGGCCCTTCCCTTACTCTAGGTATATGACAGATATTAGTTACATGTATGGAGCCCATTGTTTTGTTCTTTTTTTTTTTTTTTTTCATTTAAGGTCGACGCAGCTATCTCCATCAAGAGGCCAAGTACAGTCGCGCTCGGAACCAGATTCATCATTTTGTTCGTTTCTTGTATTTACGCTCACGGTCATGTCTGAGATCTTATTGAGGGATTGGTTGCCCTATCGTGGGTCACAATGATCAGTGGGATTGTTTTTCGACTACAAATTGTCTGCCTTTTACCTTTCTTCTCGATGGCCCCCTCCTCTCAAAGCTCGCTGGGCCGATACCACCTTGCCACTATCTCACGATGCACCTTGTCCTTCCTTATATGTTGGGCCTGGCGTGGCTAGCCAACTCTACCTACATCCCCTACTTGACCAAGGCCAATACGACTAACATTGGTACTCGTCATGTTAAGGGACATCGTTCCGTGGCGTACTTTGTGAACTGGGTATGAGTTTGAACCACATTTACTCCATCACTAAATCAAACTAACTCATCACCGTCAGGGAATCTATGCTCGCAACTTCCAACCTCAAGATATCCCTGCCGAGAAACTAACCCATGTTCTCTACGCATTTGCCAATGCCCGAACCTCTGGTGAGGTGGTCCTGTCGGATACTTGGTCGGACACCGACAAGCACTACTCCACTGATTCATGGACCGATACTGGGAATAATGTCTATGGTTGTGTCAAGGAGCTTTTCCTACTCAAGAAGAAGAATCGAAACCTTAAGGTTCTTTTGTCGATTGGAGGCTGGACGTATTCTTCTAACCTCAGAACGGCCTTTGCAACCGAGGGGGGACGCCAGAATTTTGCTGACGGTTCCGTCGAGCTGCTGAAAGACTTGGGCTTTGACGGTATCGATGTTGATTTTGGAGTGGGTTTGCTAAGTCGTTGACAGTTTTTGATGCTGATATCAGATAGTACCCTGCCAATTACAACGAAGCGGACCAATTTGTTGATACCCTACGCCGTCTTCGTGAGGTATTTCAAGCTTCTCTTATTGATGACTCTGCTAAGCCTATATTTTTTAGGCCTTGGATATGTATAGCTCTGCCAACGCAGATGGTTATCATTTCTTGCTCACCACTGCATCCCCTGCTGGTACGTGTCGTTTCTTTCAAACATTTTAGTTATGCCAACCCAAATACTAGGCCCTGCCAACTACCAGCGAGAGCATCTTGCTCAGATGAATTAGTACCTTGACTTCTGGAACTTGATGGCCTACGATTATACCGGAAGTTGGGACACCTTTGCCGGCCATGATGCCAACCTCCACGCATCCAACAGCAACATAGCCAGCACTCCATTCAACACCGACCAAGCGATCAACTATTACACCTCGCACGGAGTGGCCTCTTACAAGATTGTCCTAGGTATGCCTTTGTACGGCCGAGCTTTCACCGACACCAACGGCCCTGGCCAGTCTTGCAACTGTGTTGGTGGTGGTAGCTGGGAGAATGGTGTGTGGGACTATAAGGGTTTGCCTCAGCCCGGCTGCGCAGTCACAAATTTGGACCAGGAAGCTGCTAGCTACTGCTGCAACTCGGTCTCATGTTTGTTTATTAGTTATGACACCCCTGAGGTTGCGCGTAAGAAGGGTGAATACATCAAGTCCAAGGGTCTTGGTGGTGGTATGTGATAGGAGCTTAGTGGTGACAAGCAAGATGATGACAGTTTGATCACCATGGTATGTTTCATTCATATTCGACATTTGATCATACTAACTTCGAGCTTTGCAGGTTGTAAATACCATTGGAGGTACTGGGGCTCTAGACAAGAGCGAGAATCAGCTTAGCTATCCAGCCTCCAAATATGACAACCTGAAGGCTAGCTTCTGATCATTTTTTATCTTCTTGTGGATATCTAGTCCCTGAGACATACTTTTGCTAACCCATGGAGTGGGAATTTGTGACTTTACATTGTGCGGCTTTCGATCGTAGTATTAGAACTAGTCCAAGGCTTCTCCTGTTTTAACTACAAGAAATGAATATGAGGGTGCGGAAATCTGTTTTCTTGAAATTCATTGAGCAGTTGGAGACGTACGTTCTTCATGGCAAGGTGAGTGGGTTATCACGCCTTCTGCTGGATCCAATTAACTGTGCGAAGTCTTATGCCTCAAACCGCGAACTCCACTGACATTCTCATACCATTTTAGGAGCAGCCTATTGCTACCCTTGAAAACGTCGTGGTGAGTGACCCGTTTCCTCCTGAGCTGAGATAGGACAAGAGGCCCACGCACTACAACGCCTGCTACATCGCGTCTGCCGCCCTTTTCAGACTATCGACGACGGCGTGCCTGAACTTCTGGGGGTCATCCGCACGAAGCGTTCTCCGATGATGTACGACTATATAATCTCTTGTTGCAGATGGGCTCGTCACGCGCTTTTCGCTAAAAACGCACAGTGCACCTTTCCGCGGCGGTTCATGTGACGGCCGGAGAGTGCGAGGAGCCTGAATACAGCATGCATGATTGATGACTGCATTGCTGGAGAGAATTATAAGTGATCTGTGGTTAAGCTGATATGATTACGAGGCTAATTGATCATCTTGTCTCAAGCGTACGCTCTGTGGACTTTATAAACGGGATAAGCTACTCGACCAACTGGATTAGACCTTGCTGACTCGGATCGTACAACAGGAGGTCCCCTCATATTCCCGTCACTTGAGTCGAAAATTTTTTTCTAAGCCTAAGGATGGGTAAAAGAATTGCTGTGCATAATATGACTACTTTAGTCGCTAGGACTGATACCCAAAACAGATCGAGAGTATGCGTAGAAAGTCCGAAAAGGTCGGGCATTATCTTTCCAAATTGCGAAAGGGCCACGGAAAGGTGATAGTCCCTAGAGATCCATCAACCTGAATTGAGTAATTGGAGTTGTAGCCAAGCCACAAACAATGCTTTAATCAAAATTCAACGTATGGCCTGTTGCTAAATTCTGGAGATTGCTTGTTTCCGCGTCAGAAATGCCCAGGCCCTTACCACCAGTTTTGTGATAGGGTGGACGGGCGCCAGCAGCCCTTTCGGCGTCGAAGCGCCAGACTCCACCGCTCTTTTCGCTATCGAGAGTGCTCGATAGATCTAGAACTCGAGAAAGATATTGGAATTCAGGACCTTCGTCCTTCTCATCGACGCGATAAAAGAAGCGACGCTCCCATTCGCGTCCTTCGGCCTTTTCGACTCTGCGTAGTTCGCGCTGGGCACTTTCAATACACCATTTAGCGCGAGAAACAGCATCCATGTCCCCCTGCCTGATGCCGGCAGCAACATTGCTCCAAGCACGGCGGCTCTCATAAAGATCTTGTTTTTCAATGGGTGCCAAAGTGAGCGGAGTTGTTTTGGAATCACGAACCACATATTTGTCAACGACTTCCTTGGTGCGAAGATTGCTGATTGAAAAAGAATCTGACCACTGACCGTCTACCAGATACAGTGGCTTCTTCTTTCCTCCGCTGGCTTCATACAGGCTCGCAGTGAAGCTATTTTTCTTGCTGCTCAGCCATCCCTTGCCCGAATAATCAATCTCCGCAATATAGCCGCTACTGCTGGCGATCATACTTTTCCTCTCTAGCTCCACAAAAGGAGTGCCGTAGAGGAGGGATTTGATACGTAGCCTTGGTAGCGTGATAAGGTAAATCTCTTTCTCGTTGGACCCAGGCGGCGTAAGAGTGTACAAAGCATGGCCGATCTGCTGTATTTGGATTCTGCCCAAGAAAGAAGCTTTCTGAGCATTATATCCTTGCAACTTTGGTTAAACAATTATCTAATTAGCCATAGGCTTAAAAAGCGGTGGGTCTCAAGTGTGACATATGACGAGGCGCTCACCTGAACACCGTGGTTCTCATTTCTGATCGCAAATGCCGTTGCCGGGGGATGATGGCTATGCATGGTAATCAGCATTCACATATATGCAGACGATTCAGCAGAACCCGGAAAAGGTCGGAGGTTGGAGAAGAGCGACCCAGCGGAGGAAAAGCAAGTAAAGGGCGTAAAGGGCAATTGTCAATGGGTACCGGAAAAGGCCTACCTGACTTGTTCACTTATCAAAGAAGTGTCGCCCACATCCGAATCACCGTTTTTCCATTTTCCGATGAACAGCTCGCCTAGGAACGGATTCAGCGGCTTTCTCTCACTCCCGAACTTCTCACTGCGGCTGCAGTATTGCTGATGCAGTGTGCTGAGAAACCACTTGAGGACCTGTAGAGCACGTTTTTCGCTGTCTGCTTCCTTGGCCGGTTGAACGAACAGGGCAGGCTGTCCGGCCCAGTAGGCGGAATACTCGACGAGAGAAGTTGACGAAAGGATGAATGGAGGAGCAGTTAAAGATGATAATTCGCCTTTGAATGTGGCCACCAGCTGAGAATCGTTACCATGTGAATACATCTAAGAGCGGATGCCCACCTTTAGAAAACTCGACCAAGAGCGACGTTTTTGGTCGGAACTCTGGCTGCACGGTGGTGTTGTCGACGACATTTTCCGGAGTAAAAAGAAAGAAATAGCATCACAGCTACTGGAACTTTTAGATTTTCGGATTGTAATGGTAAAGAAAGCTAAGGGATGGCCATCGGGTTGATGGTAACAGAGCAGGTGACAGAGCAGGTGACGTCACAAACGTCTTTTGCATGCTTCGTAAAATGTGTTGGGATTATCAGACTACTATATATCACCATTGAATGCCAGGACCCCTGGGTAGTGGTGCGATTCTAAACTCAGATAACGGCTTCTTAAAAACCCCCCTCATATGATATGATATTCGAAATCAGATTTACCTTAGTTCTCTCACACAATATTTCCCAGTGCCCCACTTGAAGCGCGCTAGGTCACATTAAGGCAGCCTATCGGCCCACCTAGCTTTATGAAATGTGTCGGTAAAAATGGAAAATATTCTTACTAACGTTATTTGTTACATTGTACACCCACTTCCCAATGCAACAACTGCTGAATCAGCATAAGTTATAGGAGTCCCTTCCATTTACTATCAGATAGTACAGTAAGTTAGAGTTCGAAAACAGCTCTACACGGCGAGTGACGTTCTTGTCGCCTTCATCATCCAGACTGAGGATGGTTCGTAGATCGGTAATGCTGTCCCCAAGGAAGTTTCTTTTACTCTCTCTGCGCCCTTGTAGGACAGTATCGGAAAGAGAGACTCGGGTTCCACCTTTAAGTTTCTTGGAGTAATTCAGGTCCCACAACGGTCCGACGAGACTACGGCTACTACGTCTTCCCTTCAAAATTCCCATATTGCGGACTGCGACGGTTCAGCGCGTCGAGCACGTCGCTATGGGTGCTGTATCAACCGTGGAATCACATGCGTTCAGCATGTCGTGCACATTCAATCCGCTTCGTTGCCGGCCACCGGATGTGCAGGTCCGGGTTGGTGTCGCACTCGACTGAGGTGGCACATTGCTCTGTTGAGATGGCAAAGGTACCGGGTGAGGTTGCGTGGGCGGAAAGGGCGAGCCATGCGTTGAGGACGAATTGCGGCTATCGTGGGCCGGTCGAGGGGGATAACTGTAAGGGCTCGGCGCGGTATGGGTCTGGTATCCGGGGTCCGCCCCAGCGGAAGTGATGGGAGCCAGATTGGTTGGATGGGGATACTCAAAACCTAAGTTAAAGCTTCGGCGGTGTCTCTGGGCAATCATAGCATTAGATCGGTCCTATCTCTTGCCGTCAGTGAGGGGGAATGGCTGCCTCACCGGGTTGAGCATGGCTGACGCAAGGAGTGGCGGGGCACCATCCATTGGGGTTCGACCGTCCTGGTAGGACAAGTCTTGGGGCGGTGACAGGGGGTCTCAGGACCTTGCGGCTGCTGCTGAGGGGGTAGTGGCTGCCCATGAGCGCGCCACAGGCTCTGCGGTCCATCGCTGGCCCCTGACTCTCCTGGTCCAGGTGCAGCGGGTCCATTCAGTCCATTTCGTAAATGGGGATAGACAGCGTGCGCGGGCACAAAGGCTTGTGTTTGCGAATAAACTGGAGTGAAAATGCAACTATGGTTTGAGCGAATACAGTTGATGCACCGCCCATCTGCAGAGGTTTCGAACCCAGAACAGCGGATCTAAGTAAGTGTAATCAGCGCACAATTACTCCGGGGTTGGTGGCAAGGTTCTCCCGTACCTTGCGATGCCGACAGTGCCGACAGGCAATTGCCGTTCGCTGTCGCGGAGCTGCTGCTTTGTAAAAGCCATGCGGTGCTTGAGCTGACGCCTGTGCATGACGGCGGAACGTCCTCGGCGGCGGAAGAAGATGATAAAGGCCCTGCCCTTGATGCGCGTTGATTGCAGCCATGTTTGGCAGAGGCAGATGCTGTGGAGTCGGATATTGCAAAGAACGATATCGCGGAGGATACTGCTGCGGACTAGAGTCCGGTGGCGCGTACTGTGAAAAAGGGAGGAGATATTGGTGATAGCCTCGTTCAAGCTCCAGCGGCTTACGGTAGGACGAGAGCTCGTACTGCGGAGTTATAATTAACGACCATGAGACCCCGCAAAGCACCTTAAGACTGCAGGACGCACATACAGGATGGGGACTCAGCTCATACGGCCGATTCCGCTGGAAGGGGCCTTTTTCCTGCCGAACTGGGCCATCACCATTTGGATTAACCTTTTGGCTAGCGTCGCGGTTGTTGAAATCGCTCATTTATGAATACGGGGAGAAGAACTGCGAGATGAGTTAAGCATGCAAAGATGTGAATTGACTGTTAATGAGAGAGATATCAAAACACAGACAAACTCAGCACAAGCGGTCAAGAAGGGGAGATGCGATAAGACGCGCAGATGCAATGGTGTCTATACAATGTTTGACATCATCAATGTGGCAGATGGCTTCACCAAGGTTCAGGGTTGCATGGATGAGTCGTGCCATGGCATTACTGTATCAATATCCGAGCGGCCGTTGTTCGCTGCGTAACCGGGACGAACCGCACGGACGCAACCGGCCCATCGGGCATGGTTCATTTTGCATGGCGGTCAAATCAGGTCAGGGGGACGATCCCCTCGCCATTATGGACGCTGATTGGTCGGTTCTCTTGCTAAGAAACTCTTGTCGGCTCTTTGCGCTCTCTTCCGATTGCTGCTCTGATGGTTTCTCTCCTTCCTTCTCTGGCCTTCCTTTTCTTGTCAGGCTTATTGCATACCACATTCATATTTTCGCCTCTGCTGCTTCTTTTTCCCGGCGTCCGGTGATCCTCGTCTGTGCTACTCTCTTACAGCCATAGAACTTTCGGCGAAAGCATCTTGTGCGCACATACACGTCTTGCACATCTGCGCTGCCTATATGATTCATCGTCCGCGGTATTTTCTCACTGCTCCCATATTTCTTTGTCTCGTGAAATAAGGAATGAGCCCCTTGATTAATTCGATATTTTGTCCTCCGGAATTCCTAGTGATGCCATCTCTCCCTGCGCAAAGAACTGGAAACGTCTATCCCCTGTCCCGGCCAGGGACTCGGCTATACCCGGAGGGTATGTTCGGTCTCTGATATTCTATTCTCTGACAATCTCTTGCATCGGCACTCTAGCGTTAAGTGGAACCTTAACTGGAGAAGCGAAAAATTCCGTGTCCCAGAAACCGGGAGTGGATGCATAGTTGCCTAGCTTGGCAAAAGCTAGCAAGAATCCCAACGCGCTTCTAGGTCTCTAGGCTGTGCGGGCCCCTGGGCTGTCTGGACGGGCTTTCTGGCGGCGGCTACTGACGAACATAGATAGCCAAAAAAAGGCAGCCTGGGGGGATCGGTAAGTACCAGAAATGACGTATCATGCTCAAATGTGTTACACTCAGGTCAACCTAGAGCTAATCAGACATGAAAGTGAGGCAGCCGTGTGCAATTGATCGGCACTTCTGCAACCTGCGTTGACCGAGCAGAAAGGACGTGGGATATTGTCCAGTTGTCTCCCCAAAGCAAGCATTGAGCGGCAAGGGTAAGTAATGTGGCGTTGTTGTAATACAGCTAATGATGCTTTTGGGCCTTACTGCCCACTACTCCGATCAAGCTCCTGATTCTTGCGCTTAGCCTCCTGACCTTTGAGCGGATGGTGTAGCGAAGTATAACGGGAACATTTGACTTGAACTGCAAGGGTTAGTGTGGGCTAGCCTGAGAACTTTGCAATTTAAGTTGATACCTTCAGTGTATTGAACACACCCGAGAGGGAACGCACTCCTTTGCGCGCAAATGCGCAAGAGTTATGCCTCTATTTAACTACGGCCTCTATTTAATTACGGCCTCTATTTAACTACGCTGTTATCTGTTGTGGTTAGATCGCCCTTTTGACGTGTCAACATTAGCTGCTACCTTTTGCACATTTCAGCCGCATTGATATGCGTTGTATTTATAGTCACAAATTAGGTACAGTGGCTGCCGTTTCCATCTTTTGCGTAGAAAATACAAGAGGCGCTCTTTTAAACTGGCAAATCTCCGTGTAATGTTAGGTTAAGTCGTGTCGACGTACATCGTAGGCTCAATTTCACAGTTACACAAAGTCTGTCAAGTCGCCAAAAGCCTCGGATAAAGCGAGTTGGCAGGGCAAGGGGCCAAAGGAGCTAAAGTCCAGGGGGATATGCACTGTCGTTGGGGCAGGACACGGAAGCCCCTGGCGCGAAATCAATGACGATGAAGGAGCGCAGGGATAGAAGAGAGATTCCTGATGAGAAGGGAAAACCCTGATCGAATGTTGGTTGTTCATATTCGCAAGCCATATTTGATGGGTTCTACTACTCGTTGACAAATTCTGACCTATCCGCTCAAAAGAAGGCCTCCTATCAACTTGTCCATTGCTCTCATGGTGTTGTGGGTCCACAGCATTGAAGAGGTTGGGTAGTTTTTCCTTCGAGACAGAAATACTAATATTCCTCTCTTGAAATGTGATTAGCTTCGATTATACGGTCAGTTGCAGGGACCTACCAGTTAAGCTCTCTAGAAACTTTTCCTCCGCGTCCCTAACGGCGTACAACTCGTCCAAAAGTAGTGATCGTTCCATCGGACTAATGAGCCGTCTAGTGGGTTGCTCTGCGAGCTTCAATTTTTGTGCTGTTATTCCGTGACTGAGACGCAGTTCGCAAAGAATGTGGACAAGAAGTGCGATGCGCTCTATTTGAAGGTTAGTCAAGTTGGGAGCAGAGAGAAGGTCTTCCTACCAGCTTTACAGTAAGGTGGTGATCAGGCTCTCGGTGGGTCACCCCAGGTGGCCACCACGGTGGCTTGGTTTCTTCGGGGCTCATTTGCTGTGTTATGCCCGCCAGTCTTGCGTCCGTTGTAAGGATATTGAACTTGTTTGCGCGGCTCAACAACTTTCACATAGGCTTTAGCGATAACCCGGCAATTCGTTCGCTGCTAATTTTGGAAGACTCTTTCGTAGTACCGACGAAGGAACGTGCTATTACTGACTGGGATCAAGGCTGGGTAAGGACCCGTGTTGAGACCCTGAATCCCTACCGTCTCCCCGCACTGTAAAGTTGTCTTTGGTTGGGGTGGCGCAGGTTGGGTAGAGCATCCTTGAACGATGATAATGTCGACTTTGTCCCTATCTCTTTCAGCTTTTCGAAGGTTTCGGAAGCTTGCATTACATGGGGCATGGCTTTGCGGAAAAGGGTTTGCGGCAGGCCAGAATGGATGATAAGCCTAACCCCTGATTCTGCCACCGCTTTTAGAAACCTCGCCGTAACTTGCACAGAAAGAATATCCTCGCGACTGTCGCAGAGGGAGGGTGATATCTCGCGGCGAAGGTTTCCATCGCGGTCAATATACATAACGGCAAAATGCCGAAGAGACATTCCATTGTGCCAACATTTCCTCGACGTGCTTGCTGATTTTATTTGGTCAGTCATCAATTCCTTGGTTGGCCGCAGAACCGATGGAAACGATACGGCAAAAACATCGACCATTCAGATCTAGAAACATGTCATTTGGAGCCCGACTTAGAATGAAGAGCTTTTGTGGTCGTCATAAGAATATTTACAGGAACCTCTCAAAAACAGATGAGGACAAGGCAAGGGGCTGCTCGAAAGAAAGAGCGGAGGGCCTATACTGTAACCTATAACTTTTATGATACATCGGCTCGGCAGCAAGTGCCTGGATTAAGATGTTTACGCAAGAATGAATACAAAATGCATACACTTAGTGTGAATATAATGATCAAATGACTACTGAAAATCTACTATACCAAATACAGCTGTGATCTGACTGGATGTGCTTTACCAAGGTGCCTTAGACGAGTAATAACATAACACATTTTGGAAATCTACGTGGTACTAGAAATATTTGACCGTTTGGATAGAGAACACTCAAACCCCGCTGCCGAACTGCCCCTGACGATGTGGTTGGACAAAAAGCGCTGGCCTCAGGAATGAAGTGCGACGCTGTTGTCATGCCACAAAATTCGTGGCTTGGGCATGGAAATGGGCCGCAATAGGGCATCTAAGCCTTGGGCTACTGTATAAAAGCATTAGTTCACGTTAGAGAGGGATCTGGAGCCGCGAGATCCAATCAGATGATGCCAAGGAGCAGACCGGCTTGCTAGCTGGTCCAGCAACTTTATTTTCTTGATATTTTTTCCATGGCCCCCACCGTGAACCTTGTAAGCCCATCCTTTCCCCAACAGCGTTCTAGGTATTCTACATTCACTGAACTATTAGGGGTCACGCCTTCAAGGTACTATCACTATCTTGCTAAGAACTCCCCCATCACCGTAATGTTATCGCCGACTCACAGCATATATATTAAGGCAGATTTTGAAAGCGGTGGGTTCTTTATGACGGCAATCAGGTGCCATTTTTTTCTCATAGGAATTGTTAGCAATTACACGTCTGCAAGGCTGATGCGGGACAAAGTCCAGTTATATATTATCAAGATGGAACACTAATGAATCATCCACATTAGGCGATTTCCTATATCTTCCCGTACCAGACTGCATAGTGAGTTCTTCCTGATAACGTCCACTCTGACTCTTTGAAGGTCGCAGGGCCAAAGCCCATAGACGCTCTAGATGTTTATATTATCTCAATCTTTGCCTTTTTGGTCTGGTCACAAATAGTGAATGCGCTTCCTCCTGAATCGTCTTTGACAGACGAAAGTATATGAACTGTAGGTCTACCAAACTCAGAATCACTTAATGAACGCCATGAAGCTATAGGCCTTTGCAGCTTATACGTAGATAAGTATAGTATATTGATGAGAGAGTACGCCTAAAGCAGCTAGGACTCAATCACCTGGGATAAATATAGCGTACAATGTGCTATCCGAATATTTAATGCCTGTCCGGTTCCTCTAGTTGGCAGACCTTGAGGGCCTGCACTTTTTAGATGGGCCTTCCAGTAACAAGGAGCTCCCCAGAAATGAGAACGCCGGGTCAAGTGCGTTCCCCTTTACGCGGCGATGACGTACATCTGACTTTCTTTCTCGCATGAAGCATTTACTGTCGTTCGCTTACAAAGTAATCTTCTACAAACCAACCCTCTAGCGAGACTAGACGCAAAAGACAAAAGATAAAGGATGACGGGCCGCAATTTCACACGTCATAATTTCTCTGTTGCGTGGACCCCGGATTTCTAAGGGCAAGTGGCTGTGGTGACCGTATGTCTGGTTTACTGTGTGATCCATGGACGTATTAACTAAAGTAGTTCTCCAGGGTGTTCAGTAAGTATTGGTAAAGGTAAGGCATATCTTGCTAGGATATGATTCGAGTATCCAAATGGTCTTACCCTGATCGGCTAGAGGTAACCGCCCAACTTTTTGCTCCATGGAATCAAACAGATCGTCGTCGTTGCAAGAAGCTACGACAAATCTATACTGCGCGCGAAGATCGAAATCATCGAGAAGGAATTATCTGCGGTGAACAGGATGTCCCTGTACAGTATGCTCCATGCGACTAGGCGATAGCACCGATGTTCAAGCTGTAAAAAAGAAGACGGACCGTGTTCATATTTTGTATGCATGCAATGTAGGTAGGTTCGCAACTACAAGTTCTCGGCTATTTCGATGAGCGGTATCCAATCTAGGACTTGGAATTCCATATGAATATAAGCTGTCACCACAAGACGATTGAGTATTTGCCACCAACTGCGTGTTAAGAGATATAAGAGGGCTATATAGAGTGTATATCAAGTATATCGTAGCTGCGCCGGGTTTCCAATAAGGAACCATATGCGCGTTTAAGCACAGAGAAAAGTCCTATATCAAGCGGTACTAGAAGTTGATCACATATCTGCTGGTTTATAGAGACTGGTAATCGCGTTTCGCAAATTCGGTCGAATTAAGGTGTGAGATAGCCACCGCGTCTATCGAGGATTAGTAGCGATATTTCCAGCGTGTACGCAAAATTGTAAGTGGAATAAAAAGCTTCTAGAGCCTGTGAAGGCCGATCTTGTCGGTAGTTGTGAAGAAAATGTTGAAAACAAAGGAATGGGTGGTCGTATGGTCCGATTGTCAGGGATCCACCTAGACCGTGCCGTAACCATGATGAGTCTTCGGAATCGACCCGGATGTCCTCAGTCAATCACGTCATGGGCTCTTAGGACCTAGCATATGTGACATCTGTTAATAATTATGTGATACCTTCATCAATCAGATATCAGACAAAGGTTTGGGGGATAATGGTCCTTTTCATGGGAGCCTTATCTGAGTCTCTTCAAGATTCAGTTTTCAGTGATGTCGACACATGCAATTTGGTTCCATACTGTTTCATACCCATTTCTGTTGCTTTTGTCCATTTATTCTTTACCTGACGAACGCGTTCAGCACTGCTAAGTAGTTTTAAATCTTACAGTAGTCTAGCCGTTTGCCGGTCTGGAATTGCCAATCTGGGAAGTTTATCGGACCAAGATTGCACCAAACAGACTAAAGTTTGTGTCTTGAGCTGGGCTTTTCTCACGAGAATTTGGGGTGCGCATGCTGGCATCCACGGAAGCCTTCCTTTTGGGAAACGGGGAACAGACAAGCAAATGTGAGCTAGCCGACAGATTCAGGACCTGAAGATTGGTGGTGCTGAGCTTCGCATGCACGGGAACAGGCCAGGCTCCTTGGCGCTCTTGTGAGATCTTCTCCGTTATGCTTAATTCGAGCGGAGCAGATTACATGAGTCATATGAGAGCTCGCGCGAACTTTCTTCATGCCCGCCCTTGCACATAAAAGACCGGCGCTGTCCTCGAGATTCTTATGGACAGGTCTACTTCTTGATTAGCCAGGCCAGAGAAATTCGAGAGTCGTAAAAACCGGGGGATGGCTATGTTTGCTTCTATCATTACGTGCAGGTTAGTATAAGTGGCCAAGTCCCACATACGTATACGGTTGGAGCGCTCACTACGACTGCACTGGTGTGGGTGTAGCTTTTCGAGGCGCGTTAAACTGGAATTTCAGGCTAAAACCCAATATTATCGTGATACTAGTGGTGACGTAAGATTTCACTGAGTGGCGTGAAGCGTGCATTAGATCTTACAACACAAATTCTTCTGACGCCTCACGCCTCTGGTAGGTTGCGTGGTGGAAGCTGAGTATACTAACCGAAAGTAACCGGAGCGCTCTAACTAACTGCAGTGTAATTAATAAGCGTGGCGCAATATTATAAAGGTAAGTAGGAATGGCTTCATGAGGAGAATCCCTTCGTTCGGTACTTTAACCTAGCTCTTGTCTGAAGGACTGCACCCTTTAGCGCTGCGTCCCGCTAACAATTCCCTACGCGCGCCAGTTCGAAATGTCCCTTGAGACAAGTCGTAGCAGGGCCGTCTTCGTCGGGGTATCTGCTGCCTGGGTGCTCGCCACCGTTGTCGTCTGTGCCCGTCTCATCCGGGCATTCGGATTCATCAAGCGCCGTTCGTTGGAAGACTGCATAATCCTCTTAGCATGGGTAAGTGTTACGGAGGTTAATGAAACCGATCAGAGTGCATTGACGAGGTCCTAGATACTCGCATTTGGGGTGAATTTTGCAGTCGACTTCGGAACCTTTAAAGGTCTCGGGTACCATCAAGAGCTCATCACCACCGAATGGGCTTCACAGCTGGTGAAGTCAGAGTACGTTGCACTAATTCTCTTTAACCCTGCCTTGATGGCCACAGAGAGTGCTATCCTCCTCCTCTATATTAACATCTCGAGAGGCCAGAAGTTCCTACGTGTGGGCTCCTGGATAACACTGGTTCTAGCCAATGTCCGCGGAGTCTTAATAACATTTTTGACCGCTTTCCAGTGTAGTCCGGTGGTGGCTGCATTTGACCCTTCGATCGAAGACGCAACCTGCTTCTCAATAGAGAAGATCTATATAGCTTCAGCACCAGTCAATATCGCAATCGATCTCGCCATCCTTGTCCTGCCGATCCCGGCGCTGACAAGCCTGTCTCTGCCGCTGGTGCGAAAGGCAATAGTCATCCTGGCTTTCATTCTTGGGGTTATATTTATCACGGTAATCGACGTCGCGCGGATCTATTACTTGCAGCTGGCAGCCACCAATCTTAGCCAAATACAGAGTACCAAACTGGCCACAAACCGGGAGTTCTCCTATAATGCGAGCATGGCTCTGCTATGGTCCGCCGCCCACATCAATGTCGGCATAGTCGGTGCATGCATGCCCACTCTGGGGCCCTTATTTGCCCTCCTAGCGCGGAACGCGTTGTTGAAGATCTGGGAGACCCGCAGATTCGTCCAACGTTCGTCGTCGACGGTGGAGCTCCCACAGCTACAGAACCCGCGTCAGGCGAGTCCTTCAATACCTGGCACAGCTACCCCTGCACAGTTACAGTTAAGAGCCTCGACGCAGCCAGCTGCCGAACCGTGCACAGAGGATCTACAGCCCTCATGCAATGGGGAAGTCGCTATGAATTTTGGGTCTATACCGCCGGGCTTGTCAGATTTCGGGTTCGTTAATCTGCGTGAGCCAGAATGCATACTTGATATGCGCAGCTTTAAATCCACAAAGTACTGCTTCTTTGTTTGCATCCTTCTTTTCTTGGTTGTCTTTCTCGAAGTGCTGCTTTTTTCGGTTGCCGGCTTAGCCCCGGTGGTGCGCAACCGGATTCAGACAATTGGCATCACATCAGCCACGTACGGGGGAATTGCTCTTGCACCTACCCTAGGTTACCGTATCGTGTGTGATGTAGGATTTAAAGCTACGTTCCTCACGTCTTTGGGTCTTTGCTGCGTTGGGACATTGATGTTTTGGCCTTCTGCTGCACTGCTTTGCTATCCGTCCTATCTTGTCTCCACTGCTATTGTTGGGATGGCGGCAGGCTTACTGGACTTGACGGCTAACACTTTCCTTGTGCTCTGCGGACCACCGTGTTACGCTGAAGTTCGAGTGTTGTTTGGTCAAGGTGTGGAAGCAATCGCTGGGACCATAGGCAATGTGCTCAGTGAGAAGGTTATTTTTCAGAATATAGGCAGCGACCAAAGCTTGATCGCTGTCCAATGGACCTACCTAGCCATTTCTGTTTTCGTTGTCTTACTTGGCATTTTCTATTACTACCTCCCTCTGCCCGAAGTAACCGATTCGCAGCTGCGAGCTTGGCATGCAACACTTCCGCTGGATGATACACGACGCTTCTTTGGCAGAATTCCTTCCATCGTCGCTACGACGGCTATAGCTACTCTGTCAGTGACATGTGCAACCGGGGCAGTGGTCTGTCTCCGCGGAAATGTCGATTATCTCTTATCTAGCATTTCTGGCAGCACTGGTACATCTCCAGTTCTTAAGACTGCCAACTTTCAAATAGTTGTTACGGCTATCGATGCTGTCGGGTTGTTCTTTGCGGCCTTGCTATGTCTGTTCATACCACCGCGCGTTGTCCTGCTTGCAGACTATGTGTGCGCTATTGTATGCTCTGCGCTTATTGTGACGTTCAACTGGCCTTCCGCAGGTTCGCTCCAGGCAATGACATTTGCTTTATCGCTATTCCTGTGGCCGCTTCCAAACTTCGTAGTGGCCATAGCGTTACGTGGTATTGGCAAGTGGACCAAACGCTCCGCCTGTCTCATCTATGTCGGAGTTGGCCTTGGAGGATGTATCTTCCCCTTCGTCATGTGGGCGGCTACACAGTCACACTTCGTCCAATACTCATTTAGTGTCATTGTCGCGCTCTTCTCTACCGGGACTCTCTTTCCGGTCTACCTCGTCTTGGTTCCTGACACGCAAGTTCCGTGGAGAGCGCCATGTTGGAGAGCCTTGTGAGGACCTTTAGACCCATACCCTGACCGTCTATTGCCGACAAACTGTCACAAGAATGATGATACCGGAATCCGGACACGGATTCATGTGACGTCGCTGTGAGCCTCCAATCAATTGAAGGGCGTGCTAGAAGTACTAAGGCAGAAAGCGCGGCTGACGCAGAGCCACGACCGGGCACTATAACTGGGAGTTTTTTTGGCTGAACGCAACGTTGGAGGCCGCACTGAAAGATAGTTTTCGATCTATCGCCAGCCGTATCTTCAATATCCAAGAACATCGGCTCTTAGAGAGATTATGGGACAATGAATCGGTGGCTCTAATTCTGATATTAGATGGCTGCTCTTTGGCAACTACAACGAGCCTGACCAGTTCGAGATCAACGATTAATACCCTCATACTACATGTCACGGGGCTGTTGATGTTACCACTACGTGACAGATTGCATTTGCGGAAACATTTTACATGTAAAGCCATTGCATAATATCGAAGATAACCTCGCAGTCTGACAAATCCGACCAAAAATGAGAGAATTTCCTAACAGGTATGGTACCGGATATACATCTAGGATCAACTAAGAACCCATTAGATCTTCATGCATACGAGTGACTTGTATGCCTTCCTGCTGCGTTTGCCACTGCTGGGACATATTTTTAGCGAAGTACTATTAGCTTTGAAGACAGATGGGTCGCAGATTCGCCCAACTAAGAATCTACCATTCAACGCCATCACCCTCAACATTATCGAGAATATCCTGATTCCTGGGAACGTTGTATATCACTGAACTTTGCCGTAGCGGAACTTATAGACCACTTCGTCGTTCATCTTGGAGACCGATGAGTGTCATATTTCCCAGGGTCCAGGGCGAGTAGATCTGCTCACACAAGGCACGGACCAACAGCCTCGAGGATCGGTGGGCGGGTGCTCATCAAGCAACGTTAATAGAACGTGAGCGACTGCTCCTTTGCGAGCTAAAATAAGAATACCTCCTTCTAGTTTCTGTACCAAGCATCTTTGCGTGACCTGGGAGGAGTAAAATATTGGTTTCTCCGGACCAATCCGCAAGCAACGCCAAGGAGGTCGTCCACATTGCTCAACTGTACTTTTCTGCAGCAGTCGAAAGTTTTTTGAACAGAGGTGAAGACGAAGAGCTTTCCAGGCAGCGGCTAAAGCTGCTTAGGCATATATTCGTTATTGCCTCTGCAAAAATTTTCTCAACATCTGAAACTTCGCAATAAGATTGGCTGTATTTTAGAAGATTGCATAAAGACTGCATACAGAATAAGTCCCGGTGTCATCAACAGAATTGCTACACAGGGTCTTTCACTGTGTCATTTACATAGCAGAGTAACCAAAAGCCTCGAGAATGACGGGCCAGAAGATACTTTAGGAGAGTCTTGAAGACCCATAAGACGTGATACGGCTGCCCGTGCCGTGTGCACACCGTAGCTTGTGTCCACACAAGTTCGCCATGGAACCTCGACAAAAGGCCCAACCAGAGCGAGGTTTACGACTGATTTTGGGTTAATGCAAGGGCGATCTTCGAGGGATCTGGTCAATAATGTCGAGCTCATCCTTGGCATGGCGCGTGGTATGGTAATAGAACGCTGTAAAAATTCTGTGGCCATTTCGCCAGAGGGACCCAGATAATGTAGGATTTCGGACATGACTTCTGCACCGGAACAAAAAAGCATGTTCTTTTTGACATGCTCGCCTTCGTTTTCGGGACGTAGAGCAAAGCCCCAGAGTATACGGACGTTTTGCGGCTGTTGAGCAAACACGGGCTGGACAGGGAGACAAAGCCTCAAGCCCCAGTTACTATTCTTCATGAAAATTATTGCACCAGACTGAGATGTGCACTGCGACGAAGACTGAAGAAATTCGACGAATCCGATATCTCCGGTGGTAACAGTGAAGGATACCACCATAGATTCGGATTTGCGTGTGCAGAAGGTGTAAGGGTTGCCATAGTCAGGATATTTATTTCCAGCTTCCAACCATAGTGCCCAATTTGCGTCGAGATTATCGCTTGCTTGAACTGAATTCCAAGCTGGCGGGAGATCATTTGTTCCAATTGCAGAACCTGACACAGTTGAGCCCGGTGTAGCAATGACGATATCGCTATGGCCTAGAGATTTTTTGAAATCAAATCCGTGCTGAGAAACGGCTAGCTGCCTGATTGTATGATAATCCTGGTTGACCGTGGTTTCGACATTCCTTATTTTGATGCCGAACTGAAAATCCACGCCCTGGCTCTGGAGAAAAAGATATAATGGAAGATAAATAGCCTCGTATTGATAATGGCCAGTCAGATCCAGGCAGCTCAAAATACTTAAGCTGTGGAAGTCGGATAAATATTGCCTAACAGCACGCCTGAATTCTAGGGCACTGTGCCAGGGCTGAAAACCGAACCTGATAGATTCGCATACCTGGAGTCAACCGGGGAAAACCAATGCGCTAGGTCGTGCAATTACTCACTGTGTCGACCAGATCATCCAAAATGTGCTTTGAAAGAAGCTTTCTCGAAAATAATTGCGGATCTCCTTTTTTTGCAGGCTTTTCTCCTCTTTAATAAGGAGACGCATCAAACGTATCCTGTGAATCCACCGCATATTCAGCGACTTCGTAGGCAAATGTTTTAAAGCTCCTTCATTTTGAGTGATAAAACAGGTGCCTTCTTTTCCATTGATGGCGAGTTGTTCCTCTTTTTCTTGGATGTCACGGAGATAAGAGCGGCCTTCTGCCAATGCGGACGGAACCATATCGAGAAGCTCTGTCAACTCCGAACCAATGGGAACAGGGAGGCACCCTGCAAATTGATCGTAACCTTCATGTGAATTACCTGGTTGATGTACTATTTGCTGCAAGGACAAGTGTTCATCCAGGATGTGTACAGCAGAAGGACGTAAATGAGCATGCTTTATCAGATAAACAGCTGACGCTAGAGAGGCAGTTCCGCTTCCAAGGATCCAGGCCTCAGTTGTTTCTGGCAAGCGACGATTGGAAGGTTCCGAGCTACTCATGAAGCGTTTCTAGTTGGCGAAGCAGATCCAAGTTGGTGCTGGTGGAAGACTGGTGGTTGTACAAATGTCGAACATCGAAAGGCAGGACACGCCCGCCCATGTAACTGCCCATATACCAGCACAGTCATAAGTAATATGGTGGCGATACTTGAGTCAAGTCTTTCGGTCATAGGCGTCTAGATACCGTTCGGTTCAGCCACCCGTAGCTACCGTCACTTCTGTGGAAAACTATGGTTCGCTTCCATATGTAAGGGTCCTCTAGCGGGGAAAGAAATCAGGAAAGAGACGAAAAGTAACAGATACTGAGTATCGAACGTTTTTCTTTCATGTTGAGTAGAATACATCTCGATTGATACCCAGACCTCTTAACATAGCTAGGTGCAAAGGGCGGTCGGTATCGATGACATCATCACTAACGACACCTTGTGCAAGCGATCCCGGTGCATTACTCTTCTCAGCCGATAATCTCTAAGTCTGGAATATATTATACGGTCGGGAATTTGCCACGTAATTAGCGTCCGAGTATATTAAGATTAACGGCTACGAGAACCGGATAGACACAACAAAAAGGATCCAAAGGGTACAGGGCGCAACCGAGCAACTGTTAACTTGTAAATGGACTTGAATGCTGCAAATACGGTATCCAAATGAAACCACTTCGATTCTTTGGTTAATTGAACGTTGATGTTCCCTCTTTCCAGAAGTCCGTTTCCTTCTAGATGCAAGAACCGCGCAACCAGATCCAAGCCTGCCTTCAACCTAGATTAGGGCCTATAGGTCACCTTTGTACACCCCTCGCTAGATACTTATTCTAAAGAATGTGGCGGTTGACCATGATCCGTGCCTAGAGAGTGAGTGCGACTGTCGATGACTTTCCCCAACCTTAGTGTTACGGGCCTACTAACACCAATCAGTTGCGGGGCTGCGACTAACTTATGGGCCACCGAGGGTCAACAGATATATCTGTTATCATAGCACGTGCAGTCTGTACTCTGGTACCCCGGATTCAGGGAAGAAGGAGACTATGATCATCCCCGGTGAACAGGGAGCATGATCCACCCTGAGAAGGACCCCACTTTCGGACATTATCCTATCTATATGTGGTTCTGCAGGATTGAACCTCGGCAGTGAAAAGGCCACTTCCGGGATTCGCTGTTTCATTGAATACCAAGCATAAAATAAATGCCGGCCGAAGCTTTGAAAATCACTTCCGTTTTGTGCTCCCTATTGTTGAAGATACATCGACTATCGCTACCGACCGACAAGGATCTCTAACATCAGTGCCGCGCACATCCCTCCAGGCCCTGGTTGAATCCGTCAACGTTCACTGACTCTTTATCTGTTTCAATTATAGGCCGGGCTTTGGTTGGGAGATGTTCTAGTCGATGACCTAGTATTTCTCGCGAAGGGTCCGTCAAATAGGACTGATAGGCCAGTTCACTAAGAAAGTCATGCTCCATATACACAGAGCCTAGATTAGAGAGGTAGCTTGTCTAAGACTGATTGCCGTACTCGAAATCTGAAGGGAATACAGACGTGGAAGTTGAAACAGACTGAGGACTAGCGAAGGACATCTGGTGAGGAGACCATGTTGTTTCGCTATCGGGCGCACCAGAACCGAGTGGCACAATGTGTGAAACCTCTCTAATTGGCCCGCTGAGCAGGAGAGGATCTTGAGGTATCGGCTGTGCTTCAGACATCTGGCTGCGTGGAGAGCGTCTTACGCCAATGGGATTTTGAAAGATGGCAAGTTCCAAGTCGTTTGGCACGTTGTCGCGCGAAATCGAAACTCTTGTGTTCACGTCTGCAAATAATCAGAATAAGCTCCATGGGTAGGGACACATACATACTGATAGAACCATCGAGAAGTTTCTCTTCCTTCTCTCGCACATAGTATAGTTCATCAAGTAGATTTATTCGATCGGTTGGATATATCTGTCGTCGTATGCTCTCATCTGCCGCTCTCAATCTGCGCGCAGTAACTCCGTGGCTGGCGCGTAATTCACAGAGAATATGAACGAGAAGCTCGATTCGTTCTAGATCGATAGTCAAAGTACGTCGTTATGAGCAGCGAGAAAGAAATTACTCACCAGCTTTGTACAGATGATCTGGCTCTCGATGTCTCACTTCAAGCGGCCACCAGGGCGGTTTAGCCTCATCTGAACTGCATTGGTATGTTATCCCTGCGAAGTTCTTTCGGCCATTGTAGGGAAATTTGACCTGTTTCCGCGGCTCGACAAGCCTGACATACACTTTTGCAAGAACTCTGCAATTCCGCTGTTGTAGATTTTCGAAAACCTTTCCGTAGTACTGACGAAGAACGCTTGCGTTCCCAAGAGATATCATAACATTCCTGGAATTTAGCACGGTATCTGCTATTTGTGGTGTAACCTCATCTGGCGAAGATACACTGGTTCTCATATATTGATGGACTAGCTCTTCAGGCCACTCGACTGGCAATCCATGAGATGCTGGGGCTATTAGGCTAGCGATATGAGCCTGAGTATTTAGTAGCCCCGCGGTTTGAAGGTTATAGGTTTGTTTGGGTTGGGCAGTTCCACGACTTAGCAGCCCGTGAGGCGGCGTTGCCTGTACACCTATTCCAAATTCTTCGGGTTAGTCTAACAAACAAGATGCAGTCAGGGATTTCACCAACATTGAATCTTATCGGGACTACCTTCGAATGCCGAGACCGCTTGTAGAAATCGGGTTGTGACTTCTGGTGACAGGATGCGGTCACGATTTTTGGAGATGGAAGTCGAAATATTATGGCGGATATTACCTGCTTGGTCAATATAAATAACTGCAAAATGAGGAAAGGCCCCCTCATCACAGTTTTGTAACGACGGGGATGCTAATTAAAACCATATCAGCCCGTGTTCACAAATGCCGCTTAGGACGAATGATAGTCTGGGTTTCCTTAGGAATTGCCACTCAAATCCTTCGGACGAGCGCTCGCAATAGGAGTCTTACTGGCTGTCAGATTTAACGGGGAGGGAAGCTTAGAATCAACGATGATCACATCCGAAGAATTTGTAGTCAGCGACATTTGCATGGTCGATTGGACAAGCAGGGCGCTTAAATGGTGGATATTTTTGTGTGAAAGGAAAAGCAGGAGATGAAGGGATTTATAGAGAGGCGTCTTTATAATCCGGCCAGTCAATAATTGGTCTAACAATCGTAGGTATCATTGAAAAATCAATGTTGCCACGGAAGCCGACATTTGCAGCAGAGCGGGGGTATCCTAGCGGGAAGCGTTATCTGGCTTAGCGGTCACTCTAATTTTGACGTATGCGACTGTCAGAATTGCTCCCCACATACCCATGTTGAGGTTCATGCGCCGAACCATGGCCTTGGCGGATGCCTTGAGATTCGGGGCTCCACCTTAGAACGACGAAATCCAACAATTATGGAAATACCATCTGAGCCTTAATATGTCTCTGTGCACTGAGCGGGCAGATGAAGTAGTTCCGGCCTAGCCAGATGACAGCTTGGTGATATTTTATGAAAATGATTCGCCGAGGACCAGAGCAAGGCAATCCTTAGAGTAATCGAAACGTTGTCAAGCTCCAGCGCACTCGGAGTGCAGATCACTTCAGAACAAAAGTACTGGTCCCCCAACCAAAAATGCTGTGTCATAATAGCCTGTCAACGATCGGTGAATCAGCAAGGTTTCGTATGTAGCAATGGATCATCACTAAACAGATGTTTCTCCCTCAGTCTGCCCGTCCGTCTGTTCCATACATTCAAAAATTCGGTCTACCACTGACATGCTCAAGTCTCTCACATTTGAAATCGCTATATTTGAAATGGACAAAATGTACACGATGTGTCATTTGGCCATCATATCGCTTGGACTGCAGGTCCCAGTCGTGCTTGTCTCTTTTTTCCTGTCAACCATTTGCTGCAGAGAATGAACCCCTGACTTCCAAGTTCGGCCAAAAGTCCCGACCACTAACGACGCGCAGCAGGACATAAGCAAATAGCGCATCTTTGATACGAGAGCAAAATGGTCATTGCGCAGGCTTCCCCTCGCTTGTCATGAAGTTCTCCATCACATTTGCGTTCTTTCTAATACAGCTGTAGTTCCTCTTTGGGTGTGGATCTACAAGTCTCACCTCGGCAAATGTCTTACAACTGGTCTGGGTTCTGCATTTGGCTACGCAGCAGTTCGAAAAAAAAAAAAAAAAAAAAAAAAAAAAAAAAAGAGGAAAAAGAAAACTCTGATCAAGGTAGCAAAATAAAATAGAATAAAATACATAGCCACAAACGTGGTGATCAATGGCCGGTCCTATTACAAAGGATAATATCTGCGTCTATGGGCAGATGGTTTTACCCAGTGACTTGAAAGCTTGAAAGTTAGTTACAGGGATTGAAAAGAAAAGCACAAATTACTAGTAGGCGTAAAAGCGCGGTTGAGTCTACGGTACTGGAGATATTGGTGTCCTGGGTGGTGAGTGGCCAGGCTTCGCTGCTTGAGTGGGTGGGGTAATCACCCGTTCTGCTGGCCAAGCAGAGATGCAGGCAGGGCTAAGCCGCTCTTTCTTGCTTTCAGCTCCTTGAAAGTTTGCCTATTTTGGTAATTTCTTTGCCCAAACTCATGATCGAGTGCATGACTGCGCAGGGGGCTACTTAACCGACCATAGTCGAGTGTCTGAGTGATGGTAACATTTTGGCCCTCATGAAAATTCACCTGACTCCCATTTCGAGACTCATAGTTCATATCGACGTGGTATATGTATCTTCGGGACAGGCTTATGCTTGACAGCTGCGGTCTGATGTCTTGATACACTTTGTTTATCTCATGCTTGAGCCCCAATTTAGGTGTAGCCGATATCTTGCTCAACATGTGGGGGTTTCTATTAGAAACGCTCAAATGATCCACTTTTTTATCGCCTGCAGAAGGCACTTCTCTCAAACGAGCATCAACCCCTCCCGAAGTTCTGGCTAATCCGGCAGGAAAGCCCATGCTAGTGCAAGCTGGATCATATCAGTACACATCACCTTGACGAGGGGGATTAAACTCACCATAAATAAAGGAGCAATTATCCAATTTAGGAAGATGCTGGGCCCGATTTGAATCCAGACCCCTCGCTTTCGGAATGCATGGTGCAAATATTCGTGCCGTACCTTGCAAAGAATAGGATACATCATGACCAAGAGACCGATTGCTGGCACCGGTTAGCCAGGCCTGACAAATTTACAGTTCACGCGCACATACCGATTGGAATGGAAACCCTAACGAATTCCCCTTGTTGCAAGGCAGGGCCCGTATTATCGACAAAGTTGCCTAGGATAATTCCAACGACCATGGCAAGGAAGAACCATAAGGCGAGAAAAAGATCTAATCAGCCAAGGCCTTGAAGGCTGATTGCTTGGATGTAGTCTCTTTCCGTTTTCGCTTTCGACATCCTCGGCAGTGGGAATTGGCGGTTGGCTATCCAGTATTAGATCATGATTGCGATTTCTCCGACAGGTGCAGACCCGTCCGAAGAGTTGGGGCGGCCATATCTAGCTCCAAATAAAGTATGATTAGTTGCCGATAACAGGATAGCTGTCGGGCCGGCGAAACGCGGAAAAGGAACACCGTTCATCTGCAGCATTGTGGAAGTCACAAATGGAGCGGATGGCAGCACTGGCTGCCCTGGCTCGGGGTGGGTAGACTGGAGCATCGGCGGATCTTGTCTGAGCCTATGAGCTGGTCGGTCAGTGTTGTCTGATGCAGGGCGTCGCCTGGAGGCTGACGACGTCTGACGCTGGCCCCGATGTGCAATGGCTGATGGAGAAGTCATTCTGGAACCATGTGGCACTCGCGCCTGGTTGTGGACGGCTGCTTCGTACCACTGCTGACCAAGTTGGTCGGCCTGCCGTTGCCGGTGCCATCTCGCGTAGAGGACGTCTTTGGCGACATCACAGAGTTTCGGCTGCAACGATGACAAGTCCAATGGCTCTTTGGCGAGAGTGGTCAACTTTTGATGGCCGATCTTGGTGTCTTCAACTTTGATCGACTTCCTGCATAGTCGCCTTTCTTGGTGCTGCCGCAACGGGAGCCAGGACCGCCATTGGGCCTGACCACAATCTCACAAACAAGGTACGGATTCCAAGGCAGCATAGTAGTTATTGAGTGGTCGTCAAAGGCAGAAAATGATTCGGATTGTGGTGGTGTAGGGCCATCACTGCGGCGTTCCCTCGCCAGCTTCTTATGCCATCGCCGTGGGCTCCTTACCTACATGGTTGCGTGGCTGCTGGCATGGAACGCTTCCTTGAAACAGTCGGTACGTCGAGGAATGCATTGACACGCAGTATGCGCCGTATACGGCCGAACAGTGTCCTGCGTGAAGGCATATCATTCCAGACCACTGCTGCAATCAGCTGCACTTGTGACTGTCCATCGCGGTGACCAGGGAGTGGCGAACAGACTGGCTACTGCGGTGAGCAGCAACGTCGACATATGCTGGGTGAAATTCTGGGTTGCCTATGGAATTCGGAAGTGCGTGATAGGTTATCATCCACTCTTATCGCGCTAGATGAAAGTGGGTACCAAGATAGATTCGGTTTCCAGTCTATCGACATAACCAGGAACTGATTTGGCGTTCCCGGGAGCTAGACTCCAGAGATTGTTCAACGCCGCCCAAACATTCTTGTCAAGGCTTTGATGCTGCCATGTGATTGCTACGCCTCAGCGGAGTGACGGGTTACACTTCTAGCTGACCACAGAATTTAGCTGAGGCGAGATATATAAGGGCGTCCAACTTACAGACCTCACCCTCATTTACATTTCTTTTACTCCCTAGCTCAAATCCTGTACAATCATGGTCTGTTTCAATTCGTTCTTACCGAGTCTACCGATGAGCTAATACATTACAGCCAAACATCAGAGAGCTGCCCAACGAGCTTTTGCTGTGGAGTGTGTCGTATTTGGACGGTAGTGCATTATTTGCCCTCGCAAAATCAAGCAAAGACTTTGATTTTAAACTGCAGCGCAGCATCTGGAAACACAATATCAAATTTCAGAACAGCAATCTGTTGCACCTGGCCGTCAAATACGAGAACGTTGGTCTTGCGGAGGCTTTGCTCCAGCACAACGCCAACATCAATGCATTTTACCGAGGCAAAACCCCTTTAATGAGGGCGCTCAAATACTCTTCCGCTTCTGTGGGGGACCTCTTGCTCAGTCGTGGAGACCTAGACATCAACATTCAAAATCAAGCGCGGGAGAGCGCCCTGTGGTAAGCCGTCCGCTACGGAAATCTTTCCGCCGTCAAGAGCGTCTTAAATCGACCCTGGGGGGAGGGTTACGGTATGCCAAGATCACACAAACTACTGGTGGACCGAGGCACCGGTATATCGAGTTGAGGGTGGGAAATGATAGTGAATAGTTGGCCTCCACCAATTTAGTGATCAATATTTCCAGCCTCACAATGATTTCTTTTGGTTTTGTCTGAACACTACATCAACTAATCGCGAGAGGATGTACACAACACGATGCAAAAATGTGCACATTCTGAAAATGTACAGTAATCTCACGACGACGTGTTTCGGATCCAAACTCCTCACCAAAAATACCAAAAGTGATGCGTTCTATGGTCTATTAAGTTCAAGAAATAAGGGCCCTAAAATAAGAAATTTGAGGGGCAGATTGGCATTTAGTTGAGCCAAGCCACTGGATGAATGTTGCCATGATATTTGAACTAATGTGGAAGGTATTGGGACTAAGTTGGAAAGGAATTGAAATGAACAATAAAAATAGTAGCCGTGCTCAGGCCACCACGGGTTGCGGCTATAGTCAGATATTTATTCCTTGGAAGGCGGCGAGTGAAGGGAGGAGGTTGAGACTCTCTCGTAGACATTAATCCGACTGCAAAACCGACCTGCATCGGTCTCGGCAGTCGGTCGGTATAGCCGTCAGGGGCTGTGGCTGACGTGTTTTTGATAGGTGGTGATAGATGGTTCTTGGATCAGGAGTACATCCAGGTCCTGGCTCCGGTGGTCGTTGATGAGCGCTACCATCCTCGGTCCCGACTTCATGATGTTCAACTGTAGCACGCATAGATTTGTCTCTAACATTGGGAGTTAGAGGTTGCCGGCGTTAGGCTCTGACGATCGCTGGGGGTGTCACCACCGCAGTTGAGGCATCGGGCTCTTACACCCCTGGTGGAGGGGGAGGGGAATACTTCCCGCTCGTGTTGACCAGGGCAATGTCCACATCGGGGTGTTTCCTGACCACGTTAGGTGTCCAAATCGCTGGCAACGAAAGCAGCTTTTTCTTTTAATTCGCAGCGTTCCACACTGCCGATATATCTCTGGCCAACAAGGAGACCGTTGTTCAGCATGTAACTGGCTCCTTCCGCGGTGTCAAACCAGATGCCAAGGAGATGAGGAGATGCGAACTTTCCCAACGCTTTATCCTCCTTCTTGAGCCACGCCACCTCCTTGATCCCGGATCCTCGCTCGAGCAGTTCATTCTCTTTCATAATATTCTCGATCGTCTGTGCATTTGCGTTTGCGTTTGCTGGGTAAAGTCCTCTGTCGGGGTACCGTGTGCCAGGACGCCGAACCACGGCTTGACAAGTTTCGTGTTGTTTCCTAGCTCGTACAGCCATTCGCTGTTTATGCGGGCCGTTTCCGCCAATTCTAGGTTCTTGAATCGGAACACATATCCGGTTTTAGTGATGCCAGCCCCGGCCACCCATTTGGGCGTCTTGTGCGGCCGATGCGCTCAGCAGCGACGTACGGATGTGGATGGTCGCGGTCTCCGTTGGGAGACATCGCCCAAACATGTTTTGTCCGCCGTTACCAGTGTCTCTTGGATCCACAAAGGAGGCCTGCGTGTTAATTCGGACGCAGTTCTGATCCTTGTCCGGGCGTTGATGGTTCGGTTAAGGGGCGGGTGGCTCGCTGCTACCACGGCCCACGATTTTGCCATGTGTCGACGAGAACGCATCAATTTTCCGCCCGCAAGGCTCGAACTTCCTCATTAAGTTTCTCGTTTCGCTTATGGAGGACGATCCGGCCGTGCTTCACTTCTAGCAATTCGTTTTCAGTGGATTGGATGAGCTCGGTTTGGTAGACGTTCGTTTTTTTAAGCCGACGATCAGACGCCAGATTTCCCGAGTCGTGATGCGTCCATTGTTGTCTCCGGTGCTCGTGATCTCGGCGTTCGCACGAGCTACGGTAGTGTGGCCGTCGCTAAGCCGAGCCTGCCTTCTGGCCCGAGGAGCAGTGGCCGAATCAAGGTTTTCCAACGCGTCGGCCGTTGTCATTCCTCGCGCGGTTGTGCGAGGTGGAACCCGCATGTGGGCCGCCATCCTTTCCGCTAGGTACACAAAAATAAGATTTCGCGATGTGCAGCGTGTTGTCCGCCGAAACGATACAGTATCTGTCTCGTTATAGTTCAGTGATAAACCAGTTCACGTTCTACATTCTTCTCTCAGCTCTCGCTCCCACCGCCAAGGCACTATGTAGCTCGAAATTGGGTACATCAAAGTACTTTGACTTTCGTACTTTACGTGACCGTGAACCGCCCTATGGCCTCGTCGCCAGCCCCTGAAATGGAAATAGCTGAAGTAAACCTACGGGTGGATGTTTGCTTTAAGAATGCCGGGATATCTGGTAGAAACTGATTGCGAGGCTGGAATTCACTAAGAATATGCGTGTCTATATCGCCCTACTATTATCATTTCTGAGAATACCTCTTTTCCCAGGAATCCATTGGAAACAAGCTTGTCCTCTTCTTGACACCGGGGCGCAGTAGAGTAGCTGCGGCATCTGATTGCGCTTGGTATGGTGAGAGCATAAAGCAATGAAGAACGAGCACGCAGAGGGTGATGGTTTTCTCGTTAAGGGAAAACTGAAGCTATCTGGAAGCTATTTATACAAAAGGCAGCGTGCTTGGTTACTCGGGGCACGAAACCTAGCAATTTCCGACTATGTGTCTCCGTTTGTCTCGGCTGGCAATGCGCTACTCACTTAGTTGCAGAATCCCATTAAAATATGAGTGGACGAACCCGAAAGAGGTGAGAAGTTGAAGAGCAATCTTTTACTCTTATACGGTAAGAAGTCTGGCGCCGAGATGGACGCGAATAAAAACTGTCTTATTAATATTCAGTATAAACGTAAATATTTGCATAGACACTAAGCGAATGTGCCGCCGGGCTGAGCTAGGCACTCACCGACGCGCTTTACTTGGTCTAAGCAAGCAGTCTCAAAGTATTGTGAGGACCAAACACAAGATTACTGGAGATTGGCTATAGTACGTGTATGTCAAGCCCAACAGTTCAATGTGGCTGAAGGCGGAAAGTAAGATGTGGCGGAAAGGAAATGCTGGGGGCTGGTAATTGAAGGAGTTTATTAACCAAATTGCATGGGAGAGAAAGAGAGTGGAGTAAACAAGCTGGTCAGCCGATTCTAAGCAACACATTAATTTACAATTTACTTACTTCACATGGCTGTGTTTAAGGCCTTGCTAGGGGCATTTGGAGTGCAAGAGGGGAAACTCAAACGGATTACTACCACGTGACAGAATAATAACATCATAGACCTTTGCCCAGGAATTCATAAGTATTGCAGGTCAGGTAGAAATTCCATCAGGTACTTGGAGCGCCCTTCTAGACTACCTCTCAGAATGCAATCAGGGGGCAAGGAACCATATCCCGAAGTAGGGCTCCTCCACACCCGGCTTACCCTGAAGCAAGGGTGCTAATAATATTTGCTCAGCCATTGTCTGAAAGTGAGAAACGTCACTTGAGCAAGTACAGAAAGCGGCCGCGTGGAGGCTTACTCGGTCAAAAATCCAAGGTACTTAAGATGTGATTTATTGTGAGCGTGCTGACACTCGGAAGGAACGGACGTACTTTGACTCCGGCGACTTTGCTCTTTCCGCCGCTCATCGAGTGACCGATCTCGGCGCTATTCAAACAGGCAGAGCGCATCCCCATCGTGAAAATATTTCGCGCCCTTCCCCTATCCCAGCTGCCAGTAACGTTGACAAGAAAGTCAAAGAGAATTTGCATAGGAGGGATGCAAGTTCCCAAAAAAATCCTCTCCATCGGCAAACGAATGAAGACTCGTTTGTGGAGGGACAGGACAATATCTTCTCTTTCGAAGATTGAAACCAAATCTTCGGAGCGATATAAATCAAAATGTATTTCAGCACAATAGCATGAGCAGCACTACAGCCAAATATGTACAATTCCTTCATTGTGAGAGACGTGACATTTGTGGCTCTTTCTCTAGTTTTGCCGGAGATGCAGGACTCCTTCCACAATCGTCTAAAGGAAGAAACCGTCGTTCTCCTCGATGAGCCCGTGAGGTGATTTGAGTTCAGTGGACGGTAGCTCTGTGATGGTTTGTCCCTGGCTCTTTTCATAAAATAGACCGCTGTCCATAAAGAAATAATACTCTCCAGTGGGGCGAGAAACGTCATCGAATGACTCACATCCCCCGACGGAATTCTGGAAGAGAGAGCTTTCACCATAGGCTTCGTCGTGTGTGATCGTCGAACCTATAGCGATGCACTGCCGAACTTCAATGTCAAAGTGGACCGTTGGGCGATTTGGTGGCGGAAACTGGGGCCAGATACTCCTGGACCACTCCATTGTGTAGCGGACTGCGGACGCGGCCAGGCGCGATAGCGGGTATTGTGGACAGGACAATCTGAACCGTGCCCAAGCGCCACCAGTTTTGAGAACGTCTTTTTCAAGGACAAGTGGTCCATTTGTCGGGCATTCAGGGCCAAGTTGTGTACAGGATGCGAAGAAGAGCTGTGTCGTTCGTTTCAGCGCTGGTCTGATGGCTGATCGCAACCGTGAGCATTCGCAGGATATTTGGGCTGCTGCCGCGTGAGCCTTAGCTGACGACTCAATGGACTTCCACGGGCCATAGAGCCAAGTAATGTCGCTATCCTTCTCCCTAACAACCAAATTGTTAAAATTGGCAAGGCTTCGCGCAGTCCGATCAAATCAGTATTGACTAACCAACTTACACAGTCGGGTGACACAGTGTCCAGCTGATGTTGGTACTTCGTCCATGTCCTCCATAGTGCATTCTCAAGTCTGGTGCTGTTCTTCAAGGCTTTTTTCTCCCTAAGCACATACCTCCTTGTCGCCCAAATATCCTCTTCTCTCCATACGTTCGAAAGGTAATCGACGTTGATCACCGGCTCTTCTTCCAGGGCATTGTCATCGCAGAAAAGTTTTAACGTGGGCTTCATAGGAAGCAACAAAGCTCTCTAGATAGGGTGGCTAGAGGGAAACAAGAGAGAGAGGGCAGGTGATTGCAAAACAAACGCAGACGGTACATCCTTCAACAGACAATGTATGAGCGCCGCCAAGCTCAGGTTTTGGACTGGTCGCTGAGCTACCCGGATGGTGAGTCTAGCAGTATTCTTGGTCACCCCTCAATACCTTTAAGGTGGTACGTTCTAGCATAATTCAACACGAGAAAGGAGGAACGGATTTGCTGTATTGCTGTTTTCAGCTCCCAAGTTGTTGGGTCCGGGCAAGTTTGTTTTCGGAGCTCTGCTGCACGGTGCACCTAGTGTTCAATATCATTCCCACGATGTGACGCAGGATACGAATGCAGACATTCTGAAGAATCATAACCGCAGCGAATGGACCGTAGCGCGCAGATCATATTACAGATTCTTAACCCTTCGCTCTTCCCGTAGAGCTTGGCATGGTGCTAACCAAAAACGGTAGCCCTGAATCCTGTGGAAAGTAGTATAGAAAGAAGGCCAATTACTGTAGAGAGAAAGACTAGGGTTACGGATATCTGACAGACCATGACTCTTTGAAAATAACTATTAGCTCATAAAAGAGAAGGTGCGCCCATGTGGTATTTGGCTGTTTTCTTGCATGCAGCGTACTGCCGAGCATCATATTCGTCTGTCCAGTGCAACGATCACATTCCGACAGGTATGTTGCTTCTTCAGATTGCGAGACAGGTTTGGCATTCTCTTCCTTGTATGTAGGCTCTTCATATTCAATATCTGTTTGCTGATGGATAGGATCATTCTTGCTGGACTGGTCATGCTCTTACATCAAGCTTATAGCCCTCATACTGTCCGGCTTCTTGAGGCATTTAGCCACATCTCTGAGATATCCTTATTCAAGCCCACTGTGAATCACGCACATCGGAGCTCTTTCTCTTGTACAGGATGGATCGGAATCAGTTTCACCACGGAGAATCTTTCTCGAACCCTATTCCGAAACACGCTAATCCATTTCTGAATTTGGCGCAGTTTCAAGCATCGAATCGTATTGAAAGGTTCTGTCATGTGACAAAATGTCCTATAACTTACTTGTAATACTTTTGCCAAGAATACCGTCGTTCTCACAGCCCCTTAGCTCGCTTGTTGGCTACATCCCTCGACTTGTCCTCAATCTCTGGGCAGCTGTGTCCATTAAAGTTATAACGTTAGCCCCTTCGAATTAGTGCGTGTTAAAAAGATCTGATATAGAAGATCGTTTGGGAGACTTCAAAATCTGAAGCAGAAATATACGTGAACATATAATATTCAACTGTCTAGCTTAATAGTTTTTATATCAGGGGTTTCATGATCTTGAGATTAATTTTGCTGTTAAATCTCTTGAAGCTGATGCTAGCTTAGCATGTTTCCCAATGAAATAATTCGTTAATCATGTAGCCCGGAAACTAGTTGCTCTATCCGCGGAGAGCGGAGACTTCTTGTAAGCAAGGGGGCCTGATTTTACTAGTCCGGCGAAACCTTCCAGCCAATGATACAACATATATCGACGACAGCTAAGATACCTTTTAGCAAAGCACCTATACACATAAAGCGCCCCATGCAATCGATCCCAGGGTTTCAGAAGACTTGTCAACGTCGCTCTTAGCTGCTGCTTGTAGACCCTCCAGCTCTGCCACTCTGCCATCCTTCCTTCAACTTCCGACAAAGTTGGCCTTGACCGCCGCTTTGTTTGCACCATGAACTGGCGATCGCAGGCCGACTTTTGGGCTCCCGATGACTTCCAGTTCGGCATTCCAGCAGATGAGGCGACCCTATTCCCTTCGAACTTGCCCGGGTTCGATAATGTCTCATTTCAATTGCCGGAACCCGCGTCCAGCTCGACCGAACCCCCAATTTCTCGAGAAGCCAACGGAGGGGAAAATTCGATGCAGCTGAATGTGTTGGAGCCGCGGCTTCCGAAAGTCCCAATACCCCGAGCCACAAACAAAATAAACGCCGTCACGCCTGGCCGAGCGAAACAGGCGTGCCGGTCTTGCCGACAACAGAAGGCGAAGTGTAGTGGTCACAGGCCTGAATGTCGTAGATGCGAAGAGAATTCCTTTCCCTGCGTCTATGAAGATCGCACACGGTTCAAGATGACCAAGTATGTCAATTTACACAGCACCTGAATGCCAGTCTAACCAGAAGTTCTCAGACAACTCGACAATCTTGCAAACCAAGTTCAAACCTACGAATCTCTTTTACGAGAAATCTATCCCAAGCTTGGCTTTGAAGTTGCCAACAGCGTTGATCATGTTTTCGGCTCCAAATTTCGTGATCATCGCCCCCTGGACAAAGTCAATTCAAATTCCCGCATCTACAGGAGGAGAATTTCTAACAATGATTGAATATAGGATATCCTTTCATCATCCAAACATCCAGCTCACGTATTTCATGAAACTGATTACCATGATGGCTCCGACGCGTCTTTTCCCGCCGTTGTTGCTGACTGCACCACTGAAGATTACAATCAGAAGAGGGAAAACCAGGCGATGGAATATGTGGGAGACCACTCAGTGATGAAGTGGCTGTACGGACTGAAGTGTCATCTTAATGATACTAACCGAAACTCTAATGTCCAAGACGATTCTTACGATAATTTTGTCCGAGGCGAACTTTCTTCTATGGACTATTATTTGGATGACGTGAAGCTTCAGTTCCCAGAGGATGTGGACATCTCTCGACGGCCCTCACAAGCAATTGCCGACCACCTTATTTCGGCTTATTTTGGCGTTACGCATGTATACTTCCCCTTCATCAGAAAAGAAACGTTTTTAAGTCAGTATCGATCATTTTATTCTGATCAAACAGCAAAACCAGGGAGAAGATGGTTGGCTATCTTCAATATGATTCTAGCTGTCGCAGCAGGGCAGCCTTGTGCGATGAGTAAGGAAAGTCTACCTGAGTTCCCAGAAAATCAGAAAGGCAACGCACATAACACTTTTTTTGGACGTGGATGGAGTTTGGCCTTGGCCGACTCTCTGTTGGAACCTTCAAATCTTCAACAGGTGCAGGTGGAGGCGTTGGCATCCCTCTATCTGCTTTCCGCTGGCCATGCAAAAAGGTTAGTTTTTTGGATCCTGTCTATGCCGGTTGTTATTATGGATGGTGTCTTAGAAATTTGTACAGGGCATGGAAGCTTTGTGGCGTTGCAATCAGGTCAGCTGTAATGATGGGACTCTATTTTCGCTCTGAGAGTAATACGATATCGCCAATATCTAAACAAAGTCGGTGTCAACTGTGGTGGGCGCTACAGATGCTAGATACTAAGTTGTGTGCAACGATTGGCCGGCCGTTGAGCATGGACATGGTTTTCTTTACTACTCCTGCACCATCGCCGTATGGCAACATGGACCCTTCCGAAGAAAGGTCGACACCGGTGGACTTTCGTATGACAAGTGCAGATCCATTAGCAAGCGGCGAGTTTTTGCAGAGTTCTCATCCTACATTATTTGGAAGGCCGACGTATCAGGCGCTTCCCTTGCAGCGCATTTCGCGTGCGGAAATCAGAGGGGAGCCCAACCCGCAGAAAGCAGTGGGCAAGCTCACGACTACCTGCTCCCTACGCTTCGTTTATGCTATTCAGCTAAACCATATCATGAGACGAGCTATTATTGGAATCTACACGACAAGCGCCCTGAAGTCACGGCAGCATTTGGAATCTGTCATACGTTCCCTAAACAGCTCCGCTGACCACTGGCTGTCCGTTCTTCCTTCCACATGCCGCTTTTTGAGAACAGAAGCGGCGGATTCGCTTGATTGTCATCGCACGAGTCTCGCCTTTACTTTCTATTGCACCAAAATTCTGATTCTACAACCGTGTCTGCACATTGTTACATATCAATCCTCCGACAAGAATCTCCCGAACTCTTTTTGTGCTTCTATGGCGGCTTTGTGCGTACGAATGGCGAAAGAAACAATTGATATCTTCCCTGATGAGCCAGATACAGCTTGGCTCTCCACGTCGTGTCCGGGGTGGTGCGCTCTACATTATCTCATGCAGTCCACGGCCATTCTTATGATTGCACTACTCGAAGGAACGCAAATAATCACGACCGATACACTCAATGTCCAGTTTAAGGTGCATAAAGCTGTGCGATGGTTGAGGGCGATGTCTGCTAGGGATCCCGTAGCGCAGAAAGCGAGAAATCTCTGCCAGGATATTCTTGCTAACCACACCATGTTCGGTTCCTCTGACTTGCCTGAAGGCTGATGGGTACTGTAACTGCGTTGGTTATGCCACGTTTATCTCCAATTGAAGCACATCGTTACTGTATTGCCACGAATGATAGTGTTGACATAATTAAATACAGGATGGATCGAAATTAGTTTCACCACTTTGCTCTCATAGAATCTTTCTCGAACCCTATTCCGACACACGCTAATCTAGTTCAGGATTAACTCTGATTCAACTACTGAATCGTATTGAAAGTATCCCTCACGTGATAGGAAGCTCTTTAAATTACCTGTAATACTCTTTCAGAAACTACTAGCATCTCACAGGCCCTGGGCTCACTCGTTAACGACCCTGCTTGCTCTCGTTCTCTTGTCAGCGATGCTCACTGGAACGGACAAATCGATCCCCTTGAGTACTGTCTAACAAGTCAATCTATGATAGAAAATATTATTTTGGCAATAAATATAGGGAACAGTAATTACTATACAGTTATATTCTCCATCAGGTTTATGTTTAATCTCTCTCTTCATCACCCACAGCCCACTTCAATCGCACTAGGACATCTGTCTGATACCCTTGCATTCGTTAATATACATTGAATGATTCGGCGTAAATTACAATAATAACATTACTTGGCAACCTAGGTCTGGCTCTTGTGGTCATGAACGAACGCAGTAGATCATATCTCATTTCGCTGCTCTATTTTATACATCGATTCCCGTATTTAAGTCCTCATTGAAGACGTAAGATAACTCCAGCCTCCCCAATCGGTTTCTCGAAGCCGGCAATGAAGCTCTCGAAAATCTCATTTGTCACAAAAAAGCCGAGTCGCCATCTTTAACAGTCAACTGGTTCCTCGCCCTGACCCGCCGCCGCAACTCATCAATACCGACATCAAGATATGCAAGCACAGATCGCCCCCCAAACTCTTCGACTAGGTGCTTCCATTCCTCTCTAGCTTTCTTAAATGCGAAAGAAAAATCTAGGATTACATCTTGAGAGCCCTGTCGAAGGATCCGCGCTAGTTCATTTCGGAGGGCGCTCTCGGCCTCCTCTTGATAGTTGTTGTATTGATCTTCTGGGTAATCGATACTGTAGAGCCCGTGCTCAGTATATATGTAAGAGTCGATTGAAAGCCTTTTGAAAGAGGGGTGATTGTGTATCACCCATTTAGAAAGCGATGACTTTCCCGACCCTGTTAACAATGTCCCTATCAGTTATCCACACCAAAGCTGGCCGCCCAATTTTGCATTCTCTTACCTGCCATACCACAAGTCATCAGAACAACAGGTCGAGGGTCACTGTTTGTCCGGCTTAGAAAAGGGCTGAGCGATTCGGGCGTATCAAAGCTGAGCGAAGAATCTGCCATTTTATGAGATTAAAAAAATCACATTTACACTCGCCTTTTCACTTTCTCGATTATGGGAGCAGCAATACGTAACGTGGTGGCTATGTCTCCAGCGAGCTCGGGGGAGGAGGAGTGTTAGATATATATTCGGTGAGTCATCATGAGTCATCCGCAAATCAATGAGTAGCCTCGTTTGACTCAGACTTGCGACGTAAGGGTGTCACTCATGCAGGATAATGGAAAGCTCCACCATGACCGTGCTTCCGGCGCCACAGTATTAGAACGTTGACAGATTGCGCCCCGGAGGCCATACAAGCTTTATACGGAAGCTAATTTTATGCTGTTATTTACAACTGCACTGGAATACTGCCAAGAAAGGGGTTCAGGGGCAGAGTAACCGTAATAGGTATAGCGTGTTTCGAAAGAGGGTTCGAGAGAGAAATGCTGTGTGCAAGTGGTGAAACTGATTTCGATCCATCCTGTAAATGCGCCTCGTTTATAGTTCATGAGAAGGGCCCGATGTGGTTCTGAGCTGAAGAAGGGGCGCCCCCTCAGGTTCAATATCAGGTAACTACGCGGCGCTAAGAATGGATATTGAACCAAGATTGGCGGGCAATTCATCGAGCATACTGATAGTCCTGTTTGGCTGGGATTAGCATGTTTCCAGGAATTGAGTCCATCCGAGCCAGAACCCTCAAATAAGTGCAGCTTGTGATAAATTAGCCAGCTCCGGCCAGATAAAAAGCAAGCTTGGACACTATAGTTTCGAAAGCCTGCTCTATTGGCTGTTTTCATCGCGCGAGTAGGCAATATGGGATCCCATTTTATTGTTGCTATGGCGAAACTAGTGTATGCTACCAGCCTAGTAATCATCTCAATTTGACGCGGCCCGCTCAATAATTGATCTGCGCTAAGGCCTTGGCTGTGGGGCCAGAAAAGAGTGACGAAGAGTGTATTTGTCAAGCCGATTTCGAGAACGACTGTATCCACTCGTTCATAATACCTGATATCCCTTGTGGGCTGATCTCCCGTGACAATGACGTCTGTCATAATAGGCCTCCAGGTATGTGCACGTCCCTTGAACGTAGTCCTGTTCTCTCACTTCTCTAAAAGGATACCTGTTCGGAGTACGGACAAGAGAGGGATGAAGGTGTTTCGCCTAGGGTGAGTTAAACACGCTCTACAGATAGTTTGTGCTAATGCTGAAATTAGCTGGTAAACCGTTTTGGCAAAAGACTGCAGCAGATCGGCCAATTAATCACTCTCCAGAAGGTACTATTTTTGCAGTGGGCTAAGTCACGCGGCATTACCCGATGGCACATATTGAGTGTAACTGATGGATCAGTTATTTCATCAACGCATCGAAGCAATTGCAAAATTTCGTTCTCTGTCCTAGTCAGATTTGAGGTGAGCTCTTTCTACTCGCCCATAGCGGCCGATAGCTAACCGATAAGGAATATGAGCCGGCCATAAATCCTCTTACTTTGGATATAAACCAGCTTCGAAAAGTAAGTTTCCGGTTAAAGAGACCATATCTGGCCCTAACTTTCAATAGCTCGTTCGGGACTTCGGGCGCGATTTGGACGATCTCCGGAAGCTGACGAAGCCCTAAGTGTCCATAGTGAGTGCTGCACTCATGAATGCTGGATTCGTAAAGGAATTTTTAGTACTAGAAGCCGCTCAGGATATTTCTGTATCATCAGGTAATACTAACTTCGATCCCGATGTTTCTCGCCTTATCTAACTGTTCACCGTCATCGAAGAGAGCCCCTCCACCGACGCCATTCAATCCGCTCAGAGTCAAACATCTTATCCTCCTGTCGGTCCTTGTTCAACACCCGATACACTATCAATCTTAGCTGTTTCTCAGTCGTGGATGGATTACTTGAATTTTCCGGAGCACACCGACACTCCTGGTTTCGATGGAAGACTTTTATGCTATCCGAAACCGCCTTCTTTTGGCGTTGATGACTTCGGTTTGAGGCAGCAATCTGTCCTTCTGGAACCAGGACGCTATGTCGCTAGCCAACTAGAAAGCATGAATAAGCTTATTAGCACTAGAGAAGACTGTCCCGCCGTTTAGATGGCGCTCAATTCCTCGGAGCATACCTTGAAATATTTGCTATGTTCTAGCGATGCTAAGCTCGACGGCAACCAAGCTTAAGGCGTTCTCGACGCGAGCGCCTATCCCCTCCTCGCAAAGGATCTCGATTAAATACTACGTCCCCTGTTCGACCATTGGAATTTGTATAAGTCAATTGGATTGCCGGCGCTAGGACTTCCGGTGCAATGGAGAGGCATAGATACAGCTGCAGATTACCTTCGAATGCTTGATGACGACGAGAATTTACCCTATTCGAACCTCATCGCAAGGCGTATTAGGCAGGTACTACTATACTTCAACTACGAAGAGCTTTGCAGACACCCTAACAAAGATATTTCCTATATCTCGTCAAAAGCCAATACATCTCACGTTTTGAATAGCATCCTCGCTGCTTACAGTGACGATCCTCGCTCTTCAAAATCACCGCAGTGCCGCCGCGATAAGATCACAGGCTGCTATGTGCGCCGCGGCAGATGGTAGTGGAGGCTCGCTAGTGCTCTAGGAGTCGGCATACTTTTACTAGGCAATACTTCTTTAGTAAACGTTATGTATGTCTCTCGTTGGTTCATCGCGTGGCTCGGCTAACCTTTGTGAATAGGTGCAGCAAGTCCTTCACTAATTCTTAGATCAAAGCTTTTGTCGCTCTCTCTTAAAAAACTCGTTTAGGGACCGTGCGTAAATTCGAGGCGTCGGAGTCTATGGTAAAGTCTCTCATACTTGGACAACTTACGTTTGATCCTCACGAATTTCTCTTCAATACTGATGTCGGTCTTCTCTGCCTAGACGAACTAGCACGCATTTAGAGCGAGGACGAACAAGCATTAGCAGTTCAACTCTCACAAGATTTATGGAAAGAAGTTGATGCTGAAAAGGATGCAATGCGTAAGATGACGGATTTTCTCGGCTGGGATTCTGACAACGTCGCGCTAATCTGACTAGAGACTCCTGATGTCGTGAATCCCAGAAAAGGTACTAGATGAAGCATTAACCGTTGATTCCCCCTCATGTTCTAATATGACCGAGTGTTCCTATCTGTAATTAAAACAATGGTGCTGCTGTGGTACAGTACGCGCGTGACTCTATCTACTTCTAAAGCTCGGTTACAACTACAATGGATGTCAATTTGCATGATTTCGAGTGCCTATGTAGTTATTATAAAGTGGTTCACATGTCTTAGTTTCTCTAATGGAAAAGAATGACACTGCAAGCTATCATTTCAGATTGAGTTATAAGTTATCTCAAAGCTTCTATACCACCTGCTTCTAGTACAAACGTATATCAGTACCTTCAAAAGGCTTTTACTGCCTCAAGGTATTATAGGAACTTTGTTCTCTATATTTCCGCTCACTAGGCTTATACACGTACGCCTACAGTCTTAGTTGCAAGGTGGTTCTTTCTGAAAATGTTTATGCGACGTTAAATATTATTTGGATAGGACTAAAATGCCAAGTCATACTGGTACGCCAAAATGAAGGGATAATATCAGGATTCACTTAATTGACTTGATTGTTGCACGATTTAACTAACTTATCTAGCTGTCTGTCCTATTTGTAAAGCATAAGATAATAAAATCCACATATTTAGCTCTATATGAATCCTGCGAGATGCCCACTAGGCGTCCTTTCGACCTTTCCGTGCTCTCTTATGTGACTATCCGATGTCACTGTTTTATGTTTGGCTATGGCATGTTTCCCTACTAGCTATAACCAAACTAGTGCTATTAGACAGGATATAGAAACGACGCTAGCTTATACACGTTAGAAGCAACGCCGAGCTGTAGGGGCCTATTAGGGTCGTTAGGGAGGTAGCCCGTATCTCTCGGTACGGGAAGTCCAAAGTCGGGAAGCTGCGTGGAATGTCCGCCAGACTTCAAACTTAGACTAGATAGGCCCGAGATGGCATCTTACAGAGCGATATTAGGATTATAAGTTAAAGCCTCTGAAATTAGTCTGTCTGCTTCCTTTAGTAAGAGGATTTTTTTGAGAGCCGATCGCGAGAGGCTAACCTCCTATAACGGAGGATTTCCACCGGGGCCTTCATGGAAGAAGCTAACTACGATAAATAGAGACTTATCATACGTGGGATCCACTTCTCTAACGGCTACCCAATTTAGACCGTGTGTGCCACCAAACCCGGCACGAATCTGTTTGCGAAGGTTATTCACTGCCTCCTCCCCTCGGAGGATACTAGGGACTCCGGTAGACTCTACTCCATCAATAGCTAGTTAGCCTCTAGTAGCTAAGCTAGATATAAGACGAATTCTACCGTTAGCGTCCTTAACTACAAAACGCGCACCCATGAGTCTAAGGTGTTGAATCATACGGATTCTCTCTCCGGTTGATGTATAACCGGGATTGATTGAGCGCACGACCCTTCGAGGCAATATAGCAATCGTGCGTATACGGCTCCCGGCAGATACGTGTTGTAGCTGGGAGCCTGCGCTGTTCGAGTCAGGCTGCGAAATCGGCGCATGGTTTGAGTGAGGTTGCGAGTTCGGTGCTTAAGAACTATTTGTTAAGCGCTTAGGAGGGGGGTTGCCTATTCGCTTAGATAATGGAATCTATCATAGTATGCTTTTATTGCCTGCATTTAGGAAGGTGCGAGTTCCGGTGACAGAAAGATTGGTCTCTATAACCCCAAAAGTTCCTAATAGCGGATGATGCTAAGCTCGGATTCTTTCTGTAATTTAGAGTTTCCCTCTTGTATTTTCTTGTTGATTACGTCAAGCTTTTGAGCCGGCGTTCGGATTTCTGCGGGAATAGGTCCTTAGTAAAGGTTCACACGTGGGTCTTTCTATAAGCCAAAGTAAAGAGATTGTATGTAAGGCGTGGCTTCTTCATAGGCTTGTTTGTGATACGAGGATAGCTCCCCTTCAACATACGGCTCGGCGTTAGATCCTGCTCCCTAAAAGAAATGATGGTTCCTATCGAGGTCGCTAGGAAAGCGTTTTTCAATCTCCCCTTCGGCCCACGATACCCCTAAGAACTGGTTAGCAGAATCTCGCTACCTAACCTCTTATATACCTTACTTTTGAACGCTTTATCTACGCTTGGCTTGTCTGCTAGCGACACAAACCTATTAGGGTGGAGAATAACCTTCAGTTGCTTGTAATTTATATCGCAGTTATTAGGAATATTTTGTGCACACGCACGCATGATTGCAGTCGTATCACGGGGAACGCTGATAACATCCTGAATCAAACGCTAACGGTCGGAAATACTGATCTTATTTGATCCCCCTGCATCTGTTATGTCTATGTCGCCTTGTACGTTCCCAGAAGTGGAAGTCGATTGCTCCGGCGGTGATGGAGCGGAAGCTTGGGCCGCTACTACGGAAGCAGAGCCCTGGGTCGTTGCAGGAGGCCCTGCTGATTCTTCGACGTCCGAAGTCTGAGTCGTAGAAGGCTCTGGTGCAGCAAGCTGACCTTAGAGGTTAGTTTAGGGACTCTTGGGACCTCCAACAGTCTCCCGTATAGCAGTCTGCTTAGTAGATATGTTGGAAAACGCTGTTTGTGGTCTAAACCACGCTAGCCTTTATTGTTAAATCTGCGCTAACCATATTAGCGCCCGCGTCTGTTGTCTATGGAGATAACTGACAGCCGTAATAGCTTCTCTGAAGCGAGTTATATTGTAGCTTCACCTGAAGTTAAAGCGCAAAAAGTCTAGGGGTGCATCAAAACCGGTTCTTTTTTTGGATTTTAAACTTGGCCGTTTTCTGAACTAGACGCGAGAGATGGATCGATTTATATTTCACGAGAGCTGACTAGCGTGTATTTTCAAGTCCGACCAAAATGTAAAAGCCTTATTATTCAGACTTTGTTAGATAGACACAGCAAGCTGCAAATTGAGCTGAAAGTACTGGTTATCTCAACTATCAATACACCTACTATTTTCAGGTGGTATATGGCGATTCACTTATAGTTCTGACTCTGCATGTACTACAGCGTGGTGGTCAAGTTGACTACACGTTTTCAAGCTATAGCACTAGATCAGCTTTCTCTCAGAACGAAGCCGCACGTTATTGTCTTCGTACATATTAAAAGTAACAAATAGGACATCTATTAGCTGTTAGCACTTGTTATGAGCATATCAATTTTGCGACCTATGTAACAAAAATGCCGCACTCAATATTCGTATGCATGTCGTACTAGTCACCACCCTATATATAGGCGGCGCGCAGCGCTACTACGTGGTCGGCTATGCACTGTCGAAAGAAAGGCCTCCTGCCACTGTGGTTCCAAACCAAAGCAGATTAACTGAGGAAAGACATCAAAATTCAATTTAAGTAATTTTTTGGTATGCGTGGAAGCATTTGCGACATCCAAGACATGTTAAAAAGTGAAAATAATTTCTTGAGGCCGGATTGCTTCCTATTGCATAGCGTATTTGCTACATAGTGCTTTTGTGCTTAGCGTCTAATGGTTTCTCTATAGAGACTAGTACAATAGCGCCCGAGATCGCCTTCTACGTCGGAAACAGATTGATTCTCTTTCAAACCTAAATCACATGATCCGCTAAACCAGATTTGGTTATACTCGTATTTAAATCACGTTCCAATGTTGTACGGAATAAAGTTAAATGAATAAGAGCTGTATGGTGTACAATACTATCTAATTTCGGTTACACCCACTCCGCAGCGAACGAAATTAGTGTTGACGTCATAGTACTCAAGGCTTCTTAAGGGAAGGACAGTATAGAATGATTTACGGTAAATCGAGTTAAACTTGACCTACATGTAGCTACATCAATCATGGGGTTTCCAAATCTTTAACCAATCTTGCAAAGCCTTCTGGCTTCAGGCAGATACTCAGACCTGACGATATCATGCGAAGGACAGAAGTTCTAGGTACATCGTGCGATTGTCTGTTCCCAATCACCCTTTTTTTAACGCTGCGGTCAAAGGAGGATTCAAAGTAAATGCGACAAGTTTGCCGTGATCGCTACATATAGATAACTTTTTTATAAGGAAGCTTCTCTATCACATGTTGATCTACCAGATGACGAGCTAGCAACTATTCAACGGGTTGTCTCTTTTCTATACCTCCAAGACTACGAAGACACAGATAGGTCGCACTTTCAAAATCGGAAGTGCCCTTTTGGTAATAATATGGAACCTCATGCAGCTATGTGGAACAACCTCGGAGTGTTCATAGCGGCCGACAAGTTTGACATATCGTGTCTGAAAACCCTCGCGAGGTCTCGAATTATAGATTGGATCGACAAAAACGCAAAAAGATTTCCATTGATTGTGCGAGAAATCTGGATCACCATTCCGCCTCTTGAGACAGAGCTTCGAGATGCCATAATTATGTCAATTTCATGCAACGCGTAGGAGTTCCTCGCCCACGATGAAAGTATGGTGATTATGACGGATATACCAGATGTTACGATTTCAGTGCTTAGAAGAATTGTGGAGGAAAATTCTTCACTCAAACTCAAACTTCAACAGCCAAAAAAAAACTGTGCGATATCTAGATGACTAGATGCGGCGTCAGATTTGATATGTACATGTACTGTATATATATTTCCACTTGTAAGACTTGCAAGACATGATCACGTCGCCTCAAATATATGTCAATTCTCGATCATCAAAAGTCTACCGGCTCTATCTGAAAATGGCTCAATGTCCCTGCTTCAGTGCCCCGGACTATATTACGGACATCTCGCCAATTACCTATAATTGAATCGTCTATTTATGTGCCAGTATCCTTGCTTGCATAATAAGGTTTATCGATGCCTCTCTGGGGTGCGTTCAACCCTATTTTTCGTGCACCGCTTCTGAGCTCTAGGCCTTTGGTTGGATGAACAAAGCTTCCGCCTTAATAGCATCGAGCCACTTATTGGACGATGTTCCTAGAATCTGAACAGATCCTTTGAGGAAGATTTTCCGACCCTCGACCTTTTCCGGCCATGCCCTTAACACTATAGGTATAGTGGGTGGGATAGGAAGCAAGAACGATGTGTTGAGATATGCTGTGAATGCTGGCTTGCAATAATCGGCGAGAATCCGGTCTATCAAGAACGCCACGTATCCACCGAAAAGTTTACTATCATAATAGTATATGCGTTGTGAGGGGCTTAGGAGCAGTGCAGATTCCACCTCCTATCCTAATTGGTGAGGTTTAAAGACAGGCCGATAACCTTGGAATAAAGAGAGCATCATCTCCTCAGATGCCTTATTTAAGGATGGATTTTGGGGAGGCTTTACAAATCAGAAAGTTGTGTAGTATATTTAGAGTGATATAACTCACCACGGACGATCTGGGCAGTTTAGCGCTGATATTATAAGATGCACCGGTTCGATATGTCTCTGCTAAGCAGTGATAGCCACGAAAGGAGCGGAGGAAAAGTGATGTTACAAAGCGAGCATTCATTTTTGAAAGTGGAAGCTGATGATAGCAAGATAGGACAGAGATGACTGGAGGAGTTTAGTGCCAATGTGGATACACCTTGTTCCTGTTAGATATATATATTAGTAGGAAACTTTTCCTATGTCGTGAAAACAACCGGAACGTTAATAGCATAATTGACCTAGAACCCTGTTTTACTTTTCGCAAATTCGACACAATCCAATTAACTGATTAGTGCTAAAGAAACAAGACGCGCACTAAATGCGAATTGGACACACTACGTTGCGGTTACTAACCGACTGTTAGCGATTAATTCATTCTATCTGTGGCAAAAGCATTCGCTTCTTAAGTGCCGTAGAGTAGCCCTCTGAATTCATAGATAACATTGAGCTTTTATTCCAAGTTATTTGAATTGTTATTTTTTCTAGAATATGCCATTCAACTAGACATTACGGAAAGCTGGTACGATCACATTTATTTAGTGATGAATAGAGACCAATGATGAATTTCGAACAATAAACGCGCGCGCACTATGGTTGAAGAGATTAAAGAAAGAATGCTTTCTATGTGCATCGCGGACCTAGCCAATAAGCACACTACAAAGTAAATAAGTTCAAGATGATCAATATAGTTCATAGCCAGCTTCCTATTCCTTGGGTTTAGCTTGTGTGAATATAGCCTTCCGGAGGGACTAGACACCAGTCAATACTTGATTTCACGCGCTGCTTGTGCCGAGTCCACCCGATCTATGACCCTTAAGAAGTACAAATCTCCCTTCCCCTATTAGCTACCGAAAGTCATGAAAAAAGGCGGGATATTCAGTCTTGTCTTTGTCTAATGAATGGAATTGTTCCTGTCTAGGTGGGCCGTCCGTGACCGTGCAGTCTGTTTTAGATTTCGGCCGATATGCGAAGGTCGAATAACTTGTAGGCTCCTGCGTGATGTCGTGCGTTATACAATAGGAGTAATGAGGCACCGACCGTGCTAAACCTTTAGAGCTAAGGTCGCTTTGTACCACCACTTAGTACCGGCCCCGGGGAGGAGATAGGTAGAGTCTTTGTTAAAGTATCTAGATTGGGAACATACAATTGATCTTATGTACTTCCAATTACAAACTATCTTCGGGCGTCTCGCCCTCTGTTGCACTCCGAGCTCTGTAGAGAGTTTCCTTAATACATGGTGGTCGACGTCGACAACTCCATATGGCAAAGGTTTGGCCTGAGACCTATCGCGGTAAACTACGTATCGGGAGAGACGGAGTGGAAGCTGCATCTCTTTCGCGGGGAACTAAAGTTAGATGGCTATCTTGGGTATTATTGCATTGCCACATATTCGTCAAAATCGGGCAGCGGGGGATCGGAGATAGAAAATGTCGGTGCAGTAATATCCGGAACCACCGGGTTGTCGAGCATCCCGAATTGCTCGGACTGGTCTATAAAGGGCACTTGAGCCACATCGGAATTAGGCATAAATATGGTCACGAATGCGTTATGAGACTCACTCAAACCCGACTCAATCATTTTGGTCACGGATGAAGAGGCGCTAAGCAAGTCCTTCAATGTCTTCTTATGTCCTTGCCGTGATACATAATTTCTGCTGTCTAGGGTCGCCTTATTAAGGTGCTTCTCTAGATCTTGTGTCTTTTGCTTTGACTTATTGACCTCCGACGCGAGCTTCCAGACCTTCGTTTGTAGCTGCGCTTTTTTAGAGTTCCCTCTCCGCGTAGCATCCGTGGCCTCCCTTAGTTATGATGTGAGCTGTCTACGATCTTGGTCAGCCTTCTTGAAAATAGTATTGCAATTGGCGTGGATAACGTCAGACTCGTCGTCCTACGGATGTTTTTCCGTGCTACGCGGGGGAAGTATCTGGTAATGGTTAGCGCAATCTGAATTTATATGATAATGGCAGCTGCATACCGCTGGCCCCTGCTGCGTTCTTTGGTTTGAGGATCGAGGTTGATTGTTGGTACGCGGGGGAAACGCTCGAGTTGGCTGAACAGAAGACCCCCTAGCCCGTGCCTTCGGGGCAGAAGTCGCCGTGCGGGTCCGGGGGACAGTGGGGTCTTTTGGCATGATGTGTTCCATGGACAAGACAAGGGAGTTTGGGGAAATTGTGCCAGCTGTCCAAAGCGAATGGGAAAGCCGTGGCTTCAAACTCTTTTCGTACGTAGAAAATTGTAGTGGTGCCATCAGAATTTATGGGTTGAAATGAAAAGGCTGTCATTAATTCGCTTGCAAATCCGGGATCGTGTAAAATGCTGGCAAAGCCTTTGATTCAGCAACTGAGTAATCGTGGACGGTATTACTAAAGAATGCTGGGTTGTAGATCATAGTGACTGCGCATATCACTTGGGACTAAGCTGTTCTAAGTAACGGAATTTGATTGATTGGGGCTGAGTAATTCGGATTGAGTAATTCCAAGTGAGTAGTAGTTAATAAACTGAATCGGGATTATCCATCAGCCCCAAAACATAATCAGCAGCTAATTCTTGCGCTTACAATTATAAGAAATGCAATATGTAGATTAATATCGCATTGGCACATATCCGCTTCGCCGAGCGCAAAATTTTCTTCATTTTTAGGATTAAGTGGCCACTGTCATTCAGGAAGCCGAGGAAGAACTTTGAAGCTCTGAACGCAGCCTTTTGATTGTGTCCAAAGAAGAAGTTTAAAGTGAATTGCCTCATGTAACTGAATCCCTTACGTTTAGTCATGATGGGGAAGGTCTTAGAGTACAGTCGTAGTAGTAGTAGAATTCATTTACCCCGACCTCTCGCAAAGCGATATACAGGATACAGCAACTATATATATCCCTGTATGTACATGTATGATGTCCCACTTCCTAAAAACGAATTTAGAGCCTCGTCAAGGCCTGTCGTGGCCCAGGTGCCGTTCACTTTATTAGGCTGCCCCTCATGGCGCGCGACTTTTGAATCGTTGTGACGCCTCAGCGAAGTCTAGCACGGCCTTGACCGTCCTAGCCCGCGAGACGGTGTCTGGTTTACCTCTCTCACCTTCCGTTGAGCCTCCCAGCAGACTCGATACGCTGTTGAACGCGTCCCCAGCTTCACTCCTTAACTTCCGTCGAATGTCTCTCAGGTTTGGGCAGTCCACTAGCACGTGGGTGACTGTTTCTTGCGCGCCGCACACGCACTGATCATTGTCGCTGAAGCCGAAGGTCTTGGCATAGGTAGATAGCCAATTATGTCCCGTGCGAAGCTGTGTCAGCAGGTATGCCCGGCCCCTAGGTAAGTTCCCGTACAGCTTCCTGGTGTAGGCCGCCGGTAGCGTGCTATCAAGCCCCTGGTACAGTCGGTAGCGAAATCAGCTTCCTCCCTACAGACTTCTTTTCTTTTGTCGGGCCCCACTGCCAAGTCCTTAGCCTAGATCGTGTATTGATTGGACCACGCTAAATTGAGGGCCGCCGTAAAGTGCTCCTTATCGAGTACCGTAGCTATCAACGTTTACCGCCCATATTCAAAGCACCGGGTGTAATATTACGGAGGATGATACATTACCATACACGGCACATTTTACAACGACCCTCAACTTGATGTGGCCCGATCAATAAAAGCTCTGCGCTAAGGCCTTGGCAGTGGGTCCCAAGAAAAGAAAAGCGGTCGTTAGGGAGGAAGCTGATTTCGCTACCGACTGTATGACATCGGTACAGACAGTACTGTACAGACACGCGGGTACACGCGTGTACCAGCTGAGGGGCATCCACCGGAGAGATGAGCTCGCAGCATCCAGACGCCAGAGGAGGCTAGAAGCCCAAGCCTCTCTCAGCCCTACGTCGTCCTTCTTCGCTCCTCAAAACCGCTAACCCCTCTGCTCCACCCAACCGAACTACCCCACATCCTAACGACGAACCTCTCCACCAAATCCCGATCACCTACTCCACCATCGCAGCTAGAGCTCTCTCGTTTCATAGACAAGTGCTTACCGACGTCACTCCTCTCCAACTTGCTCAGAATAGCTTGTATTGCAAGCCCTTAAGATCTAGAGGATTAGCGTGCTGTTTTGCCTGCGGATCGACCATCCTCTTGTATACACTCCAGGATAATCCCATTGAAGAGATGTAACAACTCTATTTGGCAGACTGCATATGGCAGATCATCTGTCGCGATTTAAAGCCTACCTTTAAAATGCCTAACATAGTCACCCCCTTAGACACAGCATCTCTATCTCAACGACCGCCTCCCGAATCAGCGCTAGCATCCATTCTGCCAGATGAACGTTCAACCATGAACATCGATACAGCCCCCGAACAGTCCACTACGATACCTAAACTAGGACCGTAACAACCTCAACTAGTATGCTCTTCTAAAGTCTCTTAGCCTCCTTAACCTCTCTACTCAACACCCCCCGTTACCTCTACACCAGACCAACAACCTACCTATGCCTTAGTTTTGCAACGCCCCAAACCTTGTCTATCGCAACCAACTTCTAATACCTATCAATCCGTACCTTCTCCTAAACGCACACTCACAATCGAAGACCTTTATCGCCGTTTCCACAACAAACTATCGCCATTCTAACTCAACAAGAAAACCAGCAAGAGCTTAGCTAGTCGAGCTCGCAACAAAAAAGCATCTGCTTCATAGTCTCTCGCTAGGTTTTTAATATCAGCTTTACTAGCATTCTCAAGGCTCCTAGCCGAGATGCAGCCAGCCGCAGACGATTGTTAGCGGCCTTATCGAGGAACTTATTATAGCCGCGCCATAAAGGCAGCCTAACACCATGAACGGCAAGCTAGCCACGACAGGCCTTATCAGGTAAGGCTCAAAGTTCACCGTTCAGGAAGCTTGGAACAATCACAGTGGATCAAACACACATGTATTTACACAGTTGTTGTAGCCTGCATATCGTTCGCGAAGTTGAACCCTGGATTGAGGTACAAGTGTAATATTGATCTATATTGAGAGATCCAGCTATTTGTAGTTGCAGCAGCTCATCTCCCTGCTGCCTAGCGGAGTGTCTGCCTAACAGGCAGCCACTCCTATAGATCTATATGCATCACGTGACCTGGGATCCAACTCGCGAGGGGTCAGGGTAAATGAACTGGTGACGCGCGCTCCGCACGCTGTGGCCCTGAAACGATGTAATTGAAGGGCATGGACGAGAAAATCTGAAAAATGGGAGGTTTTGTTTTGACTGTGATCTTTGACAATGCAAAGGAGCGTTGACCAATGAGAAGACATGTAGTATGACTAATAGCCGCAATACCTTAGAAAACAGAATAACCAGGCATGTGCTAATCAGCCATTGTATTGGATTTTGATTGTGCACGTCTTCTTCGAGAACGCCTCTTAGGAGGTGGTGCGCTAGCCTCTAGCGAGGGTTCGTTTTCGTCGGCGGTTTCTGGCCATGTAATTTGAGTGGTTTCTTCGTCCTCATTATCAAGAGGGTCCACTTCCGGGGAATGCAGTCCCGGATAGGTGATTGGGAGTGGTTTAGTCCGCGAACTCGTCGCCGATCTAGTCGGGGTCTAAGGGCTAGCCCTTTGGGACTAACGGTTAACATGCTTCCGTTTACCGGTCGAGGAAGGCGTAGCGGGTAAATAAAGATTTGGCTTTAGGAGAAAATGTATATTATCCGTGACCACAGCTAATTGGCGATGTTCTTTTGTGAGGCCAAAAATACGACCTATTAAGAAAACATAGGAATTTGCGATCAGTGGTAGGAAGTTCACCCACCGCTGGCTATTTTTGAAGTACGCGGTGACTAGGAAGGTGTGATAGGTTCGAGCGGAGCTGTTGTAAACCGTAGTTTAGAGACGGTAGTGAAGAAGAGTTAACCCGCCGTTTAGTTGACCACCGCGTTTAAGAACAACACTAAGCAACGCCACTGTAGGCTGAGCCGCTTCGGGACAGTGCATAAAATATTTCTCGGTATCTTCTTTATTGCCCGGATGACTACTTTGTGTTAGCGTAGTTCTATAAGAGTTGAGGTAAACTTACCGGTTCAAAGTGTGAGCGTGAATGATAATATGAAATTTCTCGTCCTCGGATGAGATAGTCAGGAACGATCCCGAGGAATATATAAAGGTGTTTGGCTTGTAATAGTCGGACTAGTTACCCTTATGAAAATATCTAACTAGGGTAGGAATTTCCTCCTAGTCAACATCCTCTGATTGAATGTCCTTTAGTGGTATGTTCAGCGATATACGGAGTTGCATCGAAAGCCCTTTACCGGGACGTGTAGGGTCCGGTTCGACATGCTCGACGAAGTCTCGAACATGAATAATAGCTGGACAAGTTGAATTTGAAGGCATAATGTTATCTGGAGTACATTAGATCTAGATGGAAAAGGTAACTGAAATATTTTGTAGGAGCTGTAGAATGATCGAACGGGTGAAATGAGAAGCGGGTAAGAGGGACTATTGTTGGTAAGCTCACGGCGAACTATAGAACAAGATCCCTGTCATAGATACGAACCGACATATGACATGTCCGAATGGATCTCACCGCTGGTCCTATCAAGAAATCTAGTGGATGATTTTAGGTTTTTCCGCTAGCCACTATATGTATAAAGGTCGTGGAGATGAATGATTCGTAGAGGTGTTGGATAACAAGGTGCGGGTTGGTGCCTATCATTAGCAGTTTAGTGCACCCTCCACTCCTGGCTAGCATTTACATGCACTTGGACCAATATATGCTTGGAATAATCATCCCGCTCACGTAGGACAACGATCCCATATAAGAGAAGTATTGTTACTCCCTGTGATTTACCAATTGCCAAAGTCCCGACGACGCCAGCCCAGTTATTGCAAATATTCCATCCTCCACATATGATTTGGAAGGTACTCAGGCTTTGGTCTGTCTGCTGGGTAAGTTCAAGGTCTGCCGACTCCACGGTCCCATTAAGTTGGTCTTCATCAAGGAGGAGAATTAACATGTGAGGAGTAGAAATAAATCAACAACGGCTCATTTGCAACAAACTCTTTTCTAGCACAGCGTTATCTAGGGGCCTAGTGAGTTTCTCTCTTCCCCAAAACCAAGTGAGCCCACTCACCTTGTTTATCATGCAGATTCGGTTCTATAAAACATGAGGACGTCATTTTGATCAAGGATGGATTTTCATCAATTAAAATAATAGCTCTCAGTGTGGACGAGAGAGAAGGGAGTTAATCTGCCCGGCTTATATCACTTTCTTCTGAATTTTGAAGAAGCGAAATAGAAGCACAATTGGTTTAGCCTTCGAGCTGGTCTCTTCTGACTATGCCTGGGCCCTCATTGGTGTTATTAGTGATCAATGCAGGTCTGGGGAGGACGGCAACAACAACCAATGAGTTTGAATATTTATCCAAAGATAATCGGCCATAGAATGCGCTGCTCCCTTCGTAAGTTAATGTTTCGCGGTCATACATTCCGATTAAATTTGATCATGCTATAATCATAAGCCCCTCATCACCCAAAAGGTAGGTTAAATGAGCACCGCAAGATAGGGTTGTGCGGGGTAACCGTTATCCAGATATGTGGTAGTGACACTTGATCACTTACATGAAAAAAATAAAGAACATCCAAAAAAGGAACATAAGATGAGCAGTTATATTATACACTCACGAGCATAGCCATGGTGTGCTGGATCCTCTGCAACGATTGGATCAAAGATATAGTATGGTGGGTATTGTGACTTGGACTGGGCGTGGCATGCTTATTGTTGCCTCAATGAAAGCGGGTTATGACCTGTGAAGGTCTCATTGGGTCGAAATCAGGGCGTAAGGTGATGTGAAATAGCAATATATATTTCTCGCATCTCGCCATCTGGCACATAACATCATCCTAATCTGTGATTTTCTCATTCCCCTCCACTATGTCAACGTTGTCAATGGGCCTTGTAATATGGCCAAGTCTACCTATATTTCTTTGTGTCGGTTTTGTTTCAAGTCTTGTCCTTTTGTTGGCAACTCTACGCAGAAGCGCACGGCATGCTTCAAAGCCCCGATCTCACGATGCTCCAGTCGATACAGAATCGACAAGCTACCCACCAGTTGAGGCACTTTCGGCCTTTGACTGGAGGAATAAGGAGCCTTTGAAACTTCGACCATTTAAGCCGAAATATAATTTAACCATGAGTATGTGTGCTCGAAATATCACGATCTATCTCTATTAATGTGCATTAATTCAGGTATACAAGATGCGACCGCAAACGAGCTCATCGAGATGGATAAAAATTACCTCGAAAGGATCACCCTGCGTAAGGGACTTATAGAGGAATATTCCGAGGTCGTGTCCGCGGCTGAGGACAGTGCCAAATCGGCTGTTGATGAGTTCTTTGTTTGGCTTGTCGGAACTTACCTGCCGACTCGATTTCCGCTCATGTTCCAGTTGCAACGGCAGGAAGGAAAACAACCTGTACTACATAGTAGTGTGACAGGTGAAAACTACTCTCTTGAGCCAGATGCAAATCCTTTAGTGACATTGAGGATTATGGGAGGCCTTGTTGATGACGATCTGCTCTTCCTCTTACCCTCTGAAGATGGAGATGGCTATACACTCAAGGCTTTCATAACATGTTTCCCAAATGGATTCAACACGGCCAAAAATCTCAACCTCAAATTAAGGGATATACACAAACCTGTCCCTCAGTATAAAGAGAAATTGGAGAAGAGCATGGAACGATATTTCGATCGTCTGAAACCTGGGGCTGGGAAGTTCATAAAGAGGGCCAACGTAAGTGACCTTTTTACATGTTCACTTAACATAACTAGCTGATTGATCTATTTCAGTGGACCATAACGACTACGGACAGGCTTTTCACTGCATCTGGGAACCATCTGTATGAAGGGGAGACCGTTGCACCAGAAGAGGTCAATATTGAGACCGTGAGTGTCCCATTTTGGCCTTATACTGCATTATAAGGCTAATAAATTGCTAGGCTCGAGTTCGTTGCGAGCGACAGATGCTGCATCGTCTACCACACAGCCGTGCTATACTTTTCTCTTTCAAGACTTATCTCTACACTCTTCCCGAAATCAAAAGTGAAGGACTTGGCGAGGTACTAGCGGAGTCAATTGATGGATTGAAGGAAGGAAATGCGCCAGGTTTTCATTTTTACAAGAGAGCTGCGATATGGGGAGAATCCGCGAAGGCTTATCTAAGGAGCTGATACAATTGACGACGTTTGCTGTCAAGCAGATGCATTGGCACGAAAGGTGGGCGTCAAAAGGGCTGACCGGCTACGGTGACGTATTATAGTGCTTGTATAGGATTGGCCTAGACATTCTTGTGACGTACGGTAGACTAGATTCATGTACTTGGAGTTCAAAGTGTATATTTCAGTGATCAGGTAATGATTGGTTACAATTTCCCAATTCCCGCATTGGTCTTGACAGACGCGGCAACGCCAGACGCTTCCCTGGCAGCGAGAATGCGACTAGCCCCTACAGCCGCCAACTGCGTCAGCGCGGCAGTGTTCTTAACACTCATCAGAGTCCCGGAGCCGTCAATCACTGAATTAGCCACACACGCGCGTCCAATGACCGAGGTGCAAGTCGACTCGGCGCCCAAGGGCACGTTGAAGATGGCGTTAGACTTTGTGGTCGAGGCAGCGGTCATTGGGGTGGCTACATTGCTGAAGACATTTCCTTCGATAAGCGACCATGTATTCGCCTCAATGTCAAAGGCATGCCCGGTCATATCCTCAAAGTAGTTGTTGACGGCGTGGAAGACGTTCGTAGCGCCGTTGTTACTGGTCCCGTAGTGTGGGGCGCGACCCGACAGATGATGCAGGTAATTCCCCGAAAACGTGTAGTAGTCCTTCGCTCCGATGAGCAAGAGAGTCCAATAATGCTCGTTGTTGCAGGTCGCGGACCAGTACGTTCGACCATCGAACTCGCAGTTAGAGATGGTGATGTGGCCTGCGGCATCCCAGCCAGATACGATCATCTGGCGACCGATGAGGCTGAACTTGCAGTGGTCGACCCAGACCTTGTCCGCGTTCTGTATGGTAAGCGCGTCCCCGCCCCAGACGTACTGCGGGTTGATGTTGTAGATGTAGACGTTCTGGATTATGACATTGGAGGCACCGTTAAGGCGCAGGCCGCGGCCCTGTATGATGCCCTTGCTGCCGACGCCGACAATTGACTTGTTGCTGTTGACTGTGAGTGGGCTGGCACCTGCCGCGTTGTATGTAATCGACGAGACTGCCGTCATAGTACTGCCGGAGCATGAGAGCGTGCCGATGTAGTCCTGGCCACCGTGGAAGACGTCGCAGGCTTGGTAGCAGCCGGCTGAGGTGGTGGTGCCCAGGTTGGATGTAAAGTCGAAGGTTTTGTCGATTAGGATGACGCGAGGGGTGTCATCAGCTAGCCACAATTCGAGTCTATCATCTTTGTCAGTGTATTTTCCAACAACTCGCAGGCAGCATGGGCGGGTGACATACTGTGCGGTGTTCGATGGAGCTGCCGGAGTTGCACTGCCTCCTCCAGTAGTGCCTGTTGCCATGCCAAAGGCTGTCCCAGTGACTCCTGCAGCGATAACCTTGCTCGCTAGAGAAACTGTAGCAAAAATGATGGCCTTCATCGCTGCGAGCCGGAAGCTGGGTAATCGGACGCTGTTTCGACTGTAGGCTCATTTCATCTGGACACAACGCCGCTATTTATGACATTAAGAAGCATATGCAGCTTCAAATCATAAATTAACTTCATGTATGATCGTCAAACGCAGTGCTAACTTCGTATGCTGACCCCGTTAAAATCTCCGATATATGCATCGGCAAGTCCCAAAAAGAGACACTAAATGGCCCAAGAAACAAGTAGGCCCACGGAGATCCGTTTCAGGGCTGGAGAACTAGATGAAGTGGGGAGACTTTTCCACCAGTCGGTCTGCCTGGAGAAACTCAGCTTTGCCCTGTTTGGTGAGAGTCCGAGTCTGCTCTGCAACGCTACCAACTTGATCTCTGTCGGCCATTCCCTCAGTGGACCTGTAGACATTCATAGACTCCACAGTGACTCGATTGGACGGTTCAAGTACTTCACACTGCATCCCAGGCGGATGGTTTCATGTATAGTGGTGCTCGAGGGTGCACCGTTCTCAACCTCTCATAGCTTGAAACCCCTAAATCCCAAATCACGTGTAGGGGCATCCACGCATAAGAGGTCATCAAGCCAATGATTCTCAAGCCGGTCCAGAAACAATGATTGAGCCACTACAAGCGGTTGTCCTATTCTAGCTCAAAGGCCATTGAAATATCTGCAATAAATATTTTATCTGTTGGACTTTGCGCCACTAGAAAAATCCTTCAGCAGATTGTACGGATTATTCCGGACTCAAGGAGAAGGTCAAAAGCCAGAAGACCAGGTCAAATGAAAGCAAGCACATACGTCCAACGGGTTATGCAGTGGTAGAGGCTTCAGTCCGTTGGCCAAGCATTTGTGGAAAATTTCCCCTCCGATAAATGACTGGAGTCACCCGATTGATTACGTGCTTGTCGAAGTAATTCTGAGCCAGACAATCAGACAAGCAGAACAATCTTTGCCAAGGAGCTGCTAATATGGCTAAGGAGCGGATGGGGCAGCCGGCACGTGCGAGTGGGTGGGCCAAATTGCAGGGGCTGATGAGTGTAAGATAGAGAGGCAGGAAAAATAGAAAAGTGAGAGAGGATTGATGGGAGGTGACGGCGAACTAGGGTGCTAAACCCTAAACCTAGAAGGGAAAGCTAACTCGAAAAGGCAATTCGCAGGTCCACGGTTTTTTTTTTTTTGGCAAATTCTGGAAACGAGGGCTGTGTGGACGCTTTGGTTTCGTAAGTCCCTAATGTGGGTAAGCGCATGCGCCTTGATACTTGGTGCACGTTAGCAGCCGGTCTATAGTCTAGGTAGGTCCGCCCGCTCCATAATCCCCGCTTACAACTATTCTACGATAATAAACATTGCGAGGAGATGGAATGTAACATTTGTGGACAGGAAGACGGAGGGTTTTCGTCATCACGCCAATGAAGTATGGTATGTGCAGATACTCTCCGATTGATGAGAGGAATTTCAGTCCACTGATCCGTGGTGACGATAATAACCATGACCTCCGCCGCTAGGACTCCGAAAGGAATATATGAATGCGAATACTGTGTTGAGAAGTCATGCTTCGGTGTTAATGTTGTAGGTAGCTCTTGGTGCAGGTACAGGCGGGCTGACAATAAACACATGCTCCCAGTCCTGTCATATGGTTTCAGCCACCAGGATATTCAACAGTAATCGTATGAATATTCTTAAAGTGATTGTTCGTGTGCACCCCTATTGATATTTGATCGAGAGGACTTATTGAGTCCCTTGCGGAATTGTCACCCATCTCAGAGAAAGACAGCTATCTCATCCAAACAGAGACCGGACTTCTCAGACAGGTGACCGCAAAAGGCTCCTATAATTAAGAGTGTCAGGGCTCCCTTCCGACTTATTTGGGCCTGGGGCGCATAGATGTCTACAAATTGCCGTAAGATTCTGGGAATATTGATGATGGTCAGCTTGCGGTATTCGAATTCTTCAGTCATCTGAGCTGCTGTTGTCCTAGAGCAACTACAATTGACTCTAGATACATATGATATCGCATTTATAGGGCTGTCAATTTTTGGACTATTAATAAGTTTACTCCAGGATTAAACGTGTCCAAGATCCGGAGAACATTTTTCTTTGAGTCGCTCTAGGTACTAGATCAGCAAGGTCGAAATAACGAACCCAATGATCGGACATACTAAATCTGTGTCTCCAGAAGCTACCATTTCGTCCCGAAACTGGTGTGACCCCTTTACACTCTTCAATTGATTCTACAACCCAACGCCAAGACTAACTAGTCTATATTAGGAATATGCACGGAATATCAATATTTCTTTATCACGGGGGTCTTTATCACGGGGGTTGCTTTTGTGAGCTCCGAGGACAGGTGCATGGCAAACAATACCCGACCAACGATGACTAAGAACTCATGATGTGATAAGCCACTACCGTTCACGTGATTGCTGACAGCAAATCAGGCCATCTTCTTTAGCGCCGGAGTGACCACTACCCGACTTTGCATCGGTCGGAAGCTCAAGTCCCGCGGATCGCGTGTCTGGATGGCCAACCAAAATCAAGGCAATGATAATACTATCCCCACCTAGGGGTGAGTGACCTAGCAGTCCTCATAGCTCAGAAGTTGCCAGGGATTCCATCTTAGAAAACTTGAATCACCTATAATGGTTGAAACTTGCATACCTGTTAGGACTACCTGCTAGGGTGGTCCGGGGGTACTGTGGAATACGAGTGATGAATGCGAGAGATGCCTACCCCATATAATAAAGGGCATGAGTGGTATTTAGGTCGCTGCTTCCACCTTCGAGGAACCTGCGTGGCTCTATATAAGAGTTGTGATCTTAACCGAGCCAAGATTTATCATATGCACCTATAAAAGGGCCATCTTGTGCAGTATCGTAGGTGGTGTCGTTACATATCGCTTAATTCTCGAGAGGTCAGAATACCAATTCATCCATTCATGTATCTACTATACCAGAAGATCCTCGACCAGCGAGTTTGGAACTTTAAAGGGCCAGACCCTTTGATATTCTTAGATTCATTGAGACTAACCAAACAAGCCGTATGATGTACGTATGACGGACAATAACGCTCGATGAAATCGGGAAGATCGACTTCAGATATTCATCCATCATGCACCAATTGACTTGGGCTTCTGCCCGACCATAAGGTACATTGGCGTAAACAATTTTTTCATGGCACCCTCAACAAGACAATCACCCGCCAGTGCCATACTGTCAGCGGTCTTCTGCGACCCCTTGGGCAAAATACCAACGGTCTCACCAGCGCCGAAGAAGCGATGGGCAATGCCACGACCCCACCAAGTCATGCGAGCGATGGTTAGAAAATCCCATATAGAGCTCATATGCTTGAAGGACCCCGCGAGTGGGAAGTACCAAGGGATAGGGTCCTGGCGCGTGGCCAGATCCTCGTGATGCATCATTTCGAAGCCGGCGTTTTGAAAGGCAGCTAGGCCCTCCGAAATCTTGACCATGTTGGCGATGCCATCACCCTGCTCAATGCCAAGGCGAATACGGCGATGTTCGGAGTTGTCATTATCGTAGTTGTCTGTCATGAGCCATTCGTAGACACCAAACACTCCGCCAGGCTTCAAGACACGGAAGATCTCCTTATACACTCCTTCCAGCTCGGGAGCGTGGACGGTAGCTTCAATAGCATATACCGCATCAAAGCTGTTGTCAGGAAACTTCATTTGCATAAAGTCACCCTTGACGAAGCTCAACTTGTCTGACAGGCCATGCATTTCTGCATAGTTGGTTGCTCGGTCGATCTGGTAATCGTTGTTGTTCAACCCAACCACATGGGCGTCGGTAAATTTGACCATCTCGCGAGCAGGGCCACCAACACCGCACCCCACATCCAAGACCCGCATCCCCTTCTTGATACCTATCTGCAAGGCGAGGAAGTGCTCATGGCGGGCGATAGCCTGTAAGAAGGGTTCACCCTTGGTGAAGCGACAGAAGTGGAATGAGGAACCCCATCCGTACTCATAGAAGTCCGTGGCAAGGTTATAGTAGCTAAAACAAAATCAGTAAAAGGGTCGCCAATCAGCAGAGGGGTCGGAGTGTACTGTCGAGTAAGGGTGGCATATTCTGCTCGACGAGACTATTGCAGGGTTTCAGCACTAACAATCGCATAAGCTAATTCAAACAGTCTCACCTCGCGAATCGCATCGGTCTCATCAGCAATGTCTCTCTTGTCCCAGTGCTTGAAGTATTCGTCCATAGCAACCTTCTGGGCCACGGTATCTTTCCTACGCATAGCAGCGAGACCACCCTCCGCCTTGGCCGAATTGCCGTGAAGAGCCTTATTGAAGGCTGCATCGCGAGCAAGATCTTCACGCTCCAAAGTTGTGGGGGCCATGGTGGAATGATAAAATGCGGATTAAAAAGGATATAAAGGAGAAAGGGTAGCAGGTTAGCATCTGTAAGGCGCAAATAGAATGTATAAATAGGTAAGAAAATTTTAATAGTTCGTGAGGAGCGAGTGACAAGCGAAAACTTATAGAGATATATACTTCTGGCAACTTCTGAGCTATGAGGACTGCTAGGTCAATCACCCCTAGGTGGGGATAGTATTATCATTGCCTTGATTTGGTTAGGCCATCCAGACACGCGATCCGCGGGACTTGAGCTTCCGACCGATGCAAAGTCGGGTAGTGGTCACTCCGGCGCTAAAGAAGATGGCCTGATTTGCTGTCAGCAATCACGTGAACGGTAGTGGCTTATCACATCATGAGTTCTTAGTCATCGTTGGTCGGTATTGTTTGCCATGCACCTATCGAGACTAGCAATGGCCAGCGAGGTAATACTAAGGAAGATATTAACTAGACGGCGCCGAGTCTGGGCCACAGTAGTATTGGGAGGCATTTGGTGTCCGAAAGAACGTGTTTACCGATTGCAAAAAAGCGAGGCGGATGTTGCTAGGGGAAATAGCCAAATCAAGCAAAGAATTGGAGGTAGAAAGATGAAGTAGAACAAACCTTCCGGGCTTATAAGGCTATATGCGCTCTGTGCTCTTCACACAGGGCTGCCTTCTCAAGAATTGACTCCGCTAGTAATGAGCGACGCCAGGCGTCTTTTTATGTACCAACTGCCGTAGTGCCAATATGTATAGACAATTCCTCGATGAGGGCACTTGCAGTTGAAGGCCTGTTCCGAAGAACGTGTCCAATATCTCGGAATTAAATCAGCTCCTGGAATCACCCCGGTAGTTTCAGGGTCTACTGTCATGTAAACGGGGTGGATAATCTTCCACATCTCCTAAATAGGCAAACAGAGATCAGAACCCATCTCAAGGTTGGTCAAAGGCTCGCTCAAGCCAAGGCGTTTGTTCATACCATCAAAACTGTCGGAAACGTTAGTGGTGTAGCAGAATCTATATACCAGTCATCGAGTGTTTTTTAAGGTGAGAGGAGTCTTCCCGTATGTATATTTTGGACTAGGCGAGAAGGGGGTAGAGATTGTGGAAGGATTGAGTCTGGTTAGGTGTAGAGAGAACAATCTTTCGGCGAGAATCATGATGTCGTTGGGTAGCTATATTATGTAGGAACCCTAACACGAATGCTCCCATTCGTCCAACGTCATTCTTTGCAGCTCCTAAAGTCTCTGCATTTCCGCGAGTATCCGGGGATCAGGTTCAAACTAGAGGTCCTTCATCTCGATTTTCTGCAGAAGATGCAGCCCTTCGCGCGTTCGCAATCGGGATAATTGTACGTACGTCGAGCAGAACTTTTGGTGACGGTCTCGACCACGTATCGTCGGATCATCCTTTAGATCTAAAATCGCAGAGTCAAGCGTAGAACCCTACACTTTATAATCGGTGAGGTAGAATGCCGGGCACATAGGAACTTGTTTCCTACGGACAGAATAGCATTTCACAGTGATCGACCTCTCTAAGGGGAAGACAGGAACGATAGCAGGCGCAAGACCTTCGAACGCAACGGCGTTTGACTTGTTCTGTTTGAACAAAACACACGCGGGAGGCTTGGTGCAAAGGATATACAAATCGTCAATCTCATAGAACTCAGCTAAGATACTTTAATATTGGATTTGTCGTCTACGCGTGAAGGAGGACAACTCACTAGCTAGGTCGACCACAATACCGACGGCGGTTCTAGTCGCTCTATTGACCAGTCCTAACCGGGTACAAATATTTGTCAATATAACAGAAGGCATATTTAGGGTGTAAAGAAGCATTCCCGGGAACGGGATCCTAGTACCCTGATCTGGTTGCCGGAGCAAGTCGTCGACACGTAAGCGAAGGTTGACTAGACTAGTGGACTTAGTTCGTGTGTGATAGGTAGGGAAGGCATAGATCTTTTGACAGTGAGTCCTAGCAAAATGTTCTATTCGAATACGGTTGACCTAGTGTCGAAGAGAATTCAGCTTTACTACCGTTACGGTGGCGCCTAGGCGAGGGGCTCCCAAGGAAGTGATAACGCTAGAGTTAAGCAGGTGTAGGTCCTCTTCCGTCAATGCCGATGTCCTAGCGCGATAGAGGAGGCTCCGAAATGACGGATCACCGGACTGCCGCATTTGCTCGTCTAATATGATCATATTCTTGAATTGATGCCATATGAGTCGACCATCTTCGTCTTTAGCATTGCCTTTTCTAGGTTCCTTCCACAATGCTAGGCCTCGCATAGGTAGGAACTAGAAAAAGTCGCCTATAATGATGACTATAGGTAAAGCACCGAAGAGGTCGGGTGACCCTCTATCAAGGGATCTGGCCGTTTTGCAGTGGTTATTGATCACACTAAGCATACTAAGATCCATCATGCTGATTTCGTCGATAATCATAATGGTCTTCCGGGACCAGAGCTTTTGCACGCGAGTAGCTATCGCATGGCCTTAAGAGCGAGTAATAGAAATGCCTAGAGAGGTATAGAACGTGTTGCCGCCGATATTGTCGGCTACGGCGCTAGTGGGAGCCATAAGAATTACCTCTTCTTTACGGCGGATAAGATCCATCCCGGCTATTATGCCTTTGATGATTTGACTTTTACCAACGCCTCCTTCGCCTCCAATATAGAGAAGCGTCTAAGCTCGTTGCGAAGCATCGTAAGGATAATCCTCCTAGCTTAGTGCTTCTCCTAACACTTTCTCGACGACCAGTCGCTGTTTGGTATTCAAGGGGATACTTACACAAACAAGTAAAGTTAGAGAGATAGGGGTGTAAATGCCGCTAACATCGGACCGATGGTTAGGTAGGATAGCGATTGCTTCCGGACCACTAAGGGTAGGCTCTAACACGCAATCAACGATGTTCAAATTGAAGTTATCCAGCTCATAAGCCGGTCCTATAACAGCATCTTGCACATGGCCATGTTCAAAAACCTTGGCAAGTTCCTTGAGATAAGTCTCCTATTGCTGCAACGTGGATCGCGGGAAGAAGCTAAGGCTAGATGACCTATACGCAAGATTATCAAAGAGGTTGAGCGGAAGAAGGTTTTGCAGTGGTGATCCTCGATTCTGATTTATCGCGCTTACCAATAAAGGAACGCGTCGCGCAGCGATAAGCGTTTCGCGGTCCTAACACTTAGCGATGGAGTGATAGGCCGCGATTAGAGTCTCGATACTAACACTGTTATCTAGATTCATAAAGGAGTCGTCAGAATCAGAATCAACATTGTCGATTTCGAGCTTATCAATATCGCGGTCGAATAAGCTATCAACTAGGATAGGTGCTTGTCGAAGCTTTGCGTTAGCGTAACTATCTTCTCTAGACTTACGTAGGAGTTTAATATTCGCTGTAAACGTTCGGAGACGCGACACGAGGGTTAGCTCTACCGTTTTCTATATTCGGGAGCAAGCGTCGCGTTTCGTCGGCGCAGTATTAGCGTGCTTTTGAAAAAGCGCTGGCAGCTAGCACCAGGGAACGAATAACCCTAGTAAGATCTCCGCCAAGTCATTTATGTTTGCGGCCGTCTTGCAATAGCCCCCAGGAACGGCGTCCTCTAAGGCTTAGAATTCAGTTATCTGTCCGTTAAAGGTGACGGTAGCGACCTAAGATAAGGTGCGAGCTAGACGTTGCATATAGGTATTGCTTTAAGGGTGCGACGAGTCAAAGTCAATATCGTCTGCGATCGCATCTCGTATATTCGTAATCCGTACTAGCATATAGTACTCGAAGAGTGTTAGACACGCAAGCTGCTGCCCACGCAATTTATAGTTGTCAAAGACGCTGATAGGGGCAGTGGCGCCGGCTTTATAGGTGCATGGTTCTTTAGCTATAGGGTCAGAAGATTCGCCGACGTCAATGCTGATAGGTTCGATAAGGTCACGTATATATCGCCTTAGCCACCACAGATTAATGCGGATGAAGTTATAGCTGACCGTGTAGTGAGTTGGCAGGTTGAGCAAGGTACTTGCTACCTAGACGCCACTGACTTCCCGATCGTGTAAGAGGGTATTGAAGCAGCGTAGCGCAAAATTGTCTAAGCCCTTCTCTCGAAGTCTTAGGTCGGTTCTGGTTAGTAACTTAGCAGTCTCTGCCCTTTCAATGCGCTGTTTTAACAAGGCAGCTTTTGCCACTATCTACCACGGGGAGACGTCGTCTTTTGTGGCATAATTGGTGATGTAGTAAATCAGAGACAAGGATTTAGAGATTGTGGGAATCTAAGAGACATCATGATTAGAACGAAGGTAGCTAGTAATGGTAGGGTTCTAGGGGTTAGTCCACGCATGATTTCGAGCGAGGTGAATCAAGCTAAACTCGTCCACTTTGGAGACGGGAACCAGATCACGGGGCATGCCGAAACGACAAGTCTCTTTACCTAAGCCTCGTTATCGGTATTTGAAGTAGGTCGAAAGATGATGTCTAGAATGTATCTGTGTTCTACGCGCTATAGCGTTGCTGTCGTACGACAAGCCTAGAAAGAACTCAGCGTCGGTTCCTCGCTCCTTGGCAGAAGGTGGCGTGCTAGGAAGGCTTACCTCTGGATTATATAGAACGTCCTTATTGATGCCTTCCACGATGGTCGCCTTAAGGTAGCGAATCATACGAGCAGCGAACTCGCTATCTTTGAGAAGGCGGTCCCGTAAAGAGGTAAAGGCAAGGTTGCCTCTGACCTAGAGGAGCGCATGCATATATAGCATCCCTCGACCATTGGTTTCCACAACCCTATAATGATTCGAAAGATTTCTAAGGACTCCGACGTGGTCGTAGTTAGTGGCTAGGAGGCCGCGTAGGATCGCTTGGCAGACACAATAAAAGAAATCAGCAACAGCCACCGGGTTGGAGGTAGCTATAGCGTCACGGATCGCGGCATTTGCAGCGCTGACGTTATCTCCCGGGATATCCACACTAGCAAGCATGAGAACTAGAGGATTTCGTAAGTCCGAGGGGTTAATTGTGATCTAAAAGGCGGGCATTCTATATCGGATAATTAACCCCCGAATCTTAGACCGCATCCTTAGCTTTTGCGAGAAAGATCTAGGAACATGCATGCTAATGGTTATAATATGTTGTTGAAGCCGTCGAATGACAGGGTCTTCGACGGTCTAGCTAGCCTTTATCTCTTAGGCGGCATTTTGAAGTTGGGCCACTATCAAAGAAGCGATGTCGTGTGCCGCCGATCTCCAATATCGTCGTTTTACTAGAAAGGCGTTGCTAAGTGACGATCTTCGGAGCTACAAGATATCAAATAATAGGTACATAAAGGTTTTGTGGCGGGCGAACCTATAGGCGTCAGCGAGATCGAACAATACTTCATATTATTCGTTTACCTTCTGCTGTGGTGACTCAAAGCCTATTTAGAAAGAGCACTTAGGGACACTAGGATATTGCGCTCGTCTAGGTAGCCTCCGACTCCTATTGGAAATAAGGTGGGAAAAGCAGTAGTAAAATAATAAGGATCTGACCAATGATTTATTAATGCAACTTGGCCATAAGTCCTGTAAGAGACTACTAGGATTCTTTGACCGGCTATAGGGCATTCCTATATAGAATTAGGCCTTTCCAAATCTTGTTCGGATAGATAGGATCTGCTGCTAACCATATTAAGTAAGGTGTGCAACATACGCAAGTCAGAGTTCTAGCGCTCTCTATTGATGTTAGTAGAAACGGAACCAGTCAGGAAGAGGCCATAGTCGTTAGAATTAACACTTTTATTTTGTGCTGCTTAGAGATCATTCTCGTAGTTACCCTATGCTAGGTTAACCGTGTACCCTTCACGTTCCTGATAGTCGGACTTATCAAGGTGGATAATATTATCCTATAGCTCCGGTGGGATGAACTTATCACTCTAGTTGTCTATCATCGATTGATTAATGGTCAATGTCTGATATAGATGATTATGTCGAACGAGATATTGCAACGCAGCGAGAACTTTGACTCTACGTATAACAAGAAATAGACTTAGGTCCTCATACGTTAGTGGTCGATCACCTAACTAGAAAACCTTGATCAGGCTATCCAATCTTAACTGTGGGCTTGGCAGAATTTGAAGTAGCGGACCCGGGTCCTATAGAATAACAATAAAATGACCTCGCAGCGCACGATAGCTGATAGAAGATCGCCGGCCCCCTAGACGCAATTTTACAATGACTCCTAGAGGGTGGCACCTTGCAATGACGCACTCCTTAGTCAGAGTAAGGTCGTCTAGTACAGACGGGTAGTCCTAGCAGAGAGTCACGTTGACGAGATTCTTTGCAGAGAACTTAGGGGTAACCCCTCGAATAAGGGCTTTGTGGCAGGATAAGCACACATTCTAGGTGCGCTTACGCTAACCATAGCGATCGAGAGCACTCCCGAGAGGTAAGAGCAAAGGATCACCATCATTAACAGGAAAAATATCAGCATCTAGTACGAGCTTACCACAAGAAGCACACACCGATCTTTTCGAAGCATTTGAGGTCATTTCTTCATAACTAGAAATCGACTTTCGTATGACAGAAGGTGTTATTTCTGGCGGGAAAGATTGAGTAGCGGCTGCATGACGTTCGTATTTATTATGCAAAAAGCCAAGTGCCTTATCTAAACTGTCATTGGGTGCTTATGGATCTAAGATCCTTTGCCTTTTCGCACGGGGTTGTGGAAGCGGGTGAAGGCGGCGTGTCACGTTCGCGCCTAATGAAATATGCCGGGGAAATCCGTCCCTCGCGGTATCAGAAGGCCCTAGAGAGACCATTTCGGTGGCGGTAGCGGATATCAAGAGACCGCGATATTTCTAGCGACAGCTCTAGCGACAGGTATCGCACGTTTTATACCGCGGAGATTGCCACGGGCGATAGCATTGAGAGCAGAGAGCACGCTGAGAAGAGGAGGCTAGACCAACAGAATGTCCGATAGATTGTATAGACGTAGAGCCCGGTGCCTTAGCGACTACAAGTGGATAACGACGGCGCTAGTGATAATGGCCCTTCTAGCGGCAGGCGTCGCACGTTTTATATAGCAGCGGCTGCCAAGGTCGTTTGCATAAGGAGTATTGAGAGCTCTGCTCCAAAGATAAGGCCATAAGAGCGGAGCGAGTCGGGAATGGAAGGAGAGAATTGTATAGGGGGGTTAGGTAACCTTGCCGTGTATGGCAGGCGGGGCATCAGGGCATATAAGAATGAAGAATAACAAAGACGTGGCGGTATACAATAGAGACGGTAATATTTACAGAGCACAGATAGTAAAACGAGTAACATATTTGGATACGGAAATTCTTGAAAGGCAGCAGTGAACGTGGAAGGCCCAAAATTGTAGAATAAAAGCATAGAAATAAAAGAAAGTGCTAGAGGCACGCGAAAGTATTGGTGTAGATTAGGGCTACGTAGGCGAGGCGGAATGACAGGCGAATAGCAAGAAGAGAGCAGCAGACAGTCTGAATGTCGAGGAAGCAGCACTGGCATAGGCATATTATTATGATAGCGGACTGAAAGGTTATACGGCATAAGATACAGGGATGATCCTGGCAAAGCATGCAAAGCACGATGATCAGAAAGCAGAGAGACAAAAGAGGCAAGCGAACACGAGAAGGAAGAAACGTGACCTGGGATCCAACCATGACCAATGAGAGAGAGGCTTGGCGGGAGAGTAGGGTGGGTGTTTCTCGCTGTGTTTTCGCAGCGTCAACGTTGGCGTTGCGCAGCCGTGGGGTTGGTAACCCCTTCCACTCCGTTCCTTCGTTTCAGGGCATGACAGTCAGTATTGTCAATACTTAAATGGAGGGTGGGCAAGCTTACAACGAAGTCAAGCTCATGTCCATGATTAGGTAGAGGTCTTGCTAATGCAAAATTGTTATCGCACCATTCCTTCTTCCAAAGCCACAATGCGCCCCCTTGCCAGAATACCACGAGCCCAAATGGTGTCATCGCAAAATCTTCTCGCCGTTACGGTATTTTCTGGCCCGGGTCTATGATGAAACTATGAAGTCTAAATTCTAAATTTACTGCCGTTTGCAGGATCCTAATCACTTGGTAAATCTTCTGTTGCCGTAAAGCTTGTTACAAAGAAAGTTTAAATGAAGTAAACTTTAGTACTCCCTGGGTACGCCAAGTTGGAAAAGAAAACGTACTACCTTACCAGAATTTTTATATTCTAGGCCGTTGTCGAACACCAAAACCGAAGGCCATGACGCTTTACGAGTAACATGACAATGGTTTAACCTAGATACGTAGATAAAGAATTAGCGCACTGGCAATATTGACGCTGAGAGGATGGACTCCGGAGTTCCAGGCGTTATACCGACGGCTAGAGACGATGACCACCTATGTCATTAGTAAACTGAGCGAAAAATGAGCACGATGCTGGGCAGCGGGGCAATATGACCAAGCGCTCTTTGGCACTTGACTGCTGCCCTTCTTGCATCGACCAGCCCTTCGTTGGTGCACGCTCGTCCAGCTTGAGGCTGAAATTACCCTATATTATGAGCCGGAGATTCAGTGGATCAATTTCAGAAGTCATCACCATAGCCAGAATCCAATTCTGCGATGATCAGGACTGCGGATTTGCGAGCGAGCAACACCTCTTGATCCAACTTGATCACATCCCACTAGATGGAAAGCTGGGAGTGGCCCTTTCATATAGCTGGGGAGAGTTTAACAGGCAAGAAGTTGCCGTCGGACACGACGTCTCAGGCAATGTCAAAAAGTTGGAATTGGGACAGGAGTGGCACGTAGGGGATCTACAGGCCAGTCTGGCTGACCTGTCACAAAAGTATGGAGGTTGTTGGATGGATCAGCTTTGCATCAAGCAAGCAGCGGTCGACATTCGAAAGTCCCTCGCAAACATCCCATCCATTTACCGGACTCTGAACGTTGTCGTTCTCGTGCCGTCATCGCCCTGCTCCTGCTCGGAAGAAAATGCCAGACTGATCATCAATTCTTTTGACTCTCGACTAACAGCGGAAGTAGGGAAAATAGCACGCGAACACGCTGGCTACCGAAGGAAAAGCTGTCTCAACTCTTCCGGATTGATCTCGTACTTCGACCGAGTTTGGACAAGACAAGAATTCATGTATAGCCGCCAGATCTCGTTGTTGCGAACTTCCAAAGAACTCGTACCGTGTGTGAGGTGTGAGCAGGATGTCGAATCATTGGGAACTTATGCCGGCCTGCTTTTCCAGCGCAACATCGAGGAAGGACAAACTCCCTCGACGGCCTACCAGGCAGTCAAATCTGCGAACACCTTTTTCTTTCGCTACGCAATGGATGCGATGATAAGTTACTGTGCGTATGAGCACGCCAGTTCCCGCACCGACGCTTCCTATACGCTCTCGAAATTCTTGCTTGGAGAAACTATCGTAAACCAACAACCAGCTCCTGACCAATTGAGTCTTTACAGCCAATTGAAAAGTTTCTTGACTCAGCTCAGCCAACTTGGTAGGTCTGCACGAAGAGCTACAAAAGAATGCGACTATGTGCTTTCCGTCTGGGTTGACTGCCCTGGATATGTCATTCCTACAAACTACAAATCTATGGACCTGCCGGAACTCTTGGAAGATGCCATCCTTCAACTCGAAAAGAATCTGGACTGCTCTCCGTTAGTCACGGTACCTGCCGCCTTATTCGGTAGAGATGAAGCCGGCGGACTATGGAGGCCAACAACATACTTGCAACGTTCCGCGATCCACGACGCGCGGGAACTATATAATGTCTTGTCCAAGTCTCAGCGCGTTCCCGTGTCCAACGGGTCGATCCCTTTGACGTGCTTTCTCGAACATTCGCTCTCGGTGTCATCTAGAGCCGATGACTATATCAGATTGTTTGAAGGGTGGCCAACAGCAAAAGTCTTCGACGCAATGAAGAATGTGTGCAGCGGATGGCCCGAAGATGTGCTGGCCCGCGTGAGAGACGCGCACGGCATGCCCTCAGCCGATTCCCGCGAACACTACTTAGTGACCTTGTTCGCTGAACTTGTTGTAGTGAAAGCGATGAATGCGCTGGAAACAATCTCAAGGAAGGAACCCTCGTGGGAAATTCGCGACACCGATCACCATGATGCCATGTACGGGCTCGTTGCTATCGCCTTGGGTATCAGCAGGTCTGCCTGTGAAGCGCAAGGTCTCCGGCTCATGGTGTCTCTGGAATATCCGCCTTGCATTGGGTTTATGAAGCCCGAGCTCAGCCTGCAGGAGCCGACGCCGACTTATAACGAGAGAGTTCAAGGCCGGCAAGGCCACAACGACGAGTATCTAACGGTTTGTACTGCCGTGTACAGCCATAAAGCCGGGTGTGCGTTACTTGAAGCGTCGATCGAGGCCCAAGGTCCGCCTGTTGTTCTGAAAGTCTCTGGAATCTGGGTCCCGATGAAGTACACGCCTCTTCATGAAGTGGCGGCGCTAGCGCAAACTTCTAGCAGAGACGGGCGTCTGGGAGGGCCGTCTGTTTCCCCAGCATTCGATCCGTTCAAGTATTTGATTTATATTGTCCCGGAAACCCAGACCGAGAATATAGTCATTAGTGAGAGGCCGCTGGACGATTCAGACCTTCCAGCACACCATAAGAAGGTTCCTGCCACATCTCAGCGGCCGAGGTATCTTCGACTCGTCTTTTTCTCTATTGTTTTTGTTTATAGCCTGTTGGCCTTGGCCGTTTGGACTATACTGTTAATGTCTTAACGACCGTTGTCTTCTGTTCCAGGGGCAGACTATAAACAGATGCGAGTTTGACAACGACTTCCAGCAAAAATTTAATGGCCTTGAGTTGCTGGCTATCCAGATCAGGATGATTTGGGGTTGCCCATCGATGAGAGATAAGCAGAACGCACCCCATAGGTTTCTTCTAATCAAAAGTTGTCGGAGCTATATCTTGGTAGCGGGGCATCCCCTCAAGTTCCAAGCTTTTGGTTTTCTTGTTTTACTCCTTCACCTGCAATGGGATCTGCATGGCCAGTCTCTCGACCGTAAGCATCTAATGCCCTCGAACGACACCGGTGGTTCAACAAACTGCCTCGTTGTGTCGGTTACATTGCAAATGGTCGGGTGTGGAAGTGGTTTCCATTCACAGCGTGAGATCAAAACAGATCTCAAACAAGCTGTTCAAGGCCCGCAAAAAGGAGAGCTCATTTATGGATCGGAGGTTCCTCTACTTGAAGGCCGGCTGTGAGCCAAGGTTGCGTCGACGTAAAAAACTCAGTGACGGTTGGAGGAAGCCGATCAGCTAGATATGCAGCTTGTGGATATTCATAAGGCGAAGCTTGGCACAGAGCATCTAAGCACGTGATACTCCCAAGCGATCGAGTTGCTGAAGAGCTGTGTTGTCAAGCATCCCGCTCTTCCCGAGCCCGTATTCAATTCTACCACCTTGCTGATATGGGGAAACAAGCACCTGGCCACCGCTTCATGATCAATCCATGAATTCATTTCATCATATAATAGTAGTTATCAGGGGCTGTTTTATTTGTGGATGATCTATCTTCTGTTGAATTAGGCTTCATTCATTGACAACAACTCTGAGTTCTCCATTATTATATCTAATAGCGTGTTACAAAATACAGTCATTCTCAAATCGCCTTGACAGACCATACTTAGTTGAGGGCCGCCGTAAATTGGGACTTGTATAGGACAGTGATTCATACCCTAGGAATCAAAGCGCAGGCTGCAATCTTATACCAGGGGATACAATACCATACAAGATATATTTTACAACCGTCCTCAACTAAGTGCGGTCTGCTCAATAGATGATCTACGCTAAGGCCTTGGCGGTGGGGCTGAGAAAGAGAGTCTCAGTGTGTACTGGTCAAGGCGATTTCGAGAATGGCTGTATATGGATCTATTTATATGCAGGAATCGGGCAAATGAAGGTGGCCTAGACAACTCTATACCCTAGGCTCCTAGGAGGTATGATTGGGCCCTAATTTTCAAGAGAAAACATGACATGTCCTATATTGATGTCCATTGCCAATGTGCTCCTGGGAATTATGCGAGTAGATTGGCCGAGACTCCAAAGATCGGAATACATTGCAGGAGCCTCCTTCAACATTACAATGCTCATCATGTAAGGGAATCTGGCCGAAAATTGAGGTCAAGCCTGCATAATGCACGCATCTCCTCTGCACGTCATCTTATTCAAACCAATCACCTCTTTCGCTCATAATAACCCAGGTTCCCCGGAACCCAACCTATTCACCCTTTAGATAAGTGAGGGGCATAGCAATTCAGAAAGCTTCATATTTATCTGAGGATCCCATAAGAACACCTGATCTGATTTCTGTCACAAAATGCAATTCTATCTACTCTTGCTGCTCAACCCCGCGCTCTGCCGGTTCACTAGTTATTCTATACTGGGATGTAAAAGCTATTAAAATCCGATTAGATATTCCTAATCTGTCGGGTCCCAAAACCAGACCCGATAACTATGCGTTCGTTAATAACATATTCAACCTCAAATGCGGGAGATAGAGTGTGCCCAATACTAACTAGCAATGTCCCCTTTTACCCGTCCACCCACTCGCATTCAAAGTCCTTCATCCTCGAGATATTTAGACCAGGATCTTTGCTCAACCGGTCGAGTGCAGCAAGGAATAAGGTCGGCAGACGGAAGGCCCCAGGTAGCTCGACCTTGTATATCAATTGGCCTACAGAATACAGAAGGGCCAGACCTAATGAAATCCGACGGAACTCAAACTACCCACCACCTCCTCCTCCTCTTGCTGGGAAGCTATGTTCGCCTCATTCATGGCGTCCCCGATCAGGACTGTGAGAGACCAGACCCTTGGGCGTAGTAGCTTATTCGACTCTCTAGCCACGGCGACAAGGTGAGAAATCATGGCGTTAAGCAGGACGCTTGTTTGCTTGTGGATCTCACATCGATCAAGATGGATCTGAAAGTAGTTCTTACATATCTCTGTCGCTTGGGCGTGGAGATTTAGAACTCCTTCATCGGTCTCCCATTGATATGTCAATGGACTTAAAAGGTCGACTCCGTTCCTGTCCTTGTGCAGGACAAGAACACCTGCAAGGATGAGGGGCTTCCCATCGGCCAATCGATGGAGGCAGTCGTTAGAGAAGCTCGTCCAGCCTTTATGCCCCGTCATGCGGGCGAGGAAAATGTGGAGGCCACAGCGGGTGTAGTCTTCTATGTTGCGGCAAGACAGCCCGCAGCGCTGCATGATCATAGTGATGAACAGATCCACATTCCGTGAAGGGGCTTCAACAAGACCGAATCGGATTTCCATCAGAAAATCGGCGTGGTGGGGCCAGAATTGTGGTGCAAGGGGGGTCGTCAAGAAGGGAGTTGGCCAGTCACTTGGGGCAGGTGTTGAACCTTGTTCAATTGAGTCGCGGAATTTGCTGACACTGTCCCATTCAGGGACTCTTATTTCGGCGTAGTAGAAGGACATATTGGGGTTCCAGGTAAACCTGGATTCGTTTTCCCAGGTTTCGATCATACTCCGGTAGCTCAACAGATAATTTGGCTTGGAGCTCTCGGAGTTGAGGATTCGGGCGTCGATTGGTTCGTTGAGTAGGTCTTGTCTCAGGACAATGGAATTCTTGTGGCACTTCCAGTTCATGAAGCAGAGTTCGGATATACACCACGCTCGTTGAATATAATCGTCTCCCCGGCTTCTGATGCTGAGAATGAAGTCGCAGGATGCGACAAGTGAGGGAAGCCGTCGGAGTCCTTCTTTAAAGAGCAACTTGTTGGCAGGTGTTCGATCATCAATCCCTGAGGGGATTTTTTTGTGGCAGACACATGTAGTCTAGCCAGACACCAATCTTGTCCAAGATTGATCGGTTCACTCCGCCGGTGTTATCTGCAACTCTCCTGACAATGTTCGCAGCTTGAAGGTATCCATGAACCTTCAATGTCTTAACAACTGCCGTTCTTTGTTCCAGGGGCAGCTTGCAAACTGAGGCTAGTTTTACAATAGCTTGCATCAGAAATATGATAGCTTTCAGTTGCTTGCCGTCTGCGTCTGGATGCGTCGGGGTTTCCCATCGATGAGAGATAAACAGAATGCACGCTGGCGGTTCCCTCCATTCAAAGGCTCTTGGATCTATATCTTGGTAGCGGGGCATTGTCTCGAGTTCAAAGAGATTCCCGGCGTGGATGATATTACATAGACGAGGTACCTCGTCCTGATCAATAGCTGTAATATACTGGCCCGACTCTGGCGTCAAGCCGTATTGTGACATTATAGGCAACAAGTGAATAAGTCTGCTTAGTATCGAGTGCCTATTAGGCTCCGACCGAGCTGAGGTGTAATTAAGTTGACAGGTTAGCATATTTAACATGCCGTGGTCCCAGTGACGCATATGATGGTGATGGGTGAGTGGAGTGCCGTCATCGCAGTTCTAGACCCGGTGCCCACCTGATCTTACGCCACTATCTAGATCTTCCGGCTCGTCGCATCCCATAAACTAAGCTGGCTGTGCTTGATTCGGTGAAATGCTTCTACCGTGGACAATTTAGCGTAAAGGAGGGTTCGATCAGCCGACTATAGAAAGAAGAGCTAAATGCCCTACGTCTGGGGTAGTCACTTATTTGAGTAGCGTTATGACTGGTTCTAGACACGTCTCCCACCAGACTTACTGTTACATATCTAAGCGTATATATCTCTGCCTGTAGGTATGGATGATTCTACTAGTGGGATGTTTCGATTTCTTAAGAAATATGGTGCAGTCGGACCGACGTAGTAGCATCGAATTCACAATCGAAGGATCTGTCGCCAACGCTGCTGGGAGAGATGTTAACACCAGTACGTCAACGGTAACCATACAATCGATTTTGTCTAACCCTTTCAGGAAACCAGCACATTTACTACGATGATAGCACGCTTCTTCGAAGTAGATGTCTACTAGAAGCGGGTAGTAAGCAAACCCAGAGGAACTATGAAGACCAGCCAAACCAAGCATGTACTGGAGCATAGCAATATATGAAAAGTAACGCATGTCACTTGGAGATGGAAAGTACAGGTTGTGGAAGTCTGACGATATCATCATTGATATATTGAATTTTTCCCGAGCCCTAGTCTAGCAGTGCAGAGTAGATTGGTTCGATCGATGGAGTGACGAGGCGTCCATAGAAGTATTAGGAACTAGATCCGTGGTGACGCTTGAAAAGTATGACTGCGGCGAAGATCGATATCATGACCAGTAAACTAGACCTGAGGTCCAAAAATTCTGTCTCTTGTCTATCCAATGAACTGGTTATATCCAAAAAAGTCTAGATCTGTCCAGATGTCAGGTGCTTGTCGAAAACAGTAAAAGCCAGAATATGACATCACTATCCCAGCGCTGGGCTCTCAAGAAGCGGGCGGAAAATAATTCGGTCTACAACGCGGACATCTATGTCCATCTGTCTCAAAACAGACACTCATTCGACTTCCATTTCATAACCCTCTGGATGCAAACATAGCTGGAGGTAATCCACTCCTAATAAATATGCCACCAACAAGCCCGAATAGCGTTCCCCGAGACTTCAACGCGAGCAACCCATCCGTCGCATTCTCCGACCAGTGGACAAACCCCATCGATGTATTCTCCGTTCTCCTCATTCTCGGCGGCGACGTCGTGGGTCGGGCGCTTGCCCAGCTCGCAGGCTCATCCGTGACTCCTGTAGCATTTTCGTTCGGTGTGGCACCTCAAAAAACGCCCTCTATACCTAGTTATTGCTCCTGCATACTGACCATGCCGTATCTCATCTAGGATGGGTCGCCTACGCCGTTACAGCCGTCGTCTCCACTATCGGCGAAAACAAACTAATGCCCCTGCCCGACTGTGCGTGTAAAATCATCAACGGACGAACGGGGTACGTCCGGGATAATTCAAGCTGGGTTATTGGTCGGATCATGCGGGACTATGAAAGCTGGATGGACGATCGTAATAAGGACGGCCCGATCCATAGGCGTTTAAAGCGGATGATTGATGAGCGTTGGAAATCAGATCAAGAGGAGGCGGAGGCGAATGAACCAGGAGCAGGAGCGCGGGTTAAGAAACCAGCACAGGTGGGTCTTTGCGTGTCGGTATACAAGGCTGGTAATGCGAACCCAGGGTATCCTGGCCGCGATTGGGTCTACTACCTTGGTCTTGCCACGAGCATTGTCCAGCTAGGGATCGGAGCAATTCCTTGTGGTGTATACGGGGACTGGGGCATTCTGCTGGTGACGGGCAGTGGGATAGCGCTCTCCTTTGCTGTTGGCGCTCTCCCGCAGTGGAAGCGAGAGAAATGGGCCTGCCGTCGGAACACGGACAAAACAGTGATTCTCACGAGAGGAAACGGCAGTCAGCATGCTATTGTCATCATTGGTAATAATGTAGGTCTTGACTTCGAAGATCTAGCAACAGGTCCCGTCACGGCTGATATCTCTGCCTCGTTATCTACAAGAGTGTTCTTGATCTTTCTTGCTACACTGTGGATCTTGCTCCTAATCACGGCCGCCGGTCTACGCCACAACGCCTGGTTTTTGCTCGCAGTTGGCGGTCTTGGTATCATCCAGAACATAATTGCTGCGGGGGTCAGGAGGTCACCGAAGAGTTTCGGCATTCCATTGACGCCCGAGGGGGTTCTCGGAGAAACCAAAGTCATGCCGACGCTGTTCGTGGTTGAGGACGCATATCCTCGCGTGGGGAGGAGTATGCTGAAGACTTTTTTCCCGGGACCTTTGCGCCCAGACGAGAAGGAAAAATGGGAGAGGTATGAGAGACGCGCCAACGATTTGGACAGGTCGGGTGTTGGGGGCGGCCAATAGATTCTTAGAACAGTGAAGGTCTCAAAGCTGAGGCACATTTATCACTGCGTTGTATATCTCAACATTGGTCATGGCCAATTATGTACTATACTTACAGCCGAATTCTGTCTATTGGTACTCTATGGACAAACGCCCGATAGATCGCGTGCAAGAGTTACTCGGCATGGACCCTGGTGAGCGGTTCCTTCAAAGGAGCAAGGTAGGCGCGACGCACTAGCTAGTCAAGCATAGCAGGCAGTACCGTAGCAATACGTGATGGATACCTTACTGAGTCTTTTTCCTCGTTCAGTATTATCCTATTTAGCCTTGTAACAGATCCTTAAATATAGGAATAGCTATATACAGCTTAGCGCACCATATGATTAGCGTTTGAAATAGCTCCTCTACGTCCGATAGAAAGGGCGAATGCGGTCGCTACTACACTCTATAGACTTTTATAGTTGGATCGGCTATAAGTGTGACACAAGAGCTATCAGAAAGAGCCTTTTAAGCCGAACTTCACGACTACGTGCTCGCCGCTGCGATTATGAGCTTCATTGAATCCTCGACATTCTTTTCATACTGTAGCTGCCACGATGCGAAATAATTTAGACCTCCGGCCTTATTTTTTGAAGGACGTTCGCATAAGAGTTTTACTATAGAATAGTTACCTCGTGACCCAAACAACAGTAGTACTCCTGACCAGGTTATCTTCCATAGTGGTCGTAGATGGAGTGCTGGTAGATGGAGTGCTGGTAGATGGAGTGCTGGTAGATGGAGTGCTGGTAGATGGAGTGCTGGTAGATTGACTGCTGGTACATTGACTGCTGGTAGATTGACTGCTGGTAGACGGAGTACTGGTAGATGGACTGCTGGCAGACGGAGTGCTGGTAGATGAAGTACTGGTAGATGAAGTGCTGGTAGATGGGGTCCTAGCAGATGGAGTGCCGGTAGATAGTTTACTGGTAGATGAGTAGGAGGGCGAATTCGTTTTGTTCCATTTTCCAGTAGCAACACACCAGCTGCCAGTCTTTAATCTATTATTGAGCACACAGGACGCTTGGTTCCCATTTTTATTGGTAAAAGTGACCAATCCCGTGTGGTTCACCTGGATCCAAGCAGCGGGTAAGCCGTCTTCAGTACCGCATACGTCGACGTTGAGCACATTCAATTCATGACGGTTGCCATTGACGACCTCACTAAGCTCTAGCAAATTGTTAACAGCGGTTAACATTCCAATGGAGGGTGCCTACCTGAACAATCAATTCCATCGAGAAGGCCAAAAGACGCAGAGTAACCCGTGCAGCCATAATTATCGTTAGACCATATCAGACATTGCCCATCATGATCTATGACCTCAAGAGTTCCGGCTTGGGAAATCCCTGCCTGAATAATGGCTAGAATTGTAATTAAGAAAAATACATCTTCGAAAGACCTCAAGAACAATAGACTATTTTGGCTTGGGTGGGCGAGAGTAAGAGCACACTGCGCGGCTTTAAACACGAATTGAGCGTACCAGAGTATACAGTACGGTTGGCACACGGAGCATTGAAATAAATTTCTTGAGGGTCACCCGGAAAATTTTAACCATGATCCTCAGAGGCGACTAGATGACAATGCCAAACTATTTAGCCATTAGTTGGATTCTGTCACAAAACTTCCTCATTAAAGACTAGCCTGAACAGGTTGACTTGGTCGAAGTGCTTATGGTGATAAAAACGACAGTGTTATTCGTGCTACAAGCTTCAAGAGCAGGGCTGAAACTGAGGGATAAATTAGCTCGACAACGTATTAGGCCAGACAAAAAGGGAGGGCGTAGAGAGAATTTCTTGCTGCACAGGTCATAACCACCAGGCGGGCAGTCATCTATGTAACAATAAGCTAGATCCACTCCGTGTGTATTTCTTGGCCATGTGCTCTGCCCAGATGTGTCTCGTGCTAACAGCTCTAAAATATCTGCTTTTGTCTACTGTATCATGCTCAAAGGAACGAGAGTAAATGGCAATACAGTACCCCAGCCGGAGGGGGAGGATTTGATAGAGAAACAGGGTTATAGTCATTGATCTTCGCAAGTCCACATTGAGCTACAGCTGGCAGGTCAGACTAAGTGTAATGGGGCTTCTTTTTTAGTCCCTATCACAGTCAGTAGCCCCAAATCATGCGATATCTTAGTCGATCAAATTTTGGAGAGTAAGTTACGTAGCGATCCCTTGGGCTTGATTCTGGCTCGTGGTCGATGAAGGCTTTCGATTGTTTCTACGCAATACAGTATCTGGAGGGTTCCCGGGGTGATAGGACTGGGAGCTGGTTCCGACAAGTGCGAGTGGCGGTAAATCAGAAGCGCTGGTATCGAACATCTCTCCGGAAAGGGAAGTGTCTTCAACAAGCATTTCTCCATTTGCTTATCCTTCATGTAAAGTACAGCGCCGACATGTTCCTGCCCGTTGAGCAATTGAACATCAAGCAACTTGCCAAAAATGCAAGATAAACACTCCGTCGAACTCTGTAAAGTTGTGATGTTGTTAATGACAGGAAAGTTTACGGCTGTTATTGCCTTCCATGCCATTAACATAGCAACGTCTTTTGATACCCTAATCACATGATATGATTAACTGGTAATCAGTGGTGAAGCATCGGTATAAACGGAGCAGATTACTTCAATTAAATTAAATATTTGTTGTCATTATTGCTTCCGATTATATGTGCATTGATGGGCATTCCAGGTTTGAATTACGAAGAGCTGAGAAGACCGGCTCGGTACAGTATGATTAAGCCTTGTGGCCCTAAAGGCATACGCCGTATCAATTTCAGTGGACTTCTTAAAACCATCATCCAGATAGCAGTTCATCAACATCGCCTTCGCATATTGGATCTCTGCAAATCAAATTTGAGAAAAGAATTCTCGTCCACGACTTTTCTAAGCACCCCAATAGCAATATCCGGTATATCTTTCATAATCACGATACTATCATCATGAGTTAGGAATTCCTGGGTGTGGCGTGAAATTGCTTTGATTATGGCGTCTCGGAGCTCAGTCTCGAGAGGCGGGATAGTGATCCAGATCTGTTGCAAGACTAATGGAAGACTCTTCGCATTTTTGTCAATCCAGTTGAGAAGGCGGGTTCTCGCAAGACTTTTTAAAGGCGAAATGTCGAACTTGTCGGCTGCCATAAAAACTCTGAGGTTATTCCACATAGCTGCATGAGGGTCTATATTTTCGCGCGAAGCAGCTTTCGCAAAGTCCAGATCATCTGTCTCTCCGTAATCTTGAACATAAAGAAAGGAGATAACTCGGTGAATGGTTGCTAGCTCATCATCCGGCAGATCAACTTGCGATAAAGAAGCCTCCTTGTGGCGATGTTACTCTTATACACCAAGATTGGCAAACGGGGACAGCATTTACCTTGAATCCGCCTTTGACTGCAGCGTCGAAAAAAGATGACTGAGAACAGACTATTGCACGGTGTACCTTGAAGTTACGGCCTTCACATGATATCATCAGGTCTGAGTACTTGCCTGAATCCAGAAGGCTTTGCAAAATTGGTTGAAGATCCGGAAACCCCATATCCGATGCAGGAGGCTGAATAGCAATGGTAGCACACTTTACTATTCATAATTATCCGTGGTTTTATACCAGCACCAAAAAAGCGAAAGGGAGCTTAGCTATGACGTCAACACCACGATCATTTCCGTGGGTGGTGAACGTGAAACGATACAGTAATTCACGTTGGTTTCCACTTGTTTTGCTTTATACTATTTAACTGCAGAAATACCCTTGAAGTACTTTACTAACATTATCAGGATTAATAATAGGTATCCTTTGGACGGTGCTTTGATGATGACGTGGTGTATGTGGACTCGTCGAAATGTTATAGAGAATTCTTCACAAAAGGTCTCGCTTTTTTCTCCTCATTTTTACAAGGAACATACAACTTCTACCATGCCCTCCGACGAATTTGACCGGAGGGCACTGTCCAGACTTAAAGGGAGCTATCTGCTAAAGAATAGAGGGACATTCGCCTTACGGCTGCAGATAAACATTCAGCTATCCTTGTCACAAGCGAGCCAATTGAGGAGAATCAGACTCATAGTGACCAGCTTTCGAGCTTGTAATAGGGCTACCAATACTGTCTGAAGGTCTGGACAGAGGATTGATTGTTCCTGTAGTTCTGCAGACCCAAACCCAAGACGATGAGCCAATCAAGCCATTTCATAGAGAGTCCTCTGATCCGCTTATAAACGGTGAGGCTTGGCCAACAGCTCGTCGTGTTTCTCTGATGCTCAGGTTATTAAGAACTAACTGCGTATATCATATAGCTAAACCTGGCGATAACCTAGCTCGAGGGGCTTCATATCCTTCGGACTTTGGTGGCGAAAGCACTTATACGTTTGTATCCTTGACTCGAAGAATCAAAGTGTTAAACTATGTAAAAGCCTATACGGTATCTTGTATACTTTGACACTGCCAGTGGTAGGTTTTCCCCGTCATATGCACTGTCTTGAAGTCATCGGAGTAAGGATGGATCAAAATCAGTTTCACCACTTTACCCTCATGAATTCCTTCTCTAACCCCAAGCTAGTATGTCTTTGGGCACAGTGTTTCAGCGAATGGTAATACAAAGTACACATACACGTACTGACAACTTTCGACACCGTTCCACTAGCAGTACTATGTTTTAAAGTATGTGTGGTGGTATTTAAAGCTACAATATGCCTTAAAGGTATCACTTCTCCTAATCACCATAACTCAGTCAAATTTGATACTTGTCGAGAAAAGGAAGTATTGTCCTCTGTAGGCTTCAATCTGGAAAGGATTGGTATAGTGACGTACTTCATTTCAGAATAGCTAATTACAGCCAAGAGAGTCTTCACGTCATATTAATTGAGTGGCACTCAGTCTTTAAAATTAGTAGTTAGGAAGATCACCCATTCCTCAGTTCCTTGACAGAACATTTCAAGTTCAAACACTGCTTGTAATGAACCAAGATGGTTTCAACGAGCTACTTCGATCCAGATTTAGCAGAAAAAGGCGCTACTGACGAAATGCAAGTCTCTTAAGTTCCACGCATGGCGAGGGATCTAATCTTGTGTAGCTTTTTAGCAAGATATAGCCTCCTTTGTCGGTGGCAGAAGCAACTAGAGTTTTTCTTGTATCACATTTGTCGCTCTATAGCTCCAGCCCTAGCGGATGAATGTCACTGGTCTTGCCCTGAGGCGGCAGAGCTAAGTCGGCTTTCGGAAAAAGTCACCGAATATTTTTGTTTCCACCACAAGAAACTTCTCCAGTCCCATGGCATATCAGAAAAGGAACGGGAATCGTTCTGCTCCGATTTGCATGGAATTCGTCAAATACGGCATTGTGCTGTGCACCGAGTGCCAGTAAACGCAGCTACAATCGCTAAATATGCAAAGAGCGCCCAGAATGTGCTAACAATTCTGAGACGTCTCGGTGGACCAGCGTTTCAAAACTCGTTTGGTGGACTAGTATGCTTGAATACATCTCCTCCCTCCCTTATCAGCTCTGCTGACGTCTTTCCCGTTGAAAGTTGGACCAATCTCTTCAGACATTCTGGGATGTTCGAGCACCGTATCCGCCACAAGCAGCTTCTCACCGATCAAGTCTCCAGCAACTGAGGGATGAGAATGTTAAATATCATGCGCCTCAAGAAGTAAAGGCAATGAACATCCGACGTATGCTTGAGCTTCAGAATACCGCACTGGAAAGAAAACTGGAGCGTATTGCGAGAATGGCAGAGGATATTGAGATTTCACTTACTCAAAAAGCGGCCCGGCAGGCGAAGCTATGTCAACAAACCAATGAATCTCAGCAAAGGAAAATGGCAAGAGCACAAAATCATCAACAAGAACGGGATGAGGCCGAGCAAAAAGCAGCCGAACGGTTACAGCGCAGCCATCAGGAAAGAGACGAGGCTGAACAAAAAAGAATCGAACGGGCCCTGCGCAACCAGCAGATACGAGACGACGCTGAACAAAAAAGAATCAAACGTGCCCAACGTAGTCAGCAGGAACGAGACGACGCTGAACAAAAAAGAATCGAACGCGCCCAACGTAGTCAGCAGGGACGAGACGACGCTGAACAAAAAAGAACCGAAAGAACAGAGCGCAGCAGCAGAAGTTTAATGAATATGCAAATAAGAGAGTCCTGTTAGGCCAGCTCTATTGATGTTGACCGTTAAACTGCTTGTAACAGCATAGTGCCTGTTCCACACCAAGTCATACAAACGAGCGGCCGACTTCTATGTATCTTGAATGTTTTGTCCATAAAATGACTGTTGCTTTTTCCCGAACCAATCCAAATTCCTCGCTGTCCAGATCCTAGTTTCAGCCTTGCTCGCGTTTTCGCGGATTTTAGCAGAGATGCAGCCAAAACCGGACACTTGCTGTCCGTCTCATTCGCAATTTCATTACAGGCGCGCCATGAGGGCATCCTAATACCATAAATGGCAACAAGGCCACGACAGGCCTTACCAGGTGAGGCTCAAATTTCACTGTTTAGGAAGTTTAGAACAAGCTCAGTGGATCAATCGTATATGTACAAAGTATTCGTATCCTGCATATCGCTTTAATAGTTGGATTCTAAACCATAACCCACTAGGCTGAGTGCGGATTCGTATTTTAGTCTAGTTGGGAAATCAACTTTAATTTTGCGAGGGGTCAGGGTACATGTAAATGATACACACACCAACACACACGCACGCACGCACACACACACACACACCTGTAGTATTCATGAAAACATCACATCCCATTAGTGGCATTAGCGGCACAAACGGGTATTAAATCAATAAACCTAAAGTTTTTCGAAGTATCCAACACTTCATGACATAAATACCTCGTGTCCTTTTTTTCCTCGGTAATTGGCATCACTTGAGTCATTTTTTTAGGTCCTTGCATGGCAATAGAATACTACCTATGGCCAAAACCTAGCTGGAAAACCGTAACGGTGGTTTCTATACTTCGCGTTGAAAGAGGTAGTACGCCTCATGGTCGTTCCTATCCTTCGGTAAGACTTCGTCGAGTATCTGCGAATCAAAACGGGCTCAGGCTCTGAGAGTGGTGTCTTATAATTATTCACTAATTTAAGGATACAAATTGAAAGCTGAACCTGCGCAGAATGCTCAGTGCACTTGGAGCAAGCCGGTCAGGATATACGGCAAAAAGAGATATAACGGAGTTGATAGCCCTATTCGAAATATGAAATGGTGTTAACTTTATCAAAAAAAACTCTCAAACTTTCAGGGGCTTTTGTGTTAACTCCTTAACACGCTGCATTATGAAGAGCACTGTCTATTCGGCAAACCCTATCCATTTTTGGTTTCTTTGAGGTTGTGGATACCTCTCATGTATCAGCGCCGCGATGCGGAAAGTAATACGTTCTCCGTGTGATAAGATAAGATCAACGTCGTCTTTTTCGTTGTAGGATCCATGTTCCACACTGCAAACTGGAGAGAAGTGATTTTGATCGAGTAAATCACAGACACCCTCAAGAACTGCAAGACCATCGGCTAGCGCGTTCACAATCCCTCCCCAATTGGCTTCATAGGCATGCAAATACCACGAATTTGTCTTCAGGCATTTATTCAACCGCTTGAACAAAGGTATTATAGTGGCTGCGATCTTTTCCGCTTGGTCCGATTTTGCGCTCGGAAGACTTAGTACATGCGCGAAGTAGTTATTGTGCCAGTTTTCGAGCTGGTAAAAGCCGTTGGTCAAGAGACTGGCATTTGGAAGGCGATGGCGCGGTCGGAAACATAATTCCATGAGGGCCCAAATGAGAGTTTCGACCTATCTAGTATCCCTCTGGCTCTTAGCTGGCTGCCGGGGCCTAAAGACCTCATTACGGTTACCGCATGTGATGTATGTGAAGAGCATTACGTGATCCGCAAGGCGCAAATTGCGACAAGCTTGGGTGATTGAACGGAGGAGCCGGGTGCGTTTCTCAATATCACCTTCGTGGTAATTAACAGAGTGGCTTGGGTGCATAGTGTTGACCCACTTGGCACTTTTCTAGAAGTCGTCCGAGAGGTGGGTATGGCGATCCGTCAGAATCGTCCTTGGTTCCTTTTAGAAGATAAGATGACCTTTCGAATGGATCACACTAGTTATAGCTAACCTACCTGTCCCATGCATAGAATAACATCTGGCTTTTTCGCATTGATAGCAGCTATGAGGAGTCTGTACAATCTCTCACGTTGGTAGCCTTGAATCCGATAACTTTGCTCCTTGGATATGAATGGCCTTAGATCGAGGACCGAGACATGATGCAATAAGCACAATATATCATTCGAACCGATCCGCAATCCTTCTCTCAATAAACTCAATGTTGGACACTCCGATATCACAACATTAGCCCCTTTGTGCCAGGGATGTTCTTGGAGCGGCTCTTAGAGAATTACCAATAGGCCACCGCAGGTAAATGGCTCAGCAAGCGACTTCGTGACATTAATCTCTACATCTGAAAGTGGTATACGTCGAATTTGACGGATGTAAGAAATGATATCGTGGAAAGCTTCGCTATAGGAATTCAATAAAGATGAACATATTTCAAGTTAGGAAACCTGAGCAGTGATTGTCTCCATATTGGTGCACTAGTCCGCGTCACAGAAAGACCTTATCTAGTTTCAGGTGTAGATAGAATAAGTACACATCGCGGTGGCTTAGTTTAATTTTTTAAGCAACTCAGATGAGCTCTAACTAGACTGATGAATCATAAGGATGATCAGGACCAAGTATGATTGGTTGTTGTGTTACAAAGTTAAATGGTCTACGTCATACTCGAAAACGAAAAGGTTAGCGTGGCATCGAGTTAGTATTCTGTTCTCGGTCCGGGTTTAGTCCGTGAGGTGGCAATGCTAAGTAGCTTAACGCATCGCTTTATGTGTGGAGAGACAGAATAGCAGAAATCCGGCAGAGCACTCACGACGTGTCCGCAAGAGTGAACAAGTGATCAGTGGATTAAGGGACATCTATAGTGACAAAGTGTGGGCTAGGGCATAAATTTGGAGATTGCCTGCTATCTGTCAAATGTTGGTCGGATGACATGGCAGTAAACATTGCCTATGGTCTAATGTCGCAGCCCAGTGCTGCCGCAGCCGCTCATGGTCTGTCTCGACAGCACCGGGCCTACCTGTAATTCGCATCCACGTCGCTAGGGTGGATCTACTCTACCTACAAACAACTCCTGCCGCTAGGAGACTCTTGTATTGTACTATGTCAGAGTCCGTCCTATGACGGATAATAGGATTATGTTGATATGGAAGGCAACACCAGCCTGTATCAGTATTTCGATATTATCCTCATTTGATTACATGTAAAAGCTACACAATGTGAGAAAATTGAGCACGCATCAAGACGGCTGCCATTGACGACCTCACTTGGCTCTGGCAAACTCCCTTAATTCATCACTCTCCCTCAATTCATCACTCTCCCTCAATTCATCACTCTCCCTCAATTCATCACTCTCCCTCAATTCATCACTCTCCCTCAATTCATCACTCTCCCTCAATTCATCACTCTCCCTCAATTCATCACTCTCCCTCAATTCATCACTCTCAATTCATCAGTTACGTGCCCCAGTCATGTTTTTTTTGGTACGTTCAATATCAATGAACCTGCGTAAGCGATCGAATTTACCTATCTCTCTGAACGTCTATCCGACGAAGTCTCTTCAATTCATCAGATCTGTTGGGCAGACCAAGACAATACAGCCATATTTTACTCACAACCATATGATTGAACAACCTATCTTGTCCACAAGCTTCTAGCCTTCACAGAATGAATTGGAGCAAGATTGAAACTTCCACATTACTATTACACACATAGTGGATAAGTGGGCCAACCAAACATACGGAGAAACGGTTCATGACTGAAACATACGTGTTTCGAACATACCTTCACCGGGTGTAAATTTCCGCAATTGTGGCTCGTCGTAATTTACTGTGGCTGTGCGGTCAAGCATCTGCCCTTAGTACAATACGGTACATACCGTGTGTTCCCACTCAAAACTACATAGAAATATATTACCGATCAAGGGGCCATCAGCCAAACATTCAGTCTATCCAGTCTATTCAATCCAACGTCTAAGACATGCTTTGAGACCAGTATATGATGACTAATCCGTGAGTAGGCTTAGAGTATCAAATTCAGCAAATTCGCAATGCCTTGGTGAGCTGGGGGGCCCCTAGTGTGAGGCCATCATATCGACAATGCTAGCGTTGTTTATTTTTGACAAAAGGGATAGTGAAGGGGGGAGGTTGGAAATATTTTCATGCTGCGATACATAAGCATGCGATTATATAACTTGATTGCTGAGATTCTCACACCCATAACTTCCGAAATGTCGCTGGAGTTTGTCTTGCCATGGATATGACCAGCTGTGTGGAGGATATACATGCAAGGCGGAAGGAATCTCGGAGAGAGGGTAAGGGTGTCTTATGTTCGCTAAAGGATGGGTATCGGGGATTCGCTCCTATGAAGGGCTTCATCGTGTTGCAGGCACTGGCAATCACCGGTCATTTTATTGACAGCATTAATAGGAAGCTGGTCTTCTTCCTCGGTATAGACTGGTTGTCTATTGCGTAAGCGACTGATCTTAGATAAGAGCTCACTAATGACATTTCGATGGTATTGCATCCCAATCTCGTATGCTTCGGATTCACGAGCGATGCGTTTGAGTGCCAATCGTCGGTCCTGTAGCACGTGTTGCTTCCGATTTATGTCGATCGCTGCTAAAAATAATTCATTCTCTCTGGACATTATTGAGGTCCACTCTACGTCGGAAAGAGCTCTTGAGATAGAGAATTCATCTAATCTGGTGAAGTAATAAGATATTGACCGATCGAGTATCAAGGCTTTATTTTTCACTTATAACACCGAGTTTTCCTCTGCCATGAGTATTGTATGTTCTAACATCTGTAGGCTTTCGCTAAATAGCCGCAATTCCGTTTCTTCGAAGATATCAAAGCTACCAGAATCCGATTCGTGTAAATAGAGCGAGGACGAGTGATCTTTCCACTCCTTGAATGTACCCAAAAACCTTTCGCATATATCCTGGGTGTTCGAAATTGCCGCCCGAAGATGAATGTGGACTTTGTAACTAAGTTTGATATCGCAAGAATATGTAGCCTCTACCTTAGATGTAATACTCTCCAATCGCTTTTTGACGGAAAGTAGTTGACGGCCAAGTTTATTTAGGAGTTCGCCAGTGCGCTCACTAGCTTGAATATTCTCTAATAGAGCATACACGCCGCGCTGTGCAGCTTTAGAAACTTGGGCTGTAGTTGCACTAGTACTTGTTAGGTCGGGCATCATACATTTAGGTAACTGTAGGTAGCGAACTTGTTAAATGAATGTCACAATTAGTCAACATAGGCAGACTCACCATAGCAAAGAGGAGTAATTGCTGTTTCTGTCTTCAGATATAGTATTTTTGATCGAAGTCTTCAGAAGATTGTAAATGATAGAGATGGGTATTCTTTGTATTATATTTATACAGCGGCATCTTTGATATCCTTTGGCACGTCTCTAGTCAGCAACCTAAGGGGTTGTGGATATGGGTTGAGTTCCTAGGACGTCTAACTGCGTAACAGGGTCTGGCTGGGCGCACGGTAGGCTCCTAGGAACAAAGTTCGTTCTAAAGGGCTATGAATATCTCACGACATACATGAGGAGTGGAGGATGTGCGCTATGAGTGACCCACATAGGATTTTCTAGAACACGGAGGCTCCTTTCGTTTACTTCCTCGCGCCATGTCTTCTAGAGCCAAAGTTCTCCCGGCTTAGGCGTAAGGCTCACATGATTGAACGGCCTGTATACATAGAGGGCGGTAAAGGTTCTGGGTTCCTAGGAATATTGTGATATGGCGAATAAGAAAATAGCTCAAACGATAGCTGCAATTATCAAGTTGGCTTCCGGACTTTTTCGTAAGCTATAGCAGAGCCTGCGGCCAGCTACTAGGAGCACTATATCTGGAGCCTCATAAAGAAAATCCGATTGTTTATAGAAGTCTGGGTGCATGCGCTTATTGCCAGAGAAACGGTTCTCTTTCTCCACATTTTGACGATCATCTCTGCTAGCCTCTGTGCCGAGACATGTTGGGAATCTCCAAGTAGACTGAACCAATACTCCTGGCTCCGGTAGTCCTTCAAATCCTGATTAGGAATCCTGGTTAGGAAATGGCGGGACCGAGAAGGCAAAGTATTCCCAGGAGCATCGATCGTAGACCGATAATGTTGATTGGGTGGCCAAATAGCAAGCTCCATTATGGCGCAATTAATTGCAGACATTTTACCAGGATTGAGTATCACATTGAAATTCCAGCCCTTTTTTTGATGGGACGATGGGTGCCATCTAAAAGTGGAGGGGTACACGTGATGGAGCTAGCGTGGTGCATTTTATTGACGTAGCTTACTCAGGCTGCTCACCCTAAGCTCTGCTCGGACTCAGTGAGCGGATCAGAGCGCTCAGGTGACGATCAGAGCATGCTCAGTGAGCAGGTCAGAGCGCTTATGTAATGCTCAGTGAGCGGATCAGGGCGCTCAGGGGCGTGCTCAGATCTACTCAGTGAGCAAAAAGCGGCAAGGTCTGAGCACTAAAACGGAAAGAGATCGCCAAGAAGTGGCAGCGGAAATCAAGTACATAGGTAGCAATAGCAGTTCGAGGTTGTGTAGATCTAACAGCTTTGCATGGATTGCAACACTGCAGGTTGGCCCACTTGTGACTTGTCACCATCACTTGAACTTCTTTCAAACAAAATGTTTACTTGCAACTTTTTAAATTGTAATCGCATCCTCTGCGATTGTCGTTAGTTCATATTTTTATTACTATATTACAGATTAAAACGTCATTAAATGTCACAAATATTATCAAACCCCCAGGACACATTGAGAGTGGCCGTATGCAGAGCCTTTTCCACGCTTTGCCGTCGGAACGTCGGTCCATATCCAACACATACCGAGTCACCCGAGAGGGCTGTAATATATTAGCAGACGCCAAAGAACAATTCGTATCAGTAAGCTCACCCTTAATAAAGGCTGGTAGATCAAGCGACGACGAGACAGAATAACCAAGACGACCAGAAGAACCCGAGAAGTCATCAACAATGTATCTTTTTTCCCGTAAGTACTTTTGTACCCCATTTGCATCCATCCAAGAATCAGACGCCGACTCAAGCGCAATCTGCCGGACCCTAGACGACAGCTGCAGTTGTCCCTCCGAGAAGTTCTCCATACTAGCCCGCAAAAAGCTGAGCACATTGGCTTTGACATCTGTTACGGCGCCAGTCTTGTCCTGTGTGACAGCGTAGAAACCTGAAATGAGACGATTACGTTCAACCGTGCTAAGCGCAGACCCGAATATCTCCGGGATTCTATCGTGATTTGGTTGGTCGACGAGGAGGCGATATCCCATATGACAGCACGTCCGGACTAGACGTTGTGCGATAGTCCAGTGATGGTCTAGTAATATTGTATTGGAGTCCGTTTCATCTGTTAATGAAGAGCTCGATAGTGGCGGTGTATAGGAAAATAGATCAGTAGGTGGCGGCATGACGATGCCGAATGGTAGGACGGCTTGGTCTTGATATGGTGGGGTGGGAGGTCCAGGCCAGCTTTTTGCTGCCGACCGGATAATATCCTCGACATCTGTCGAGGTATCTGATGTGGGGATATCAAATATCGAGACCTGTCGTGTATCATTATCTGGGGTAGTGGCGGTCTTGACTGGAGCATCCTTTGCTATTGTAGGTCGGACCAGAGCGCCCTCTACCCACTCATCGCTTCCGGTCTTCGCAAGGGACACGCATTGCCGCGTGATGTCCTGTAGGGCCACGGCAATTTGTGGGTATTGCGAAAGTAGCTGCTCTTCTAGGAGAATACTACTAAAAGAGAGGAACGATTGGCCCAAACTCTCGATGCCATTCTCTAGTTCGTGTACGCGGTTCTGTAAAGCACCGATCGTATTCTCCTTTCGTTTGCGATACGCTTGTTGCGCTAGCCGTAATTGTTTGCGGCGTCTCTGATAATTGTGAGCTCGAGCACCATGGAAGCTTGCGATCTGACCCACCTCTGGCACTTCTTGATCATCCGTTACAGTTCGAGGCCGACCGCGTTTGCGGCCAACGCTTGGCTTCGGCTTGTCTTCCATTACCGGCGCTTTCTCAGTTGTATTCATGCTTGTAGAACTCCCAATTTCATGTATGTGCAATGAAGAAGTCGGAGAAAAAAGCAGGGTTACAAATGGGAAGGGGCGAATTTACGTTTATTCATCAGGCCGAGCGAGTCGGAGTAATGAGTAATCCGATTCTGGCCCACCAAGTGGATGATGATTGGACAATCGAATAGCTTATTTGAGCCCTAGAACCCCATGGGCCTTGGAGCTGGGGAAGAGCAGTTGGTGACTGCTCCGAGATAAATGAAGCATGATATGAAGTATTCTTGTTGCAGGCCTGTTAGTTGTATGATTGGTTACCAGCTCCTGATTTTGCCAAATGGATGTATCAAATTCATCCCGTCTGCCAGGTTAACGTGGACAACTGGTTTGAGATTCCACAACAGCTGGTGTTGCTTTTTTTATGCGGTCGGAGACTCGAGCGAAGAAGACAGGATAGGAGACAGAATGAGTTATCTAGTCATATGAGGGTTTTTCTTAGTCACGATTGTTTTGTCAACAGAAAATGGGACTCCGAATTGCTGTGTCATCATAGTTCGGGATGATCACAGAATACTGTAAGGTCGACCGGTCCCACAACCGACGCATCAATACGGGTTGTGCAACAAAAGAGGCTATATAAATCTAGGAGATCGTTCCCTGTGGACTCATCTCAAGTTGTTACATTCCAAAACAATTCCTTCTCATCATCCTACCTCTCCTCGTCCAAAATGCCTCTTTGGCAAATCTACCACCCCGCGGGCACCTATGAGGACCAAGCGTCCAAAATAGCATTTGCCGAAGACATTACAAAGATGTACACAGACCTCGGTCTTCCAGCCTTCTACGTCGTAACCAACTTCATCCCCCTCCCCAAGGAGGACATCCTTGTTGGAGGCGAACCGAAACTCGGCAAACCCTTCATTCGTATTGTAATCACACACATCGCGATCAAAATGCCCAACGAAGATGTTACATACAGGAGATCTACATCTCGGATTGATAGGATCTTGAAGCCCAATGTTGCCGATCTGGGATATGATTGGGAATATCATGTTGAGGAGACTGAGCGGCGGTTGTGGAAGGTTAATGGGATGATTCCGCCTCCCTGGAAGAGTGAAGCGGAGAAGGTTTGGGTGAAGGAAAATCGGCCTGTGGCTTATGATGGGGCATACTAAGGGAGCTATCTTTGTTTATTTGGACCGATGTTGATTTCCAGTCGAAAGGTCCATAGCCGACTATGGATCAAACCATGCGATAGTCGAATCCAGTGGGAGCCAAAACATTGAAACAATACCATGACTCCTGAGTCGCCGCAGAAGAGATAAAAACAAGTATTCCTTGTAGACGGCAGAGATCTGAACAAACGGCCCACTGAATGATACATGCACTTTTGATTTACGGAAATTGCCCGTTACTAAATAATCCTTCAAAATGAGTCCGAGCAGCGGTCAGCTTGTAGCCATTCGACGTCAGCCTACAATCCCAGCTTTACATGTATTGATTACTGCTTGCAATGCCAACTTTGACCCCCAACCATGTTCTACAAGCGCACGTCAATGTGTTATGATCCTCTAGACCCCCAACCTAGAGCTTAAAGATTGAAGGTTAATTGCCAGTTTTATACTCTATTTTTAAACTGTAAGATTTGCACACAGTTATCTCGAAATATCATTTTCCCGCATCCAGGAAACCGACAGCGTGGTAATGAACTATGAACACTATTCCGATACCCCCCATCTAGCTTCTGAGATAAAGCAAGGTCTGGGTATCGCTATCTGGCGCTGAGGAACGCCCCTCGCCACCTTCACAGTAGTGCTTACTTGACCCGAGTTTGAAGGACTGATGGATTTTGCGGGGTTAGTACAGGCAAGACCTGGAAATATGAAAGGATTTGATGACCATAATAAATCTTTCGAGGCTTGTTTATGGGAACATTATATCCTATGGGGGGCGGTATGGTTAGTATATACTCCAGGTTAGAGGAGACGAATGCGCTTGAGTAAACATGCCTGGGTATTGCTTTACAGTTCTACAAGAAGCCAGTGCATTCTTCATTTGCAACAGTCAGCTTAAGACCAAGTTCTACATCCCAGGAATGAAGCTGATTATATCGAGCTGTCATGGGAACGTTCCATGAAAAACTTGTTCTTTTGAGTAACGGCTGGTATATAAGTGGTAGCCCAGAAAGGTATCAATACGTGAAGAATCATAACATGTGCAGGTCACATCTGTCACCAATTGGGGTTTCCAATGGTACAGGTGTGCGTCGTAACAATAAAGCATAAACAAAAAAAGGCAACTTGCCTGTAAGTGCCCGTATGCTGCGGCTCTGTCAGAACCGCCAAAGATCATCGCTCATGCGTCATGTCCAATAAAAGTGAGTCAACGCCGGGTCCGTCTAATCATGAATAATAATACAAATGTGGATGTGCTCAAAGCAATGGAATAACACCAATAAACAGGGCACAAAAGACACCAGCAAAGACCGGAATCTTGGATCGGGCACTCGTACTACTCATCGTTGGTGTAGCACGAGGACCAGAAGCCGTGGCCGTGGCCGTGGGATTAGCAGCAAAGTTGCCAGTTGGCTTGTCGGTGGTAGTCATAGTAAATTTCGATTTAGTGGAAGTGCTGGTTTTCGTGACTATTCGAGTGGTGTTTCTCTGAATAGTCTCAATGCCAGAGCGGGAAAAGGCAACCAAAGAAGAACGCGAGAGTGCAAATGTAAAGCGGAAGGTAGACTGTGGAGAGAATGATGCGGTCTTAGTGGTTGATTGCAAAACAGGGCTGACAGGTGTGTGGGAATTCTCACTGGTGGTGCCGCTTGGTGCCTGGATGCGACTGGAGCGCGACTCCCAGTCATACTGGTAGCCCGTTGACGAGGCAGTAGGAGAGTCGCTAGCCACCCAAGGCCAGACATTAGGGGTGACCCAGCTCGAGGTCTCTTTGTGTGTTCCGCTCCAAGGAACTGGGGCACCGTCAGCAGTAGCGGTGATGCTGGGTGCGGACTGAGTAGACGAGGGCTCCGCATCACTGTTGCCATTGATCTTGCCTCCTTCAGAGATGATGGACTCCCATGAACCACTCGTGTCACCGTATTTGTATGAAGTTCCAGTGGAGTAGTCGGTCACAGTCATCTTTTTCAGATACATTTTGAAGGGACCCTGGCTGTAATCCGTTTGGCCACCAGCCCAGTCTGCAAAAGCACAACTGTCAGTCACACACCTAAGTTGGAGATCACGTATTACTTACCAATGGTACCCTGTGCGTTGTTCGAGTCACCACCAGCCCACACGCCGACCTTGACCATCATCGGAGTCTGAGGGTACTGGTTTGCGTCTGCCGACTCAGGAGTGATGGCCCGAACAGTCTCGCCATTGATTGCCCATACAATCTGGCTGCTTGTCCAGTCAATGGAGTAGGTGTGAAAGCTGTCTTGGTTGCCTGGGTTGGAGTGGAAAGCGCCACGGTTGTAGGAGCTAGTATCTCCTTTGCCAAAATAGTTGGACTGCACCTCGGTGCTCTTGCCGCCAAGCCATTCCCAGTCAATTTCATCCAAATCATCGGACTGCAGAACTGCGCTGCTCACGATACCGGTTCCTGAGGCGACTTTGATAGTGAACTCCACACGGCCGAACATGATGTACCAGCCGGACTGGATCAGTGGGCCATCTCCCTGTTTGGAGATCGTAAAAGTTGCACCATTTGTCTCGTCATATGTGACGGGCCCTGTCGACTTGAAGGCGTTTGAGGCACCACTTGTGAAGTCGAAAGTCTTGTCAGACTGCCCAAATGCGGGATCAGCGGGGCACGCTGATGACTGTTAGTACCTTGCTGACGTTGATATTGGGCTGCACTTACATTTTTGGGTCGGGTTGCAGTCAGTGAATGTCTGGGCTGTCACCAACACCGTGGACGACAACAGGCCCAAGGCCGCAAGAGCAAACCGCATGGCGAAGGTAGAATGTATGCGAGCTTTTCGTAGAGGAATTCAGTATGGTAAGAGAAACCCACGCTTAGAAGAGATAATTGTAACAGATGTAGGAGGAAGAAAGAAAAGGAGAGAAAGAAGAAGGTAGAAATGAACGACCTATCGGAGGGAAGGTGCAAAGGCTCTAATTATATCACAAATGGAAGTGGCTGGGGGTGGAGAACGCCCAACTTTCCTACCTCGTTTCGTGTTTGGGATTTGCCGCCGTTTCTTGGAGCTTCCTTGGATCTTCCTTGGATTTCTTGGACTTTGAAATTGTAATGCATCATCTGATGAAGTCAGGAATGTATCTCATACATCGAGTGTTCTGTGTCACCTGACCCAAAGTAACAGACTAACATATCTCACGTGTCATTGAAATCTGGGCTGCAGTAAAGATATCAATAAATCACATTGGATTACCATCGATAATCTACTTTGCTCTACTCTACTCTAGGCATGTCTTACAGACTATGTTCACTAACATGGCTCATATACACCGTACACTGTTTCCTAAGTGAATCACTCCACCAGCCGACATCGGACCCACTTTTGGGCCACTTTTTACTGTACACCATTTTTGGCCGTTTTTGGCCATCTTTGAGTAAGCTTCGAACTGTTTTGATTGCTTTTGCGTCTTGTTGCCCGTACGCTACATATTTGGTCATGCCCTCAGGGACAGTTCACCCAATCACATGTCCCTATGTAGTAACGTGACCCACTTGCATCTATACCATCTCCGTCTTGAATATAACCTTAGGTACTCACTCATATGCACCCCTGCCATCAAAGGTGTCACAAAGTTATTTTCACAGGCATTTGCTCTTTTCCGGTCTCCCGACAAGCTGTTAGCTAAAGGCTAGCGGCAGTATTATCCCTGGCTACTGCACATGTACACCCCATAAATAAGTTAACTTATTACATGTCCGAAATATGACCTTGGATAGACGCACGATTTAATGCTCAACAGTACCAATTCCATGGTCTATAGTTGCGCCTGGCTGGCCTAGACTACTGCTCAGGTAAATTCAACCGCCGATTTCTTTAGTGGGCGATTCATATAAAGAGAACGACGCTATATATAAGCTGCGATGATGTCGTCATTGAAGAGACCCAGAGGCATACCAGATAATTGACATGAGATCTCCGTTGTCCTGAGATGGTAGTGAGATGCTTATCCTAGTGGATTTCATTTTCCGTCCGGAGATCCGAAGTGAGGAACAACCCGAAGGCACGGCATCCAATTTAAGCAAGGTTAAGCATTAAGGAACGCAGGTATTCACAAGTACGCCAGTTGGTTGCAAATGCCACAGATAAGATCAATATATTCTAACAGATAAATGTGCAGGTGAGTGTCATCAAATTGGCTTATCGAATAGTATCAGTCCTTATATACTGATATAAAAAGCTAAGATGAGTAGAATGATTGTGGTCTGGCTGCCATGAATGAGAAGTGATAATGGCTGTGATATACAGGGGTCCACAGGTTCATCAGGGAGATCTTTCAGCTCACTTCAATCTTCACTATAGTAGAAGAGATACATGGAGAATCAGATATCACATGAGCAAATTTGACGATATCATTCGATTAATGAGTGACAACCTTTTCTTTTGCTTTGGTTAGGGCTGGAAGAGTTACGCTGTCCGGCCCAGGTAGGTCCATCGGGGCAAAAGGCTAATATTTCACGTCAAGTTGGAGCCCACGAGAATCCATGAAACAATACATTGCTGTGGTTCTGAAATCCAAGAGCTTACTTTGGCCTTTCCCGCTACCTTGGATATCCCTGTGCGGGACTCTCACAAGCTTCTTTTGTCTCAGGCCGCTGACTGTCGTCATAACAATCAATCTCATCCTCACCACTATGCCTGAGGACATTCCTCTGACGCCCGAGGGCACCAGCCTGGCTGGCAAGACAGCACTTGTCACAGGTGGCAACAAGGGCCTTGGTTTCGAAGTTGCCAGGCAGTTCCTGCTGCTGAATGTTTCCCGATTGATCATCACCGCACGCGACAAGGCCAAGGGCAGAGCCGCAGTGGCTGCCCTCAAGACTGACCCGGAAGTTATCGCGGCCAGCTCCCAAGACGAAGCCAGGCCCAAGATCGAGTTCTTTCTGTTGAATCTCGATGACTACCAGTCCGGTGTCCTGTTTACCCGAAAGGTTAACGCGGAAGTCCGTGAGCTCCATATCCTGGTTCTGAACGCCGGTATCAATATCTTTGAGTATCAAACCAGCAAGACCGGCCATGAGAAGATCATGCAAGGTAAGTCTACAATCTGATCTCGTAGCCCTACAGGAAATCAGACCTAACAACAAACCAGTCAACTGCTACACCCACTTCCTCATCGTACTCACCCTGATGTCCCTGCTCCGCAAGACTTCCAAGAAATACTACACCCCCAGCCGCATCACCTTCGTGGGTTCCTACTCCCAGGACCAGCACAGTTTCGAGGAGATCCCAATTCCCGCTAGCCAGAGCATCATGGATTACTACGACGACAAGACCATCTTTCGCCGTTTCAGACGATACCAGGATAGCAAATTTGTGGTCAACGCTTTTGTGCAGCAGCTGGCTCGTATCACGTCCGCTACTGAAGTCATCATCAACAATGTTTGCCCTGGCGTGGTTCAGACCAAGCTGAACCAGACGGTGCCCCTTTGGTTCAAGCCTTTTATGTGGGCTTACACCAAGGTGTACAGACGGAGTTTGCACGAGGGTGGTCGGATTATTGTCAAGGCTGCTGTGGTTGTTGGTAATGAGAGTCACGGTTTGCTTGTTCAGAACAGTCTAATGGATCAGTATGTGCTTGTTTACCTTGTCATGAGACCATGATCCTAATCGAAGATAGGGGTGCGCCGTTCCTGGCGGGAGAAGTTGGGCGCCATTTCGGACAGGAGCTCTGGAATGAGGTTGTTGATGATGTTGAGAGAGTTTTCGCTCAGCCCCGAGTTTGACTGACAGAGGACTTACGCAAATTGACGACATGATGGAATGAAGCGAACGGTAATTGCAGAGGAAAAGATCCCGTCTAGGTCACTGGTTTTACTATGTATCATTATGGCAATACTGTTTGTAGAGTAGGGAAAACCAGAGACTACTATATTGAAATGGACATTCTCTCTTCCAGTGTTCTTGCATAGTGGCTGAGTGGAAATGGATAAAGGAGCTCGGATTGAGGCGCAAACTATAGCAGAAGACCTTTCACCGCCACAGGGGAGGAATTAGCCATGAAAGGATTCTTTGTATGATCTGTCATGTTCGGGATTTCAAGCATAAAGGAGTATACACCTGTAACACCTGAGATCTGGGCATTCGAGCAGCTGAGCTGAGCTAGACTAACTAGCAACTAGTTATCTGCAGGGATTGTTACAGCCTGAAGTCAAGGCAGCCAATGGATCAAGAATGCAGATGTTAAGTGTCATATATCATACTTGGGAGCTCCACAGGTCAATTTCTGGGCACGGACAGCACCACGGACCATCTCCAGAGTATAGAAAATGTAAGAAATATACCTGATATGAGAAGTGTAAGAAATATACAAAGCAAAAAGCATAGGAATAGAAGGAGTAAAAATAAAGAAAGAGGAGGTTTCAGAGAAGGTTCTTTCATCACGTCGGGACCAACGATTTCTCCTGCCTTTGTCATCCCCACTCAATCCTGGACCTCGAGATACTGTACTTCCCTGCATGCGCCCGGGTTACCCTTGATTTGCCCACCCATCTCATCGAATTTGCCCTATTTCACCCTCTCGGCTTGCGCTGGCCACGGCTTTTCAGGCGTCTCCTTGCGCCCCCGCCCGAACCCGAACCCACGCTGTCATCCCCCGTCGATCTCTACAACTCCACGATCCCCGAATGCCCTCCACGCTTCCTTACAGCTTTTGAACCTATTACCGCGCCGCCGGAGACGACCTCCGCACGGCGCCAGTACTCGAGACAGCAGAATCGATACACGTTGCAGCTCCGATCCTCCACACCTCCCGGGCATCATCAGCGTCATTCACGCTGAACTGCTCCGGGATTCTCATACACCCCAAGATACAGCTGGCTGCAACTTGATCAGGGCCGCGGTGGGAATCGGCCGAATCACAGAGCCGCCATGCCGGTGCGGGAGCGCCCCCATTCCGAGAATCGCCAGGGTTCGGGGAGCTCTGGTAACAGTTGGATATCACAGGAGACTGTGCGGCATCCCGAGAACCAACCTGGCGATCCGAGCAAACCCTCTGCTGGTAATCGCAATGCCGACCCTTTCCCTGGTTCTTTGACAATGGACACCAAGTAAGCTCCTCCACCCTTTGAGATACCCCGCGGGCTTTTTTCAGCACCACGGGGGAATTATCTCCAAGCTTTGAAAGAAGGAGCTCATTGACTTTTTGCTAGATCGGACCCTTCGAGACCCCCACAGATTAACTGGGGGACAAATCTGTGGTCATGGAACTCACCCGACATCTCCCCTACCGAACAGCGCAAGGCTTCTGGCTTCAGCGACCATCGCGAGGCTTTATCTGTACCCAGTCATCAAGACAGTCCGTCCCAATCCTCCTCCACGAGTCCCCGACCTCCACCTCTCAACGCGTCTCGCCTTGCCTCCGATGATATCGAGTCGATCGCCCCATGGAGTACAGGTCCAGGAAGTGGACCCCCCGATGCTCCCGGCACGTTTTACAACGACTACTCCGAACACGAAGCTTCCCCTGCGTCATTCTCGTTTCGTCCCATGACTGGACGGACAATCGCCAGCGAACCCGCCGAGTTTGAGTACCATGGAGAACCGCGACGGCCATCTGCTGCGAGCGCAACCACTGTGAGTAGCTCGGGTTCGAGATCTAGCATCAGTCAGAAGCTTCGGAAGAAGCATTTAAAAGGTCTACTCGGGGATGACTACCCCTCGCCTGGAGAGCGCGAGGCTACCGACGATGGTTCCCAAAATCCGCCCAGTAGGCGTGGCGGGCTAGTCGATCAGCTGAAGGCGCGAGAGCGAGCGAACTCGGATGGTTCCCGGCCACCCGATGGCTCTGGATCACACCGTCCTCAAAGGCCACGAGCAGCGACGCCTTTGCCCTCAAGTGACATCACTCCATGGGACTATCAGAGCATCAATGATGTTTCACAGTATGGAGAAGCGCCTGTGCGCCACGTTCCAATCGGACCCAATGGGGAGCGTCTTGATCCTCCTGATATCGGTGCTTCAGGGGGCAACTTCAGCCGGCGAGGACACGGCAGGCATCGTCCTTCGCGAAGCAAAGACGAGAAGCCGACTCTTGCTGGTGACCTAGCCGGCTATCAAAATCGGCCGGCTACGGGCACAGATGATATTTCCTTACGTCCGTTCAACGAGAACTACTTAGCATCATCGTCGACACTCGGTGGCCGATCTACAAGTCCAACCCCCAGCGTCCGAAGTGCATACCGTGATCGCGACAACGATCAGAACTCAGGACACCCCAGAATTGGTGGTTTCATCAAAAGGGTTTTTGGCCATGGATCGAAACCGCACGACAAGTCGAGGACCTCTTCTCCTCCTCCTAAAAGGGGTAGGCAGGGAAGCATTGAAGGGAACACGCCTTCTCGTCATGTGGAATCGACAGACTCAGACCGAAAGAAAGAGTCCGGTAAGGGCCTTATTACAGGACGAAAACTCGGTCCTCGTCGTGTCTTTACCAATCAAGGCGGTGACTCTCACAGCACCAACAAAGATGACAGGAATCAAGAGGAGAACAAGCATTTCTTCCCACTTGACATCGATATGCGAGATTTGAAGGGAATCGTTCGTTCAGCTTCGCCGAACACTATGAAGCGTGGAGTCGATGGGATGACCACACCGCGTGATGAAAATGCAACTGAAAAGCCATGGAATGCCCCAGACAGCTGGCATGTCAGGGGACCCGCTGACCTTACCGTGGACCAAGGCTATTTTGGCCCTCGCGAGCGTGAAGTCTCGTACTTCATTCGAATCTTCCGGATCGATTCAACCTTCGCCACGCTATCAGCTGGTGTTAACGCGACTGTATCTGAGATTCTCTTGATGCTTGGTCGGAAATCTTTCTTGCAGGATCACCTCAACAATTACGAGATTGTCCTACGGAAGAACGACCTTTCACGGCAGCTTGATCACAATGAACGGCCAATCCAGATGCAGAAGCGACTACTCGAACAAGTTGGTTACACGGACAAGGACCGGATTGAGGATATTGGTCGTGAAGACCACAGTTATCTCTGTCGGTTCATTTTCCTGCCGACTAAACTTAGTGGCTACAGCAGTCTTGAGAGTGACCCCGGATTTAACAAGGTGCAAAAATTCAGCCATGTGGACCTCCAAGGCCGCAGCCTTGTCACAATTCCGATTACGCTATACGCTAAATCCTCCGAAATCATCTCACTGAATCTATCGAGGAACTTGTCATTGGATGTTCCGAAAGACTTCATTCAAAGCTGCATTAATCTGCGGGAGATCAAGTTCATCGGAAATGAAGCCTCGCAGCTCCCACAAAGTTTCAGTCTGGCAGGCCGGCTGACATACTTGGATATTTCCAACAACTGTTTGGAGGAACTGAATCACGCATGTCTCGATCGGCTGACTGGTCTTGTTAGCATCAAGATGGCCAACAACCGATTGACTGAGTTGCCCAGCTATTTCGCAAACTTCCATGCCCTGCGAAGCTTGACTATGTCATCAAACGGCTTCAAGGTCTTCCCCGAGTTCATCTGCAACTTGAAGAGTCTAGTTGATCTCGATATCAGCTTCAATGGCATCGAAGAACTACCCAACATTGGCCGCTTGGTGACCCTCGAACGCCTGTGGATTACAAATAACAACCTCAGTGGGTCTCTGGATGAGTCCTTCCGGGACTTGGTGAACCTCAAGGAACTGGATGCTCGCTTCAATGCCATCACCAATATCGATAATCTCTCTTCTCTCCCACGGCTGGAGCAGGTCTCCTTCGGTCACAACTTAATATCGCGCTTCAAGTGCTCGTTCCCAAAATTGCGCAGTTTACATCTGGACCACTGCCCTCTGACGCACTTTGATGTTGATGCTCCCATGCCGACATTGACATCCCTCAACCTTGCATCCGGCAAGCTCGCACAGTTCCGGGACACCATATTCGAAAACTGCCCTAATGTGACCAAGCTCATTCTCGATAAAAACCACCTCTCTTCCGTCTCGCCCCAGGTTGGCAAATTGCGCCGACTGGAACATTTCAGCATGATCAAAAACCCTCTTGCTTCTTTGCCTGCAACCATCGGTTGCCTCGTGGAACTCAAGCACCTGAATCTGAGAGAATGCAATTTGACATCTCTCCCATCAGAGATTTGGCATTGTGCGAAGCTAGAAGTGCTCAATATTTCTTCGAACATCTTGTCCACATTCCCCAAGTATGGTGCTTCGCCGCCGTTGGTGCCTGGTGAGCCCACCCCCACACCCGCGACTACACCGGGTATCTCAGGCAGCCCCGGCTATGAAGACATTGGGCCACTGGACGAACCAGATCTGCGCCGACCTAGTCAAACCTCCAATGGTAATGGTGTTATGAATTCCGTTTCACCAAATGGGTCATATCGAAATCCTTCCACCACGCCTTCTGTTTCACAGCAAGGTGGTGATAGAAAGGTATCGGCTGCGTCGCGCTCATTCACGGATCCAAATTCAGCCTCTCGGAAGGACTCGAATTTCTCCCAGCAGATGGCAATGACATTTGCTGCATCTCTTCGAACACTCTCCCTTGCCGACAACAGACTTGAAGATGACGTTTTCCGGGAATTGTCTTTGCTCCCTGAGCTGCGCGTTGTTAATCTGTCCTACAATGACCTGACGGAACTGCCTCAGGGAATTCTTAAGAGATGGCCAATGATTTCTGAACTCTACCTTTCCGGTAATGAGTTGACTTCTCTCCCGTCTGATGATCTGGAAGAGGGAAGCAACCTCAAGATCCTCCATATCAATGCGAACAGGTTCCAGGTCTTGCCTGCAGAGCTTTGCAAGGTCAGCAAGCTCTCGATCCTTGATGTTGGAAGCAACGGGTTGAAGTACAACGTATCAAACTGGCCTTATGACTGGAACTGGAACTGGAATCGCAACCTTAAATACCTGAACTTCTCAGGTAACAAGCGCCTGGAAATCAAGCCTAATATCGCGTCACTGGGTCCACCGGCTGCCAATGGTGCTGACTTGACGGACTTCAACTCTCTGACCCATCTCCGGGTTCTGGGACTGATGGATGTCACTCTTACGATTCCTACGATTCCCGAAGAAACGGAAGATCGACGTGTGCGAACTTCTGCCTCGCTGGCTGGTACACTTGCCTATGGTATGGCAGACTCTCTCGGACGGACCGAGCATTTGTCCATCATCGATATGATCGTTCCACGGTTGAAGCAGGACAATGTGGAAACACTGGTCGGCATGTTTGACGGACAGACGCTTTCTAGTGGTGGTTCTCGGGTAGCGAAATACTTGCATGAGAACTTCACTCCCACCTTCTCATTTGAGCTTAAGAAGCTTCAACGGGATCAGGATGAGACACCGCTAGATGCGCTGAGACGGGCATTCCTTGCCTTGAACAAGAACATGGCAGGATCTGCCTACCGATCGATTGATGACCGTGAAGTCAGACAGTATCACAGAGGCTCTACTGCAGCCAAGATGCTCAACCAGGCCGACATTCAATCCGGCGGCGTTGCCACTGTCTTGTACCTGAACAACATGGACTTATATGCCGCCAATGTCGGCGATGCTCAAGCCATCTTGATCAAGTCGGATGGTTCGATGCGTTATCTGACACAGAACCATGACCCCGCGGAACCAAACGAGCGCGCGCGCATTCGTGCTGCAGGAGGCTTCGTGTCGCGTAACGGCAAGCTGAATGATGTGCTTCCCGTGTCAAGATGTTTCGGGCACTTCACCATGATGCCTGCTGTCATTGCGGCTCCTTCCACGATGCATTGCACTTTGACGGAACAGGATGAGATGATCGTCTTGGCATCGAAGGAACTCTGGGACTATGTCACCCCGGGGGTCGTGGTCGATATCACCAGAAGAGAACAACCAGATTTGATGTTCGCCGCTCAAAAATTGCGTGACCTGGCGATCTCCTTTGGTGCTACCAATAAGCTCATGGTTATGATTTTGGGAGTTGGTGAACTCCAAAAGCGACGACCGAAGCCTCGTCCTTCGCTCAACACTGGATCATCTACCTTTGCTGAGGATCAGATTATCCCAACTGCCAAGCGTCCCAAGAAGCGCGATGGTCCTGGTGATTCGCGACTTGCTCGCTTTGACTTTGTTGATGCTCCAGTCGGTGAATTGGCTATCATGTTCACTGATATTAAAAAATCTACAAGTCTGTGGGAGGTCTGTCCAGATGCCATGCGCTCTGCTATTCAAATCCACAACGACATTCTACGCCGACAGCTTGGTATCTTCGGTGGCTACGAGGTCAAGACTGAAGGTGATGCCTTCATGGTAGCTTTCTCGACCACAACTGCCGCCCTGCTCTGGTGTTTCAACTGTCAAAACCAGTTGCTCGAAGCAGAATGGCCTACTGAGATCCTTGATCAGCCGCAATGTCGAGTTGTGGTCGACATGGACAACAACGTTATCTTCCGTGGTCTGTCCGTTCGCATGGGAGGTCACTGGGGCGAGCCAGTATGCGAAAAAGACCCGGTCACCAACCGCATGGACTATTTCGGTCCGATGGTGAATCGTGCCTCGCGAATCTCCGCTGTCGCCGACGGAGGACAAATCTTTGTCTCGTCGGATTTCATGAGCGACATACATCGCAACCTGGAGATCTTTGCTGATGCAGAACGGTCTGCCTCCACCAGCTCAGCTGACAGCCACCCTCGTGGTGATAGCCTTGGACACAACATCCGCCGCGAGCTGACCCAGCTGAACAGCCAAGGTTTCGTCATCAAGGACCAAGGTGAACGGAAGTTAAAGGGCCTGGAGAACCCAGAGCCCCTCTACCTTGTCTATCCTTCGGTCCTTTCTGGTCGCATGATTTCTTCGGAAGATACCCAGGAACGCGATGATCCTGGTACAACCATGAACCCGAACAACCAGTTGGACATCCAGACAAATGTCATTTGGCGTGTCTGGGAGGTAACTCTCCGTCTCGAGCGACTCTGTGGTGCTCTTGAAAACCCCAGGGAACCAGCCCTTGGAGAGCCTAATGTTGCCTTGTTCAATATGGTCAAGAGACATGGTGGTGAATTGAACGACTCGACTGTTCTCAGCTTAGTCGATCAGCAAGTCACTCGTATCGAGGTATGTCGAGATCTTTCCCTGCCGTTGATCCTCCCCATTCTAACAGCATCTAGGTTACCGTCAACACTCTCTCACTGCGACACATGATGCGCCCCTTCAAACCAGGCGATAAACTCAAGGATCATGCTGTCCCCATCAGCGACGTCCTCCAACAACTTCGAACCCAACTCGCCGAATTCCAAGCTCTGAAGGAGTCGCTGGCCATTGGTGCTGCAGGAATCACCGGCGGATCACAGCCACAGTACAACAGTCCCGCCACGCACCCTTCAGAGAGCATGGATAGCGGCATCGCCACTCCCTCTTCATCTTTCCTCCAGCTCCCTGGCGATACTGCTCGCAATTCTGACACGAACCGTCGCAGTCAATGATCCGTGCCAATCATACTTTCTCTTGTTTTAATTCCATGGTATTTGTTTTCTGGTTTTGCTTTCTCTTCTGACTTTCTTATATGTTCTTCTTTCTTGTAGTTTGTTTTTCGGTTTTTTGTGGGCGGCGTCTCACTGGCGGATGGGAGTATTCAAACTTATTTTATACAGCATTATGGCATGGGGCCACGGTGATAGTTTCGGTTTCTTATTTGTTTTTTACTTGCTGTTTTCTGGGGTTGTCTTTGGCTTGGACAGAGAATATATGCTACAGTCTACATGATAACCATGAACATTTCGCCTGTAAGCTTGTTCACCTATTGATCGAGATAGTATTGTTTCTTATCGCTGTCAGTTCCCCCTAACTGCCAATGAAGCTCTCTATACTCCGTACAACATTTAAGGCGTAGCTGGACTCTACTCAAATCAAAACGGTCACGTGAGAATTGTTTGTGTTGCGTCATTGGCGTCATGTTTTCTTCCAGGTTGACACTCAACTCCTAGATGAATTTATACCCAGACATCTTCTAGAGTCATCATATCTCTTTTTGATATTCTTTGATAACTCATCGCAAGTATAACCTGGTCCGCTTTGTCCATTTTTTCCGCCCCGCCTGTTGCCCTGGCTACCACCTCAACGAGCCAGACAAGCGTTATTACACCTCGGCCAAAACAACACCAACGCACGAAATCCCTGTTACTCCAGTCAAAATTCGAAAAAGGGAGCGACGGGTGGCATTCCACTCGCATATTGAAATTCCACCCAGCCATACACCGCGCGACACGCTCGGTATCACTTGTTACAAAAATTCTACGCTAATCCAGTGATCTCCGCGGTCGGGCTCTGTGCAGGCAGATAGCCAAGGTCGCACACCAAACAACACAAAATGGCCGATGAGCTAGATTACCTCTATCCAGACTTCGATCTGACCACTCTCACCGTCCCCCGTCTCCGATCCATTCTCGTCAACCACGACATCGCCTACCCTGCCTCAGCGAAGAAGGCCCAACTGGTCGGCATCCTCCAAGATGAGGTCCTCCCTCAAGCGCGGAAGATCCTGCGCGACCGCGAACGGGTTCGACGGACAAGTGCCGGAATCACAGACATGAGCAGCCGCTCGACGTCGGTAGCCAGCGACGCGGACGACAGGGAATCCATGCCTCCACCAGCAACGCCGTCGTCAGTCGCATCTACAAGTCGCGGACAAAGGGGCACATCGCGACGCAGCACCCGGCACTCAACGGCTGATTTCGACGATGGACTTGTCCCAGCCACTCCTGCCACCGCTCGGAGCTCGAAGCGAACAAGTATTGCTCGATCAGTGGGCAAGCATGCCCGCGCGTCCGACACGGAAACCAACGACGATATGCTCGCTACTCCCATTGCTACTGGCCGTGCTTCGCCTCGTAAATCTACTGCGCGGAAACTCCGACGGAGTGAGGTTCTCCCGTCTACTGAGGTCGAGGAGCACACACCTGGCATCAAGTCGGAACCACATGATGATAGTGGGTTTACGAATGACAACCCATTTCAAAGTGGTAGTCCTTCTGAGGCTCCTCGGAGTACCAGGGCGAGCTACGATAGTAGACGGAAGAGTGCTTCGCGCTTATCTACTGAAAGCCCGGCTCGGGGCCGTGGGCTTCGGTCTCGGAAATCAGCTACTCCTTCTACTAGCTTGAGGCAGGAGGATGGCTACCAGGCTCCTCAGCGGGATTCGTTTGATTTCGCTTCTAAATTGCAGCCTCCGCAGGAGGCAAGTGGGGAAGAGGAGGAAGAGGAAGATGAGGAGAGTGATATGAGCGCCGGCGAAGAATTCACACCGGAAGAGCAGCTCGCCATGGAGAACGAACAATATGCGCCACAGATCCAAGTTCGACGACGGCGACCACAGAAGCAAGGAACCGTGGCCCGGTTGGCTCCGTGGCTTGTCATTCTTTTGCTGGCCGGCAGCTTCGGTGCCTGGTGGCGTCGAGAGAAGCTTGAGATTGGGTACTGTGGCCTTGGGAAGCCCACCTGGTCACTGGCCGAGACAAAGGTTCCCGAGTGGGCCAATGTGCTGGAACCTCGGTGCGAGCCGTGCCCAAGCCACGCCTTCTGCTACCCAGACTTTGAAGTCCGCTGTGAGAATGATTTCCTTCTCAAGCCCCATCCTCTCTCCCTGGGAGGCCTTGTGCCCTTGCCGCCTACATGTGAACCCGACAGTGAAAAGGCGCGTCGCGTGAAGGCGGTTGCTGATAAAGCTGTTGAGGAGCTCCGTGAGCGCCGCGCCAAGTGGGAATGTGGCCAGCTCAAGGAGGATGGCAAGGATGCTCGTTCTCCTGATATCAGCGAGCCCGATCTGAAGGAAGAGGTTGCTAAGAAACGTCGCAAGGGCTTGACTGACAACGAGTTTGATGAGCTGTGGAAAGGCGCGATCGGAGAAGTCATTGACAAAGATGAAATTGTCAGCAAGACCAAGCAGTAAGTTTCCCAACCCAGGAGGATCTTTCATATCCCCTTTTAGCTATGCTTATCGCTGTGGATATCCAAATCCAGCAGCATATCTTACAAAGATCTGGTTCTGACATTGTGTCCCGGAACTAACAGAAGTGCCTTCGCAATTACAGACCTTCCGGTGACCTCGTCCTCTCCTCTACCTCCATCGCACGGCTCCCAATCACATGCGCCATCCGCCGTCACTTCCGACTCGCTCTCGTCGCGTATCGACTCCCTATTTCACTTCTAGTTCTGGTCATTGGTCTTATCGGTTATGCGCGCGCGCGTGTTCTAGCCCGCCGCTCTGATATCGCTCGTGTGCCAGAGCTGGTCGCTACGACTCTGGACCGTCTTTCCACCCAGGCTGCACTGTATGCCCATGGTAACGCTAAAGAGCCCTACATTGCCATTGGCCAACTCCGAGACGACGTCCTGCGGTTTGAACTCCAAGGCAAGCGCCGCGAGGAGCTCTGGCGTCGTGTCCGCAGCTTTGTTGAAGGCAACGCTAATGTCCGCGCCGCCGTCCGTGAAGGACGCAGCGGTGATGTTTCTCGATCCTGGGAGTGGATCGGTGGGATTAACCCTGTCAGTTCCCCGGAGCAGAGTTCCAGCCGAGAGAGTGTACGGTTCTCCCTTGGTTCTCCGTCTGATAATGCCGCGGCGAGCCCTCATACCCCTTTGGGCGAAATTAACCCGGAGCCCGTTTCGAACCCGAGAGAATCCCGCCGTTGGGACGAGGGTCGTCCGATCTACTGAACACCCAGACTCTGAAGAACCTTGGCACTCATGCACGCAGCTGGGCTGTTTTCGTTTTGATATCCCACCCCGTTATTTCTTTTTTACGTATGCGATACGGGTTTCCTTTCCGGGCTTTAGTCGTGTTGCCATCACCTTCTATTTCCTCAGTACATATTTCTTCCCGTGCATACCGATTTTATGGCTGCTCTAGCCCCATTTGCTCAAATCCGCTCTTCATACTGTACTCCGTAGTCTCGGCGAGTATACTGTATGCAGGATGTATGAACTGTCCTTCGTCCGATACATACATAGTACCGGTCAGTGCCTAGCGCTAAGAACCCTGCATCACAGCGCAGCATGCATGCACCGCTCCAACGGGCATAGGAAACAAATACAGTAGCAACATTGGCGCAGTTCCTGCCCCCAGTATAGACGATTAGTATTCCAAATCACTGTGCAAATTGTCATCTTTCAATATCAAATCCCGAACTACAGCCTAATCCCGAAAAGCAATGCCATGTCTATACAACCATAGCACAGGCTCTTAGTTAACCAGATATCGCTTACCCCAGCATCAGCTCGGCTCTAAAGTTATAAGTATACACACATGGACATAAGCTCAAATGAAACCGTAGAGTAAAAAAACTCTATGCACACTGTACAATAGCAAAACCGCCCTCGTGACCCATGCATGCGAGCCTACAATAGACACGAATAATACAAGCACAAATCAGCGTTAGCCCCGCAAAAAAAAAAGGCAATTTTGACACTCGTGTTCGGTTCACAATCTAGATTGCAATTTTGAATTCATTCTGGATCTCGGCAAGGGCTAAATGCAAGATGCAAAAGGGGGTATCGTTCTCACTGTTTATGTGACCCCCCTGTTACCGCCGCGAAGCACAGGTGTGCGGTGAGTTCACCGTTGCAGGGGATAAATCCATGTCCAGGCGTATATGTAGTGTAGTAGTAGTAATAGTGGTAACGCTGGTGGTAGTAGTATGCAGTAGTGTATACAGTAGTGTGGGGAGGGCGGGAGCCGGCTGAGAGGGCTGTTTTTTTCCCTTTAATTTGCACCAGTGTTATTTTTGTGTGTTTATTCTAAACTGGCAGTGATCTGTGATCTGTACTCTGTGATCCGTACGGACAGTACAGATGGGAGGGCTAATGCTGTTAGAACAGGGGGTTGGTTGAAAGTATGAGCTTCCAATGGGAGCGTGGGATTTGGGAAGTATCTTTGGTGGGCTAGTTAGCCGGCACCAATGACTCTTATGTGTATTCCAGGGTATACTGTAATCATGGCCCACCACTGTGGCTAAAAGACGGTGGCTGCGGCCGAGAGATAATGCTAGGGGCCAATGAGGGATATGGCCGTATGGCTGTATATCAGAAGCTGTACGGTAAGAAACAGCACATGCACCAAGGCCTCGGCCGAGCACGTCCTATATTTGGCTGGTTAAAAAGTTCTCGGGGAACTGAGGGAGTTTGCGTGCACTATACTCGGTGGATGTACCTGTCCAGGCCTGGAAAGGAGTATCTCTGTGGCGAATTGCATTTTGACCGCTTCTCAGGGATCGCCAGAGACACCTCTCAGGTTGCAAGCAATGGGAGTGGAGCAACCAGTGTGGAAGGAGTAGACTTTTTTTCGTTTTTCGCGAAAGTGGAATACTCACAGGCCCCCGCTGGGGCTAGGTGGCCTTGTCTATGACTAAATCAAGTGAGTACTGTATATATCGACTTTGTTCGGAGACATGGAGACCCTCTCTCTTAAGCCTGTGATTACTGTGGTGTGCTATCACGTACGTAGAGTGGCGAGGAGCGACGATCAGTGTAACGTTGAAAGAAATCTGGTGGAGGGCAGTGGAGAGAGCTAGGGTTGCGACAGTTCACCCCTTCTACGGATCAAGATCTGTATAGCTTCGGTATCTTGGCCCGGAACCTGTAGTTGGTTAGGTTGTATTGGCCAGCCAATGCCAGAGTTTGCTCGGCAAGAAAAACGAAACATCGTGAATGGCGCGGAAGTATTCTCCCCGAGATCATGGGCCGTGGGCCGTCAGGGTGACAGCCGCACCAAGATTTGACTCCCAGCGGTGAAGGTAATGTTAAGTCGTACTGGCGTTGGCTCTTGGGCCTTTCTTTTGGGATTAGCCCTAGTCCATTATGTATTCATGCCCATGCATTAGTGAGGTACGGTGAGGCACGAACAATGGATTGCCTCGAGGGTTTCCTAAATTGGAAGACAGGGGGACGCATCGACACCAGTCAATGGCCATGAAATAAGATCCACATGCCTATCGAGGGTCATTTTGGCCCTTGAATTCCAGTGTCTTGGGAGTCCATACAGTGTACGGAGTACGGAGTATGTACTTCCGCACTTGACCCTAAATTGGCGCTATTTGCTGCGTCCCGCTCTGTCTTAGTGCGATCTACGGGTGTTCCTGGGCAAGTGTCACTTTGCAACTCAATCTGCGTGCTAACCATGCGCTTCTTGTGGATTGAAGACATACATGTAGTGGTTAGTAGTGGTTATGCTTAGACGCGGATGAGGTGAGACTTTGCATAGATCAACACGAGCCCTGGATCAAAAACACGCGCATGGAATTTGACCCAGTCGACTTCGACATTTCACGAGCCACATGTCAAGTCCATATCGTAGGTCTGACGGCATAAGCCCGAAGGATACCGGAGCCGACTTTCTGGCTACCATTGCGCCGGTGGTGGCGAATCTCCCAAGCCCCTCACAGCCGTTGGCTATCATTCGACGCTTAAATGCGGGAGTAGCTCACGAAATTCCAAAAGCGTCGAGTGCTGCGGTGACAGCCATGGGCTGCCTACCTTCAGACCGATGGTGGTCCAGACAATATGATAAATAAATGTACCATGGAATAAATTATCTGGTAGCTCATGCGGCTTAAGAGTGAAGTGGTCACAAGTCCTCGCAGAGTGGCAAACAGCCACAGTGGGTTCGATACGCTTTGGTGGGGTTCGAACTCCGGTGGATAATCTCGAGGTGGCGATATTTCCAGGGGGTTACTGGGCCTAAGCCCGAAGATTAATTACGATAGGAATGGAACCAGATGAATTCTCCGGGGCTTTGCGTACCGAGTTATGCAGATGGTTTTCTTCAGCAGAAATGAGAGAGATCTTCGAATCCACATTTTGGAACAGGAAAAAGGAAAGGTTAAAAAAACCGTTTGACTCCATTCTGTACTTCGTATACTAATAGTTTTCTCGAGGGAGTCACGGGTTCCGCCATGCCCTGTTTGATGTTTATGTTCGAACAACTATTAAGACCTTTCCGGACCAAGTCCTCGGCTCTATTTTTACCTGTTAACTCTTGGGCTCTGGGGATTTCAGCATGGATTGTACTATGACGGGTACTCCGGAGTTCGTTTCCGCTCTATGTGATAGGATCAAAATAGGCCAGTCTCCACAGAATCATGATTCTACAAAGGAATCCAGACCGTATAAGAAGATCGTCAATAGCACTTCCTCTGTAGATGATTGGTCTATCTGAGTATCACTTATTGGGTATTGGAAAGCCTCAGGTGTCTCTTTTCCAGGTTCCCCTGTGACTATTGGATTCCCTGCCAGATGGGATCGAATCGCATTCCCGGTTCCTGAAGATAGCTCTCGGTTCTTACCTAGGTAGACTTACCTTTATTTGGGAATGTCAGCGTCTGAAGGCCCACATCCGCCACACACGCCAGCATCCCTCGTGTCCCCTCATTTCTTATTTTTCCCTATTTTCCCTTTTCTGGTGCTCTTTTTCCCCCACTTTGTCTCTAGGCAGAGTTCTTTCACTGCAAAGAAACAATCGTGGCCCCGAAAGCCCCCCCTCTTTTCTATAATTTTCTCCAATTCATGGTCCGTCCATCTTCGATGTGATTTGCTTGCTTGTGCTTATTATCATGCTGTCCAATGGTGGATAGCCAGTTAGAAGTGTTTCGCTTTTAATCTTATATCTTTGCCTTTTCTCTTCTAGCCGTTCTGTCTCTACACAGACTTGATGGCCGATACATCTCGGGGCCTTCGGCCTCTCGCACCGCGGACTTCTATGGGAGCGAGCGGGGGAGGCGCAGGAAGTGATAGTCCTGGAGGAGGCGACGACAGAGACAGACGAATGAGACGAGCATCGACGGCCTGTACAGAGTGTCAAAAACGTCGGACTAGGGTATATCACGTTCCCTTCTACCCTGACTCCCTGGCCGAACCAAATTTGACATTTTTTTGATCAGTGTAGCGGCCATCCTCTATGTGATGAATGCAGGACCCATAACCGCGAGTGCTTTTTCGATGAAGCCAATGACAGACGTCGCAAGGCCTCTGCGAGGAGAATGCAAGATCAGTTGGAGTACTATCGCAACTTCACCGAAGATCTCCTCGCCCTCATCCGGGATAGTGATGACGCGACAGTACATCTGATTGTCAGCACCATCCGATCCGGTGCGGAGAATGGAAACCTGCGAGAGTTGCTCAACCGCCTCGTGGACGATGTCGATGCCGACACAGTTCCCAACACGGGCCTTTATTACGATCCCAACCAGCATCGCTGAGCGGAATCCTCCCAGTCCTGGTCGGGCAATATCGCATGAATCTCTGGACGAACCCGCCCCTTCGAGCCCCCGGGACAATTCGACAATTCGACAATTCGGATATTGGATGGCTGCTTTCTCGGCAATTTGGACGACATTGGTTGGTTGTTTTCTAGCGTTTCCTTTATAGTCATATGTGTTGCGTTCACTCCGATTAGGGCTGAAGCAAGTCACTTGGAAAACAATCACACCCTCCTTTGGGTGTATCTTTGTTTGCATTGCCATATCTTGCATACTGGGATTCAGCATAAACCAAGTTGTTCTTCTATTGCCAGCCCTAGCCTTGTACTTTCCTTTGTCCACACCATTCAACACGAACTCTAGAGCTCGAGAGCCAAAGACCGGATCGACAAAGGTGAAATCTATACCCTAACCTAGCTCATCATTCGATCTCTCGTCTCGTTAATTCGGCGATCAAAGTACCGGTTGATGTCCACAGTTTTGGGGCCATCTGATCCCTTCGCCGACTTACATGCCCGAGGAAGAAAACAGGTATTCGAAACACTATGGTCTGATTCACGAAGTGATCTGGGCTTTACGTCAAGAGCCCCTCGAGTCTATTTTTCGGTGACCGATTGCACGTTGTGGCGAACGACCCCCGTCCCTCGTTTCAACCAGCCTATGTTCAACCCTGCAATGGTCAGCCTCATTAGTCGACATCTGGTAGCCTGTACTCTGCTCTCACCGTCTTTCCGTCTTCGCCATTCTGCCAAATAGTTCTGTGCGCTAGTCGTCGATGAGTATAAGCTGATGGGAGCTTTTCCAACTGGCGTGATATATCTGTGGCACTACAACTGGTACGATCAGATCAGTCTGGCTGCGCTCGGGTTGAGATACGAGTAGAATATTGGGTGATGCCCGTTTACGATGTTGTTTGATCTTTTCTTTACTTGTACAAACCCGATGAACACGATGCCAGGGTTTGTGCTGTTGAGATATCTGCAAAACATTCATATGGAGTTTTGGACTCTGTCAACATTGGTCCTTACAGGGCTACATATGTAATCTCAAGCCTGTAGATGCTTTTCGAAGTCTTACGGTAAACGTTATGGCCCTCAACCGGATCTCTTCCGACCACTATATCGTCAAGCTCGGCGTACGCAGCCTGGAAATCAGGGGGCTAGGGTACATAGAGCCAACGCTTTCATGATTTCCCCGTCATGCCACTATAAACACCATATCTAAGCAATATATGTTCGGGATATCCGGCCCCGGGGGTCTCCGCGCCGACCGGAGTCTTGCCGAGATCCTTCTTCCCCTCGGATACTACTCCCCAATTTCCTCTTCCGTTACATTTCCCTGTGAGACGCCTTAGAGACTTGAATGCAACCGTCCTGCGCTTGGCGCTCCGATATTAACAATGACTAGCGTGACCACGGACGCATCCCCTCAACCCGGGATCCAAGATGAACCTACTGCGCCGCCGGACTTGACAGCTACTTCCAGTCGCAAAAGAAAAGCCTCCGAGCTATTGTCAAACAAAGAGGGCCCTACTACACCCCGTCAAAAGATTACACGAGCCTGTGACTCATGCAAAGTAAAGAAGACCCGCTGTACGGGCACTCTGCCATGCACCAGGTGTACACGACTATCGCTACCATGCAAGTACAACGCCGCTTACTCGCGCGGGCTACCACCAGACCCTCTACCTGCATTACCCAGCCCGCTCTCAACTCCTACGGGCCGGCGTACTTCAGAAGCTGCAAGCACGTCCAACAGCCCCCATCTACGGGCGAGTGCAAGAGATTTGGCCGTAACCAACAACAAGTCGCTTCCAATCTCGAGCCAGCACCATGCAGTGTCATCACGAAACTCACCCGAACCAGGATCTACGGATTTCGAGGGCAATTACCTCGGCCCTGCATCGGGCGTGTCGTTTATCAATCGCGTCTGGAGTCGTCTACACCAGGATGAGACCACGCACTATCCCGATGAACTTCAAAATGAATCATCCCGGAATACGGCTGTCTTTATGTTTGGTGATAAGCCATATTGCAATTCCCCAGAGGTGGACTTTACACTGCCATCTTTGGAGAAGGCCATGGAATTGGTTGGCATCTACTTCGATTTCTCCATGGTGACTTATCGCTTCGTGCATAGAGGCAACGTTGAGGATTGGACTAGACAGCTTTACCAGAGTAATATTTCGCTCTCTAATCCGCCGGTGGGGAATATGGTTGCTAGAACTGCTGTTGTTTTCATCATCTTTGCTGTGAGTACCTTGTACACGGAGCTTCGGCCAGATGGGATGCCTGATGGGCGTAGTGAAAGGTGTGTGTCTCTGGCAGACAATCAGACTGACTGTACTGATATTTGGCAGCGAACGCTGGTATACAGCTTCGAAATACATGACCTCGCTTGAGTCAGGACCACCGAGACTGGAAACAATCCAAGCTCGACTGGGCCAATGTCTTTACCTACTGTCATCTTCGCGGGCCAACGAATGCTGGTATTCATTTGGCACCACTATGCAGGTCGTTACAGCTCTCGGATTGCACCGAAAATGGCCTGTCAAAGTATCGAATAAAGGATGCTCCTATCTGGAACTGGAGCTGCGCAAGCGCATCTTCTGGAGTGTATACATTTTAGACAAATATCTCAGCATCATGTTTGGACGGCCTCGACTATTACATGACGAGGACATCGATCAAGAATTACCAGACGAGATGAACGACGATGACTTGCTGGAAGAGGACCCAACAAGACGAACAGGATCTACAGATAGCATGATGATCGCCTCAGTGCTTCATTACCGGTGAGCCTTGTATACACCAACTCGAAGAGATATACATCTAAAGCCAACACAGACTCGGCCGCATCCTCGGCGACATATCCCGCCAACTATACAGCATAAACACCCCAACCCGCGACTCGCCCCTAGAAACTGCCATCAGGCTAACCTCCGAACTCGAAAAATGGAAAGAAACAGTCCCACCACTATTCAATAGCGTCCGCCCATCAAGTCTAATCCCACCCCTCTGTCGACAAAGCCAAGTCCTGCAACTCGCCTACTCACACGCAATGATTCACGTTACGCGTTCATTCCTCCTAACCGACTTTACAGACCTAAGCCGCAGACCCAAAGTCCCACACCCAATGGTCAGCTCTCATGTGCAGAAATGTATACAGGCCGCCGAGGATATCATGACTATCGTTGATAGTCTCGCGCAGCAAGGTGTTCTGATTCAATCGTTTTGGTTCACGCACTATGTCTGCTTCTGTGCAATTTTGGTGGTTTATATTCATACCATCCAGCAACATCGGGGATCGCTGGGGGAGAGACCAGGGTCAGCGGCCGGGGCTTCAATTTCTTCTGTAGGAAGCCCCAGTGACCGGGATAAATTGCGGCAGCTGTTTTCTCTCGCGGAGACTTGTCAGCAACATCTTGCTGAGGCTACGCGGAAGAACTGTCCGAGTCGGCGGTATGGGATTATCCTTGAGGAGCTTCGACAGGAGGTTCATCGACAGATTGGGACTAATGAGCTCTCTATTGATACAAGAGCACCCTGTCTCAATGGAGATGGTGCTTCTGGGGCATCGGAAAGTGGCAATCATCATGGGACTGGGCCCTTTGATACTCATACGGTGGATCTGCCCTCCATATCGGGGATGATGCAGCCTGCCGATCTGGGGATGAATACAGGAGAGGATGCAGGGTTCCTTGAGAGCCTTGAGGGATCAATATGGTGGGCTCAGCTTGATTCGTGGGTATGTATTTCCTGCAATCTCTCCGGTGATATTCTTGACTAACTCTTGCTTCTAGGCCTTATCTAATTTCCCTAATGACCCTTCTACATGCAACTTCTGAGGACAAGAATTACTGTGGTATGCGGGTTTCGTAAACTTCTGTTCAAAAACCAATTCATTCTCTGTCACATTCTGATGATTCTGGCCCAAGTCATACCCCTTGATCATTCTCTGCTCCGATGCTCAGTGGCCCTCAACTCTGCATGAAGGGGCGATGAAGATTTTCCAGATACTCGTCAAATCGTGCCGAGACCTGAATAACATCCCTAAGATGCTCATACGTGAGGATTTTCTTCTGCCACTTGGCATACTGACGAGCGGTGGTAATGGCATTCCGGATTTGCCGACCATTCAACCTCTCTTTCTTGAGCACATCCAGATTCATGCGCAGATCATGGATATCAACAGAATCAGCTTCAAACCCCCCCAACCGCTCAATGAAAGTCTCCCAAATGAGTCGTCGCTGGTCCTCGCCCAGACTGGGGTAGTGCAGTGCCAGCTGGATTCGCGACTTGAACGCATCATCAAACGTACCTACCCGGTTCGTGGTCAGGATTAGAATCCCCTCGAAGTATTCTACCACTCGCAAGAATGCCGATACGAGCGCATTCCGGTTCAGATCTTCCAGCCCGCGCTGCTCGAGGAATACGTCTGCCTCGTCGAGTAGCACGACGCAGTTCCAAATCTTTCCCAGGTGGAGAACAGACTCAAGGTACTTCTCAATCTCTTCAGGCTTCGTGCCCACATCGCCGCAGGTGACACGGTAGAGGGGTCGCTCTGCTATCTCGGCGACACTCTCTGCAGTCAGTGTCTTGCCTGTCCCTGGGCCGCCATGTAACAGCAGCATGAGACCATTGCCCTTGCCTGCAATTAGATCTGCCGAGTACTCGGATTCAAGGTGGTTGGTGACAAGTGCTTGGATCAGGTCTCGGGATTTGGATTCGATGGCTAGACTCTTGAAGGCTTCTTTGTTCCAGACTACATCGGAGATGCGATCGGTGCAGAGCTTGAACCATTTCTTGCGCCGAAGGTTGAATCCGACAATCCTGGGAGGCATCAAGAGCTGGAATGTCTCATCTGGGGGCGAGTCTCTGGCCATGGCTCGGTCATCAAGCATGCTTGTACGTGCAGGTTGAGGCGTGGGGACTGGATGCAATCGCTTGTACGTTTCCATGTCTATTATGTATCGGTCATCGGCCTGGTTGCATTGGTCAGTTCTGGCTTTCCAATCATAAGATATTGAAACACCATTTGGATACATACCATAGTCTGGAAATTTTCTTCCTCTGTGGCATGATAGGACACATATCGATGTGCACGGAGTTTCCAGAAAATCTCTCCACGTCTCCGAAGCATCTGGACAAGCTCATTTGATGCGTACTTGATCGGGAATACAGCAAGGTCTGTGATAGCATACTCTTTGTTCGAGTTGCTCTGAGCTGAGGATGAGTCCTCAGCCGCTTCTTGGTTGAATGATTGAACAATTGGGTCATCATTCGGAGTCCAGCGTTGGTAGCGTCGCTCTCTTATGGCGTTCTGTGGCTCTGGCGTCTGGAATTCAAGCGTGCCCCATCTTTTACAAAAGCTGCCATCAAAATCCCAGGTCTGGCCCCCAACAGTCCAAGAGGAAAACCCAAGATAGCCCTCATCTTGAAGCGGCCAGTCTACCGCAATATATCCCGTGTATTCATTGTTGTTGTTTGAAACCAACACCTCGTTGGGCTTGAACAGATATTGGATGTACTCCGGGCGGATGCGGCCACTGTTAAGCAAAGTGTCCGCAGCAGCATACTCCTCGCCACAGGTCTTTTGGACGTAACCCATGAAGAGATCCAGTTGTTGCTGGGCCACGGAACTCAGCCCGTGTCTCATGTTTGTCACCTTGGATCGATTGTGGTAGACGAAGAGATAGGGTGTCGTGACTTCTCGAGAAGACTGGTAGCCACGATACATAGAGCTGAACTCTCGACCACTGAGCATCTCTTCAAAGATGTCCTTGAGATCCTCAGAAACAGGGAGAATTGTCTCGCTAAATGGCTCTGGCTTGCCATACCTCGCTTTTGATGACTGCCGCTCGACTCTTCTCTTGAAATTCCGAAATACCACAAATGATATGTCTTTGTTCAGAGCCAGGTATAGCTCGAAGTTGGTCAACCGGTCATTGCAGCGCAGATGGGGTGATCCCATAGAGCTATGGATGACCTCGGGGGGATCAGTGAAAGTTCCCATCCATGGGGATCTAAAATCTTCGTCTCTGTCCCACCCTCGATCCATGCCTCGAAATGTGTCATCCTTCTCGATTCGATAGAGAACTTGGTACTTCGAGGCCACAGGATCAACGGGTTTCCCCTCTAGCTTAAGCACTTTCTCTTGGAGATACGTTATCTGGGCTCTAAGGCCATTGGCCTCAGATAGAGAGATAGTCCTCTGGCTAGAGCGTGTATTGCGATCTTGTGGCCATATAGTTTGGCTCGACGACACGGATGAGTCTTGGTATGGTGTATACGAAGCAACCCGAGCAGGCCCTTGCATGTAATGTGGCGACCGCTCTATTCCACTGTTCTGTTCCTGCCGACCCGGCCGGGGAGCAACTGCAGGCATCGCAGGTGTATTGTAAGGCAAAGGGTCGTACACCGGCACAGGCGGGAAAGACGATCCAGCAATTGGCGGACCGCCCATGTTTGGTCTGCTCTGGAGCTGATAGGCAAGTACCGCCGGATCATGAGAAGGTGGCAGAGGGAAATTTTGCTGCACTGGTTCTGGCTCAGCATACCCTTTGTCCAAGCTAGACTGTCGTAGTCGCAGCTTGTTCTGTCGTTCCTGCAGCGAAAACGAGTAATTCTGGTGGTTTTCATTGTCCTCTTGTGTTTTCGGGTTAGGGATGTAAGCGATGCCAGGAGTATAGGATCCAGTGTATTCCTGATTATGAGTGGAATTTGGCTGATCTTCTGAGGACAATTTCCCGCTCATGTCTTCGGAGATGGTGTTGGCTTTGTAGATCTCGTTGCTCGGGCGAGCAGAGATGGGGTCAAGAATCTCCCACGATGTTGGATTTGGAGAAACCATTTTGGATTGAAGGGGTTGCAAGAAAGGAAAAGGCAGAAGTGGTGAATGAGCCATTTAAATAGTGGGCAAACGGGGGCATTGTCATTCCAGCCGACCCCGCGTCAGCTTTGAGGCTCAGTGAAGCAACCAGTGAATTGCAGTGGTCATATGCAGTGGCGTGTTTAATACATCGTTTGTGGCACACTTTGAATGATGGCCTCGTATACAACGGGTGGGTCACGGGTTGTGCTTGCCCTGGTCGTGGTTACCCAAGCCGTAACATACAATTTCGCAACTCTGTCCGTTTGATCTATAAATCATTCTATCGTTAAACGGTCTGATCATCCAACATTCATTTTACCGAGATGACAGTCCGTAAGAAAGGTACAGCACAAAGAAGCCATTTTGGCCACAGGTTTCCCGCCAAAGTCGTCGTATCCGCGAAAGGTGCATCGCCAATTGAGTCAGGCACGCCAGAGAGCCCAACTTCAGAGCCAATTATTCCTGAAGGCAAGGAGCGTTTTAGGACACGCCTCACCCGGAGTGGCTCCAGGATTCTATTCTTACTGGGATTGCGAACTTCGTCCAAGAGTAAGCAGCCATGTCTCTGTTTGATGACCCTTCTCATGATCTTCTGCAGGTATCAAAGAGTATAGCGTCGAAACCGACAGCTGCATTTACGTTCAGACTGGCGATGAAAGCCCCCACCCCTTCTCCCCAGATGGAAATGGCGATGGTAGTCTAGGATATGGGACTATGGTCGAATCACCACAAAGCGAACCGCTTTCTGTCACTCCCTCTGGTGGTCCATCCGTCGAAGGCGTTGAAACTCTGTCCGAGCCTCTTTCCGACACACACTCCTTTCCCGTAAGCCAGGGTGAACAAGCCACTGAGCAAGAAAGCCAGCCGACTCCAAAATTTGCAAATCGCTTCTCGCACAGGATCTCTCTCGCGTTTGGCCAACCCACCGTTATTCGCCGTGCGAACCTTCGCCCGAGACCTAGCATTCTCCGCTCAGTCTCACCGGCTCCAGACAGCTTGTGCAAACAGGTCGATGGCGCTAATGATAGCTCAGTGCCTTCTTCTACCCCAAGCAGCAATGCGTCTCCCTGTAGTGAACAGTCCACTGCCCCGACCTCCGGGGTGCCATCCCCTTCATCAAATCGATCCAAGATATGCGATCAGCATGAGACGGCAGTATCACATTTGCCCTCTGTCTCTGGTATCGACGAGGCTGCGGGTCCTCCTGAAACAAAAATCAGCATTGTGCCATCAATCAAGACAGTGGAAGTGACCTCAGTGGCAAAGGTTTACCTGGAACTTTACTTCAATTCTATTTTCCAGAACAAAGATTTGCGCCAGGAACGACAGCTTGAGTTAGAACAGTATATCTACTCCTATGACCTCACGGCGGAGGAGCGAATGATGACACGCCACAACTGGGTGTTACGAGAAAATGATTATCTGCGGCAGTGCCGTGTACTCAAGTCTAATCGATACTGCACTGAGAACGCAATCTCAGTTGCTGGATACAAGTCTATCAAGGTGCTTGGGAAAGGGAGTTTTGGTGTTGTGCGCTTGGTGCGACCAAATCATCTTGATTCGGCGTTTTCCAGCGAAGATGGTCCTTTGGCTCCCAATGACAGCAATTCTCATACAAGAACAAACCCTCTCGGGGTGCTGAGATCTGCGGTGGAGGGGGCCAAGAAAAGTCGGCGAAGATACATGACGGGGGAGAAGAAAGAAGTATACGCCATGAAAGTCATCAAAAAGACAGAGATGATCCAGAACTGTCAGGAAGGACACATTAGAGCTGAGCGGGATTTCCTTGTGGCCTCTGAGAGCTCTCGCTGGGTTGTTCCTCTGATCACCAGCTTTCAGGATGCCAACAATCTGTATCTAGTGATGGATTACATGGTTGGTGGTGATTTCCTGGGGCTCTTGATCCGCAAGGACACGCTCCGCGAAGACTGGGCACGTTTTTATGTTGCCGAAATGATCCTATGCATTGAGGAAGCACACCAACTCCGTTGGATCCATCGGGATGTGAAGCCAGACAATTTTCTCATCTCTGCCTCGGGCCATTTGAAAATCTCCGACTTTGGCCTGGCGTTTAACGGGCATTGGTCCCACGATCAGGCGTACTACAACAGCCAACGCTACTCTCTGTTAAAGAAGCTCGGTATCAATGTCAAGGGAGATTCTGAGGACCAGAAGGAGTCTCTCGAGGCGAAAGAGCCTGCGCCTGACATCAAATTGCATGGCTTGGATGACTACGCTGTTCATCAGGCTCCCTCTTCGGGTCTGTTGGATTGGCGTGACAACAAAGGGAGGCGCAGATTCGCCAAGAGTGTTGTTGGTACTAGTCAGTATATGGCACCTGAGGTCATTCGGGGCGAAATGTACGATGGAAGATGTGACTGGTGGAGCTTGGGTATCATTCTATACGAGGTAAATCGGACAATACTTATCCCATGCTGAGAAGGGAGACTCACGGATTTCTTAGTGCCTATACGGCTTCACGCCATTTGCATGCGAGAGCCGCCATGACACCAAGATCAAGATTCTAGTGAGTACTTTTTTCAACTATCTATCATCCCAATTCTGACCTTCTTTGAGCAACACACACGAACTCTCCAATTTCCGATAGAGAAAGCATCGGAGAGGATGGTCTCTCAAGATGCCATCGATCTCATTACCAGGATTCTTCAAGAGCGTCAATACCGTCTCTGCTCCCAGAAATATCAGGCCAATGATATCCTAACCTCTCGGCCCGTCTCAACACAGATGCTGTACTCCATGGACTCGCGCTACAGAAATATTACGAGTTATTACGTGTATCCCAACGACGCAGCGGACATCAAGGTTCATCCTTTCTTCAGAGGCATCCGATGGCAGGACCTGCACTTGTGCCAACCACCAATGATCCCGAGGGTCAGAAACTGGGAAGACACTCGATACTTCGACGACTGGAAGCTGATCGCCAATTCTCCCGGGCAAGTTGAGGCCCATGACTCTGATGTCAACGACGAGACTCCTGGGTCAGATCCTGACGCCATCACTCCTGCCCCGAATCCAGAGGAAAACATTTCCATTGAGCCACTAAATGCCAATTCTACACCAGATGCAGCGTCTGGTAAAACAAAGGATGCTGAAAAGAAGAATGAAAAGAAACGGCCTCGCGACAAGATCCTGCGTGATAAACAGATGGGAAGAAATGTCTTGGAAATCCGCAAGAAGGGCGCTTTTCTGGGGTATACATATCGGCGACCCAACGAGATGGCTTTAGCATTCAGCACAGAGCGAGGGCGACAGCCACTTGCAAGGGGTCAGTTGTCTAGTCTATACGCATCATGATTCTACAAAACACAGCCAGGGAAGGGAAGTCGACGCCCTCTGGCCAAGAAAGAGAACGGCGGACTACTATTGCATTCCCACTTCCGCAACAAATCACCATCCTTTCAACAACCTATCCAAATAAATATCTCTAACTTTCCCTAGGTGTATAACGTGAACCTCTCACTCGTGCTGTCTCATGCTCCTTGAAACTGTTAGCTTCACATTACCCTCTCTCTGATGTATCGTTAGCAACGAATATATGGCCCGGCAGGGCATTGTCGTCACCTCATCATTCTAGTATAGCCCTAAGGCATAAGATATTATTGTCTCTATGAATTGAGTATAGACTAACTAGTCTACAACCAAGAACGGTACGAACGTCTAAAGTGCACAGTAATGGTTCTATTGTCAGGAATTGCTAGCAATCTATTGAAGGTATATCAAGTCCCGAAAATCCCAAAGTAAATAAAAGAAGACAACAAACACAACGCTGGTAACTGAACACAGACAGCAGAATGACACGGGGTGTCTGGGCTTGGAGGCCATGTCTGTAGAAGAAACGCGGGGTATCGAAGCGCAATTTTTGAACAGGCTTCTCCGCCTGTTGGGTATCAAGATTGAAAACGGATATGATGAAGGGCGATAGAACAAATCAGGTACGTGACAAAGAGTTGAAGAATCATCAAAGTACCGGCGCACTCATGGAGAAAGCCGAATCGGTCACACGGTCCTCGGGCTTCATGGTACCATTGAGCAACGGGCAGAGCTTCTTGTTGGTCTTGATGTGTCCGACCTGGCCACAGTTGGCACACTTACGCTGCGTGCCAGTGGGCTTACCGTCCGGGTCGCCGGCACGAGGAATACCCTTCTGCTTCTCCCGAGCGAAACGGCGCTCCTTGTTGCGGTTCAGACGACCGAGCTCGGCCTCGATCAGCTTGCGGTTGCGAGCGTCGACTTCTGGATCGCCGGTGGGCTGGATGGATTCTAGCTTGGTGTGTAGAGCTGCGCTACGATGACGGTGTTGCATGTAGTGTCTGATCACACGTTGATCCCAAACAAGCTGTTCTTTTTCGACGATCTCGCCGTTTGCTTCCTTGACCTGGCGGACGATCCGCATGACCTTGCCGCGAGAATCTCCGAAACTCATTTTGCTGAACTGACTTGTTGTCTCATCGTCACGGCGATATGGTCCAGGGGTAGGTGCTTCAGATCGAGGCGTCGGTTTGTGGTATTGGTCCTCTTCTTCGTGATCAACATCACTCTCCTGGTCAGAGTGTTCGACCGTGGACGATAAGCTGGCCTTTTGGGCGTCCCAGATACGACGAATAGATGTTTCATATGACTTTTGTTGACGAGCAACATTGTAGCTGTGACCACCAAGCTCCTTGAGTCGTTGCGCATCGAGCTTGTCTTCAACACTTTCACCGATAGCCTTGAAGCCACCTTTCATGCTGGTTTTGATGAAGTTGTAACCCTCGCCACGGCCAGTGGGATCACCTTCACCATGAAGCTTCAGCATAGCCTTGCCCTGTGAGGCAAGTAAGAAGTTGCGAGTCGCTTTCCAGGGAGCCATCTGCTGCTCAAAGCTTTCCAATTCTTCGTCCTCTTCATTCTCACCACCGGTTTCCGCATCATTGCCATAACCGGTATCGTGGAGATGCTGCTGACCAATTTGCATGGATTCCAAAAGACAAACATCTTCAGGCTGCACCCACGAGCGGATGGTGTCTTGGTCAGGAAGAACCGGGTCCAGTGGCTTCCAGTACTTAGTATCTTTGTCGTGTTGGAGGAAGTCCTTGACCTTCTGTCGATTTTGCATATCAGTCGTATTAGGGATGTGAGCTGTAACGTCGCTGATCGCAAGTCGCTCGTCCGGACTCTTCTTCAACAGACGATAGACCAGCATCTTCATGCGATTCTTGGCGACAGTGGTCACCTTGCGAGAGTGGGGACCAGGAATGTCCACGGAGGGGAATTGTTGTCCAGCGACGAAGAAGTTTTCGATGTTGCGCAGATAGTAGCTACTACCGGCCTCGCCAGTACTGCTGCGCACAACCAGGAAGTCTGTGCTCTTTGTCTGGTGGGGGAAGAGTGGTGCTCGATACATGGAGTTCGAGATCGCTGGGGCAATTTCACCGGGGTCAACATGACCGAAAATCGAGAACGGACTCTTGTCTTGCGGTAGCAGGACAGCTGTTTCGCCAATCTCGGCTCTGGGACGCGTTGGGTCGTCAATATTTTTGCGCCGGTAGTAATTGATGAATCGGTTGCACATTCCGAAATTGGCAAGCATCATGGGAACCTCTTCAGAGTATTCAACAAGCAAAACATTAGAGTTGTCTGCCATAGACAATGCCTTGGTGCTATCATAAACACTCTTTGCGTCTCTGCCACGTTGCTGCTTGCGTTTGACGTGGGCAGGATTCTTGAACCAGGATGTTTGTCCAGGCCTGAAGGCCATGGAAGGTCGGTGGAAAGATCGGGCTTCAGCCTTGGCCAGCTCAGTCTTGTAGTAAGGCCACTGCAAGCGGAGAGCAGGCAAGCCGTGCTCGAGGGTCACGTTACCAAGAGTGCTGCGGATCTTGTTCTGATGGTTCTGTTTGAGCATGTCGTACGCTTGGTCATTCGAGATATTGTAACGTGAAGTAAGACGGCGCGTCAGATTCAGGTCCACCTCGTCTCTGGATCGGGGAGCGTGCTTCGGCTTCTTTGCTATAGCGTCTGCTCTCGACTCGTCAACAAGAATGTTTGGATCGTTCAAATCAATGGTGACTCTCTTGGCAATCTTCATCGTTGCCTGCTCAGGGTCATCCAAGAGCGGAATGTCAATATGAGACATTGCGATGACGTCCATTGGGCTTGGTCCAGTCTTTCGCTTCTTCTTGGGTACATCATCGTCCATGAGCCAATCTGGCTCGTCATCATCGAAAGCGGCGTCCTTTGGTTCTTCTTCGGGTTCTGCAATAGGTACATCGTCCACCATATCCCAGTCCGCGCAAATAGTCCGAAGATCCTGCATGGTAATGCCACCCGGCAGCGGATCATCGCCATCTGCGTCGCCCAATTCAAGGTCTTCTTTTTCTTCTTCGTCTTCTTCTGGTGTCGACTGCGTTATCATCACCACACCCAGGGAATCATGATCAAGGCCACGCTTGAGTGGCTGTCCTGTTCGGAATGTACGCTCCTGGTCCGCTGCGAGCTCAATATTCACTTTCGTGGGTAGGACGGGCTTGGGCGGCTTGGTAGGCTGTTTTCCGATGAAAATCGCTTTCTTATGTGGAATGAGCTCCAACCATCGCGGGAGTTCATTGCGATTAAATGAAGGGAATAATGAATGCAGCAGTTCTTCGCGGTTTTCGGGGGGTGCAGGTGGGTTTTCGGGTCCAGACATTGCAAAAAGTGCTTGCTGGAGCTTCCAAGCGCGAAGTGTAGCGGGGTCCATGTCGTCTGACATGATGCTGGAATCGTCCGGGATATCTTCATCCATGGGCACCCGCTCTGCCTTGGGGACGGTGGCGGGAGGAATGGGTGGAAGTTCGACTGGCTCATTGGTCAAGGGCATTTGCTCATCTTCAAAAAGACCACTTGTAAGGTCCGCCTGTCCAGCAGGAGGAGGCGGAGAAAAAGAGCCTTCACCAAATAGATCATCAAGGTTATCGTCTTGTGTCGGAGCCCCCGCAGCCTGGTCACCGAAAATATCATCACCATTCCCGAAAAGAGCGGCGTCGTCGGAGCCCAGGTTCGCGAAAGGATCTTCGCCATTGTCGTCCACTGCGGGTAGGGCTGGGGCAGCGTGGGCCTCTTCTTCCGGAAGTTCGTCGTCGTCGAAATCTTCATAGTCGACCGCATCATCAGCTTTCTCGCCAACATCCAAGTCGCGCGACAGAAAATCCAGAGATGGTCCGTTGTTCTCATAGCTGTTGAGTTGCTGCATCACATTGTTGAAGTCATCGTCCTCGTCCTCCGGGACCTTCTTCTGCGTCGCGTGAGGCATGGTTTCGGCAACGGTAGTTTTGAAGAAACCGAGAGGCTCCGGGGGTTGGCGGTTGAGAAGAAGAGGTCGGTTCAAGATAGAAGTGAGGGAAATCTGAGGTCGTAAACGTAGGCGCTAGCCAGACGGGCGGCTCGCGGCTCAAACGGCGGGCATCTGGTTGGTATCTGAGTAGGCAAAAGAAATCTTGCGCACGTCGTAGTTATTGCAACCGAAAAATGAGGAAGTGGGAAGCAAGAAAAGGGAGCGTCCGAGTGGGCGAAGAAGCAAGATGGAAAACGGCCGCGGGTTCCAAGATGCGCGAGGTCGACGCTAACCCGAAATGGCAATCAGCTCGTGATAGAGATCAATACAATTTGAGACAATACGCGCTTCAATAGACCATAAGATAAAAAGGTGATTGATAAGAAATATTAGTACATTGGATTGTAGTTTTATCAAGCGTAGCAAACGTCAGTCATGAAACATTGAAATCCCCGTAGAAAATACACAACGCCTTGCTCGCACCCTCCATACAATAGTGCATCACCGTAGCCTTGTGACCGTCAGGGACCAGCTTTGCCATTTGCTTCAAATCAGATGTCCTTGGGATGTAGAGAACCATATGCTTGCTAAACACAGAGTACTCATCATACAATTTTTGTAGGGAGTATGGCTCCATGGTCTTGAGGTTGAATACCTCATCCGAACGATATCCGGGGCCTGATGCGATTAGTTCCAGTCGTGAAATCAAGAAAGGCAATGTTCGTACCTCCCCATGGTGGGCTTGCAAATACAACACTGTATGGAGCCAGTTCCTTGAGTTGGTTCTTCAGGATCTCAAAACAATCGCCTTCAAACCAAGTGATCTTGTTCTCGACACCATAGATTTTTGCGTTGTGCTTTGCGCATTTCAAGACGGCGGGGTCTTTCTCAATTCCATAGACACGCTTCCATTTCCCGGTCAATGCAAATGCAATTGTGTTTCCACCTGCGCCAGCAAAGCAATCGACCAGAATGCTACGTCCAGCAGGCGAGGACTCAGCAATCTGCTTGGCAATTTGACTAACTATGGTCAGTGATGACACAATAAAAGAGATAGCAGGGTATTTACTTAGCCACCGGTTCAGGCGTAACGCCAAACCAAGCATCGTCAGTCAGCCATACACCTTCGTCGTACTTGGAGAAGATCCGGTAGCGTTGTGCCCAATAACTTGACATAGGGTTAGCACTAGTCAACTTGAACGACCAAAAGCCTTACTTCTGGATGTCCCAGGGAACCTCCTGTAGACTACTGTAATGATGCACCTCCGGAGGTGCTTCTTCTTCGTCTGCCATGATGTTTGATAAAGCAAGATGATCGATGCTCGATAACAGATAAAGATGCGGGTGTTTGCACTGTTTGTATTACCATCTGGCCAGCTCTCAGGCCAGTAAATACAACCTAGCTTCACTTGACCCTCATTTGATCACACCACCCTTTGTGATTAGTCTTACGATGTTTGGCGCATTAAATCGATTCATCGGCCGACTGGACGGAGAACCCGGTCAACAACCTCGAAACGGACCAAACGACAACGCGTTCGGCTTCCAGGTCCTCCGCAACAAGGACCCGGAGCTGCCTCTGGAGCCATGGTTTGACTTTATTGTTGGAATCAATGGACATACAATTGTTTGTCTCCAAATCCTGAGTACGACCTAGCAGTAGAGTATGGCTTACACCGACGTACAGGAAGATCCGGACCCCAACCTCTTTGCGACAGAAGTGCGGAATTGCGCTGGAGCCAGCTTGACACTGGAGGTATGGAGCGCAAAGGTAAGAAAACAATTTTCGCGTTGAAACCGGGCTATAGCTAAATTATGGGATTTCCAGGGTCAACGAACTCACACTGTCACGCATCCTGTCCCGCCAACGAACCCATCTCTCGGTCTCGCACTCCAGCTTGCTCCCCTCTCCTCCACACAACACATCTGGCATGTCATAGCGATCCCATCGCCACTCAGTCCGGCATACCGTGCTGGCTTGCTCCCTTACTCGGACTATATCATTGGAACCCCGAGCGGGACATTAAGAGGGGAATCCGCACTCGGAGAGCTGGTTGAAGATCACCTAGACCGCACACTGGTTCTATGGGTTTACAACAGCGAGTTCGATGTGGTTCGTGAAGTTGAGCTTGTGCCTACAAGGGGCTGGGGCGGCGCGGGGGCCCTTGGTGCGGAGCTAGGATACGGTGCCCTGCATCGACTACCCATTGGACTCGGAGAAGAGGTGGAGGCACCCGGGGAGGTTGTTTTCGAGACACGCGAAGATGGCATTACCGCCCCAGTAGGCGGCCCTGCTAGTGCTGTTCCAGGCATGGCACCCCCGTCGGGTCAGTTCTTGGTTCCTGCAAACATGACCGCACCGCCGCCCTTGGCTTCGCAAAGAGGCGCTTCACCGTCAGATAATAGGTCGCCAGCAAGCCGCCGTACAGGTAGACACCGACCTTCGGCCTCTCCCAACAGAGCTTTCGATGATTACTTTGCTGAGGGTGAACAGAAGAGTCGGGAACAAGACTTTGCGCCTTCGAGGCATGGAACTCCTCTCCCTCCGCCACCCAAGGTTGGAATCTCGCCGTCTCATTCCGAAAGTCCTGCGCCTGCACATGAGGCGCCGGAAGGTTCACCAGGGCCAACACAGGAAGAATGAATGATAGATATCTGAGACCAATTAATGTAGAGTATCATGACGAAATCCAAATACCAATCATCACAAACTATTCCCATTTGCAAGTATCCCTCCAAGTGGGCTGTATATAGCCGATTACTATATGACCGATCATTTGAGAAACAAAAGGAACCAATCCGGTTATGTGTTCGGATCTACGAGTTCTAAGCGTACATATGCAACAACTAAATCCTCTCTAGCTCCCATCGGGTCCAAATTTAGTGGCCCTTGCTTACGAGCTCCTCCAGCTTCTTGCGGGCGTCTCCGATCTTCTCCTCCATCATCTGGCGCGCCATCCCACTGTGCGCAATGCCAGTATACCAGATGTGCTCTGCCCGATCGCGGATAGCGATATGCTGCTCCGCAACGGCAGGAACTTTCTTCTCATACTCCCAAACGAGGTCTCCGACATTGCGCATCGTCACGGGGAGAAGAGTCCAGGCGGCAGCGGTGCCGAAAGCGATTGGCGACGCAGTGCGGAGGAAGATACCACGGTTACGCGAAACGATAGAGCCGGCCATGGCGGCGACGACGGCGTAGACACCGCCGGGGAGCAGGCGCTCGCCAGACTCGGGCGAAGGCGCGAGCGATGCCACGGTGTTGGTGAAGCAGTTTTCGATGTTAAGGGCCCGGGACAGGAAGTTGTTGAAGCCGGTCTCTGCGGCAAGGGAGTTGGAGTAAAGGAAAAGACGGGCTTGTCGGACCTGGGCAGTCAGGATATCTGTCGGGGTGGGCGAGGAGGGAGCTTCTTGCACAGCTGGTGCGGAGAGCAGCTGAGGAGCAGCGGGCTGGGCAGGTTGTGCGGGTTTGGAGGGTTCTGGGATGTCGGTTGGGAAGTCATCGTAGATAGGTTTGCGCTATATTAGGCAAGTGGTCGTGTCAGGGCAAGCCAGGAGCTGGGGTTGTCATATATATGTAAGAGGATCAGATCATACGTTGTCTCGAGGCGCTTCTGCGAATGCTGTCTGCTTGGGGTACAAAGCAATGCCTCCCGCGAGGAGAGTGGCTGCGATCGGAGCCACAGCCCGCTAGGCACAAAGTCAGCAGGGAACAGCAGTGAGGGATCAATTGCATCGGGTTATTGAAGAGCAATTGCTAGATAGCAGCCATACCTGTTGCAACATCGGCCGGAACGACATCCTGGGGGTGTGGGGGAGGAGAATAGGGAAGCTGAAGTTGAAGGTGAAGCAAAGTCGTGTTGGAGCCAGACGGGAATTCTTCGGCTCGGCGGAACCTCCAGAAAACTCCGTCATTGCCCGTTCTCCTTCACTCGACCATTTCTTTGGGACATTTGGATTATTTCTTATGTTTTCACTCTGTTCTTAATACTGTCGCTACAATGCTTCGCACTGTGCGACGATCGTGGACATGTCGCCAATGCCTACAGCGCCTACAGTCCCAGTCCCGAGCCTTCGAGAGCGCCGCATCACCGTCGCCGACGCCTTTCGAGTATGTTCCAGCAGACAACAGTGCGCCAGGGAAGAAGACCGATGATCAGACCCTACGCCGCGTGTTCGATTCTCAGCCGTTCTGGAATGAGTACTCCCAGCAACGCACCACAACGATCCCCAGACGAGCTGGGTTAGTTCAGAACCAATACCTCACAAGCCCCGAAGGCTTCAGGACATTCGCAAATGTCTCCTTGCAACGGTGCCAGGCCATCGTAACCAAGGTTCTTGCCGCCTCGACTGTGGAGGAATACAGGGCACTGGCACGCGACCTTGACCGGCTCAGTGATCTCCTGTGTCGCGTCATCGACCTGTCGGACTTCATTCGAACCATCCACCCTGATCCACGTATACAAGAAGCAGCCACGCAGGCGTGGGCTCTAATGTTTGAATATATGAATGTTTTGAATACCACCACTGGCCTTCATGAGCAGCTAAATACGGCATTGAACAACCCCGATGTGACATCACACTGGACCGAGGGCGAGAGGATTGTGGCTCAGATCTTGAACAAAGATTTCTCGAACTCTGCAATTCATATGCCGCCAGAGGTAAGGCAGCGTTTCGTTAATCTTTCAAATGATGTGAGCCAGTTGGGATCCGATTTCATGAACGGCGCGGAGCCTGCGAAGTCCCAGGTAGTCTTCCCTGCCAGTGCCCTTCAGGGATTGGATCCTGTTGTCGTTCAGAAAATAAAGAGGTGGAACAAGAAGGCGCCAGTGCCAACCATGGGCGTTATTCCTCGGCTTGCTCTGCGCTCGGTGCGTGATGAAGGAGTTCGCAAAGAGATATATCTCGCCACTCGCACATCCAGTACACGCCAGCTACAGAGGCTAGAAGAACTTCTGGTGAAAAGAGCCGAGTTGGCCAAACTTACAGGCCACAGCAGCTTTGCACACATGACTCTCAGCGACAAGATGGCCAAGACGCCTGAAGCGGTATCGAACTTCTTGACTACGCTTGTCTCAAGCAATCGTGGCCCAGTTCGTGAAGAACTATCTAAGCTGCATGAACTGAAAGGCTCATCTTTGCAGCCGTGGGACCATGCATTTTACGTTCATAAGCAGGTCCTGGAGTACACCCAGTCTCGTCGCTCCCGTCACCTAGGTTCTATTAATGACTTCTTCTCCCTGGGAACTGTGATGCAGGGTCTCTCTCGGCTTTTCGAGCGTCTTTATGGTGTGCGTCTTGTCCCACACGAAACATCTCCTGGCGAGACCTGGCATCCAGACGTCCGTCGCTTGGATGTCGTGGACGAATCGGACAAGCATATTGCGGTCGTTTACTGTGACCTGTTTACCCGGCCAAGCAAGCATCCAAATCCAGCTCATTTCACTCTTCGCTGTTCGCGCGAGATCTCAGCTGAAGAGGTTGCTGAATGTGCTTCGATGGACCAGTCGGCTCACCCGAATGACGGCATGGCCACCGGCGTCGACCCGCAGACCAAGACTCTGCGCCAGCTACCCACCATTGCTCTCGTATGCGATTTCCAGGAGCCCCAGGCCAATGGATCGGGCCATCCAACTCTGCTGAGCGAGCAGAGTGTTCGTACATTATTTCACGAGATGGGTCATGCAGTCCACTCGATCCTCGGTCAGACGCCTCTGCAGTCGATCTCTGGAACTCGGTGCGCCACTGATTTCGCCGAACTTCCTTCCGTGTTGATGGAAAGCTTCGCGACTGCTCCAGAGGTTCTCTCCTTGTATGCACGCCACTGGAAGACTGATGAACCTCTATCCGAGAGTATGATGCAGAGCATGGAACTAGACCGCACTGCGCACGGTTCCATCTACGGCGCTGTGGAGAACGAGGCGCAAATCCTTATGGCGCTTGTTGACCAAGCATATCATTCAATACCTGCCGAGATTAGTTCAGCTGGCATTGACTCCACCGAGATCTATCACCAAGTCTTCGCTCAGCACTCCAGTCTGCCCGATCCGGATAACATTCGGCCACGCACCTCCTGGCAGGGCTTCTTCGGTCATTTGTACGGCTATGGCGCTACATACTACAGCTACATCTTTGACCGAGCGATTGCCAATAAGCTCTGGCAGGATGTTTTCCAATCTGGCCAGGCAGCTGTTGATCGCGCTGCCGGAGAGCGATACAAGAACGAAGTCCTCCGCTGGGGAGGTGGTCGCAATGGCTGGCAGTGCGTGGCCGGCGTCCTGGGCAACAGCAACCCCTCCAATGCGAACGGCCGCCTGGCTGAAGGCGGCGATGAAGCCATGCGTGAGGTTGGCCGCTGGGGTCTGGGTCGCGAGGGCATGTAATGTGACCCGGATTGTACTACTATCTGATACACTCTGATCTATATATTCTGTAAACAAAATATAGTTTCTTGATCTGATTCGGTCCTCGTGTGACCTCTTAATCAAACTCCGGGGCCGGCTTGAACCGGACTCACCGTGGACGAATGATCATGGAGTCCGCAATCGTCCACTTGCAGGGAGTTCACCAAGACTACGGAGTACGGACGAGTATTTCCTGTTATCGACTAGCCAATAGAAAACAGTCTAAGCAGGCCAATGATCTCCGCTGTGCATTCCATGTAATGTCTGAGACTAGTGGCTGTTAAGCAGCGCCACGGTGCACGATGGCAGGGTGTGACTAGAATGTCTCACTGCCCCTTTGTCCTTGTCTCGGGAGTCAATAACACAACAGAGATGTATGAGAACTAAATGAGACAAAAGCTACCGGGCAGTTTACATGATTATTGTGAGCATAGATGGGCCTTTCTACGCCTCTCTGACTCCCCCGGAACCTACCCAAGCCTATCGCAAAACCGCGCCCACTCGACCTGAAGTGCCTCTGACGTACCTCGAGGAGCGCCTCGCATGGTGGCTTGCTGTAGCGGTACCCACGGTACCCCCCGATTATGCAAAAAGGCAAAGCGCGAACGTTCCTGTGATAGCCTAGGCAGGGCACATGTTCTTTGCTTTGTCAATCATATATGGAACTCCGAGCGCCCCTGGGGTTTTATACAAATTGTAGATCTGCCCGACCCTGCAGATCCAAGCCATAGTTTGAAGTCCTGTGCAAACTTGTCGGTTGAACAAAGAATCTCCCAGCCGTTTGATCATCCAGATCATTATCTCCTTGTTGCAGGTATGTGCCATCCAATGTATCCTAGAGTCCTGCGCAAAGTACCAGGGTATTCACCGCTATCTCTTGCTCATTGTATTTGTAGATTGCAGTTGTTTCAACTTCACTTCTTTCAGCTCGGACTGAGTAGCATTTCTCGGTTGCCTGGGGTATTATTTATTCCCCGGCAACCCTACTTGATCTCCCTCTCCATCGTTCTCAGTCGCAACAATCTACCGTGAAATCGGAATATATTGTCAACATGCCAGACGTTATAATCGTAAATGACAATGCTTCATTCACCTCGAGCACCACTTTCTCTACACAAGACTCGGAGCAATCACCACGTCCACTCCGTCGAAGAAACACAGTGACGCAGCTGACGAGGCGCGTTTCTAAGAGGATATCGCAATCAATCCTCAGGGCCGGGGTACAGGAACATCAACTCAGCGAAAAGAACCTTAAGGATCTCAACGAAGCAACACATGTGGGCGCGCTGGGCTCGCCTGGCTCATGCCTACCAGATCAATCACACGAGCCAATGGTCTACGAGCCTATCCACGAAGACATCGAGGAGGAAATCCATAGTGTAGATGTGGAAGCAGCAAGAGAAATGCGCCTTCAAGAGTCCTACGCTGCCTTCTGTCGCGACTTCACAATGTCAGGGAAACCAACAGTGAACCGAAAATTCGACTTGAACATGAGAATGGAAGAGGTTTCAGAAGTGCACCAGCAGCCGCGTGCAAATTCAACGCACAGCAACGACAGATCTGGATTGGATTTGCCGCATGACCTTTCTGATCATAGAATGAATATTACAGGGTCACAACCCAGACCCAGACCGAATTCTGTCGCATACCCAGTATCATGTACATCTATGCATCAGGACATGTACATGCAAACGCCTCAGTCAGCAACTACCAGAGAGCCACCTCTCCGATGGCCAGAACTAGCCCCATCAAAATTCGAGCCCGACCACAACAGATACGGATCAGGTTTCCAAATCCCTCACAACCCCAACCCCAACTATCCACAACCACCACCGCGAATTATCACCCCTACTGTGTGGATGGACATGCAACAAACCGAGCGGGAGCGCAAAGAAGCTCGGCGATCCAGACTTCTAGCGCCCTTTCGGTCTTGGTTTATGATGAGTCCGCCCTGGTGGGGGCGGAGATATGAAGTTGTCGAATAGCGGGTTGATGCAGGTTGGAGCGTTGGGGATTCACTTTACTGGCTGTATTTTAAATCTACATTAGCCAAATCAAACAATCTAAGTTTACTCCTTTTTTTATCTTTGGCTTTGCTTTTTCCCTGTGAGACCGTGTCAGCATGTTATTATTCGTCCTTGGATACATTAAAGGCCCCCTCACCCGCATGAGCGATCACATCTACCCCTCCAGAGTTCCTTTCAACGCCATGTTCGCTAATTACAAGCCTCCACAAGACGCTATGACTCTTTGTTCGTGTGATCCCACTATGCAATACTTATCAGCGTATTCTGCATCTGATACGGGGTATAGGAGGCAACCATTTGGATATTTCGAATACGGGTTCTTAGCCCTAAGTGCCTTTAGGTAAAACTAATCGAGCCAGTAGTGTTCTCCGACGACCTAAGCCCGTATTAGCTAAAGGTCGTTTCTTGGACGTGAAAATGAAACGTGGAGTTTTCAGGTCATTGGCGTACATGTAATCTGATGGGGGCCAAATGCACCACTATAAAATGAGCCGTAATAGCCTGACTTTTCCCGCGATCTGACACTTGCATTCTGGACGATAACTTATCTTTGATACGTTGCGATAATCGCCTCCTCTCGCTATGCCGGACCCTACAGCCACACAGGCCACGTATGATGGCAGTTGCCACTGCGGACAAGTCGCATTTACTATGAAGCTCTCGCCACCCATAGAGGAGCAAACCTTGAAGACATGCAACTGTACATACTTCCCTCTTGGGGAGACAGACGAGCAGCGATGAAAATATTATCACTAGGGACTAAATCAGATATTCTACCCAGGTTCAATTTGTAGCATCAATGGCTATGTTTTGGTTTACGCTCAGCAGTCCAATGTAGCTTTCCACGACAGCGAAAATGACGCTCGCAAGGTTGGCAGATCACTCTTCTTCATAATATACGGTGGATTGGGTCTAATATTTTCCAGGAGTACCGATTCGGAACCATGAACTTCCCGCACGGCTTTTGCTCGAATTGCGGGTCGAGCATGTATGCTCGCGCGGATGGCGGAAAATATGGTGATATTATTGCTATCAATGTGAGTTCTTCTTACCAGTACGAGATTGGGTTATGTATACTCATGGTGGATTAGGCACGGACTCTGAAGGGAATTGATATCAGCACCCTCAAGATTGAGCAAGTTGATGGGAAGAATGTCGAACTCTCCTAGATGTCCGCTTGTGTTTGGAAGATGCTTGTCTCTGGGTATTGGTCTCAATCAAAACATGCAGCAACATATCTCTTGGGGGCGCTATTCGATTGTAGTCTACGCCATTTACTTGACGGAGCCCGATACGCCTTTCGTGGTTACTGAATATGAGCTTAGGAGGTGAAACAAAACGTAAATGTGTAAATGTTTACTATAGTAACCATTTCATGTCTGGTTTAATGCTTTCTGTCGCTAAATCCATATTAAATCTGAAATTCTCTAACTCGGCACGGAATAGTATAAAGCGGAAATATTGTACCGTTTGACCGGGTACCAGAGATATATATCTGCATCCCACCTAACTATCAAGAATTAAGCCATCAATTTCAAAAAAAAAAAAAAAAAAAAATTACTGTGAAACAATCGAGCGGTTAATATGATCCACCAGATCCACACAGGAATAGAATATAGAAGGAGCAATAAGAGTTGCTGGGGGTTACAAAAGCAACGAGGACAAAATAACCGAAGGGCCGTCCATGGATAGCGAACCCGGTTCCCTGGGAAATACATATGCTTTAAAACATAACGTAGAGTTTCAGACTCCAATGAACCAAGGTTTAAGGATATTAAGGTAGTACAAAACAATATGACAAGCAAAGAAATCATTCTAACAAGCCGGGATTGACATGTATAAAAGCAAACCAAAAAAAGAATGGACTCGCGGGGAATCGAACCCCGGACCACTCCCATGCTAAGGGAGTATTATACCACTAAACCACAAGCCCAGTTCGATGGAGAGGGCACCAATTTTATGCTACATGAGGGAAAATCAGTTATTAGCGAAAATCATCACCTCGTTCATTCGCGCTAAACTGAGACATCTACAGATATATTTGAACATCAAATGTTACACCCGATATGATCTTGGATCCCATTCGAATAAAGGCGTGATTGTTACCTAAAGTAAAATCGACAAGGCTGTAAAAGCACAGCTGATCTACGATAGTAAATATCCTCCTTGAATACTTCAGGTTTTATCCGTATTTCAGACATTGATAAACATATCTTCTGATGGCAATGAGACAATGCCATACAGATAGCAGGCGAACCATAGTAGAATGTATTACAAGACCGGCATACACTCTCAGTGAAGCACTGCCCATTCTACATTGACAAGAATTCCAAGATCATATGATTGATTCAGACATAAGTAAAAAAATACACATAAGACAACGAAAGATAGACACTTTTTCCATGCAGGGATACACATTCCTCGCGATCATCTAAACCCCACTATGTGAAGTGGGAGAGTGAGCGGAAAAAAAAGACAGCAATGGATATCACGGAATCATGCAATTAAACCGGTACCCTCAAACACCCCGGTGAAAAAAATGGACGGGACATGTCGAGAAATTTACTTGATCTCGAGGAGCTTGACATCAAAGATGAGCTTGGAGTTGGCGGGGATGCCGGGGAGAGCCTTCTTGCCGTATGCGAGGGAGGGAGGGATGGAGATACGACGCTCACCACCGACAGCCATGCCGGCGACACCAATGTCCCAACCCTTGATAACCTCACCCTTACCGAGCTTGAAGGTGAATGGCTTGCCCTTCTTGTTGGAATCGAAGACCTTGCCGTCCTCGAGCTTGCCGATGTAGCGCATGGCGACAACGTTGCCGCTCTTGGCAGCAACACCCTTTCCGAGCTTCTTGTCGTCCATCTTGACACCGCGGACCTCCTTCACGCCGAGGGAGCCGGTGGGCTTGTCACCGGAGGGGGTAGGACCCTGCTCGAGGTTCTTGGCGAACTGGACCTTCTTGTCGGTCTTGGCCTCCTTCTTGGCCTCGGGCTCAACAGCAGCGGCGTCACCGTTGTTCTTCTTGAGCTTCTTCTGCTGGGCCTTGGTAAGGGTAGGCTCCTCAGCCTTGGTGGACTTGGCCTTGTTAGCCTTGGCCATCAGGTCATCAAGGCTAACCTCCTCCTCGGCAGCGCGCTTGTTCTTGCCCTTCTTGGCCTCAACAAGCTTGGGTGCCTCAGCCTCCTCCTCGCTGTCGACCTCAGTGACTCTGGGGTCGTCCATCTCATCAAGGTCGTCGCTCTCATCATCATCCTGCATGGCCATGATCTCATCCATGTCGAGTTCATCCTCATCGGGGGAGAGGTCATAGTCGTCCTCATCATCCTCATCATCGTGGTCGTGGTCGTGGTCGTGACCCTCATCGAGACCAATGACATAGTTACCGGTCAGGAAGACAGTGTGGTTACCAGTGACCTTGAAGTAGACGGGCTCACCCTCGCAGACGGTGATATCAAGAGTCTGCTGGCAGTTCTGTAAAGGGAGTTAGTTATCGGCATTCAATTAACAAGGCCGGTACGAAGAATGCCAAACTTACCTGGGTGGGGCTGAGAGTACAGATAACGTTCTCGTCGAGCTCAAGACCCTCCTCGGATTCATCATCCTCATCGTCGAGGGCGGGACCCTTGCCCTTGATCAGCTTGGAGATGGCGGCCTTCAGGTCGAAGCCCTCATCATCACCCTCATCGGAGTCCTCCTCCATGGCATCCTCGAGGTCCTTCATGGCGGCAGCCTCCTTCAGCTTGCGGGCCTTCTCCTTATCGCTGGGGCCACCGTTGGTCTCCTCCTCCTCATCAGAGTCCTCCTCCTCGTCTTCATCACTGTAGTCCTCATCATCGGAGTCCTCCTCATCGAGGTCAAGACCGGGAGGAGCGCGAACAATCTTCAGAGTGGCACGGGCAGGCTTGCTCGAGTCGGCGTCATCTTCGTACTCGGGGGCCTCATCGGGATCAATGGCAGCCATGCTGATGCGGAACTGGAATCAAAGTCAATAAGGACCATTACTCTCATCGTTTTTCATCCAAACTCACCGAAGCAGCAGCATTGGGGACTGCGGCAACCATGGCACCGGGAGGAACCCGAAGTGCATAAACTGCGACGGGCTGAACGGCAGACATTTTGTGAGGAATCGAGATAAAAACAATATATCTAGAATGAATGAAAAGATCAAACGAAAAAAGAACTGAACCACGAGTGACAATAAAGTGTGGATGAAGGAGGAAGGGAAGAGAGCAAGATCGGCAGATAGCTATACATTTTTTTTTCCCTCCAATTTCTTTGCCTTGACAGTCTCGGCAGCCAATGGGGTCAGTGAAGGCCCACCGCCCATAAACTGCCACGCTTGGCCGCTGGCTGCACCGCCTTGACCCACGTGACTTCTGCCATGACGCGTGATTGCCATTTCGCCGCCATCGCCTCCGTACAGTCTCATCACCTATATACTGGTTGGCCATGGTGGTTGTTGTGGCCCAAAATGGGCTCCCGCCATGAGATAAATTCAAGCGCGGTGCGCAAACGGATTGAAAATCGTATGTTTCACTGTCAAGATTCCATCTGCTCTTGTCTGACCGCCTCCAGATGACTTCAATAACGAAGCCGGTGAGGAGTATGAAGCCTCCAGTTTTGGCGGGTTTGGGGACTATATGCGGCGGAAGAAGATGAAACTGCAGAACCTTGATGCAGAAATCAGAGCCTCCGCTGGTGACTGCCCGCCGATATTTCGTGGCGTAGTTGCCCATGTGAATGGATATACACAGCCTTCGCTTCAAGATCTCCATCGCTTGATTGTTAGCCACGGGGGTGGTTTTCTCCAATATCTGGACGGCAAAACTGTGGCAACGCATGTCATTGCTAGTGCTCTTACACCCAAAAAGTGTGAGGAGTTCCGTCGATATCGCATAGTGAAACCCGCATGGGTGACCGACAGTATAAAGGCTGGTCGCCTACTCCCGTGGGATGGCTATAGAGTAGTAGACGAAGGTCAGGCACAAAAAGTGCTCAAGTTCGGTGATGGCCGATTCACAAGCCAGACAAACAGCCCTCGCACTGGCTATAAAGAGCAATCAAAGACCAGCTGGTATAACTCCCAATTGAGAGAGGGGGTAACAGGTGGTCAAGGTGACTTTGGATCGCCATCAAAACCTTTGGCACCATCTGCACCACCACAAACATCACAGATACCAATACCAACCATACCGAGCCAACCATCTCAGTCAGATTATGGTGATTTCCCTAGCTTCGTGATGGAGGACGAAGCGAGAGAACACCCCACCCCTCAATTTCAACAAAGTACACCAGTCAGTGGCCAAGCTGTACAAGGCCCGGAGCAAACGCCGCATCCCAACAAGGAGGGTACTGCACCAGAACCACTATCTGATGCCACCTCACTTCTTCAGACAAGTCCTAAGAAACCCGACCTAACCCCTGAAGAGTACAATGCTCAGCTTCTTTCTGACCCACGGATGCAAAAGTCCAGTGTTTGTAATCCTGATTTTCTGCAGCAGTATTACAGAGAGTCCCGTCTACATCATCTTTCTACCTGGAAGGCGGAATTGAAGGCTCAACTTCAGGCAGCAACAAAGGAAAAATCGCTGTCCCAGACATCACAAAAGAAGCCGCTACCAGGTGCAAGGAGATACATCTTGCATGTAGATTTCGACTCATTTTTCGCAGCCGTGTCCCTTCTCAAGCACCCCGAACTGCGAGACAAACCAGTTGCCATTGCTCATGGCTCTGGTTCAGGCTCTGAAATCGCCAGCTGCAACTACCCTGCACGTGCAAAAGGTGTTAGAAATGGAATGTGGATGAAGGGTGCATTGCAAGCGTGTCCCGATCTCAAAGTCCTTCCTTATGATTTCCCTGCCTATGAAGATGCCAGTCGCAAGTTCTACAGCTCAATACTTGCCATTGATGGTGTTGTGCAAAGCGTCAGTATTGACGAGGCGTTGATCGATGTCAGCAACTTGTGTATAGACGCCGGTGGCTCAAATGGCAAGGCTATTTCAGAAGGTTCGGTTGATCGTGAGCAAGCCAAAGCAGATGAAGTAGCTCAAGTTCTACGGGATTCGATAAAAGAGAAGACCGGATGCGCAGTCTCCGTTGGGATTGGAAGTAACATCCTGCTTGCAAAAGTGGCACTAAGAAAGGCCAAACCTGCTGGCCAATTCCAGTTGAAGCCGGAAGCTGTCTTGGACTACATTGGAAATCTCATCGTTCAAGATCTCCCCGGATTTGGATATAATATGGGGACGAAGATGGAAGGACTTGGGGTAAAATATGTGAGAGATATCAGGGATCTCACCAAAGAGAGGCTGATCTCTGCGCTGGGACCCAAAAATGGCATTAAGATGTGGGAATACGCTCGTGGAATCGATCGAACAGAAGTCGGCGACCTAGTCGCGAGGAAGTCGGTTTCAGCCGAGGTCAACTGGGGCATTCGATTTGTCAATCAGGACCAAGCGGATGACTTCGTGAAATCTTTGTGCGAGGAGCTGAATCGCAGACTGATGGAAAACCTGGTGAAGGGCAAGCAGCTCACACTAAAGGTTATGCGACGATCGTTGGATGCACCGCTGGAGCCAGTCAAGCATCTAGGGCATGGGAAGTGTGATACCTTCAACAAAAGCGTTGCTCTTGGCATTGCGACCAATGCAGCAGACGTCATTGGCAAGGAAGCGATATCAATGTTGAGGAGCTTCAATTTTTCACCTGGAGATTTGAGAGGGCTGGGGGTACAAATGACCAAGCTTGAACCGGTCAAGACTGGCCCTTCAGGCCTGGAAAGTAGCCAACAGCAACTCAACTTTCACAGATCTCCACGCCGAAAGAAGACCATGGCAGGTACTGATCCTGACGAACTTGAAAGTCCAAGCAAAGACAATTCCGTCCGCATTCAAGCGGACCCAGTACTCAGCGATAGTGCCCACAAGCCTCTTAACATATCGGGGTCTCAGTTCATCATGCCCACTCAAGCAGACCCTAAAGTCGTCTCCGAGCTGCCAATGGATATCAGGTCCAGGCTTGTAGCCCAAGCAAAACCTCGACAAGACTCCCGCTCTGGGTCTCCGTGTCCTCCCCCACGTGAAATCGGACAATCTGCCCAAGCAGATCTTCCTCCCCAGTCTCAACTGGATCCCGATGCCCTAGCAGCATTGCCTGAAGATGTTCGTAACGAAGTCTTGGGATACTACAACCACTCTTCAGCTGTCGGCACACCTCCACCGCCACCCGCAGTTCCTGTCCAACAACCACCAACCGCCCCCTCTCTCAAGTTGAGAAGACCGGTTTCACCACCTAAGAAGAGACGTGGCCGTCCCCCAAAGAGCGCGTCGCTGGGAAACAAATCTAAGCCTCTTACTCAATCGAGTTTTGTCCTCCCACGTCCAGGGGCTACAGCCGTATCTACAAATCTCGAGGAAGACACCTTTTCAAGACAGGCATCACCAAGCGTCGAAGAATCAATAGAGCCTTCTGCTGAGTTCCTCGCGGCTTTACCCGAAGACATTAGACAAGAAGTGCTCGAGGAACAAAAGCGTACTCGCATGCTACAGCGTCCGCCACCCATTGCACCACTACAAAGACCTCCATCCTCAGGCCAAGGACAGACTGCCTCCTCTGCACCAGCCCCAGTAGAGAAACGTCTCTCTCTCCCCCCTCTCCCCAAACGACCTGTATTCACATCGCAGCGCCTCTCACAATTGCCGGATCTGCGGGATGCCGTCGGCTCATGGCACCAGGCATTTGCAGCTGGTGGCCCATATAGCGAAGATGTCACATCATTATGTACATATCTCAGCAGCGTGACTTTGAAAGAGAAAGACCTGGACAAAGCTGTTTCGGTGGTGCGCTGGCTGATGTGGCTAGTCGATGAACACTTGCGAGAGCAGAGATCGGAAGAGCCGCATGGATACCGGCCCGAGGGAACTGTCACTTGGGAAAAGGCTATCCTGACGATGCAGAACAGTGTTCAAGAAGCTCTAGAACAGAGAGGATTGCCTCCTGTGGACTTCGAGTAAATACAAATTTGCGAATATCAACGAAGCACTTTTTACCTCTAGCCAAGAAGAGTTGCCATCACATTATGCTTGCCAATTTTCAGTCTAACATCACTCTGGAAGTCCTTTCTGCGAATCAAGAGACTTCTATTTTCACTCACCTTTATACCTATATACCGAAAACTATCTAATCTAAAACTACCTAGCCCAATGCTAGTCTCGACATCTTCTATAAGTCTCGTCCTGGGAAAACCAGAACGAGCCTGTGACAATTTGGCCACCGCCTTTTCCCTCCACCCACGGATGCACCCTCTTGGACTCAAAAGTTGCACTCGTGATATCTTTGCATGTCAGGCTTGCGAGCCAGCCTGTTGCTGGAAGGCGTCTCTCTGCTGCTGCCGACCCATGCGACGGAAAAAGACACGCTTTCCCCATTTCCAGGTTTCGACGCCGAGGAAAAACAGGAGCGTCTCAACAATAACGATAGCCCATTCCCAAGTGATTCCCGTGTGCTTGAATACCACGTCGTTGATAACGGGGATGTAAAGGATGGGAACCACAGTAATAAAGCCAGCGAGAATAGACCAGAAGAGGAACTGATTGCGCCAGACATCATGCGCCCACTGCGTGAAATACTTCTTCGATTTGGGCTGCATGCGGAAGAAAGACCGGCGCATATTCACCATTTCCCAGGCCAAGAACAGGGCAAACCATGTCAAGCAGACAAAAGTGGTTGCGCGTGCCTTGAAGACCAGCTCACACTCTTTGGAATACTCGCGATTGCAACCGCGTCCTAGGTTGCCGTCTCCGAATCCCCACATCACCAAGGAGAAGGACGAAAGACACAGAGCTGAGGTCCACAGGCCATATGCGAGAATATCGATCACGACCTCCCATGTGAAGATACCTTGCTTCTACTCAGTTGTTAGCATTCACCGTTCTAATATAAGAGTTCCTTAAGTTCTTACCGAGTGAGGCGGCCGATCCATGATATCAGGAGCAGCAACTTCCATACCAAGTCCCATGTCAGGCATACCGGAAGTGATCATGATCACCCAGATAATTTCAACTGGTGACAACGGGAAGACTGATTGACCATCCAAATCTTTGAAGGCAAGTCCGATCAAAAGGGTACAAGCCTGAGCGATGTTCTCCGACAACAAGTGAAGTACAAACTTTTGAATGTTATCAAAGATTCGTCGACCTTCTTCGACAGCATTCAAGATCGAAGCGAAATTATCATCGGTGAGGATGATATCAGAGACATCCTTAGCCACATCCGAGCCTGCCTTTCCCATAGCGATGCCAACGTCGGAGTGTTTCAGAGAAGGAGAATCGTTCACTCCATCGCCGGTCATGGCAACCGAGGCACCTCGTCTATGAAGTGCATCAATCATACGGACCTTGGTCTGGGGAGCACAGCGCGCGATGACCCGAGGTAGGATAGGCAATGCATCGACCTCTTCATCAGTCATTTTATCAAATTCGCTTGCAGTGATAACCATGGCTTTCTCGACTTCGGCAGAGACTTCGTTCAAGTTGGCTGGAATGATACCAACCAGCTGGGCGATGGCCTTGGCTGTTGCCGGGTGATCTCCAGTTACCATGTGTACCGATATACCAGCGCGATAGCAGGCAGCAACAGCACCAGCAGTTTCAGGTCGAGGCGGGTCATAGATTCCTACTAAGCCCAGGAACTGGAGGTTCTTCTCCACTTCGTCACGTTCGTAGTCCATGTCTTCCAAGACTCGAGTGGCTGGATCGAATGGTCTCTGAGCGAGGGCAAGAACACGGAGACCCAGGCTAGCTAGTTCATCCATGTTGCGAAGAATAGTCTGACGATGATCATCCGTCAAAGCAACCGGAGCGAAGCCCTTCTCCCAAACGATGGTGGTAGAAGCGTCCAAGATACGTTCAACTGCTCCTTTGCTGAAAACCATGGTTTTCTCTTCGCCATTTGCGAGAGTGCTATAAAGGACAGACATCTTCTTGACGGTGGAATCAAACGGAAACTCGGCTTTCTGGTGCCAAGTAGGCTTGGAGCCCTTAGTCCAGCGATCACGGTTCCAGTCAAAGCGCGAAGCAAAGACCTCAATTGCAATCTCGGTGGGTTCGCCGCGGGCATGCCATTCGTTTTCTTCGGACAGATAAACGTGTGCCAAGTTCGCCATCGAAGCGACATTAAGGAAATCTTCGAGCTCAGAACACAGGAGCTCCTGGCAATCATGAGGACCTCCATCCTTTTCTGCGTCATAACTTTCGGGAGCCGCTGAGCTAAAGGTCACATCACCTAATGTCGGATTGAATGGCTCGTTGGACGATCCAACAGAGTAGGTTCCGAGAGCAGGGACCCACGACTTGCGTACGACCATCTTTCCCTGCGTCAAAGTGCCAGTTTTGTCGGAGCAAATGTTGGTCACAGAGCCCAGAGCCTCGAGGGAATCGAGTTTGCGAACAATAACATGCCTCTCGACCATACGCTTGCTTCCAACAGCCATGGTAATTGTCAAGACGACAACCAGACAGGCAGGAATCATACTGAGTCCAGTTCCAACAGCATAAAGGATGACTTCGCTCTGTGAGCTCCAAAGATTGGCACTCATAACGACGATAGCAAAAAGAACCGCAACACCAAAGAGAATGATAGCCAGCTTAGACAGCTTGCGCTGCAAAGAGGTTCCGACATTCACGCCTAGGAATCTTCCAACAGCATCGGTGCCGGTGAGGGTCCATGCTTGTAGATACCAGCGCTTCTTGGTCTCGCCATCTGGGCCGCGTTTGACCTTGCGACGTTTTGAATCACTTTCACGGAGAGCTGCAGCAATTGAGCCGATTTCCGTGCCCATACCGGTTTTGACGACGACTCCGCGAGCGCGGCCACGAGTGACCGTGCTTGAGCTGTATGCGATGTTTAGGCGATCTCCAGGGCCAGTATCTTCTTTGAAGATAGAGTCAACCTCCTTTTGGACTGGGAGGGATTCACCGGTGAGAAGGGCTTCGTCCGTTTCAAAGTTTACTGCTTCAACCAGTCTGGAAATGGTTAATACTGGGGCATTGGAGTGGCCAATGAAGCCAAGTAACGATCAAGGCTCACCTCAGGTCTGCAGGAACGGTATCTCCAGTCTTCAGCTCCACCATGTCACCAGGGACAATATCCATAGAAGGCACCGAAAAAGTTTGACCATTTCGGGACACGACACCGGTGGGGGAACTCAAAGAATGAAGCGACTCCATGGTTTTCTCCGCAGCATATTCCTGGAAGAAACCAACGACAATATTGAGAACGATCACGGCGCAGATAAATCCGCCTTCAATCCATGACTGAATACCGAAACTGACGGCCATTGCCAGGATGAGGACCTAAGTCAAAGAATAAGATCAGATCCGTGTGTTCTTCTGCGGCTAAAAGGAGATGGTAGGCTTAACTAGCATCATTGCATTGGCGACCTGTGCAACGAGAATCTTGAGTATCGAAATACCCTCGCCATCTTCCAACTTGTTGGGGCCATATTGCTGCAAGCGACGTGCTGCTTCATCGTTGCTGAGACCTTCATCGATTTTGCTGCCTAGCTCCTCTACGACGAGGTCATAAGGAAGCGAATGGGCTGGCTTAGAGAGCAATTCATTGACTTCAGGCCCGGAGGCGCCAGAGGCAACTTTTTCACCCATTGTCACGGATAGTTTCACAGCTCAGAAAGTTGAAAATTCCGGGGATCCAAGATAGCTTTATAAATCAAACTCGAGTCGAAGTGGTCCGTAAAAGTCCGTGGCCAAGGTCTTACCGAATCTTGCCAAGTCTGGCCAAGGCTTGCCGAACAGGGCGTTACGAGATTTTGGCGAAGATAGCAAACTGCTTGGGCCAGTGTTGCATAAGTGGGGAATGAGGAGGGCCGTGTATATGCGCTGGCAAGAGAGAATCGTCGGGTTAGTTGCAATTGAATGCTGCCGTAGACCCAGTCACTGCCATTCCAGCGTCGATGCCTTCCCTTTCCTGATTATTGGCATCCTTCAAGGTCCTACCAACCAATTACTTTGCATTGTCACTTCCAGGCGAGCCCTATGGTGGCAAGGAAGTTTAACACAATGCGCTAAAGAATTAGCGTTAGTTCGGCCATGGAAAGCCGCGTCCGGCCATTTTGTCGAAGCAATTCTTCAAGACTCTTTCTCTTTGTCGAGAGAGTTGATCAAGTTTATTGAATGGAATCATTCCAAAGACATACAGTATACAGTTAACTATAGGCAGACCTCCCTCTAGTACGGCTTAAAAAATTGGGCTCTCAGGCCTAATATGTGGCGGGAGTGGCGAAACTCCGCTGCAGGAAAGGGTTGGCAATCCTTGGCGCCAAACTCTTGGCATCCAGGCGGATGAAGCGGAGTGAAGCGCTTTTTACTCAACATGATGTAAACCCCCCTACTTTTGCGGGATGTGAAATCCATCTGCCATAATTATGTTGCGTAAAAGTAATTGATAACCGCCACTACCTTAGCTTTGGTCAATTTCTTGGGTGGTTAAACACGATATGCATATTCATGTGCGGAAACAGAAGGTTTGGTCACGGGATACACACCCATTCACTCATCTACCAATGGACAGAGAGTCAAATGATGAATCATGGATTACCCTTCACGTAATTGCCAAGCGCGTTCCCTGGAATGTTCGTGGTGCCAAGGCCGCATAGGAAGAAGTGCCAAGTTATTCTAGGGCTTGCTGACATGTCCGGTCTTAAACTGTTTGGCTCATGTGACATAGACTACGTAGGTATGAGTCTCTCAGTTAACCGGGGGAGACTGAGTGGAATACAAGTACTCAATTTGTGTGTGCCACGCCCTGTATCTTTCGAACGGAATCCTAGTTGGTTGCTCTACGACGCAAGATGTCTCTTTGGGTCCAAGGTCTCTTACAGCAAACTTTCACATTCCTCCCCTTCACCTCCGAAAGACGATACGAAACCCCCCACGATCCTCAATATAATGGAACAAACCGCTCTCTGATAGCCCAAACTCCCGTCCAATCCGAAGAGAAAGTAGTAACAACTGGACATATACGTGGTCTTCCAATGAGAAGAAAATCCTGTTTTGAAACCCCAAGGCTCAGAATCGAGAACGGGGAACATTCCCACTACCTCAGTCCACCATTGTCGAAAGACCGGCGTTTTGGAAACGACCTAACTGCTAGCTGGAAATCCTTCAAAACTAAAGTAAAAAGTTCCTGCGTGAAACCAACAGTGACAATGCAGTGGGAGCAAGGAATGGTGAGCCGGACCGTCAATATCACAGCTGGGGAGAACAAGGAGATATCTGAAAACCACAAAGAGATAGAAGATGTTGATCACAGCTCCTCTATTGCTATATGTGCATCACAAAAGGACCAAGAAGTGAGCTCAAGCATCCATAAACTTTACGCAATCAAGGCTTTTTCCTCTGGATCAAATCCGATCGACAAAGCTCACCGAAAGCGTATCATCGCTGCATTTGATCTATCGTCTTCTTTGGATCACCAAAATATTGTTCGAACCTTCGACCTACATGAACTCAGCAACGGCAATCTTTGCGAGTCTTTCGAACACTGCTCTGGAGGCGATCTATATTCATTAGTCATCGCAACGCGTCAACTTGCACAGACCGAGGCCAACTGTTTTTTTAAACAGCTCATGCACGGTATCCATTATATCCATAAAATGGGCATTGCTCATTGTGATTTGAAGCCAGAGAACATTCTTCTCAGCTCCAGTGGATGTCTCAAGATTTCCAACATTGGAACCGTTGAATGTTTCCACCTCGGTAGGGAGGAAAAAGCAACCCTGCCGAAGAAGGATCGTTGCCCAAACCCTTACGTTCCACCGGAATGTTATCTCGGCAGCGAATTTGATCCCAAAGCTGTGGACATCTGGGCTGCCGCCATGATTTACATTGCGATGAGAACGGGTAGGATCCCATGGAAGATGGCGAATGACAAGGACGAATGTTTCAGAGATTATATCATAGACCGCATGATTGGAAGAGTATATTTCTTCATCGAGGACATATGCAATGTATATCACTGTTTTCCGTCCATTTTGAGAGGTGTACTAATTCTGCGGTCATAGGTCGCTAGCCGACGAGTCATATATTCAATGCTGGATATTGACTACGCACATCGAGCTCGATCAACTGAAATACTTTGCTCTCAATGGCTTCTGGACATCAAAACCTGTACAGCCGCTGGATCAATGTAGCTAGAGAGTTATATTCACCGATCTGATGAGTGTCATGACTGCGATGACCGAAGCTGCTATGGACGATCGTTGCCGCCATAATTGGCTGCCAAAGACCACGCGATACCGTCTCTGTAATGCGGAAGGAAATCTTTTCAATCTACGATAGTTAAATCAGAATGTTTTAGGGCTTCAATACTGACAGACTTGAAGTAAGTGAGTGAACCTCATGGTAAGCTATATGAGTGAATTTGGTAGACGGGGAAGCTCTATGTATCTACGTAACTAATGTGCAGCCAGTCGTTGGCTGCCGGCTGCTGGCTACCAAGATGAGAATAACACTGACATGGACTCTAGATCACACGACAATATGTGAGAGGGGTGAGTGCAAGTTGATACGAGAAACGAGAGTGAATCAGGGAGCATTTCTCTGGGTGTTGGAGCATTGGAAAGCCTTAGTATACCAGTGGTCCCCATGGATATTACCGCGCACTTTACTATGGACCTCTTCAATACCAAAATAAGCATATTTTCATCCAAAAGCTTTTAACAGGGCTTTACAATGCATCTAAAGCGAAGATTTCTCACAAAAGAGAAGGCGATGTGCCCCCCTCTCAACGCCAAGAAAGGCCAGGATAAAGTACCTTATGCAACCGATAAGCACTAGAATTGGAAGTAGTTGAAAGACTCGGACTTTTCTATGAACAGAATCTCACGCATGGCGGCATTAGGGCCCATCGGCGTGGCCTGGAATAAACTCGAAACCGGGGCACTGCCCTGCGGTAGTATCAATTTAAGAGCCTCACTTGGTTGGCCAAATTTTCCTCGACTATTATGGCAAGTTCTGTGCAGAATCCCCCTTAGCCAATGGTATCATTTTCCATGATGGCTTTGATTGGGCCGCTGGTAATAGCAAGCCCCAACCTCAGCTGCCAAGCATTTTATAGTAGAAGGACCCAAGTCACATACTACAGTTACATGTCTGGCTTTTTTTTTAGGCTGATATTAGGCTCTTCGATAATCTTCAACAGAGCAGGTGCATCGGTCTCGCCGAAAGATCAAGGGAGCCTTAGCCAAGACTTGCATGGCCAGATTCTCCCCCAGAAGGCTGGGATGCATGCGTCTAAGTAATTGGGAGGCTTGAATCATGCAAGTTGGCGGGATTTCGGGCTTCACACTGCAATTTGTGTTCGGCTCGTGGATCTATATAAATAATGCATTTTGCCGGAGTTTTAGATGAAATAATCACGGCCTTCATCCAGGAACTAGCACCCAGATTCAGCTTTCAGATTCCTGCTTGCTGTTCATGATGTTATCCTCCAGATGTTTATTTGTTTTCTTGATTCTAGGGCTTTTGGACCTAGTATCCTCTCGACAGCCACTCATCAATGACCAAGGAAGGTACGTGACCCGTTATGGTTCGAAGCATAGCTCCGTCCATTTTGGCACAGATATTGATCGCCCAATTTTAGATTCACCTTCGTTGACAATGTCAAGACAATTGGCGTTAATGGATCATCTTATCTTAACAGGTCAGGGCTTTTGGATTACGGTCCCAAATTATATGAGCAATGCCTAATCAAGCTATAGGCCCGGACATGAGCTCGTTCGCCGCGAGACTCGCAGCTCATGTCGCGGCAGTTGTAACAAAAAGGCAACTGATCATCTGAGTGTTCTACGCAAGAGATCATGGGAGCCATATCCTGACAAGGAGATCTTTTCCTCGGAAATATGGCATGAATATCACCAAAGTCTCGCGAAGAGAAGGTTTGTAGACATCGAGACAACGCCTGCTCGAATGGACACATACTTGGTGAACCGATTCCGGCGGAATCGTGGCATTATTCGGGTCTTAACAGATCAGACACTAGGAAACTCGGCAGAGTTCCGACCCTTTGTAGTCGACGGCGTTGATACAGCTTTTGAAATGGGCCTTGAGGGTCTCTGCGGCTGCTCCATTGTTGTCGTCGTGTCCAAACAGGCAATCTGGTTTGCTCATATATTGTGCGTGATTTAGGTTTTTAATTTCCCTTGGATTACAGCATACTGACTTTAGAGCCAGCGAGGACAACTCTTTCAGCCCAAGAAAGGAATATGCGGATGGCCTCAGTCCCCAGGAAATGTTTGAGCTCACAGCTTTAAATTTCTTAGACACTGGCATAGACGCGATATTTGGCGTGCAATTCCAGAGCTTGAAAGGCGTTAGGAACCTTTTCCCAGTTGGAGATGGTGTCACTTCCGCTTTCATTGTGACACCCCAGAAGGAATTGGATGACGCCGTCGAGGGTGGGACTGGCGCTGATACTAACGTTTATTACACCGAGGGTTTGATGTATGATTGGGCTGTTGTGCAGCTGGTGGCCAAGATTAAATCTCTGATACCAGATATTCCAGTCACTGTACGCCAATACCAGGCCCTGAACTCGGATGCTCCCGATGCAGATGAGGCGTTTAATACAAGGAGAGGGAAACATCTTTTTCAATATGACCCTCAGGCCAGACAAGGACAGAAAGGTGTACGGCTATATTTAGAGGGTGACCGCGCGTTGAACGAGTTTTGGGCTCCTGAAGAGAGATCCCTTTCTGAACCAGAGAGCCAATCTACAACACAGCTCTCATGTGCAGGACAATCCTACGACCGTAATCAGGTAAAGTGTTGTTTTTCTTTGTCTTCTAAGTGGGGTCACTGACGAAGTTGAATAGTATACCTGCTACAGCGATCTACTGTGTCCTGTTCTGGATGGCATTCGAACGTTGCGTTGTGCAGCTCAATGCTACCTCGAGTCCATGTATACATGCTATGATGAGCAGAAGCTTTGTCCTGTTATAAATGGCGATCCTACGCTCGCATGTGGAAGTGACTGCTATCTTCCATCGGAGTATAGGTAAAATATGGACTTTGACATTTGAGGCATAACTTACTGACTTGGAAAAGCTGCGATGCATCAAAATTGGTCCAAATACCTCACGACAATAATCCCGACCAGTCAGCTAGCGGCACAGCCACCAATTCAAATGGTGATATCAGCTCGTCTCCTAGCAGCACGCGCACGGATTCAATCACTGGAGTAACGACCACCTCGAGTGGTGGTTCAAGCAGGGCCCCGGCGGGCCAAGCAGAAGTCGTTTTTGGCGGGACGACATATACAATTGGCACAAAGACAACCACCATTGTTCAAGATGGACACACAGTCATTCTTGGCCCCAATGGTCTCATAATTGGAACGGATACTATCACTATTCCGTTGCCGCAGACCGAACCGGTTGCTCTCACTACCGATGGCATCACTATAACGTTCCTCCCAGGTGCCTCTTCTTCGTCCGCAGCTCATACTGGCTCGTCGAGCTTGGGACCCTCAAGCAATATGGTGACAACAACTGGAATAGCCCCAGGACCAACTCCCACCACGGTATTGCCCAGCTCAACAGGAAATCCAACCTTGATCCCCCCAATCCCAGCTGCTACCAGCACAGTATTTACTCTCACGGCCTCGGACGGGTTGAGTACGGTTGAAATTACTTACACGCCAACGACGCTCACTAAATTTACTAAATTTACCGGTACAACAACAATAAATACGGACATTGATGGTGTGCCTACGCCCATCGTGGTTGGGCCTGGAGGCCTCATCTGGCAACCTGTCATTACCAGCGCAAGCATAACTGGTTTCCCTTCAATTCCAGTGCCTACTATTCCACCGGCCCCTGATAGTTCCGCTGCTACAAGGACTGTATTGACTATAACGGCCTCGGACGGGCTGAGTACAGTGGAGATTACTTACACGCCTACGACGCTCACTCAATATACTACAGTTAGCGGCACAACAACAGTCACGACAGAGATTGATGGCGTGTCCGTATCCGTTGTCGTTGGTCCAGGAGGCCTAATTTGGGAGCCAGTCACCACCAGCACAAGCATGACTGGCTTCCCTCCGATCCCAGCGCCTACTGTTCCGCCTGCTCCTCAAAGCTCAAGTGTACTTCCACCCCAGACAATCACTTCACCTTCAGGTAATCCATTCCCGTCGTCCCAGTTCCCTCTTCCACCAATTGTTACTACAGTCGTCACCTCTGATAGTCCGGATGGTCCAGTAGCCACAACAATAACAGGCACCACAGATTCAAGTGGTGTTGTCGTGCCTATAACAACGCTTTCGACGGCTGCCGCTGTCAGCTCTGCCAAGTTGTTGGTCTCGAAGCTCAGCAGTGTCTCTGATGCTGTAGTCGCATTTTCCTCTAGCCCCGCGGATTCTTCAAAGGCCAGCTCCGCTACCGCCGTGGTCAAGGATGCCCAGTCAGGTCAGTGTTTACCTACATTGCTGGCATATCGACTAACGAACTCCTACAGGCACAAGTGGCTTTGGCCATGGCTTAGGTTTCTCCCTTCCTGGCCTTTGCTTGATATTCTGTCATGATGTCAGCAGTGCTGGGTCTATTCTTGATGCAATTGGAAACACCCTGTCGGGCATTCTGGATGGTACAGCAAGTCTTGGCTCATTAACCGGACTCCTGAGTGATATGTCTACCGTTGCAAGTGAGTTAGCAGATGACGCCAAAGGGGCAGAAGCAAGTGACAGCTCCAGCTCTACCTCCAATCCCCAGCCTAGCATCACGTCAGCTCCTTGCAGTACCGGAACTCCTATTACAAACTGCGAGGTATTTTGTGCGACAGGTACTACATCGGAAAATGTTCCGACGACGTCCTGTTTTTCGACAACTTGTAGCGTTGAAACCATTTGCGGCGCGGATGCTTCAACCTCAACCTCTTTTAAACCACACTACTGTCCATTGGTTTGGCCCACTGGCGGAGGGATCTCTATTTACTCATACCCTGGGTATACATATGTCCCGGTGTCCCCCGATCCCACAGATTTGCCCCAGGCAGATGAGAATGGTGATCCAATCATCAGCACAGTTGAGCCCACGACTACAGAGCCTCCCTCTACAGCAAGCCCAACCTCATCATCTACAGAGACACCTTTTTCTACCACTGAAACACTGCCCGCCACCACGGAGGCTTCTACAACCACCGAAGTCCCCTCAGCAACTACAACGGAGTCTCCAACCTCGACGACAGATGCACCGGCCGATATGGTGACCGGTTGCAATCACATAAAGAGAAACGTACCCGAAGACCCAGAGACCTGCAGCGAGTTTGTTGAAAGCTTCGATGTGACAGTATCGAAGCTGATGGAGTTTAATCCTATCCTGAGGTCAAGCAATGGTAACTGTGACTTCACGGCGGCATGGGCAAAAGGTTTAAGGACTTTCTGCCTTGGGGTCCGATCAACAACAACAACAACCACTACTGCAAATCCCGGGCCCACGGCTGTGACTAAATGTGACACTTTTAAGGATTGCCCTAGGTGCCAGGATGGATATTATCGTTGTTGTCTCTCTGGATGTCATGGAATGCTTGTTCCTGGGTCAAATACCTGTGGGTGTATTAAGGATGGTGAGACCTTGGGTGCTTCCTGTGGATGTAAGTGAGTGTGGAGAGAGCATTGAGTGTTATTTTGAGTACCTTTGAGGAGGGATAAGTGTATCATTCTTGTTACAGAAGTTTGTGAACGTTTGACTACTTTGAAGATTTATACATCACCGCACCCAAAGTTGCTAAAATGAGACCATGAAAGCGATGACCAATTAGAATAATCAAATTTCTCTTCTTATCATTTATTAAAAGATAGAGATACATCCGTTGAGAACGTCCGTAGGTTTTCTAAAAACCGTAAATGGCAATGGAAGTTTTTTAACTCCCAGTCTGTGCTATGTCGATTATGAAGAATTTTCTAGAAATCGATCGTAAAACCTTGTAAGTACTCCTCTACCTTTGTAATTCTTACTAATATACACCTCAAAACCGCTCTCTATATTGAGTGTATATGGAGCGCAAACTGGAAGTCTACCTAGGTTCAGCCACTGACACTGTCTCAACAACAATTTTGACACCAGACACCAGCGTAAAAAGGACCGTTTAGCTTGCAGCAAGTCATTAGAGATGACAAATCAGTCACACCCAACATGACTTAGGCCCAGGCACCGACAATGGACATGCAGAAAGCACCCAAGAAGACCAAAAGACAGGCATAAACCCGTCTCCTTCCACGAAGGATGCGCCAGCTCTCGTCACTGAGAAAGTCTTCGGACATTAACTCCACGAGCGAGGCAAAGATCAAAAGTCCAGCGGAAATCGCATTCATAATGCCAACAACGAGCAAACCGATTTCTGAGTCCGGACTGTACAGTCTGTGGGTTGCAAGACCAATCGCTTGTCCAATTGGCGTTCTATATATGTGTTAGTTCTTTGATTTCTGGATGACCACATGCGTAAACAAGAGACATACGTGCAACCATATGCAAGTGACATAAACCAGGGCTGAAGTTGCCTTTCAGACCAGGGAAGGGAGGCAATTCGGGATCCTAACGCTAGGCCTTCGAAAGTTTCTGCAGATTGTTTAGTTCATTCACAAAGAGGTAGGAGTATGAACAACTTACGATGGAATACGATGGCGATCAATAGAATCACAAACTCATTCCCAATTGACACACTGAGCGACATGCCAATGAAGACACTGTGAAACAGAATGCCCATTTCAAGAAGATAAACCTGCATCGTCTCTTTCTTCTGTTTCTGCTCCGGAGTAAGAACATGATGATCTTCATCTCGCTCTACATCCGGCTGAATTGCTCCATTTCCTTTCTCGTGATGGGTTTGAACCTCAGGCGCAGATGATACTCTGACGATTTCTCCATTTTCATTGCCCATGCGATTGATAGCTCGGCTTATGCTTGATGATCTTCCAACAAGCGGACCCATATCACGTACATGGGGCCGGCAATCTAGCGTAGCAGAGTGCGAGCTCTGCGCTCTAGGCTCGACCGAGGTAGGATCATCGAGTTTCGCTGGAACATCTCTGTCGGGACAGGGCGAGGATGAAGTCTGCGGCGAGCCGTGTTTGCCCGCACGACAAATACTCTGAGCTGGACTAAATACCATCTCAATGACCGTGATAAAGAAAACACCGGCCAGTGCAATAGCACCAGGCATGGCTGGGTAGTCACTTGTCCAGAAACTGGATAAACATGGGTCATTTAACGATCCGAACGCAGTAGGAAGCAGATGTACGAATGCAGTGGCGATCAAAACGCCAGTTCCAAAATGACTAACAAAAAAGAGAAACGAAGCTGGGATATGAAGTCGCGGGAATCGAGTTGCCAGAATTGGAAATGCACATGCAATAGTCGATGTCCCTAGGATGATGAACAGCGCTGCAACGTGCAGCGGTAGATCGTATGCAGCTCCGCGAACACCACCGGTGGCGCAACTTGACCGCTTGGCTGGCTCTGGGTCTTGCTGTTCAACAGGAAAAGGTGCTTCGAGAACGATAGGTGGTTTCGAAATGAAGTACTTGCTTAGGCTGTCGTAGGAAATCAGGGCAGAGACACACAGGACTGAGAGCACCCACCGCGTCCAGTCCTTAAATGATTGATACGACGAGGAAGTCTTGTTTGGATGTAGTTCTCTGCAACCAATCCTAAGATTGGTCTTTTGGGGAGCGAGGGGTCCTATTTATTTAGTCAGTGATGCAATCATCATGAGGCGAATATGACATCCATACCGGTGGACGCCTCGCGCCCCCCATGGAGACGTTTCCCCGGATCTGATGTTTCAAGCGGATGAACATAAGCCCAATTCGAAAGGCCCTGAAGCAACGCCAGTCCATTTTCATCATCCTTGTTCTCACGGGCGTTGGAAATACCAATAAGATCTTGGCGGGTCGTCAAGTCAGGAGCGAAACGCGGCGGGTTCTGATTCCACTCATCATGCAGGAGAGTATCGTCGGTCCGGGAGGGGCAATTCATGATGCCAAGGCGTTTTAGCGTGGCAGCTTATATAGAGATTCTGACAGAAAGGTTACAGGGGAGAGGATTACAGTATCTGCGAGCTACAATTTAAGAATAATCCACAAGGCAACATCGATTCGAGGGCTTGGCATTTGGTGGACTCCGGCCCGACTTCTTGGCAGTGGACCCTCAACTGTCTCAGTGATTCGCTCAAGCGAGCATCGGGCCGATTTTCGCCTATCTAGATTCCTTACACATGGGGCCGTGAAAATACTGGGGCAATGGAAGCTCGTGATGTTTATTCGTGGTATCCGTTCATTATCATTTAGCCCAGGGAGCCTTTGTGTGCACTTCGGCGTCTCCCCTCTGTGACGGTGGAGGCTGTGAAGATGTCCATGGGGCTCTGGTCGGCGCCGTAGGGCCTGGGGGTACCCTTGAAGTGTCTGAGATGGCAGAAGGGATTCTTGTTGCACCGCCAGGTATACCTTCCTTTCTTGCGGTGCCCCATGGAGCTGCTGTTCCACCCGTTGGCGGCACGGCCTGCGTGCCCGCCGCTGAATTGGCCCAGGGAGCCTGGGTACCAGCTCCAGGCGTAGGGCGGGGAGTGGCAATGGAGGCATGACCGAGGTCTGGCGCGACGGGCCTCGCCTGAGGCCCAGATGTTGCGTGAGCCGTAGAAGGAGGAGGGGTGGCATTAGGATCGTAATCCCAGCTAAACAGACTTCCAAAGGGGAAATGCTGAACCACTGGGAATTTGGAAAGAACTTCTGCGTTGTACATTTTGACCATTCCCTAGAGACTTCATGTTAGGGCCAACGCTTTCCACGGACATCAAGAAACACAAACCTTGTTGATCTTGCCCCAGCCAGTTTGAATTCCCGAGATATCATAGAGAATGCGACTGTGTTCCCAGAAAGGGCCCTTCTTCACATCGTAGATAAAACCGATTGCGGAGAAGTACAGATTAGTTTCTCGTTCTTTTTCAACGATATTTGCCTTGACAACTCCGCCTGGATCAGGGGAACCTGGCAGAGAGCCCTCCTCTGGTGTCAAATCAGAGTCGGTGATTGCGGGCGAATACTGAGCAGACCCAAATATGTAAGGGACAAAGGAGTGATCATCCAGCCCCCAGACTCCGTGGGAACCTGCGGGCTCAAGAGTGTATGTTTTAATGAGTTTCCTGACCAGGTCCAGATATCTAGGCAAAAGTTATTAAACAATGAAGCATGTTGTATGTGGTAGAACCATTGGCGGACGCACGGCTGAATGACCCCGATAACAATAGCTCGTTCTTCCACGCCAGGCTCGGCCTTGGGGAATGCATTCAACTTCCACAATCCACCCAGGAAAGCGAGGAAGCTCAATTCATGACCAGTACCGTAGTCTAGACGCTGTCCACTGCCCCAGCTGCCCACGAGGTATGCTTTCAATTCTTCTCCTGCGGTCACACCGTGCCCGTCTGGTGACACTTTCTGTAAGAGCTCTGCGGGTAAGCATTCTTTTAACAAGTCTGACGCGCGGCTCTCCACCACCTCGCACCATCTTCGAAAGCTTATATTTCCAAATCTTCGTGGGCCAGTATCGGGCGGGACCTCCTGGATGATATCTTCGAGGCTCAAGAGAAGTCGCTGCAATTGTCGGATAGGAGCGGAGAATTGAATCGCATCACTGTTGATGACCCAGGATTGGGATGTGCCATCGCCTAACTTCAAAGGGAACATCGATCGGTTGAGTTGTAACAGCCAAGTCATGATATCAGTATAGGCTTTTGAGGTGAGGAAGGCCGACACATCTTGCGAGTCGTGGATCTTCTTGGTCGGGGCAGTGAAGACATGCGGTGCAGAGGGGTCCAAAGTGGACAGCACACGAATAGGTGGGCCACTTTTAGCCATGATAGTTGGGGATGTGAAGAGAGAAAGTTGGAGGGGCACTCCGCATGCGGGATGATGTTATGGGACTCGGCTCCACACGAGCTTCCTCCCTTGCCTGCTTTTCTCCCACTTCCCACGCGCAAATATGCCCAAGAGAGCCAAACCTCGGTCTACGGATGTCTCTCTGAATTACCTCAACAATGTCAACGCAGAACCCAAGAGACGCCGCACAGTTAATGAACCCAGCATTTACGATTTCCCGACCTCGCCGGAACAGTCTCAAGACACGCGAAAGGCTCGAGACGCCCGTCTCAGCGAGCCAGCGACGCGCTTTAGGAACCTAAGGAATCGCCAGAAGGGCGTTGATCCATCGCAGCAAACCGCGACCCTTCGTAGCCCTTCCAACGAAGAACAAGAGTCACCCAACGATGTGCAGTCCGTGGCCGACGACAATCAGTCTGAAAATATTGATGAATCTACGGGGTCACATGGAACCCAAAACGGGACGGAAAACATTGGCGAACATCAGGCAGACGACAGCGACGAGGGGCAGCCCACTTCACCCGTGCCTGCCATCCATTCCAGTATTGAAGACCTCTTCCTCCCCAAAGGCGCCCAGGAGGAAGGTCAGGAGCCTGGAATTGGCGGGTTTGTATCTATCAATGGCCTGCGGCGCGGAAGTTCTCGCAACTCCCGCTCTCGACCCCATGCTAGCGACCTCTTCCCAGCAAAATTACCCGAGATGGCCGGGGCGCAGAATGACGGAGATGAAAATATTTCGCCTGCCTCTGTGGATGGTTACTCCCATGCAAATCACGGCAGCAGCGAGTCTGTTGAGTTCGATATTAGCGAAGAAATCGTGAAGGAACGGCCGAACAGTGACAAAAATAGTGTGGGGGAGGATGAGGAGGAGGACGACCCAGACGAGGAAAATCCAATCCATCATCCCGTGAACCTCTTTTCGGATGAGGCCGAACCGGAAGCCCAAGATGGACCAGATGAGGATGCTTCCGAAGAATTCCACAGTCCAATACCTGCACGATACTCTGCCAGCCAGTCCCTCGTGGAGGTGCAGGTTCCTATCCGTACGAATGGTTCCTGGAGGGATGGCACACGGAGAAGTCAAGCGGGGACAAATAAATCACTGTCCTCGCAAAATGGATACAGGAATCAGGTACCGGAGACCCCGGCTCAGCCCCGTCGAAGACGAAGAGATCACGCCACTCGCAAGGACGATGCTGCAGATCGGCCAACGGCGTCGTCCAGGAGAAACGAATCCCCAAACCGACGACCTTGCCCTGTTCCGGTCGAGGATCACGAGGTCCGGCTCGGTATTTTTTCTTGGCTCAACGATACCGTGAAGGAATCTGGATTCAAGGAGGATTGGCAGATAATTTGCCGACCGAGGAGAGTTTTGAAACTACGGGCCGATTTCTTCATGAAAGATCGTTTTACAGGTCCAAGCAAGCTTATCCAACGTCTACGCGACCTCTATAAAATTATGGCCCGTGAACCCTATGCAGCCAACTCCTCCATGACAGACCAGTGTCGACTCATCGCCAACAGCATTTTCAACGAAGGCCAGCTAGTTCTCATCGAGGAAGCCCTGGAGTATGAAAATGAAGAAACTGGCGGACATTTGATCAATCAGTTTGAAGCATATATTGTGCCTGACTTGATCAAGCTGCTCATTGTGGCGTTCAAGACCTACAAGACAGTGGGAGACGACGCGAAACCACACCTCCGCATTGCGCTGGATTTACTCTGGGCCATATGTCACCGGATATCTTCTATTCAAGATGTTGATGATCGCATTGGTCCTTACGTACAAGCTACATCTCATGAGGTCCTTTCGCATATCAAGGTCGTCAAAGATGCACTTAACGATGGTCGACTGCATGAAGGACTTAATCTGGCCAACCGAGTCCCCAGAAGGTACAAACATTTTGAACTGACAGAGGTTCAAAGCAATATTACTTGTGACCCGTGGACCGGGTCAGAGAAACAGGCACTCCTGGAAGGATTAAATGAGTTCAATGATGGTAAGCCACAATTAAATTATTCATTCTGGTTGCGCTTCCGCTACATTTCCTAACTACTCAACAGATGAAGACACACTTGTTGATCTAAAGTGTGACATGAGATATGGACCTGTGCTCGAAAGGCGTACTCTCAAAGATCTACAAGCCAAAGCACAGCGACTAGGGCTATGAATCAGAGATGATTTGAGGAGCAGTATCCATCAGCTCATCTTACAATGTGCCTCTAATTTTAGTTACATACCCCCTTTGCGAGTGAATATATATTGGCGATGTGTACAGAATATAACCTCGGTTCCAATTCGGGTTTAGCCGCGAACCAAAAGATGGCTTTGTTTTGGTCAACATTCCACTGTTTACTTCACACTTGTTTTTCATACTATCAACCTTGGGAAGTAGCAATAACTTAAACTTGAGATAAATTATATAGTCAACATGTGAATATATAGCTTAGTTAACAAAGTATATAAGCTACCTACATATACCAGCGATCTGGGCTGGAAATTGCAGGATTAGCACTGCTCGTATCGTGCCCAAAGTGCGCCCAAAGTGCAGATCAGACACATTAGAGACAACAATTGAGACCAGCAAACAAAAATGAGCGTATCACAATCTGCAAGGGCTTCGAACACCCCATATGCACCAGTTCGCGTTTATAGACTGAAGAAGTGACGATCTTCCCCCCTCCAAAAGACACCGCCTTCTTCGCGCTTCCCCTTTTCTCCGTACTCTCCCCGTCCTCTTTTGGTAGTCATTTTCTTTCCCCAATTGTATTTGGTTAGCAGACTTCGTTTGGTCTGTAGATCGGCTTTCGACTGAAGCCTCTGAAGTTGCCGGAACGGTGTGCACGGCGCGTGAGTACCTCTTTTCTTTGTCTAGTATTTCTGTTTGGAGACCTTGCAAGCTCTAGTGAAGCTGTGCGCGTATCGAGTCGGGGCAATTATACCATGATCACCGTTCCATTGGGTTGGAAATTTGGAATTGCCAGTCCTTGGGTGTGTATTGGCGCTTGGAACAGGTCCCCTGACGGGTCCATGGGGTTGCACAAACGAGAGCTACAGCTTGAATTTGGCTTTGGAGGCATATACTGACCTACGAACAATGCGCTTAATGTTATGCAGCTTTATTCAACACGTGCTGACGGAGCTTTTACCTGACAGTTTCCCTGTACAACAAATTCACTCGCACATAGTCGAACGTTTACCCCGAAGCCTGCTCTCCTTTAATACACTAATTCGAACGGACCGCCACCATGTCGGATGCTGAGCCCGTCATGGCCTCTGCTCCCGCAGAAGTCGACGAGAATGCGCCCCCGGCTACCCCGGTAGAGTCGACTACCCTCTCGGGAGGTGAAGAGTTGGTCAAATCGAGCCCCGAGGCTTCCAAGGAGAACTCCAAGGCCTCTCCGACCAAGACCAGCCCTGGAACACCCGGAGCTGTGCAGCGCCCTGTCTCATCAGGAACAGCTACCAAGCGGCCTACGTCGTCGTCCACAACAAAGCCCATGACAACTGCCACCCGCGGTACGACCAGCAGCACTTTGAACAAGCCCCCTACGCGTCCTACAACGACTACGGCTACGCGCAAGCCCCTGAGTACCTCCACTACCTCGTCTCATCGGTCTCGCATGTCCGTTAGCAGCTCCGCGGACGAAAAGCCCCGCTCCGTGGCCAGCTCTGGAGATGAAAAGAGAGGGATCTCCGGTACCGCTAAGCGAATGTCCATGGCTGGCACTACGTCCACTCGCGCACCTCTGAGGCCCACGTCCTCTTCAGTTGATCGTCGATCCAGCGTTGCCGGTCCTACTGCGGAGAAGAAGCCTGCCACCACCACCACCGCACGCACCGCCACCTCCACGAGCAAGCCAATGGGTCGTTTAACCTCTGCTGCCACTCCTGCGAGCCGAACTGCCACGTCGACTTCCACCACTCGTCCGACTACTACTCGACCCACCTCGACCACAAGTGCCGTGAGATCTGCCACAACCGCTGACCCCAAGAAGCGATTGAGCACCATCGGTGGTATCTCTGCTACGCGCAGCGCGGGTGATTCTGAGAAGTTACAGTCTCTTCAGACAAAGCTCACGGAAAGCGAAGAGACCGTTGCCAACCTGAAGGCAGAGCTTGAGACCGTCAATGAGAAGCTGAGCCAGCTGTCCGTGTCAGCTGAGCAGCCCTCTACTGATGAAGGTGCTACCGATGCACTTCGCACTGAACACACTGCCGAACTCGAAAAGTTGACAGCATCTCATGCCGAGCAACTCCAGGCATTGCAGACCCAACTCAAGGAGGCTGAGTCTCAGCGTAAAGAGCTCGAAGAAAGCTCTCAAAGGGAACTGGAGGAGGCCAAACAATCCGCTTCCGCACAAGGCGATGATAAGACGACTGCCATACTGGAGGACCTGAAGGCCGCACACCAGGCTCAGCTAGAGAGCATTGGAAAGGAGCTTACAGAGCACAAGGTCGCAGCTGCCAATTTTGAGGACCAGATCGAGGCCCTGAACAAGGAGCTCCTGTCGCTCAAGGACTTGGAGGAGCAAAATGCCCAGCTCACCCGAGAGCTCAAGGGTCATGATCAGGTATTGGAGAACTTGAACACTGAAATCAGTAGGCTGAACGCCCAGAAGGAGCAGGAAGTTCGCGCCGCGGAGGAATCTGCCCAGCAGAGCGTGTCTACCCTGAAGCAGCAAGTGACTTCCCTTGAGGCCAGACTTGCCGAGGCTGAGTTAGCCACCCAGCAGAGCTCTGAGACTACCGACTCGATCGCCAAGAAAGATCAAGAAATCAGCGATCTCAAGCAGGCCCTCGAGAAGGTGGAAAGCGAGCTCCAGGATGCACGCGACGCCGCTGCCGACCAGTTGGACACCAAGGTCAAGGAATTGGAAGCTGCCCATGAAGCTGCCATCGCCAACCTGAAGGCCGAGCACGACACCGCCATCTCTTCTCTTTCTGATTCCCATGCGAAGGAGCTTAGTCTGGCCACGGCTGCAGCGGAGTCTAGCGGCTCAGACCACACCAAGGCAATGCAGGAGCTCCGCGATGCACTTGAGTCCTCCAAGGCTGCTGCCCAGCAGGGCCGAGAGGATGCCATTGCTGAGCTGAAGACCGCCCATGAGGCCGAATTGAACTCCCTCCAAGAGCAGCTTCAGGCATCTGAGGCTTCTGCCCAGGAGGGACAACAGGGTGCAATTTCCGAGCTGAAGTCTGCCCACGAAGAGGAACTCAAGGCCCTGCAAGAAAAGCTCGAGGCTTCGGAGAGTGCTCTCGCAGAATCTCGTCGCGCTCTCGACGAAGGCCAAGCTTCCGCCCAAGACGTTGCCGTTCAGGAGATTGAGGCTCTTCGCCAGAAGTGTGACTCCTTGGAGTCAGAACTCTCTACCGGAACTGGAAAGATCAACGGACTCCAGGAGGAGATCCAGAGCAAGCGAACTGAGGTCGAGGCACTTCACCATAGTCTTCGCGATGTCGAAGATTACTACAAGCAGGAGGGAGTCCAAAAAGATAACAAGCTCAAAGCTCTGGAGCAGAAGGTCGCCGAGACTACCCGTCTTCTTGAGGAACACAGGTCGAAGGCCGCTGGTGCGTCTGATAAGCACTCCCAGGATTTGGAGGACTTGAAGACCCAGCATGCTGCCCAGCTCTCCCAAGCTATCGAAGAACTGAAGGCTCAACATGCAATCCAGCTCGCATCGGAGCTGGAACAGGCCAAGGAGGCATCGGGCTCTCACGAAACTGCCCTTGGTGATCTTCAGTCGCAACACGATGAGCTCCTTGCCAAGAGCAAGGAATTGGAGTCTACTCACTCTACTCGGGTTCAGTCTCTAGAGGCTGAGCTGAAGTCCGCGCTGGAAGCTCACGCAGGTGAAATTGCTGCTCAGACCGAACAACGCGAGAAGGCAATCGCCGAACTTCAGAAGCAGTTTGAGGATACTCAGACTAAGTTGCAGGCTGAAATCGCTACCCTGCAGAGCTCTAGCAAGACCGATGCTGAGGTCCACGAGAAACAGATCGCTGAATTGCAGAATGGCTTCGAAGAAACCAAGGCTAAGCTACAGGCTGAAATTGAGGCCTCCAAGGCCTCCAAGTCCGCCGACGCCGAAGCCGAACATGGCAAGGCCATCGAGCAACTTCTCACCATGCATGAGTCTAAGCTGTCCGGTCTAAAGGAGGAGCTTGAGGCTTCGAACAAGGCCAAGCTGGACGACCTCCAGAAGTCGCACGATGTGGCCCTGGCTGATGTCAACGCTCAGCTGTCGCAGGCCAAGGCTGCTGTTCAGGACACCTCGGTTGTGGATGGCTTGAAGGCTACCATCGCTGACCTGGAGGGCAAACTTGCTGACTTCGAGAAGGCTCACGTTGCAGTCCAAGAGTCTGCTGCTTCTGCTTCCAGGGAAATGGAGGCTCGTCATTCCGCTGAAATCTCCCAGAGCCAGGCCGCGCATGCTGCGTTGGAAGAGAAGCACCAAGCAGCCGTCACCCAACTGAGCAGCCTTCAGAAATCGGCTAATGAATCGGAGAGCCAGAAGTCGCACCTCGAGTCTCTCATGAAGCAGCTCTCTGAATCCCGGGACCAGCTTCTTACCCTCAAGGCTGATAACGCTACTATCTCCGACTCCTTGCTTGATTGCAAGAACCAGAACAGGACCCTTTCCGAGAAGCTGGCGGCCGGTGAACGCGACCTGAACGACCAGATTGACAAGAACATGGGCCTCCTGAATCAACTTGGCGATGTTGATTCGGCTATCTCTGCCAGTCGGCGACGTGTCCGTGAACTTGAAACCGAGTTACAACTTTTGAAGGTTGATGGAGGAGAACGGAGCAGCAACACCTCCGGCTTAGGTGCCAGCCGGTGGGCAACGGCCGATGAGGGTAGCGAAAACGCTGAAGATGGGGGTCCAGCCACAACGGAAGGTGAGGACCTCGGCCCATCCATTGAGGGAACGGTGGGCAAGCCCCGTTTGAAGTCTTCCTACTCATCAGATCTTCCCGCATTCCACCCATTCATATGAAGTCTGAAGACTATAGTATATACAGGAACTAATTTGATATCAATAGATGGCCAGCATCCAGGAACAGCTTAAGCATATCCGAACAGCCAATGAGGACTGGCACGATGAGCATGCCAGGTGAGTCTGTGCTTACCGAGGCTATTCACAACCACATGAGACTAACCCACATTCCCCCCAGACTCGTCGGGGAACTTGCCCAACTCTCCAGGCATGCAACCCCTGCACCTCCCAGCCTCTCGACCACCCCTCGCCCCGAGGCATCAACATCGGCACACAAATCAGGGAACAATCGCGTCCACACAGAACAACCTTCACAATAGTGCGTTGTTGTTTTGGTGCTGGACATTGACCCCTTCTCTGAGAACTTAGTCGTGATGCAGCATGACTTTCTTTTGTTGAGACCCGTTTCAATCTCTTCTCTGTGATTCTACTGTATGTAATAGTCTGCGGGTACCCCGTCTTACTAGGTCGGGGCTTTCCCGCTATTCTTGTTGAATACCTTTATTTTATTGTGTACATCTCGTATGCGTATTCAGTTTATCAATACCATGGCAATCGCCGTATGATCCTGCCTAGAGATTTTAGAGAAGTCCAGAAATGATACATTTATTGACAATGATCTCAGTGGAAAGGAGAAATCGACCAAGTTTGGTTATAGCCGTTACAATTCATATACACATACCTTGTCCACTTGCCTGCATATTAGCTAGAGTATACGCTTGTGTTCATCTCCAGACCAAATACATACAGGCCTTTCGCTTCCTTCTATAAGAAGATAACCGCCTTTCTAGCCCCGTTATTTATGTCAAGTGTAACGCTATATGAACAAATTGGGTATCTCGTATGTGCAATACAGTTCCTCAATCAACGCCTGACCCGAAGTCCCAAAACAAGAGAAAAAAGAGCTGAAAACTAGCCTTCCTCCGAATCAGAAGCATAGCTAACCAGCACGGGTGTTGCTACTGGGGTAGGTATCTCTTTGGAGGTAATATCCCGTTCCCCACGCACGTCCGCAGAGTGGACACTAGTAGTATCTGAACGAGGTGTTGAGGTCGAAGGCTCGACAATCCTCCTTTTCTTCCCGGGCTGCCACCCGTTTGGATCATCCGGATCATCCACCAAGAACGGGTCAATAGTAGCGCGCGTATTGCCACTCAACTCACTGCGAAGAGAAGCTTTCCGGGAGGCGACAAGATCAGCCGCCTTAGCCCGTTTAGCAGACCGAGATTTCCTGTCATGAGAATCCGCTTTCTGTGGAAGTTTCGCGACGCCTTGCGCAAACATCGGCCGAACACGAGTGGCCCGAGCAGCATGATCACCAACAGCAGCCCGATCATCCCCAAAATCAATCATCTGAGCTCTCTGTCGATCCGACTCCGTTTCATCCACAAGGTCAATCCCAAGACTCATCTTGTCTTTCAAGGCTTCCCGGCCAGCCTCTGCCTTTTCAAGACCCTTGCGCTCCTGCCGGAACGTCCGCCGCAACCGCATCGACTTCTCATACGGATCTTCCCAGTCCCGATTTTGACGCTGCTGGAGTTCAAGAATGCGAGTAGCCTCCGTCTTCGCACGACGCTTGTCCTCGACTTTTCCCTCGAGTTTCGAAAATGGATCCTTTTCCGCAGGGTCCTGCCCCATGGCGTACGGTTTGATCGCGATTTCACCCGGCTGTAACTCCTTGTCATCACCGGTATCCCGTTTCTTGCCACCTTCAGTAACGATGTAGGCCGTGTTTTGGGGGTCGGTCTTGATCTCGATCGTCCCACCACAAACAGTATGTTTCATGCGAAAACTGTAGATCGGCGTGGAGTAGTAATTCCCGACCTTTCTCTTCTCGGCGTTGAAGCGCACTCCCTGACCGATGATCGTCTCGCGTGGTTTGCATGTCGTGCACCAGACTGCGAATGGCATTTCGAAGCGTACGACCAACGCTCCCGGGTGACGCGCCCGAGCTCCAAGAGGATGTTTCTTCGCTAGTTGGTTGCCAGATAGGACTCCTTCTTGGTCTGGTGGGACATACCGTCCCATATCTGTTGCGCGTGCTTGTTAGCTTTTGCTTTGAGGTTTGGTGGGGTAGGGACGTACTGAAGCCTTGCATCTTGGGCGCTTTGGGGAGGTTTCGCCGGGTTAAGGTGTAGGTGAGGGTAGTCCAGCCAGTCAGGTCTACCCTAGAAATAGACGTTGTGCCAGATGTAAGGCAAGTCCCGCGGCCGCGATGGAGATGTGCAGTTGGAGGAAATGATTCTGGTCGGAGATATCGGCAATAATGTTGCTGACTCATCGTTTCCCCACAGCCTTCCAGGGCTGAGATCTATACAATGAAGATATTCGGGGTTTTCTTTTAATTTTGAGCTATCATAGTAGGCAAAATATGGTAGAGGCTGCTCCGATTTGAGACTAGATGTATTGCATTTGAATTGTTACTCAGAGCTCAAACTTGGGCACAATCCATGCTAAGGTAGGAGAGAACTGCAGCAGATAGAAGCCTCTAAGGGCATATTGCCTCGTACGGCTGCATATGCGTAGGATGACTGCATCAGGCAGCGTAGTCAAAGGATGTCTGTTGGGTCAAGCAAGTCGGGGGAAAACAAGACAGCACATATCTCTAAGGCTTCGAATTCTACGTGCATATATGGGTACTTCAAATCACCTTCATCATCTTGAGCACTTAGACCATGGCTCTGCTTGGAAAGTGGGCTTGAGCGAGACTGCATATAAAATCTGTGTTGGTGAGAGTGTACGATGATTGAGGTATGAGGTAAAATAATTATAGTGAGTGCTTTGGCAGATTTAAATAAATAATAAGAGAGAGGGACGATTCGATCCTTGACTTGCACATATTTCCTATTTGGGACGAAGGGCATGGTATCAAGCTAAAATGGGGCTATTACCTCACCGAAGGTCCCTATGGCCTAGCTGTCGGTCCCAGGTGAGAGTACCCCCCTCGATCCTGGATTTCCGCGCTGGACCAGTTGGTGTCTAGCCGTCCTCTCTCTCCTTCGGCCGGAGGGGAGAGTTGGGCGGGCACCAACGGCTTTGGAAAGCCAACGGCCCTTGGTGGGGGACAACCAAGGGCCGAAGGGAGTATCAACTTTTTGTGCTTTTAATAAAAGACTCAGAGGTGAAGCACTGAGGTCGAACTGAGAGTGGGTGGAAAGTTGCTAGCCATGGTGGCTTCGTCTCGCACGTACATCAATCGCACCAAGATCGAGATCAGAATCACAACAATCACTGAGATCACATCAGAGCTCCGAATAGTCTGCTTGCATTCCTTCCAATCCATTTAATGATCAGAGCCTCGAGTCTTGTTGATTGAGACATCCTGGTCCTCCAGGCCTGCCCATGTTGTTTACCTGGCCACCCATCCTTTCATCTCACCCTTCAACCTTCAACCTTCAACCTTCAGCCTTCAACCTTCAACCTTCATCGTTCAACCTTCATACTTCAAAATTCGTCCATCATCCATCATCCATCTTCTCTCTTAACGCCAACCCATCTTCAAGCTCTGCCGCCACCAGATCTAATCGGTCTTCAGGCTGCTTTGACCATCAAAGAACTCTGTTGGCATGACCTGGACGGTATGTGACTCATCTGCTAATACCAGGAAGTTTGATTCTGATATGTCTCTGGTTAACACAGAAGAAGTGACGAAGATGTCACAGTCCTTGGATAGAGAGCCGCAGAAGACATCGGCAGATGACACAACCACGACAGAGGGCTCCCAAGGCAAAGGCGTCGAAGGCATCCTAGCAGATCCAGAACCTGCTCTCCGTGAATGGCGAACTACACCTGAAGAAGAGTCAATGGCTCAGAATGACCGCCTCATGGCCATTAGTATGACCAGGGCGGTACAACACGACGGCGCCACAATTGCACTCATTCTCCAACAGGAGAATCGAGCTGCGACAGATCGGGCATTTGCCATGGGCTTAGACCCAACACACTTTGCGCAGAATATCCGTCAAGCAAATCCCGAGGCCATTCAAAAGGCCTTGGACTTTCTAGAGGGGGAGCTGATGGACTTTGAATATACAGAATCTCATGCCGCAGGTACACCAGCTGACGCAGACCTGAGCGAGCCCTCAAAAGACGCTGCGAAAACACAGCCATCTGTCCCGACTAGTCGCAAGTGTGTGGCGTGCATGGAGTCTTTCTGTCACGATATTATCGAAGCGCCATGTTCTGATTTTTATTGTAAGGACTGTATCCTTCGTCTGTTCAACGATTCGTTTGTCGATCAGTCTGTATTTCCACCTCGTTGCTGTGGAGTGCCAATCCCCCCTTCCAGTGTGCACCAATTCATTGGAGCTGGACTCGCTCAGCAATACGAGGAAAAGGTTATTGAGCAAAATGACCCATTCAGAACCTATTGTTCAGATAGCTCCTGTTCTCAATATATCGTCCCAGAGCGTGTTAACGGGTACATTGGCCGATGCATCTGTGATCGCGCGACTTGCACTTTGTGCAAGCAAATGGCACACAGCGGTGTTCCATGCCCCGAGGACCCAAGCGGAATTCAGCAGCTCTCAAAAGAGCAAGGATGGCAAAAATGTGCCAACTGCGGCGCTGTCGTTCAGTTAGCATCTGGGTGCAATCATATTTCGTGAGCAGCATATCCAGAAATATTCTTTACGCTGCTTGATGTTAACATGTCTGCTTTACTCTAGATGCCGATGCGGTTTCGAATTTTGCTACGCTTGCGCATTACAGTGGAAGACTTGCCAATGTGAGACATGGGATGAAAGGACGCTCCTCGCACAAGCCCAGGAAATAGCTGCGCGCAATGAAGCCGGTGCCCCAGCCCCTGAAGCTGTGGAGAATATAGTCGCCCAGCTTAGGGTACAACAAGAGTGCGACCACGAAGATGACTGGGTTAGGATTGAGGGCGAGCACAACTGTGACGAATGTGACGAACATATGCCATGTTTTATCCTCCAATGTCCTGGATGCAATATGAGGGCATGCCAAAGATGCCTCGAAGAAATCCAAGAAGAGGAAGACTGTGACCATGACGGGCTTTGGAGAAGGCTCGAGGGACAGCACGAATGCGAGGAATGCGAACAGCAGATGGCACGTTTCATCCTTGAATGTCCTGAGTGCGCGATGTGGGCGTGTCAAACCTGCGTTGTAAAACTCAAGGACGAGGAGTGCGACCACAAAGGTACCTGGAAAAGAATCGATGGTGTGCACTCTTGTGACGACTGCGGTGTCCAAATGGAAACTTTCGTCCTCGAATGCCGTGCGTGTAGCATGAGGGCATGTGAGCTTTGCCGGTGCGATCGTCTGTAGACGACACTGGTCGGCTGGTATGGGTTATGAAACCTTCTATTGTACCATGTATGGATTATTCGACTCTCTTTGACTTCGGCATTGGGGTGATCGATATTGTGAACGCCTATTAAGGGTCCTTGATCTATGTTTGACACTGTTGTATTCGAGATTCGAGATATTTCAATTGATTCGGCATGTGGTCTTCTTTCAGCTTTCATATCTTGAGAAGAGTAAGATATCTGATACAAGAAGTTAATAATAATACCAAACAGTATGACGGTGGTATATAAACGACAAGAACGGAAATGACGTTGTTGTGATGGTTTCTTTCGGAAACAACATTACATTTGCCGGTGATGTTGGCCATTTAGACAGAGTAATACATGAAAACAGGTCAAAAGTCTCCCAGGTGTAATTTGAGAAGGATAAGTTATTTATCCATTCCAGAAGAATCTTCCGAAGTTCTTTGACAAGCGGCCTTGAGGCCCAGGCTACCTAGATATGCACGTAAAGTTTGTTATGAAATTTGAACTAATCAGTTGCTTTCCTGTATCTTTCTCCTCTTGTAAACAACTCAAGTCTTCTTCAAATCGTTCCCAGCCTCCAACACCTGTTTGCCAATCCTCTTGCTGGACACCGAAGTGCCACTACTTGGCAACCGATGCAGAGGTGGATTTGAACAAGATATCAAAATGACTCAGGGTACCGACGCACTTCGCTACTGGAAACCTTAAAGAATATGCACTGAGCCATGAGGGTTTGATACTAACAGAGCCGTACCCAGAGGTTGGAATTCATGGGCAAAGATCCGAGCCTGAGAAGCAGAGTCTCCCGCAGACCAGCAAATCGCTTTTCGCGAGCCTTAAAGGCGATTTACAGACAGCTTTAAGATTCCAAGCCTGGAAAAAGAGACCCGAACACACAGCAGCCTCAGCCAGGGGTCAGGAGGTACTCGCTGGTGCCAGTGCCAGCGCCAGTGCCAGTGATCCCACAGATCGGTCTAGTACAGACGATCCATCATTCCCAAATGGCTCTTCTTTGAAGAAGATACCACCGACTGAATCCTCTGTACGCCCGCAGAAGGCTCCATGCTCTGGACTTTTACAGGTTGCCATAGACACAGACAGGTTCGCTGTACCCATGACTGCGAGATGCGTATCCTGTTTCGATGAATTCTGCTTCGCAGAGATGACCAAAATGCTATGCTCTCACAGCTATTGCAACACTTGTTTGACTCAAATGTTTCGATACTCTGCGGTGGTTGAATCTTTGTTTCCCCCTCGATGCTGCCGCCTCCCTATCCCGGTCGAGCAAGTCCAGAGCGTGATAGGGCCGGATCTCACGAAACTGCACAAGGAGAAAGCAATCGAGCTCAATGATTCCAATCGCACATATTGCTCGAACCAAAGATGTCTGCGGTACATTTTGCCATACTTTATCTCGAACGCCGTTGCCATATGCCAGTCTTGTTCCTTTCTTACATGCGCTGTGTGCAAAATGCCCCAGCATACTGGTCAATGCCGGGATGTGAATGAAGAGCTGTTGCTGGGTCTGGCGAAAAAGCAGAAGTGGCAACGGTGCCCATCATGCCATTTGCTCGTGGAACTGTTGGAAGGATGTCCCGCAATACGGTTTGTCACCAGGATGAGTTTGATTCTTCGGACTTAAAGCTGACATTCGATCAAGATGCGTGTGTTTTACCATATTTTGTTACACTTGTGGCGCGAAGGCTGGCCGTTGCTCCTGCGTAGGAATGCACGCATAAGCCTCAGGAGGCTAAAGCAGCCATTTTATTTCCTTTGGAATGGAGTGCCGTAAATTGCTTTTCAGGGAAGGCGTCAAAGCCAATGCAGTCAATTGATGAATCGAAGATATGGCATATCAAATTGCTGTTGTTCTTGATAGGCGCAAAGGACACAAAGAGAGAAGAGAGGTGAATGAGATTTGTATGAGAAAATCTGAGACTAAGAGTACATGTACGGTGATATTGAGGCGGAACGATCCATCTTTTACGTTCAAGTGAAGCTACGAAGTCGCTGAATAGTATCGCGTTCCTGCTTTGAGTTTGAGCCAAGTGTTGCAAATGCGCGCCACGATAACCAATGTAGTCCCAACAAGCATAATAACAGTAGCAAAACACTGGGCATACAAGTAGCTGCCGTCACCAGTCTGTATCAATGCTTCCGCAATTGGCGATCCAGTGAGGGCTGCAAAGCTGATACTTAACACCATTCCAGTTCGAACAGCAATCTTTTCCAAGTCCATTATTAACGATGTTAGACTGGCGGGAAACAAGGATTGCAGACTAGCCGAGAATACGCAGTTAAGCACTTCGAATACATACAACCGCTCAATCCGGTAACGCCCATCCTGCTAAACAGCATAATCGATGAAACCAGGGCAACCGAAATGAGGAGAGTGATCGGGCCAGTATATCGGTCAGCAAGGATATCCGGTAGGATCCTTGCTGGGAATCTGACACCGAACATTATCAGTATCAAATTGGTAGAGGTAGACTGACGCTAACGATACAAACGGGAGGGGTGACAAAGCCGCTGCGTACCCGTGCGGGAGTTTTCCGCGAATTTCTAAGCATATTCATGTAAGCGCGGGACCAAGATCCTAAGGCTGACCAACTCGGCATATGGGGTGGTTTTTATCACTTATCATGCAAAATGGCGTGCCCGAGATGATTACAAAGGGGGAAGTGATTGCGAATCCATCCAAAAATGCTAGGGATGTATCCAGGTATATAAGGAGGGTACGCCTCCTCGAAAGTTGAACTTTTCAACCTTCAATCAAACCAACTTCGATACGAACATTACCAACCCAAGACTTGATCCTGACAAAATGCCTGCTAAAGTTGCTCTTGCCGGTGTAAGTAACCTTGCCCTCTTATTTTTTTTTTGTACTCAACTAATATCGACCAGGGAAGCGGCAACCTAGGCCCAGCTGTACTGAATCAATTGCTAGACGCTGGGTTCGATGTGACAGTTCTATCTCGTCAAGACAGTGACAAGACCTTCGACCCAAGAGCCAAAGTCGCAAAAGTCGACTATGAATCTCTTGACTCCCTCAAGAATGCCCTGACTGGCCAGGATGTCGTCGTCAGCACACTTGGTGTGGGTGCAGTGCCACGGGACACCCACCTCCGTCTCGTTGACGCCGCTGTTGCCGCTGGAGTAAAGCGGTACATTCCCTCAGAATACGGATGCGACACGACCAATCCCCAGACTGCCAAGCTTCCCGTCTTTGGCGACAAGGTGGCCGTCCAGGAACATCTTAAGAAGGCCAATAAGGAATCTGGTCTGAGTTACTCGCTCCTCATCACTGGCCCCTTCCTTGACTGGGGTCTCAAAGTGGGATTCTTGCTCAACCTTTCCGGCCCTGTTGCAACATTGCATGATGGCGGCGAGCGAAAATTCAATGCCACCACTCTCGCCGATGTTGGTCGCGGAATTGCTGGAATCATCAACAACCTCCCGGAAACCGAGAATAAGACCGTTTACGTCAGCTCGGCCTCTGTGTCCCAGAAACAGCTGTTGACCTTGTCAGGCAAGAGTCTTGAGACGAAGACCGTCCCGACAATTGATTTGGAAAAGGATGCGTTTGCGGAGTTGAGCAAGCCGGCTCCTAACCCAGGAGTCTTTGCAGTCCTTTTCATTCAGCGAGCGATCTTTGGAGAAGGTTTCGGAAGCCAGTTCGATTCCGGAAAGCTGTTTAACGAGTCGTTTGGTTTGAAGACTTTGTCTGACGAACAAATTCGCGGCTTCTTCAACTGAACTATTTGTCAATAAATTAAGGATAGCCAATATTTAGGATATAGATACGTATGGTATCACATTTATATTATATCAAGGATACTTCATATTCCACGCGCAGTAGTTACTAGGAGTTGCAAAATGTCATCGATTGTTTACCTGTGGTGACGTCACACATCCAAATTCCCCGATCTCGATCTCGATCTGAGCCCCTTGCATAACTCAATTTACACTTCTTAACAAGAGGACCCCAATGGAATTTGCCGATCTGTGAATTATTGTCAAGGAGGAAGCTGTTGTGAGATTGACTCGGATATCAGTCACCAAACCACAAGATGAAAGGAGGAAATACATCAAACCCAGTAGTCCTCTACTGGCACAGAACAGATTTGCGGCTTCATGATTCTCCAGCTTTACACGCAGCGTTGGCTTTGAAGCCATCCATCTTCATCCCAGTGTGGACTTGGGATCCTCACTATGTCTACCGAGCACGAGTAGGCCCAAACAGATGGCGGTTTTTGCAAGAATGCCAGGCGGATCTCTCGAAGTCATACACTAAACTGAATCCAAATCAAAAGCTCTGGGTCGTACGCGAAGGGCCGCAGACCATCCTTCCCAAACTTTGGAAACATTGGGGTGTCACGCACCTGGTGTTTGAGAAGGACACAGATGCGTATGCCAAGGACAGAGATATTGATGTGATCAAGATGGCCGAAAAGGTTGGCGTTGAGGTGATTGTCAAAATGGGTAGGACTCTGTTTGATCCCGACGAGGTGGTTGAAAAGAATGGCGGCAAACCGACAATGAGTATCACTCAACTCGAAAAGGCTGCTGAGAAGATTAACAACGGCAGCCCGGACAAGCCACTCGAGGCACCCAAGAGCATCCCGGACCCATGGGAGGAGGATAAAATGGATCTGAGCAGTCTCAAACAGGACTCGGTTGATCATGAGCCGGATTTCAATTCGGAACACCGCATCAAGGCGGATGCTCAATACTCTCAATTGATGGGCCCGAATAATGATTTTGGAGTTCCAACTTTCGAAGATATGGGTATGGACATATCGGAAGCTGTAACTCCTCATCGAGGAGGCGAGACAGAAGCCTTAAAAGTCCTCGGAGACTGCATCAAGCACGAGGACTACATTGGGAGGTTCGAAAAACCGAACACCTCACCAGCGGACTTTGAACCCCAATCAACGACGCTGTTATCCCCTCATCTCCACTTCGGCTCGCTCTCGGTACGCCAATTCTGGTGGGATGTTCAAGGGGTTCTCGCCAAAAGAAGGAAAGAGAAGAAGCCAAACTCGTCTGTTCCAACCAGCTTGGAGGGTCAGCTTTTATTCCGGGATATGTATATGGCAGCTCAAGCAGCGCTTGGTCACGAATTTGATCGAACCCATGGAAACCGAGTTGCTCGTTTCATCGATTGGCACCTTAAGACGAACCCTGCCAAGAAGGATGGATCAATCGACGGGGCGTATGAAGCGGACTCGCAGGACGCAGAGGGATGGTTTCAGCGGTGGAAGGAAGGCCGTACGGGCTTCCCATGGATCGATGCCCTAATGCGCCAATTGAAACAAGAAGGCTGGATTCATCACCTGGGAAGACACAGCGTTGCCTGCTTTTTGACTCGAGGCGGGTGCTATGTAAGCTGGGAACGTGGAGTCGAAGTGTTTGAAGAGATGTTGATTGATCGTGAGATTTCTCAAAGCCGATACTGCTATCAGTCGCTAACATGCCCTAGATGAAACTGCATCCAACGTGGGAAACTGGATGTGGGTGTCCTGTACGGCTTTCTATAGTCAATACTACAAGTGTTACTCGCCCATATCGTTTGGAAAGAAGTGGGATCCAGAGGGGCAATTGATCAGAAGATACTGCCCCGAGCTGGCCAAATTCGACAAGAAATGGATTTATGAGCCGTGGCGCGCGCCCATCGCGGACCAGAAGAAGTTTGGTTGCCGGGTAACAGGGGATGGTAGTTCATCGTCGAAAGAAGATGGTACTGAGCATACGTATCCCAAACCAATGTTCGATTTCGATGAGCGACGACAGATTTGCCTAGATGGTATGAAACATGCATACGGGGTTGGCCTTTATGGCAATGATGAGAAGGTCAAGAACGGAACTTGGAAAAAAGAATTTGATGGAGGGGACAGGGCAGCAAAAAGACAGAAGATCTAAGATGACTGTAATTGAACAAATGAACCTTGTAACGGCTAAATGGGCATTGACCATTTTGCAAAAGCAACGAGCAAATATCAAACGTAAAGCATATAACGTCACCTCGTGCTCGTGAGTCAACATGATCTAAGGTTTTAGTCCCGATAAATGAGACCAACACCGCACGTGGTGGTTATTTTGCTGCAGGTGAGTATGAGGTGCAGGGATCATAACTGGCAGATCTCGCCGCGCGGGGTTCTACTTCCTCCCTATTCAATGCAGTCTCTACACATGGATAAATTGCAAGCAAAGTGACTCATTTGTATACGGGACTCGGCGCGGAACTCAACCCGAAGCCCCACTGATAACAGGGCGGGGCCCTGGAAGAAAAATATTTTCAAGACTTCGAACTATTGTATAACGTTATTGCAAATATCTTGACTATCTCTTGCTGAAATTATCATGGAATTCCAAGACGCTCCCCCGCCCCAGGGGCAAAGCAGAATCCGAATCGTCACGGTAATGACAGCGCTGGCGCTGTCAATGTTCGTGGCGGCACTCGATCAAACAATTGTTTCAACAGCTATTCCGACAATTGCAGCTCATTTCCACTCAGCTGCTGGATATACGTGGATCGGTGGTGCATATCTTCTTGCGAATGCTGCCGGTGCATGCATTTGGGCCAAGCTTTCCGATATCTGGGGCCGGAAACCCATCTTGCTCTTGGCGGTTGGGTGGTTCTTTATTAGTTCGATTATTTGTGCCACTGCCGTTAATATGGAGATGCTTATTGCTGGTCGTGCCTTGCAAGGTGTGGCAGGTGGTGGGTTGCTCCAGCTTGTCACTATTATCATTTCTGATCTTTTCAGCGTGAGGTAAGATACTAATACGGTATTCCCGTTTGACGGTCTAATGCTAATTATTGGGATAGACACCGCAGTCTGTATCTTGGTCTCATGGAAGTGATGTGGGCTTTTGCTGGAGGTATCGGTCCAATTCTTGGTGGTGCTTTCTCTCAATACACCGGCTGGAGGTGGACATTTTGGATCAACCTGCCTGTTTCTGGTATTACCTTCGTTCTGCTGTTCTTCTTTTTGGATGTGCACAATCCCAAAACGAAGATTATGGATGGTATCCGGGCGATTGACTGGTTTGGCAGTCTTTCAGTCTTGGGTCTCACCCTGATGCTCTTGTTAGGGCTGGACTTTGGAGGAGAAACATTCGCCTGGAAATCCCCGCAGGTCATTTGCCTGATCATTTTTGGTTCTTTGTGTTCCTTGCTGTTTGTTTACAGCGAGAAGAAGCTTGCAAAGTATCCTCTGATGCCGTTGGACATATTTGCTCGTCTATCAAACGTTGCTACGCTTGCAGTGGCTTTTGCGCACGGATTCGTAAGTTCTTTTTCCCCCTTGCTATTCACATCAAAACTAACCGGTTACAGGTCTTCATTGCCGGTGAATACTACATTCCCCTTTACCTGCAGTCAGTGCACCAGGCATCCCCAATGCGATCAGGTGTCCTGATCCTCCCTCTCGTCATCACCGAAGCCTGCGGAGGTATGCTCTGCGGTGCCATTATCCATCGCACTGGCCGATACCTTGAGCTAATCTGGGTGGGTCTTGTTCTTCTGACAATCGGAAACGGGCTATATATCAACCTCGACGTCACATCCTCCATAGGAGAGATCGTGGGCTACCAAATTCTCAGCGGCTTCGGTGCCGGTTTCCTCTTCCAAACACCCATCATCGCTATCCAAGCCATGGTCTCCCAAGAGGACACCGCTACCGCTACAGCTACGCTTGGATTCATTCGTAACATGGCAACTGCCTGCTCCATTGTTATCGGCGGTGTCGTCTTCCAGAATAGCATGGGTGAACAGCAGTCGAACCTTTTGGCTTCTGGAATGTCTGAATCGATGGCAAACAGGATGTCTGGAGATGCTGCCGCTGCAAGTATTGAATATATCAAGGATATTACGGACCCCGCGCAGCTACTTGCTGTGAAGGAGGCTTTTGCTTGGAGTTTGCGCAACATGTGGATTCTGTATACGTGCATGTCTGTTGTTGGTGTTTTCTGCTCTGCTTTCATTCTGAAGGCTAAGTTGAGCAAGGAGCATGTGGAGACCAAGACGGGGTTGAACATTGAGAAGGCGCCTGCTGAGAATGTACATAGTGTCTAGGATCTTTACTAAAAGCACGTATCTTGCTTAGGCAATTTTGAAATAGCACTTATCTGTTGATTTCATTGTCACTACCATTCATAGCTAGCAATCAGTATCACGAAGAACACGACAGCATCTTATATAATGATCATTACAGAACGCTAATGAAACTATCCAAGTTTATTTCTATTCAAGGTAACAAGTGTTTGTTTGTGACGACTATCACTTTCTAGCTGAATGCGAAATGGGGTAGATACCGTCGGAGAACCAAGAGACGTAGCTCAGTACTCAAGGGTTTGTTTGATAGCGTCGTAGATCCCTAAATACCGAAGTTCCGTAGATTAGCAGATGACAAAATGCAAAATGATGTAGATAACTCACTTGCAACATCAGGCAGAATAAATTGCTCGTAACTCAAACCTGTGTGCGTACTCCAACCCGCAACGCGCTTGACAGGGGCCTCTAGACGCAGGAAAGCACCCTCCTGGATGGTAGATGCAACCTCCGCACCCACACCATAATTGATCATGCTTTCATGGACAACAATGGCTCTTCCTGTCTTTCGTACGCTCTCCAGAACTGTTTGACGATCCCAGGGATAAATGGTACGCAAATCAATAAGCTCCACGCTGACGCCCGGCATGGTCTTTTCGATGGCCGAGATAGCAGACGAGCACATGTAGAGAGGCTGTCCATAGGAAATGATTGTCAAATCCTTGCCAGGTTTGATGACTTCAGCTTTACTGAGCGGGATAGTGTAGTATTCGTTCGGGACATGTTCCACGGCTGCGCGGTAGAGAATCTTAGGCTCCATGAATATCACCGGATCGTTATGCTCGAAGATGGACGCCAATAGGAGGCCCTTTGCCTGTGATGGAGATCGTGGCATGACTACCCGCACACCAGGAACATGTGCAAACAGGGACTCGGGAGACTGTGAGTGGTACCTATCGTTTTGGACGATTAGCATGAAGGTCCACTTGACACCCGGTATGTATAACCTACAAGGCACCGTGACCAACCGCACCACACGGCATACGGATCACCAGTCCACCAACATTGATCCCCGTCCCACCTTCACGATATCTGAACTTGGCCGCCTCGTTGACGATTTGATCGAATGCTGGGAAGACGTAGTCGGCAAATTGGATCTCTGCTACCGGCTTCATCCCTTCCGCGGCAGCTCCAATCGCAAATCCCGCAATACCTTGTTCCGTCAAGGGCGTATTAAACACTCGATCTGACCCAAACTCTGATTGAAGATCCATTGAGCACCGAAAGACACCACCGAATGCAACATCCTCGCCGAAGAGAAGCACCTTTTCCGATGTAGACAGGGCGGTTCGTAAAGCAGAGTTGATGGCTTGGAAGTAATTTAGTCGCTTAGTCGTAGCCGCAGCAGGGTATTCTGATGTATTTGACAGTGAAGATGATGTATGATGCAAAATGGGAGTGGTTTTGTAGTCAATAGGCAAGTTCAGCTTCGCGGATGGTGTAGGTGCGCCAGAGTAGAACCGCCGAGGCGTTTGGGCGAGACACCGCAATGGAGCGCGGAGAGGTGCCATCTCTGGGGATTTTGACGAAGTGAGAGAGGATATGTGTTAAGCTACATGGGAGAAATCCCCTCCAGGGGTGTCTTTAAAATATGTTGGTCGCATTGTCCGGGGCAGAGCGCGGGGAAGTCGCCGCGGGTAGCCGAGCGGTACGCAAACAGGTCAAACCTCACAAACACCCTATGACGATATCCCCGTGACCTGGAAGTATAGGATTGCTGTCCTACATGATAAACCCAGGCACTCGAACACAACCATAAAAGAGGTGAAAAAGAGACGTCGAAGTAGGATGAAAATAATGCATGAAACGGTATACTCGCTTCGAGGCTTTCGTGTAAAGACAGCCCAATACTTCACCAGTGATACTATATACACACTTATGACCCCCACCCTGTACACTTGGGTATCTAGGTGTGAACAGTGGATCTTGCTGCATGTTATGCTTGTTTGCTGTATGGAATTGACCCGATTTGAGAGTATTGGTTCCTTGATATGGGGTGAGCTAGCAGGAATGTACTTATATTTAGATCGGCTTTGCAGCTAGTGAGCGTAGGTATATATAGCCCAATTGCTCTCTTAACTCTACACTACAGTCCTCTACCTCAATTTGCACTCAATTGACTGTATATTCCATTTATATAGTTCTGTTAACAAAATGACTTGGAGGGGGATCGACTTTATCTCTTATCAGCCGGTGTCGGACCGCGTGACTTTCCCCGGCCCGCACCAAAACCGCATTTTTTCGAATGACTCAACCTTCTTCCTGTTACTCCACGTTCAACTTTCGATCCCATTTCATTCCATCAATCACTCACAATGGCTCAGGGAAAGGTATGATCTTTTGGTTTTGCTTCATGCTTTGCGCGATTCTCTCTTCCAATTCCATCTCACACCGCTCCCTCTCCCCCGCCACACTTTCAATTGCTTGCCATGCTTCCTGGATTACTGACAATACGATTGCGCAGGTTTGCCTCGCCTACTCCGGCGGTCTCGACACCAGCTGCATCTGTATGGACATCTTGGGTTACTTAATTGACCAATTGCGGTTACTGATACCAAAATACAGTGAAGTACCTCATTGAGGAGGGCTATGAGGTCGTCTGTTTCAGTGAGTCGCAAATGTGATACATCCAATGACTCAATTGCTAACCTCAACGCAGTGGCCGATGTTGGCCAGGAAGGTAATTAACAATCAATGCGACATCAATCCGACAACGATCTAACCTGCAACTATTTTAGAGGACTTCGAGGCTGCCCGCGAGAAGGCCCTGAAGATCGGTGCCCTCAAGTGCGAGATTGTCGACATCCGCCGTGAGTTCATCGAGGAGCTCTGCTTCCCCGCCATTGCTTGCAACGCCGTCTACGAGAACGTCTACCTTCTCGGTACCTCCTTGGCTCGTCCCGTCATTGCCCGCGCCCAGATTGAGGTCGCCCAGCGCGAGGGCTGCTTCGCCGTCTCCCACGGCTGCACTGGTAAGGGTAACGACCAGGTCCGCTTCGAGCTTGCCTTCTACGCTCTCCAGCCCGACATCAAGGTCATTGCCCCATGGCGCGAACCCGTCTTCTACGAGCGCTTCAAGGGTCGTCAGGACCTGCTCGACTACGCTGAGCAGAAGGGTATCCCTGTCACCTCCACCAAGTCGAAGCCCTGGAGTATGGATGAGAACCTGGCCCACTGCTCCTACGAGGCTGGTATCCTGGAGGACCCCGACACCACCCCTCCCGCCGACATGTGGAAGCTCACCCAGGACCCTCTGTCCGCTCCCGACCAGCCTGAGGACTTCACCCTGACCTTCGAGAAGGGTGTTCCCGTCAAGCTTGAGTACACCCAGGGCGGCCAGAAGAAGACCGCCACCGATTCCGTTGAGCTGTTCCTGACTGCCAACGCCATTGCCCGCCGTCACGGTGTTGGCCGTATCGACATTGTAAGCTTCATGGTATATAGCGAAGATTCAATGTCACTGACCCCAGATAGGTCGAGAACCGTTTCATCGGTATCAAGTCCCGTGGCTGCTACGAGACCCCCGGTCTCACCTGCCTGCGCTCCGCCCACATGTAAGTGACCTCGTTTGCAAGTTGTTCGACTCAACTAACATATTCCAGTGACCTTGAGGGTCTGACCATGGACCGTGAGGTCCGCGCTCTGCGTGACTCCTTCATCACCTTCAACTACTCCAAGGTAAGCAACACATAACCATTCCATCAGCTTCGATCTAACAAATTCCAGCTCCTGTACAACGGCATGTACTTCTCTCCCGAGCGTGAGTTCCTCGAGTCCTCCATCACCGCTTCCCAGAAGTCCGTGAACGGCCAGGTCCGCTGCCGCGCCTACAAGGGCACCATGTCCGTTCTCGGCCGCTCCTCCGAGACCGAGAAGCTCTACGACATGAGCGAGTCCAGCATGGACGAGATTGGTGACTTCTCCCCTGCCGAGACTACCGGATTCATCAACGTCTCCGCCATCCGTCTCAAGAAGTACGGCCAGATGAAGGCCGCCGCTGGCGAGCGTCTGTAAATGATGTTTAAAAGAATATAAGACACGCCTTCTCTTCGACTTGGAATGACTGGAATGCCATATGTTGACCGTCCCTGGCTTCCCGCCATGTCGAGTCTCTCTGGTCCAATATTCCATGCGTATCATGGGATGGTGGCTTGAATGACTGTATAATGAACTAGAGAAAAATAGCGCCGTCCCGGAACTGAAATTTAGGAATTAAAATTGCGAGTGAATCAAGTTCTTATGTCCACTGTAGAAGTAGAAAGATCTCCAAGATCAATGCAGTATGTACATTTGTAAAAGATATGTGCGAAGGTATATGCCGAAAGTTAAGTCGCTAGATGGCAGTCGAAGAGAAAACAAGTGTTGAATGCATGTTATCACGGAATTCAAAGATTCGCCCGGCTCTTGCCCTGGTCGAGTTCTGCCCACAGGTTAGCACAGGGATATCCTTAGGGAGAGGGACGCATCATACCATTCCAAGTAGCCAAAGCCGCCTCCTCAGCATCCCAAGCCCAAAGGAACTCCTGTGTCCTGCGATCCGACCATTTATCGGGATTCTCGCCACTGGCCGAAGCGAGGAACTGCGCATCGCGGGCGACCTGTTCAGGCCCATCTGGTAAGTGTAACGTGATACGATTCTCCGAGCCAGACTGCTGCACCGTCTCGGCGCGCTGCTTTCGGGATCTTTCATATGCACTCAGTGCTAGGGGGATTTCCGCTCGTGATGTGATGTTCGAGAGAAGGACGCCCAGAGCAGCTGCGTCTTCGACGGCTTGGGCGGCGCCTTGGGCGACATATGGCCTGCGAATATCAGATAAAAGAACAACAGCGGCGAAAGCAGTTCACTTACAGCATTGGATGGCAAGCATCACCGATCAACGCGACAGATCCTCGGATCCACGTTCTCAATGGCCGATGCAGACACAACTTCCACTCCAAGACCTCATTGTCATCAACCAGGTCAATAAGCTTCCGCACCTTACTATCCCAGCCGTTGTAGTTATCAACCATAGCCTGTTTCGAACCCTTAGTAGTCCAAGACTCCTCAGAGCCCTGTTCATCAGGATGCAGCAGAACAACATTGTACAGCTGGTGATTGCGAACTGGGTACGCAATAATATGGCGCGAAGGACCAAGCCAACGCGTCGCCTCAGGCTGGTCAATAAGTTCCTTCAATTCCGGATCTTTCTCCATAATCTCCCTGGGCAGCATAATACGATATGCAGCATCGCCAGTAGGAATGGCTTTAAGCGATGAATCCTCCAGAAGACGGCTCCGGATCGTGGATTTGATACCATCAGCACCGACGACAATATCGCCACGAACAACGGTGCCATTGGCTAGCGTCACGCTTGCCGGGTCGAATTGCACATCTGTTACTGGTGAATTCACACGCAACTCGACATTTGGCAGAGCTAATGCTCTGTCGATGACGGCATTGTGCAGATCAGCGCGGTGGATGACTACTTGCTGGCCAAAGGTTTTGTTCACCGGCATTGTGCCGAGGAGTTTGCCATTTTCCCATCTCCGGACGTGGATGTGCTCTAGGGCTACATCCTGGGTGTGGATTAGGTCCGACACACCCCATCCTGAGTTCGAGGTCAGTTAATTTGGATTTATTTCTACGGCGAGATGGTGACTCACGGTCGAAAAGACGCAACATGTTTGGGGAGACTTGGATGCCTGCTCCGACTTCCATGAGCTGGGATGAGGGCGTTAATATTGCTGTCTTAGGGGGTTATCAAGTGTGGTGCGCACCTTTGGAGCGGCTTCAAGAATCACGACGTGGTGTCCTCGAAGACCTAATGTGAGGGCTGCTGCCATGCCGCCAATTCCTTCAGATTGTCAGTTGGTACATGCATCACGGTACCCCTTTTTAATTTCCAAGTCATACCAGCACTGTACAACATCAGTATCCCGGTCCTGCATATCCAACAGTGAAAAGAACATACCCGACGACGATCACCTCCAAAGGCAGATTTGCTCGTGGTACATCCATAATGAATAGTCCAAGATATGATACAAGATGTTAAAGTGTAATATGAAGAAGAAGCAAAGTGAATCAGCAAAGTGAAGAGAGACTGACAAAAAAAAGAATTATAGCGGCAAAGCCCAGATGAAGTATGGACTCGGCTGCTATTTTCTATTCCGTCCCACCCGTTCCAGAAAGACGACGGATGTTCCCAAATTCGCTCATTCGCTCATTTGCTAATTTGCTAATTATCCAAATCCGCAATTAAGTGGCATTTTCCATGTCCACCCCTTGCCGTTCTAACCTTCTCCGCAGACCGGGGAGAATGGAGAAATCCACCACATTCCTGACCTGTCTCGGCTCTGTCGGTGGCATCGAGGCGGCACTTGGCCACTTTTTGCGGGTCCAACGGGCGACAGTGACTAAGCGGAATGCAGTTTATTACCTGAAACACCTAGAATTATACTGACCAGTCCACGGCATGAGGACATGATAACGCAGTTTACATGTCGCACAGCTGCTTATCTACCAAAAACCTGATTAAAGTGGCTTTGTGGCGCGCGGAAACCCGAAGGCGAGGCGATCGGGGAACGCCAGGCCCACCAGTCATTGAACCCCCCGGCTCTTTGCGGGCTCATCATCTGCCGAATGTCGGTCAGATCTACAGTCCATTTACGTTTTCTCCACGACACCGCGTCTGCCCCAGACCCATCTTTGATTTCCTTTTTGATCCGAGAGGATCATAGAGGCTTGGGTCTGGTGATACACATCCTCAGCCTCTAGATGCTCATCACGGCAAGTACCTGGTTTCTTCATTGCCGATAACACTGTCTAGTCACTAAACTCAATATCGTGGCTTCGTGACTGGTTCGATATTGAGAATTACACAATTTCTGATTGACAAATGGGCAGGTTATCAACCGCAGCTTCCGAGACCCCAATTGTACTATATCGTGGTGGTCTGACCAGCTATCACTTCGGAGGGGATGTTTTATCCCCGGTCCACTTTCTGTTTCCGTCAACATTGTCTGCACAGGCAACCCTTGATATTGGAATTGCTTTCTACACGAACCACTGGAAATTTTCTTGCTTGCACCAGTGCATGTATCTAGGTCTGGACGACTACATGTAGGTTCTTGTGTAAGGAGTATAGAGCCAGTTGTGCCCGTGCGCTTGCTCCACAATGGGTTGCAGGTTGGGCCGATCATCGGCTACAGCTGAGTTCCTTCTTTGCCGGACTGGTAGTTGGACTAACCTCGACAGACATAGAATAGTTTCCAAACAATTGCCAGGGTTTAGCTATCGACATATCTATTCCTCCATGTACAATATCCCTACCACTCTCTCGCCACCAACCAACCACAACCCTCCACAAATGAGAGATATCCTATTTCTCTGTCGCATACATAACTTAGTACATGCTCATATATGTGCATCAGCTCATTTGCAATGATGCAATACTTGCAATATAGCTCCTTCCTCAACGGTCCGAATCCCCGACCTGGAAAGGCTGTAACACTGAAACGGTCCAAGTCGCATATGTATTGAGGCCATAGCAGAGCGGAACACGGAATATACTCCCCGAGTGTCAGTCTACCGGAACAAGCTCTCAACAAAGCACCACTGTCAAACATGAAACAGACCTGAAGTCAAGAATATCCACTGCGACATATAGTATCTCCCCTGTCATAACCCGGCACGCCTTTTCGAACCTAAATTGCTCTAGCTGACGTGCAATACTGAACGAACGTCAATTGTGCGGAACCAGGCCGCTACAGTACGTTATACTATTCCCTCCGGGGCATGTAGCCTCTCCCAAACAAGACACAAGAAACAATAACGGGTAACTATGGAGAAAGCCATATCATCAACAGTCGAACCACTGTGGATCAGCTAACCCATTCATTCCCGGCAGGATGATCCACACAGCCACCCATCCTGCAACAGGGTTCTGGTTACTGATCAACCCTAGATCAATCTTATCAGTTCCATCGGTACCCGCTATAAGCGACGGACTAAACTACATGCAGGCACACGGGATGGTTGGGCATTGCTTAGCCTACTTTATAATGATCGGCTTTGATCGGCAGGCGCGGCTGGGCGTTGATCACGAGGAGGGTTTTGTTAATGGTGATGGACATGGATCGGAGATTGGGTTCGTCATTGATTGTTGGTACCCGGTGTGGTTCGATCATTTGGTTGAGATTTACGGGTATGGAGATGGAGATGGATCTGGGTACACTACAAGTGCCATGCTAGTTCGAAAGCCACTGCTGTTGAGCCAGAGGCATCGCCGTCCACTCCTAGCTGACTCGTGGAAAACGAAGCAAACAAGATCCGCTAGTGATTTCGATATGGCTGTGCTACCTTTCACCTAACTCACTTGTTTCGCCTACCTCACTTGCGTAACTTGGTTCGGCTTTGGTATTACAAGTAATAACTTTCTCAAGTACGGTGTAGACAAATGCCCGTTCGAGCTGTCTGAGATTATGTCTCTAGAGTAATATCTGTTTGGGAAGCATATCAAGAACTATATGCTTGATGCTAGACTTAATACTTTCTATTTTCGCATCAGTATAATATCAAAAGCACGCTGCAATTCAATGGTCCCGTTAAATCGAACCTGTAAATGAATTATGTTCTTTACACAACCGTCGATCTCACACAGGGTCTTCATTGTTGAAAATATTAAACATCCGCACTCCTTCGAGTCTTGTAAACTATTGAATTCAAAAATCTGGGGCATTTATATCTGCGTTTAACCAACTCTGATATGGATGCTTTTTATCGGTGATTATCATCGCTCGATGTTGACAAGGTTTGTTTGTCACCCGTGAGCTTGCCGAAGAGAAATGCATACACAGCACATGTATCAAGGGTCATTTGTACATCCATTGGCCCAGGAACCAAGTCTAACGGCTACGACCGCCTGGAAGGAAATGTAGCAAAGTGTTATCGCTGTGCTATCTGTTGCTTGATGGGAACGAGGTCCCTGTGTACTAAAACTTGATTGTAAACAATCCTGCGGATACTAGCACGTAATAAGAACGTGTTCAGAATTGATACTGTCGCTACTATGAACGCATAACAGTATTACCATTACCACGAGTTTTGATATTAGTAAAATAAAGGCACATGCACAAGGTAACACGTAGAAAAAAGATTGATCTATTTTTTTTGTCATAAAAAAAGTAGTAGAGTGACTTCCTTGCGGAGCGCATGTATCATGTTCAAGAAGGAAATCGCTAAGCGCCATAATATGCCTGAAGAAGCTAAATTGAATTCCCATAAGTAACCGTAAGAAACATAGACATAGAAACGTGAAAGATAGAGACATGAAGGATAGAAGGAAAGAATGGAGATGGACGCGTGTGATGAAGCGTAGAATCTTTCGTGGTCGTAAGGGGCATTGTTGTATCGTGAAAGGCCGTATATGGAATGAAATATGCGGTCCACGTATGATGTGCTTGTATATCCAATAGAAAGACATCAAGGGAGAGGAATGGATATATGTACAAGTTAAGGATTCTGTCGGTCGAGGAGGAGATGTGTGAAGTTAGGACGTAAACATGAGTCGTAAGCGGCTGGGGCCCTTCTTCTTCTCTTTGGACTTGGGAGGTTTCTCGCTTTCGGAGATGTAAGTGCCAGCTTTTGATGATGCGCGACGGGGGTTTTGGCTGGAAGCCTTGGTTGGGGCCTTTGTTGGGGCTTTGGATGGAGCCTTGGATCTGGAAGGTCGGGAAAAGAATCCCGTGGGAGCCTCAGACGGAGGAGCCCTGGAGCGGCGCTCACTGTGCCGCTCTGAAGGGGTATGGGTTGGAGCGCGAGATGATCGGGAACGACGAGAGCGACGGGACGAGGCGACTGAGCCATCGTCTTCGAATTTGAAGCGAGGGTCGCGGCGTGCTCGCGCGGTGGTTACGTCAATGCCGGACATGGCTGCGGCAGTTGGTGTGATGAATTCACCGTCGACAGAGGTTCCCAGGCTCTCGGCCTGCACGTCTGCGACACCGCGTCTCCACATATCAACGGAGCTGAGTGCTTCGGCGTTGAGCTCCATCATATCTTCCATTTCCATTTCGGGTTGAGGCTGTTGCGGGTTTGGAGCTTCGGTGTCATTGCCCTGGATCCTCTTGATGATCCTGTATCCACCGAACATGACGACAGTCACACCCAGACCGACTCCAGCGGCGATGAGGAACTGCGGACTGGAAAGGAGGGCGAAGACAGCAGGGGAGGCTGACTTGAGGGCGGTCAGTGCGGTGGGCGCCATCTTGCGGGCGATGTTACTGATCTCGGCTAGAGTCAGGGCGACTGCAGCCATGGCATCTGGGTTCTTCTGAAGGTGGGCAATAGTAGCAGTAGCACCGTGTTGCACACAGTGTGCCTCCTCTAGGAGCCACTGAGCACGATGAACGAGTCCATCCAGCTCCTTTTGGTCATTGTTTGGTTCCTGGGGGGTGTATCGGGATAATGCTGCAGGAGAAGCATCCCCGTATGCAAGATCCATGTCGATATGCGCATCAGATCTGGACCGAGCCGTTGACGGACGCGGAGCGTCCCGCACCGTGACGTCGTGATGGGTATGACGACGAGCGATTGTCTGTGGGGGTCCATATTGAGAGTCCCGACGAGACACGACCGTCCGTCCATCACCATATTGGGATGGAGCGCGGCTACGACCGCTGTGATGTCTTGATCTGGTGCCACGGCTCCGGCGCGAACCCGCGGCAGACGGCGCATCATCAATCTGATAGCGCTCTAGCTGTTCAAGGAGCTGCTGTTCGGCGATTTTGGCATTTCGCTCTGATTGATATGCCGACTTTCGCTCGCGGTAGGCATCCTTGGCATGGTTGAAGACTCCGAACAATTGCTTACTCTGATACCTGTCAGAATGCGGGGGAAACCGGACCGTAGATCAAACTTACCGTGCTCACCATCTTACCGGACTTGTCAATCACGGCGATGGTTTGACCGAACGGCATGGCGAGTGATGAGTCGTAGCGACGACTATCGGAGAATATCACTCATGAGAGATCGACGGGTAGCGGTGTAAGGGTTGAAGACCCTGATTTACTTCGAAGTAACGAAAGAGTCCAGGGTAGGAAAAAAAAGGCAAGGCACAGGGATTTCACGCTTAATAAGGCAGTTGAGTTTGCAACCCCAGAGATCAACGCAAAAGTCCGATCGGAGGCGTCCAGCGATGTCTTATGGTAGAGTGGAGAGGGAGGCTGGGTATGGCACCAAGGCGCATAAGTTGGGCAGAGCAGCGAACGGGAGAGCATGCAGGCTGTAGGGCAGAGCGTGGTTGGGTGCCACCGAAGGCAGACACGTATCAAAGGTTCGATGAGTTCACATCACATATCACACCCGATAAGTTGGGCGCGAAGACAGCTGATCTGCGGTCTCGGTGTACTGTTGTCCTGTAGATGGTAGAAGAGATTTTGCAGGGATTTTCCAGGGCTTTCCTAGAAATTAAGGATATCTCGATATTATCAGCTAAACCAGCCAAAAAACAAATTAAACCTGAAGTTTTCACTCGAAGATATCTCGCTATAGAAAGAGCGGTGACCTCTGAGCCCTGATTGGCTGCCTGGGCCACCGCCACTGTGGCTGCTTCAGCCACACGTGGCGGTGCAGCCATGTGTCGCTGAGGATGAGTATGTATTCTCTTCTCTTCTTCTTTTGATATCTGAGTTACCCCTTGTTAGGACTTGTAACACATTCCATGACACTATCTGACCATCAATGGCGCAATCCCTGTGCAACTTGGTCTGAGACACCCCAAGCCATGTCCTGTAGAGTACATTGATCACAGATGGGCACCTGCAGGCCTTGCTAGTCCAGAATCCAAGCTCCAATGACGAGATCCAGGGGTAAACAACTATGCTACAGTATACTCCGTAGGGTCCGAGAGTTGAGGCCTTATCTCCCCGAGACCTTTTATTAAATAAGCCAGATCATCGGTGAACATGTACCTATACGCGTACCTCTCTGAGATTTGAGAAACATCTTCTCCAACTTCCCACGTTGACTTCATCTATAACAAAATATGGTCGTACGTCGACCTAGTACCCCTTTAGCTCGACTATTGTGGGAGCCCAGGTATGTATAGAATTTCTATCTTGAACCTCCTGGAACCTAAGACCAGCGACCGGAGATGCGAATATGCGAACATGCGAATATGCATAATCCACAAAAGATAAATGTTAACGGATAGACCAAGTTGTTGCCGGAATCAAAGGGATGCCAGGGGTAAGTTCGAATATTTGATCGATGGTGCAATTTGATGTTTTTTTGTTGTTCCGCACCGCCTCGATGATTCATCCTTTTTTTTGGTTGGGAACTTCAATGTCTCCAACCTCATTCCTCAGAACATGAATTGAAAGTGCTTAGCGTTCTTCTGTTTGGTTTAATTATTTTTGTGGAGCCCCGAGAACACCAAATCAACACTGACTCATGTGCGCAATGGATCTAGAATCCGTGAGCGCCTCCGCCTCCGACGTCGAGGAAGGCAGAACCTGGGGCTCAGATGCTCGATCGCTAGTGACTCAAACAATCGACGATGCCAGCAGTGCTCATCCCTCGAGAGACTGCGGCATCGGCCATCGCGTTCTGGCGAGTCGCTCCGTTCTCGCTCTGGTTGTCGATGAGCATTGTGTGTTTGCTGGTCTCCAGGGAGGTGACATTGTTGTAAGTTGGTGCTTGGACTATATTTTGATAGCAATTTGCTTCAAACTCTCGATTGAATCACTACGAGTTCTTGTCTGACCGTTCTGCCAGGCGTGGTCCCTTGAAACATATGATCTCGTGCTCTCCGTACACGCACACAAAGAGAGTGTCCTAGGTCTTTATCTGTCCACTGATGGTAACCTACTATTTTCAAGCGGTGGCGACTCTGTTGTCAATGTAAAGTCTCTCTGCGAAGCATCTTGTGAATGGATATTAATTGTGTCAGGTATGGTCCACAAGGACATTTGAACGTCTCTACTCAATCTATTCCCATCATGACGTGGGCGATATTTTCACAGTGGTATATTCCTCAAATAACCAAACTATCTACTGCGGTGCCCAGAACACGAGTATCCAGGTACGCGACCCTGTTTTCTCTCCATGTCAAGCTTCTAATATGGACAGTGGTGTGATCTCTCCGAGGAAGGGTCAACGCTTAACCATGCATCATCTGCCCACCTCACTAAGCGGACACATCGCTTCTTTGATTCCCGTGGGCCGGACGGTACTCGAGCCCCGGGGTCATTAGATGGGTCCCATTCCGTCTCCGATGGTGGTCGCATGTTGAGCTTCAAGCGGGACCATCATAAGCTCTTCGCCCACCATGGCTACGTCTACTCTATGCTTCTCGTCAAGGGAATTGTCGAATCAGCTCCTTCCGAGGAGGTTCTCTTGACCGGTGCAGGTGATGGCGTGGTCAAGCTGTGGCGTCTGGACCAAGAGCCTGAAGCTTCTCCGTCTCAGATTGCCAAGCTGCAAAACGGTGACCCTGTTCTGTCTGTCGCTGTGGAGGGATCATTGCTCTATTGTGGTTTGGCGGGCGGTGCGTTGAACATTTGGAACTTGGATTCTCAACAGCTCGTCAAGCGGATCACTAGGCATACGGGGGATTTGTGGGCCGTGCACGTCATTCAAGGGATTGCCATCTGTGGTGACTCCAGTGGAACAGTCAAGGTATGAATGGTTGCCTCTTTTGCGATCAATTGCTGATGTCAACCAGAAATTCAACTCGCGATTTGAGGAAGTTGGTGGCTGGGTTGCGCATGAGGGTACTATGCTTGCCTCGGCTGCTGGCAGGTTCAAGGACCGTCAGATCTACGCCACTGGTGGAAACGACAACTCAGTTGGTATTTGGGACTTGACTGAATTCTTTATGACTCAAGAAGAGTTACCACCAATCAGCAACGGTATGTCCCAAGGGTGTTAACTACTGCTGAACTGCTCTGACTCCTCTTAGATGAAATGGTCAATAGTCTTGCAAAGTTTGTCTCCTACAAGACCATCTCAGCAAGTCCCAAATTTGCCGGCGAATGCAACCAAGGAGCTGCGTTCCTTCGACGACACTGCAACTACCTCGGTGCCAAGACGAAGCTCTTGACCACTGGAGAGGATACTAACCCCATTGTATTTGCCAGATTCAATGCAACCTCACCTAACAAGGTGGACAAGACTATCCTTTTCTACGGCCACTACGACGTTGTTGGCGCAGAAACGAACCGACCCAAGTGGAGAACTGATCCGTATCAGCTTACTTCCATCAACGGATTCCTCTATGGTCGTGGTGTCTCTGATAATAAGGGACCCATTCTCGCATCTCTCTATGCTGCAGCCGATCTCGCTAGAACAAAGACCTTGCGATGCAACGTTGTGTTCCTCATTGAGGGCGAGGAAGAGTCTGGATCCCAGGGCTTCCACGAGACAGTCCGTCGACACCATGACCAGATTGGAACCGTTGATTGGGTTCTTCTAGCCAACAGTTATTGGCTTGATGATTACAACCCGTGCTTGACTTACGGTCTTCGCGGTGTCGTTCACGCGAACTTGGTCGTCACAAGCGACCACCCCGATCTACACAGCGGTATCGACGGTAGTACCTTGCTGGATGAGCCAGTCAAGGACATTGCCATGCTTCTATCCACAATCGTTGGTCGCAAAGGCCAGATCAATCTACCAGGTTTCCATGACGCTGTTCGTCCTCTCACCGACGCTGAGCAGAAGCGCTTTGAGGCTATTGCAGATGTATTACTTCTCCAGCACCCGGATATTCCCAACAGTCAAGCGCTTATCAAGTCGCTCATGCACCGTTGGCGTGAACCCTCACTCACCGTCCATTCCGTGGAGGTCCCTGGAAGCAAGAGTTCCACGACAATCGCCCGACGGGCCAAAGCGACCTTGTCAGTTCGCATCGTGCCCGATCAACAAGCAGACGAGGTAGCTGCAAATCTCACAGCCTACGCCCAGGAACAATTTGCTCTCCTCGACTCACAAAACGACCTCACAGTGGAGATCACCGGAAAATCAGACGCCTGGCTGGGAGACCCAGACAACCAAATCTTCGCCACTCTGTCAGAGGCCATCACTGCCGCATGGAGTCAAGGCCAAGATAATGTGAAACATCAGTACCCTCCCATCCCCCCGAGCCCAAACAACCAACCAACAGTCACGCCCAACCCGACCAGAGGATCCATACCGACGCTCATTCGCAAAGATTCATCTGACAGCGTCGCTTCGCAAGTCGAGCGGGTAATCACCTCAACAACCACCTCATCCGTGGGCAAAGAAGCAGCCAAGCGCGCCGCGCAAACATCGGCTACAGTCCCGACATCCTCCACCCTTACACAAAGCACACCCACGTCTTCTGAAGAATCGGTCGCCTTGCCAATTCGAACCAAACCCGACCCTCCTACTGACGTCAAGCCATCACCGCCTCTCTCTGTGAAACCAATGTTCATCCGCGAGGGTGGTTCTATCCCGACGATCCGGTTCCTGGAGAAGGAGTTTTCAGCCCCCGCTGCTAATCTACCATGTGGCCAAGCCAGCGACAACGCTCACTTGGATAACGAGCGAATGCGTGTGGAGAACTTGTACAAGAGCCGTGAAATCTTCCGATATGTGTTCGAGCATTTGGTGGACAAGGCATAAGTCATCAATCGATAGGTGTGACGGGTGCGGAGTGAGTGTCGCCATCTCTGTGGGAGTTTTTTCTCGGGTCTCGGCTTTTCTTTTCTTTTTCTTGTTTTTCTTTTTGCATTCTCATTTTGTGTAAACTACAAACTATAAATTACATTGACTGCATCTGATGTATCTCACGGCCTTCCAAAGTTGGTGGCTTCACATGATAACGTGAGAGTAAGCTAAGTGTCACCAAGTACGGAACCACAGACCCAAAGGCCCAGACTCATACTCACACAGTACACCGAGTAATTCCCGACCTTCCAATTGACACACCTCTTTGACGTTTAACGGCCATAATGAGAACACTAGCGCACCTATCACCACCCAGACAGGTTACCTTCGTAACATCCACCCTCACCCGCTTTTGGCTCCACCATGGCCATGTGTTTTAGTTCGGCCGTCCTGGTTCCCCGCATGCCAATCCTCCTATTCTTGTTCCAGTTCCAGTTCCATGCACATGCATGTATTACTCCGCTTGTGTACTTTGTACGTTCGTAGTATACGACTGCTCCCAAGCTTCGATCGATCGTTTTATATCGCTACACCGTATGAACAGTGGTATCCTAACAAAAGAACTCGGCTGCGCCAATCAGCCCAATGCAAACGCCCGGAAGCAAGCCGGCATCCGGCAGTTCGGTCCAAGCTGTTCTATACGAAACGGGGGACACAGGCATGATTCTTTCTTTGTTTGGTGGAGGGCCTATTACGTCGTATCTCTATACTGCATCACGAACTCGTGGATCAGAGCTAAAATGCTGCATACAGGAGACAGGTCTGATTACCACACGGAAGAGGGGGAAGGAAAGAACTAAGTTGATCCTAATGTAGAGGAATGGGGTCTAAGTTTCGACTTTCTTTGTGCGCTGGCCTTAACGCCTTGACTCTTCGATGCAGTTCTGATTAGATTGTTTGCCGTCCCACTTGTTTATGGAAACCTTCATTTTTTTTGCTTTTCTCGGGTGCTTTTAATACTTGGTTCGTTCCCTTCCTTGTAGAGTTTGTTTTCTGGCCTTGTCTTTTCTCTGGGCTCTGTCTTCTTCTTCTACTTCTTCATTGGTCTGCTCCTGGGACTTTTATTACCTTTCATTATGGGAAGTATCTCTAACGAAAGTGTCTATCTCCTTAGTCGGGATGGTGCTGAAACTGAACGGTATGTCCCTTGTTCTCGTTGCTTTTTTTTTTTTTTTGGAGGAGTTGGGGGCCACGACATCAGTTTACTTCGCACATACACATCATGAGCTACTACTACCCCTTTTACGTGGGAAGATTTTACTGCAATTTCCCATAGTTCCACCAAGACCTTTTTGAAGAAACTCACGGGCCGATCCCTGTCATAGCTACCCTCCAGTCCCGGCAGTTCGGCCAATCTACTACGAGTCTCCACAGCCCCAGTTCAATTTCTTCACTAATGCACTACTCAATAGCCTCAACAACCAACACCGATTCCTAGTGGAAATCTCGGGAAATATTCTACACGCATCAATCCCCGCGAAAAACATAACTTCAGTCGCCGATCTGGGCACGGGAACAGGGTATGTGAAAATCCCATGCTATTCCCATTTAGCCTTCCAACGCGCACGGCAAAACAGGAAAATAAAATTAAAGCACCAAAAGAAACTTCCTGTACGACCCAAAAGTTAAGTTACGCTGACCCGCCCCAGGATATGGCTTGAAGATATCGCAAAATGCCTCCCCAATAAATCGGTCTACCTCCACGGGTTCGATATCTCTTCTGCGCAATACCCATCCGGCAGTGAGATCCACCGACCAGGAAGGAATCCGATATTGTTGAGTGTACATGATGCACTACACCCTTTTCCGATTGAACACCATGCTCGGTATGACCTTGTTCATATCCGGCTTTTGACGGCCGGGTTGAAGTATGCGGATTATGCTACTGTTCTTGCGAATGCAAGAGATCTGTTGAGTATATATATGCCTACCCACCCCCACCCCAAGTATATACTAACAAAACAGAAGAACCAAACGGCTACCTCCAATGGGAAGAAGTCGACCACACAGCATTCTGCACAGACAGCATCCCCGAAAACCCCGCAATAACCAAACTCCGCCAATCGGTAATCGAAGCCATGCTCAAACTAGGCCTGTGGCCCTTCGCCCCCCAGCATGTACACCACCAACTCTCTGCAGGCGGGTTCCGCGATATACAGCGTGCTACGTATACGACTATAGGCAAGGAGGGGATGCGGGCTATTTCGCAGAAATGGGTTGCTGGTGTTATGCGTGCGCTTGTTCCGGCTTCTATGGTTGTTACTGGTGAGGCGAGGGATGAAAGGCAGGCTAAGGAGGTTGTTGAGCGGTTGGTTGGGGAGTTTGATGATCATTGTCTCGGGGCGAGGGTACTTGTTAATTTTGGTGTTACTGTTGGGAGGAGATGTGATTGATTTTATTTGGGGTTTTGATATTGTACTGGGCTTGGAGTTGGATGGGATGGGTGGTTGTCTCTATTTTTATGTTACTATGGGCTAGGCTAGGCTGGGTATTACTGGTTTGGGAGACTATAGGAATTAATTTTCTTTATTATTTTGATTCTTAAATGGAGCCTTGACTTTCGATTCCCAGTTGCTACAGGCAGCTCAAGAAATGTTCAGTGTCTGCGACATAAGACCAGGGCGATCGAGCAATTAGCAGCAGCCTCATAAACGTGATCCGATAATAGGCTCGAGCGATTTCACTGGAGAGGGCACGGCCATCAGCACGGGCTGGTAGCAGGACTAGTCACAGCATGCGTTCCTTTCGTTTAGCAGACGAAGGGGCATAGCCATGTGTTTGAGCAAAAGAGCAAGTTCCACAAGTATGAGAGATTTTGGACGCATGAGAACCATAAGCACAACGAAGAAGGACCTGTTCACAATTGTCAAATCTCCTGCTCATCGCCATTCGGGTTGACGCTACCTTGACAAGGACTATACCGCCCAGCGGGGAGAATATCCAAACATTTGTTCGAAGAGTATCTGCGAGATTATGTCCTGGCTGTCGACATCCTTCTCTGAGATACTGGAAGACCGACAATGTGCGATGTGATGGATGCCATCTTGATCTTGCGCAAGAAACTGGCCGGGCCTCTCGGCCCGGGCGGAATACATATCAGCCTATACTTGACATCTGTCCGTGCCTACTTCTCTGCATACTTCCCATTTAGGAATAGCACATCGTTATAAATGCTGTTTTGCTCGAGGCGTTTCCGAAGGTGGCCGGTGATCTCTGCGAAGCTCTCTTGGTTAGTAACCAGAGCTTGACGTGTAGGCAGTTGGGCTTCGAAGCATTTTTGAACAACATCTTCAGCAGCATTTTGTGGCGCCTCTTGCAGTAGAGACGATTCTTGATGTGTCAAGGATTCAATGTAAGACCTCGCATTACCAAGCAGATGCTCAAAATTGCACAGGCTACTTCCTCTTTCAAATACCCCTTAAGCGCAACGAATCCAGGCCACCGGAGTACTAGAGCGCGTATGGAGTGTTTTGGCTTTTCGCCCGAGACTTTGGGATATTCTGATTCGGGGCAGAGTTCCTGTGTTTGCTCACCCTCTTATCCACTTAGCCGAATAAAGATTAGGACCATACTTTGTCCTCCTATTGTGGTACGAACTAAGATCCAGCTCCTGGTTCGCCAACTCTCCCTCCTCGTTCACCCACTCCGTCCAACATATAGAGTGTGGAGTCCACCTCCGACGAGGATGACCAGGATGACTTCTCACCATCGGGACGCTGGGCCGTCGCTGGTTTTGAGACACCTACACCCAGCACTCCCACTCCTCGTGGGATCATTTCCATCTCCGGCCTCCGTCATGCCTTAACAGGTAAAGCAGGAAGAAGAGCCGCCCCCTCCGCCCTGTGGCTTATCCCCGACATGTGGCGTGGTGCATGCACTGTTTCCGGACCTTCTTGGAAAGCTGGGACACCGGTGGACCACCAGTGATCCCCCGCTGGGACTGCCGTCAGTGCGCCAACAGCAACAAGAATTGCGAGCCTCTGAGTGATTCCCATAAGCATGGTGTTATGATGGCAGCTAACCAGCGTTTCTCTGTAGGTGAACGAGGGTATCCTTGGTGATGCGATGCGTCTTCAGTGCATTCTTGACTGGTAATTGCGCTTCGTGCTCCTCTGGGGCAAAGATAACAACCTCCTGTGCTCCTCCCGCGAGAGCAGTCACGAGAGGCCCCAACAAGAGGCCATGGTTCTTGTAGATTGTGGAGACAATGAGGTATTCCCTAGAGAGCACAAATGTGAATCCATCACAGATTTTACAGCATTCTCTGTTCTGGTTGACCTATTCATTGCTCTTGTTGCCCACAAAATATTAATCTCCGTTGGTAACCTGAACTGTGTTCGCTTACGGATTTCTCTATGGTAGATGGTCTCAAAGTATTTCAGGTTCATATTTCCTCATTAGATGACCAGTGGGATCTTCCCCAGCTATATGAGCCCAGGCGCCTGCAAAATGGACGACAAACATGCCTTTTTCCCATTTCTTCTTGTGCGTATCGTAGCAGCCAATTTCTTCAGGAAAGGCATTAATTGTCCACTGAGGAATACGCATTGCATGCTGGGTAAGCGGGGCGTTGCTCTTGAGAAATGCTTCCATTGAGTCTTGGTCTCCCAATGATCTTCCACTTTGTTCCTTTTCTCTGTCGTGGATAGCGCGGATTGCGTTGAGAAATTGTATGGAGCGTGATGATGACCGCACAATAAATGAACCGTCGTTGAGTCCGTTACTAAATAGTAATTAGAAAGCAGACTTTCCATGATATACTTCGCGTGGCCTTTTGAATTGCTTACCAATCGTCCGTCACCAGGAAATCAATCGTGTCTGGCATTGGAGCCTTTGCCAGATACTCATAAATGAGATTCGTCAAACTCATGCTGTGGTTTGTGATAAGAGTGTCAAAGTCCATGTACCAGATCCAGTCGTGCTGTCCGGCATTGATAACACGTTCAACCATGTCGAACTTAAGCCATGTGGTGCCTCGTGTAGAATAAGATTCGTAATCAATAAATAGGTCGTAACCATGGAGCCTAGCATAATCTGCAGAGACAAAATAAAGTCAGTGATCTTTCTGTAAATAGATTTATGCGCAAATCAAATTCGGAATATTAGGATTGCATACGATCTTTATTTCGAAGAGCAAGATGAATGTATGTCTGTGGGTTCGTAATGAAGGCGATCATTGCCACTCGAGATTTCGGGAGACTATTATGGCGACTAGTATAGTCAATTTTGCTCCAAAATTTCTGACCAGCTATGAGCTGCCAAGTCAAGAATGATAATAATAGTAGAAAGATGATCGTGTTTCGAATCGACCGAGGTGTGCGACGAAGCATTTGCTTTGGTGTTCTCGCTTCGCGTATTTGGAAGCCAAAGCCATACCATCCGAGTGGTACCCACTGTCTGAACATAATCCGCCGAAGTTCGGTCGTGTAGCAAGAAGGTGTTCTATAAACTTGCTCACGTGCACGATCCTTGAGTTCGACTCAGTTGCAAAATAAATGAAGTGATGAATAGACTTTATAATACCCTATTACTCGATTCTGTTTAGAATCGTTCAAGGAAATATGTAAAAATACGTAGTGTACTGTCTTGTGCTAATGCGACTCGCACTTGCTTATACAGTATAGCGGGAATGCATAATGCGCTTACCTAGGAGACAGGGTTCTTAGCATTCCTACAAAACAAATTCCTAGATGTCAACTCTAGGGTTTTCGATGCTACAGTAATGTTGCAAAAGTATTTGGCCGCCGATACTTCGCCCCTGGACCCACTTTTTAACATTGGCAGAAACCTCAGGAATTCAATTCAATTTAATAGCTAGTATGCCAGCCCTCATACTTAATAACATCAGCCACCCTATGTGGCATAGTCTCGGAGAGATGCTTGAAGACCTCAATGTCTAGCGTTTCCTATGCTTCTTGCGCAGCATTAAGCAGTAATTCTAGCGTATCTCCGTTATTTGGTAGGTGCATAAGCCCAGGATGACGCTTCAATATTTCGGCTTTCAGCAGCGCCTTTAGGTTCTCAATGGGATTTAAATCAGGTGAATAGGGTGGCCGTTTTATAATTTCCCATTCAATATCATTAAGAGCGTCTTGTACGATATATATAGTGTGAACGGGGATATATATAGTGTGAACGGGCGCGTTATCTTGCTAAAAAATAGCATTTTGATTAATACTAGTAAGTAGCGTAGGTAGGACACACCGACAAAGCTCTTTAATTGTACATAAAAACACACCTCTACGACGAGACTGCGGATCTCCGAATAGTGAAATTAGGCTAGAACGATGCGGTGAACCTAAAATATCTGCTTAATTTGCTTCCTACGCGTCGGAACCATTTGTACTTAATGTCCTTCTTCGTGATGCTGGAAAAGCTAGTCTTTCGGACGTGTAAAGGTCCATTCTTGACGCTGTCCGATACCACGTTCAACCGTACATTCGTCCGACCAATAGACACGGGCCCAATCCGTAGACGTAAAATACTGATATCTTCGGGTCCAATTTAGGCGTTTTTCGGCGTGTAAAGGCGTTAAAGAGGGCCGCTCTATTTTTCGCTATTTTCGAAGGCCCATTTCGTGGGTAAGGCGCCAAATTGAATGGCGTTTGGCCTTATAGTCGACCTCTCCTAGGAGATCTTTAGTCAAAATCGACGGGTTTCGTTATATAGTATCGTATATATAATCACGATCTTCCCTAGCAAGCTTCCTAGGACGGCCCGTACGTGGTAAGACTCCTGCTTTATACGCTTCGATTCTTGGGTTAAGGTGTATTGAATAGTCGAGCGTGGAATATCAGGAAATCGCCTCTTTTTGATAGTTTTTGCACCCCAGTTAGTAGTGGCATGTAATTCACAGATTTTAGCCCTCGTAAGGCAGTCGAGGTCTAGGCCCCTTTTCCCGCGTATAGGAGGCATAATTAAGTGAGAAAACTGCGAGAATTGTACTAAAACGTGTTGATATATAACTTAGCGTGTATACTAGCATGATGATGAACGCGAGAGTTCATGGTCTAAATAGTAGGCGGTCTATGCTAGCGGTCAGGGGCCCGAAGTACCGGCGGCCAAATACTTTTGCAACACCACTGTATGGTGCATTTTCCTAATGGTGCGAAATACGAGTGAAGTATGTCCTGGACATCAAAATTCCAAGAGGATCAGACCTCTTGTTCCTACATACTTTCAGGTCTAACATAGTAAGATGCCAAGACTAGTGCCACGCTAGCGTATACCCCTTTCTAGGCGCTTAGGAATGACGGTATATCCGACCTTTAATAAGGATAAGCTTTCACTGGATGGAGCCAAGTGCCAGCCACACAGTAAAGAGGGACTCCGCACGGTACTCATGCCGTAATCTCCAGCAAAATGCGGATCTTGAACTTTATTTTCTCGATAAATTTATATGATAATCTATTCTTAAAAAATTTTAAGCTAAAACAAAGCATCAGATCCATGATATATCTCCCTATGAAAGAGCCAAACTCCGTGGCTGTTAAATAATAATTAATACAAACCGAAGACTAACCGTGAATCTCCGTTTTATATAGTGCCGCGCATAGTAAATCTGTGATTGGAATACTTCGCAAAAGGTTGAAAATTGATAAATCCACATACAATGTCTTATTTAAATAGTTTATATATGTTCTGCCTTGATTTTGAGGTAATTAAGAAGAAAAAAGAATACTTTAGAATGTATTCGCGTATAATTTGGTCGACGAAATGAAGCTTAAAACCCGCATTTTTGCTGGATATTCTGGCATGAGTACAAACTTTGTCCCCTTATTGTATATTGATTATGTCTTTATCGGTGAGCTTGTTCCCTATACACCGAATATATCACTATATCGTGCCACATCACGAAAAGTCTATTATCACATATAAGTTGGTTTAGTTGCGTGATCAAGAAACGCATTATTTTGCTAATATACCATAGTACTCCGTTCCTTGATAAACCCCTTTCAGCCCCCGATTATTACTTATATCTTTTATAAGTTTCGGTGAATCGGGAAGCGGAAAACTACATTAATAACTACAGTATATACCGCTTTAGTGCATCCAAGCCCCCTCGAATACCTTGTTCGTTTGTCTTCTTTCCATTGGAACAACAGTTTATATAATACTGTTTTCCCCCCGAGGTCCAAAGTAGAGGCACTCATCATTCCTAAGAAAGAGTACGAATCAATTATATAACATCGCGTATTTTGGGTATTAATATGCACCGTTCTTAGGGCTTTCTTTTTCACTGAACCGAGGCTGCTATAGGATTAAAAAAAAAAAAAAAAAAAAAGAAAAAGAAAAGAAGAGAATATGACTTTCTTGGTAGAATACGCTGGCTATCTCTTCCTAATTCGCACTTCATCTGTCTCACACTCGATAGCAATTTAATAAGGGGTTAGGAATGTAGGTATAAGCACTAAGCCTCAAGATTTTATCGAATATTCCTTAGGACACGAAGGTTAGGCCAGGAGTACACACGGACAATCAATCAGACGCTACAAGACTCGATTCTGATTGCCGGAATTTGCGCGCATACCATAACCCCCTAACTTTGACATTAGCGTCGTGTAGAAAAAATGTTAGTTTTCCACATTGTAGGAAACATATCCAAGCAGTTTATTTGTGATAACAATACTTTAATGACCGTGAGCACCCTATATATAACTCCCCCCGCCCCGCTGAGAGGGTAAGACGAGCTGCTTTTTAATACAACGAGCAGTACGACAGGTTCAAACCGATATTCTTATCTCTACTACAACTTTCATCGTTTAAGCAAACGTCCTTGCAAAGATGCTTTTCTCTCTTCTTACGCTTTTGTGCTGTGCTTTTGTCACCGCGCTCCCCGGAGAACACGGTCCAGAAACGTGGGGTGGACCTAAGGGTGGTGGTGGTGGAAATGGGAATAAGTTCATTAGCGGCGGAAATGGTGGCGGGGTTGGGATTGGGATTGGGGGTGGCGGTGGTGGTGGTGGTACTGGTTGTGACCCAGTCGCCTGTGACATCAAGGTAAGATATGATACATCCATGGATATCTGAGAATTTACATGGGTACTAACATATTGATTCATTAAAGTGTCGAAAATTGGGTGACCAATCTGGTTACTGTGACAACAGTGATAGATCTACAGGTTTACTTGGACTTGATATCCTTGGAGAAACTATGCCGTTAGTCTTTTTCTTGATCTTCTTGGTATAGTAGAGCCATCTAAAAGCTAATATGAAATAGAGGCTGCATTTGTGTACCAACAACCACGACAGATTGTACTACAACTGCTACAGCCACGACCACCGTTACCAGTTCAACCTGCTCCGTTACAGTCACGTCTACGGGTACAGCAACCACCACGTCCACAATCACCTCTACGGGTACAGCAACCACCACCACCACGTCCACAACCACAACCACCGCTACTGCTTGCCCTACTGTCGCATGCTTCTGCTGCACCAACCAGACCCAACTGGGTGACAATTTCCTTACCGGTACATGCGACACTATTCCGAACTCTGGAACCTGCCCTGTAGGCAATGCACAAGGTCGAAGCCACAAAGTCTGCTGCAATGGTGCTGGAACTTGCCAGCAGCTAACTTAATCATATTGGATGTATTACTTGTCCAAGGTTTGGGTGTCCAAATTTCCGCTTGTTTCGCTCCCTTCATTCGGGTTTCAACCCTCAGTTACCGGTGACTTGAAGACTTTATTCTCTCAAGTAATTAGCTGGTTTTTATTTGTCGAGGACCTTGATGCGTATTACTATTTAATTAACAACTTCAGCAAAGCGTCTTGTTTCTCCTGCTTGTTTTGTGATCTTGTCTTATTGATGTCTTCCACATCTTGAACAAGAGCTCGGCTTAAGGAGTCATTCGATAGTTTTCTCTTCTTAATTTGATTTCAATTCTCTTGCAACTATTCTATTAGAAATGAAGCTAGCGTCAACATTGATAACCCGCGAAAGTAGGTGGGTCACCACCGAACTCTGGGTTTGATCTTGAAGGAAGAAAATCGAAGCCATTGAAAAGATCACAACCTAGAACGACCTCACAGACCGCGGCTTTCGAAACCGAAAACATTGCCTGGCTGAAGAAAAGAGACAAAGAGTTGGGAATGTTTGCCTCGATGGGCATCTGGTTTGATTCGTTAGAGGCAGCGGAGTGGATGCTCGACAATGGGCTGCTGATCGATCAACGGTACATTGGAAGAGTGTTCAAGAACTCAAGAACTGATCCAGCTTTCGTTATCGGAACACAGGAACAGCTCCCAAAGACCCGATGGGGAATTCATCACTCGGTTCGAAAAGGTTTATGGTGACATTGTCTCCGTTGGAAGCAGTGATCAAGGTCCACGTCCTCATCCTTTAATTATCCCCTCCTGATTTCATGGCCGCTTGATGTAGAATAGAGCGCTTGGTGTAACGCCTAAGCCCCAATAATAATAAGCATGCCAAAAACACCAGAAATTGATGGTTCTATCAATCCTAACGCCTTCGTCTTCCTTAAGACCTCACAAACCGCAACATCCCACCACCTTTAGACCCAGAACAGTCACGAGATAAAATGATCGCGAGCCTCCCATGGTCGACTCGAGATTCCATGCCACATAATACTTCGGTGACTGAGTAAGCTGACCGCAGTTGGCTGATGTCGCTGGATGTAGCCATGGTAGATATTATACGATCGCTCTTCGGCACGACCAAAAATCAACGAGCGTTGTGCTCTTGGGAGACTCCAATCACCATGATTCAACACGGAGCGGCAATCATATCCAACCTCGGTTCATAGAGGATGTAAACGAATTGATTGAATTCTTCTAAACCCGCCGCCTACGCGGCTGTCTTCCCGTGTACGGTCGATCACCCTCTTGTCTCTGAGCCACCCGGGAAGGAACTCCACCATCGACCAAATCGTAACGAACCGGCCGGACCTGCTTGTGAAGTGTCATATTTATCACGAAAACTACGGATCAGATCACCGCGCAACGTAATCTGACTGGAGCCTCGGGTCCCAATGCAAGGCTAAATACGAGAAAGACCCTACGACCACGCAAACTGGGATAAGATCGGCGACGGGGTGCTTTGACAAGTTGGTGGATGGAAGGATGGGGAAATGAGACGGGCACTGCGGGTGATAAATTTACTCCCAACCTGTGATCAACGCCGTACTTTAAACACTGGTTCACCCAGATCCCAAAATACAACAAACCGAGGCCAATCACCTGCGCCGGAGGTGGCGGGAGAGCTGCGAGGAATTCGGACTAGACCATACCCGCTCTATGACACTCTTCAAGACATGCACCAAAACGAAGGACATGGGCTCGGGCCATCGAGAAAGCCATATTATCACGTTGGAAACAATTTCTAGACGGAACTCTGGATTGGAAACTCTTAAAAAGCTACCACCTATATGAACTAGCGAGAAGCCTGGTGTGTATCCCGGGCTCTGCAAGTCGGCACCGACGAGCTCACTAAGTACGAGGAGAAGGCGCAAACTTTCTCGGACAGTTTCTTCCCTAAGAACGACGAGCCCCACGAGGTCCGCTAACGCTGGCACTTTTGGAACTCCCGTGGCAACCTATCACCGGGTTAGAGATGCAGCTATCTCTCAAAGCTGCAAAAAGCTCCACCGCACCGGGCGAGGACGGTCTTTTAACGCTCACATTTACCTACTGCATAGGTTGGTTGGTTTGCCCTAAGCTCCATGCAAACCAGGAAATATTCCAGTATCCCGTCCTAGCCGTTTGATAGGTTTTCAAAGATATTGTGTGGTTCCCCCAAGCCGACAGTAAGTTGTATCCACATGCGACAAGGTCAGTCTAACGGCTCGCATTCGTGGACCACGATCCATACATAGAACGCCACCGCCGGATATAATCTACGCAACATTAATAGAAGGTCAAACTTTAACCGTAACTTTAAATTACAGGCTAGTAAAAGATCGATTTGAAACCTTAAGTTAATTCGTCCCATGGAAGGATCATAAAACAACAATAATATCCAACCACTTATTCATCACCTTGGGAAAACTGAACTATGCCTGGGAAATATTTGATTCGCTGCTTTACTTCAATGAGCTGGATTGCGTCCGAGGAGGCAATTAAATCTAATACAATAGGATCTAGACTATCTAATCTAGTAGCAATTTGGCTCTATTGGAAGAGCCTTCCCACCCTAGTCTTATTCCGGCCTCTTAACCTTAACAGCCCCCAATATAGTATGACTTCTTAAAATCTAAATAAGTCAACTAATTTCGATTGTTCTCATGGTCCAGAACATATGTATGTCATAGTCGCATCATGTCTCACGAGACTACTTCTATAAGGGAAGTTGATTAGAGGCCACAGCAACTATAAAAAGACCCAACTGTCCTCTCTTTCAGCGTTCTGTTCAACATATATCCAAGACCAACAAGTTTGCTCTATATAACTTCTAACCCTTTCGTAACACTTCCGTTTGTGCTCAGAACGCAGGTGTGAAGATGCGATTCAGCACTATTGCCATTGTTCTTGCGGCTGCCACCGCCGCATCTGCTACATGCACACTCGACGACTCCGTGGAGCATTGCACGAAAGATTGTACTTGCACTTGCTCCTTCCTACCCACGCCAGGTTCTGGAAACCAAGGTTGTACCAGCAGAGTGCGAACTCATTTTACTTGTGGCTCCCCACAAACCGACACCACCACTGTAAAGTGTGATGAGGAATGTCCTCCTTGCGGCTGCCCTACAAAGCCGACTCCGCAATGCAAAGTGCCTGGCGATCCCGCTTGTGTCCAAGCACAAAGTGCTTGCGGCCCTGTCACTTGCGAATGTTAATCATAATGGTGAGTTCAAGGTGATAAGTTGAATTTCATTAATTGTGCTCTAATATTGCTGACAGCGTAAAAGTTTCAATTTCCTTCATTCTGGGCGATGGGGAGGAACAAAGTCCTTCGTCCCTGTTTGAATTCAAAGGGGGAAAGGGCTAGGAAATAAGATAGGAGGGCATCTTGAAGGGACAATATCGTTGAACTACTGCGACAAAAGTCTTTCGCTACCCACAGATTGTCAATTTCAATATTTCTTTTGTTTTCTGAACGGAGGACAGCATACGTAATCTTTTTTCACATTTCCTGTAAATCTGGCTAGTAGTGGCCTGCAAAGTGATCCTTGTATAAAGGATGGCGAAAATACATTAATTCTGTACCGTACGGTACAAACGCTCGATCGGGGATACAGTATTATTTTGACCGTTACTGAAAGGGTTTAAGTGTATCTTGGCACTGTGGCTGGAGAACAATGAAAGAGTGTAGGTGGTGGGCACCAATCTCCGGAAGTACTGTAGCTGAGTTGCTAATTTCAACTATTCGATTGTACGAGATTGTTTAAGTCCCAACCCAGTATCAAGTACTCCTCTACCTAAGTATTCTCTGGCGGTATTGTGAAGCAGGTGAACCATGCCGTCTTTGAATGTCAAAAAGGAGCCGTATTTCCGAATAATAAATTAGATTTAACTAAATCTGGTAACCCTGCAAGGACGTCAAATTTAGCGTAAGACGGCGGTCGAAGCGCGAAGTAGGAAGCCGCTAGAACTACTCTACAGTACTCCATGTTCTATCTAATTGCATTCTTAACCTTCTCTGTTAGACGATCATATAGGCTCTTAAGAGAGGGAGGACTTCGACCTTTCTAGGTGCGAATTCGAAGGGGAGGACCGGAAGCGAAAGAAATACGAATACTATTCGAGTCGGCGTAGCGAGTGTATAAATGTGAGCGTTATCTGTGGCGTATTTGAAGCAAGCTAATAGGTATAGGTTCCTCTTACGATTCGTAAGCCTATTTAGAGAGAGATATCGGCGCTTAAGCGGGCGGTATTATCCGGTAATAAGCGGAAGATCTGAAGAAGCAACGTAGGCTTATACACGCGTACTTCTATGTATATAGAAGGGTGAAGAAAGAATTAGCTAGCGGCAAGAGAGAGCGCCGAAGAGATCGAGCCTAGTTAAGGAAGAAGCAAGAGAAGAAGTAGCAGATAGGAAGGAAGCCGTAGCATTAGACCGATAGGGAGAGCCATTAGAAAAGTATCAATTGAGGTTATATATATATATTAACAATAGCAGTAAGGACGATAATAATATCAGAGACTAAACAAAGAACTGGACACGAAATAAGAAGAAATAGGACGTGATGTGGCCAAAAAGGTGAATTAAGGCGGAATTGCAAAAGTGATGGGATAGGGCAGAAAAAGGCGGTGAAAGCAAAAGCGAGTCGAAACATGCCGAGGCAAATATACATATTAGACATACATATTAGAAAGATTCGTCCTGGTGCACGAGGTCACTCTATTAACGACGGTCATATATACATAAATAGAAGAGTTCAACTGTTCAGGTCCTTCGTCAACGTGTTTCGTTGGGCCATTCAAAGGTAGTACTTACCAAAGTCCCAATAGGATGCTTGCGGTTCATCTGGCGCAATGAAGAAAAGAAAATTGAGACAGTGTATGTGCAGGCTCTTGGCAACATCAAAGGGGAAGCTGGAGAGCCAGAGAGCTTCACCAGCTAGTGTAGCACCATTATATGTCAATATAAATTGTTTAAAAAAAGCATTCAAACCTCCAAAAGAATATACAAGCATCGAAGAGAAGCTTAAGTAGATATCATAGTCATGGTGTATCAAAGAAAATTAAAAGGAATGCTGTGAGACGCCCAGTTTATTTGTCACTCTTGGTTGTCGGCGTCAGCCTGCTCACCCCCATCTTTGTTCTTCCAAGAGCCAGCATAATGATGTTCTACGAGGTAAGGGCCTCTGTTTTTTGGCCAGCCGCCTTGTCCAGCGGCAAAGGCTGCATCAGGAAGAACTAGAACATCCTGAAAGAGTGTTGGTTGTGTGATGTTTGTAATGTTGTCTCGGCCCATGGGCAACCCCATTTCGAGCTCCAAGTTTTGAAAGAGCGCACGAGTCATGGCTTGCGGTCCTGTCACATCGACGACGTCGCTGATCATTTCCATCGATAGGTCGGCCACGGTGACATTATTCTGTGTTGCAGAGACCTCCAAAGCCTTGATGACATATTTTATCACGGCGACAATGTGACTTGTCCTCGGTTTGCTCATGACTGTCCAACTTGAGAATTGGAAACCGTCGAATTCCAAACCGACGACGACATTGGCTTTACTCTTGAATTTCTCCGGAATCCATGTGTCGACTGGTTGATGGCATGTCACGTCAAGGTCGCTCCAGATTCCACCGTCGGCATAGAGGATTAGTTGTCGGAGAAGGTCTGCCTTCAGGATAGGCACTTGGAGCGATAAATACAGATCGAGAATGTGCGGGTAGTCGGCATATTGTTCGCGGACGTACTGGTCTGCACTAATGTCTGTAAGAATCTCACGTCGAAGGCTCGGATTCTTGTCCAGCCAGCTGCGTACTTCGACCTCTCGCTCTGGGCTGATTCCCATGGGGCCGGTCTTCTGCCATAGTTTGGCTGGGATGTCGAGAGCTTGTGATGCCGATATGAATTTGTAATAGGCAGGTAGCTGGACTTTTCAGGAAGTGGTGTTCCCTTCACCTGACTGTTTGTGGCACTTGGCTGAGGTAAGAATATCGTCTTGATCTCCGCAGAAGTGTTGTTCACTTTGGCATCGTCTGAACAGAGGCATTCGCGGTAGCCAAAAGTCAGACTCGGGGAGTCTGCACGCAGTTTCAGCGCTATCCAGAGAGAAGATGTGACGAACAAGAGCAGTACGCCCAGTAGGTAGTGAAAACGTCCCATCCTGGCGGTGATGTGATTCCAGGGGGAGTTGAGGCGAACGTCAGAAATTATATCCAAAAGGAGATAGCGGTTATTTGAATGTGAGATCCACTCTGTCAGATATATCAGAAACTTGGCTGTCCATTCCGGAAGTGTATCGCTATTTGGTGTAGATCAGATCTTTCAATTGACCCGGTTTTGCAAAAGCATAGTATCCACCCCATTCTCAGGATAGACTGTATCCCACCGTGAATATCAATAGTGAATATAGCGAAAAGAACATCCCAGGCGTGAGGAGCGGCTAAATAGTCTGAGAGACCGTGATTAGAACGGACTAGTTCGGAGGCGCTTATGTCTACCGGGGGTCGATATTAAGGGTCTCACATTGAGCCACTCACGTTGCTAGATTGCGCGGCAGGGTCCAATTATATGCAACATATCCAATCAACAACTCTACCATAACCACGCGGTGGTCAGCTTTAATTCGGTATTTATAGCCCATCCAAGACAAAATCCTGTGGCCGGGACTGTTCTTGTTCTGATGCATCGAAGTTGGCTTGTGGTTAGAGGGTATCTGGCAAAATAGTCAAAAATCACTGTATGTATATTCAAGACGTCCGAATGCAAATCATGTTATTTTTCTCCCAACATTGCCGCTATGTTGAATGTGATATGTGCCTGCAGCAAGCCAATGATAACGCGTTTTGCTTTTTCCTTCGGTCTTGACTGTCCGAAGCTCAGCCACTCTGGATATATAAACCTTGATAATAATATTGATTAAGGGCCAATGGTATAGGAGTACAAATAGCCAAAGAAGGATAATGATCAAGGATGGAGTAGGAGACAAGGGGATACTAGAGTAAGCAAGGTCTACATGTATCAAACACGGGCATCAGTCTCAAGTATCAATTTGCAACAAGTGGTTGCTAGGCCCTTTAATATGTATTCACCTCTGTGTGGCCATTTTAGAGGCTGTTCTTTCTCTATAATGGTAGCAGTTTGCATCCTTCCTTAGCGCAAGATGTTTAAATCCTTCAGGAAATTCTCCACAAAGGTATGAAGAACCCAACTTATCAAATGACACGTATGACATTGATATGTAACGACAGTTCTCAGTGTCATATGGGCATGGAGATAAGTACAAGTCTATCACCGACAAAGAGCTTGTGAAATTCATACTTCTACATACATCTCGCTGTGACCCCGGCCATTGTGTGATTAGTCAGTGCCGACCTCGGTCCGGCTATGACGTTTTAGACAAACTTCCAAGTGGAGAGCTTCGAGCTCAATCTTGCACTTTTTCATATTCATCATGGCTTCCAAGGTCGCTCCCCAAATGTTCCGCGCATTCCGTGCTGCTCCTCGCGTTGCCCCTTGGGCTGTACCTCGTGCGCCCGCTTTCCGTCGCTTCTTCGCGGCCCAAGCTCAGGAACAGCCGCGTCTTCGCCTGGGTTCCACTGGTACGGGGAATTCAAGTATATGCTACGAGTAATGCTGACAAGAGATAGCACCCAACTTCAAGGCTCTGACCACAAAGGGTGAGATTGACTTCCACGAGTGGATCGGCAACAGCTGGGCCATCCTCTTCTCTCACCCGGCCGATTTCACCCCGGTCTGCACGACCGAGCTTGGTGCCTTTGCCAAGCTGAAGGATGAATTCGAGAAGCGCGGGGTAAAGATGATTGGATTGGTGAGTTTCAGCCATTGATAGTCCACCTGACACTGGCTAATGCAACCTTTCAATAGAGCGCCAACGATCTCGGCTCCCACGACGAATGGATCAAGGACATCAACGAAGTCGGTTCGACACAGGTCCAATTCCCGATCATCGCCGATGCCGACCGCAAGGTTGCCTTCCTCTACGATATGATCGACCAGCAGGACTTGGATAACATCGACCAGAAGGGAATTGCTTTTACTATCAGATCCGTCTTCATCATCGATCCGAGCAAGAAGATCCGCCTTACCATGATGTACCCCGCTTCCACGGGCCGAAACTCCGCTGAGGTCCTCCGAGTCATTGATTCCCTGCAGACCGGCGACAAGAAGGGCGTGACCACTCCCATCGACTGGAAGGTCGGCGACGACGTCATCGTGCCCCCCTCCGTGTCGACTCCCGACGCGAAGAAGAAGTTCGGCGAGGTTCGCGAGGTTAAGCCTTATCTGCGTTACACCAAGATTTAAAGATGGATTTCCCGTTTTGTGTACAACATGTATAACATTCGATCCATAGAGAAATTTTGAAAATGTCGATCGCGTTCCCAGAGTCGCGTGTTCTATTTACAGTAATCACTCCGTGGATGATCTCAACTAGCACCGGAGCAACCTCGGTGGACCATCAATCATAGGGTGGAAAATGGGTCTTGGTGATCGGAAGTCACGCTTCAACTGTTCTAACCCCTGACACCATGTCTGTTTAGGGCAAGGATAATCCGGGGAGCCGTTCATTACTGCTACAAGCCCCCCATCCTTGATTTATGCGGGAACGATGTCCAGACTATACCCGTCAAGTTAATAGATTATGTCCATCAACCTCGGCTATGCAAGCGAAGCCCACCACAAGTCGATCCCTGAACAATAATCACTATTCCAAGCCCTCAAGGCACCGCCAAGCGGGAATGCTGGCTGAATCCCATGACGATCTATACTCTTATGGAGCAAGGATCGCTTGATAGCCATGGTGTGCAGAGTCATTCCTCCGAAATGCCCACACGGGCGTCACTCCTTTCCTGTTCCTGCGATACCGTCCGTGGTCACACCCAGTCTTTATAAACGGTGGGATCTATCTGTGGAAAGTTCTGCAGATTCTTAAATCTGGGGAAAATGCACTCCTTCTTTATACTTGCCTAAATACGTTCATTCTTATACTTGTTATTCTATTTATCCGTGCTCGGAAGTACCCCGGACGCCATGGCTCCTTGGGCACATCTAGCTCTAGTCACTCTTTTCACCCCACTCCTGGCCTCCCCAGTCAGCGAATCCGAGTCTATAATCAACCAAAAACGCGCAGCGGAAGGATATGAATCGCCTCCGTATTATCCCACTCCTCCAGGAGGATGGGTGTCCGACTGGAGCGAAGCCTACGAAAAGGCTCACAAGGTCGTGAGCAACATGACGCTGGCCGAGAAAGTCAACTTGACCACTGGAACAGGCTTCTTCATGGGCCCCTGCGTGGGCCAAACAGGCAGCGCGCCCCGATTTGGTATCCCGAATATCTGTCTGCAGGACTCTCCTGTCGGAATCCGGAATTCGGACCACAACACCGCTTTTCCGCCGGGTATTACTGTGGGTGCGACCTTTAACAAGGACCTCATGTATGAGCGCGGTGTCGGTTTGGGCGAAGAGGCTCGAGGCAAGGGCGTCAATGTTCTTCTCGGGCCTGCTGTTGGTCCCCTTGGCCGCAAGCCGCGTGGTGGTCGTATTTGGGAGGCATTCGGTGCCGATCCATCTCTGCAAGCCTTTGCAGGTGCAGAAACTATCAAGGGCATGCAAAGCACCGGTGCGATTGCTGCTATCAAACATTTCATTGGCAACGAGCAGGAAATGTTCCGCATGAGCAGCGTTGTTACCAAAGGGTACTCGTCCAATATTGATGACCGCACATTGCATGAACTGTATCTTTGGCCTTTTGCCGAAGGTGTTCGCGCTGGCGTAGGCTCTCTCATGACTGCGTATAATGATGTAAGGATTGTTGGTCTCTGTCTTGTGTTGGGTGACTGACTTGGAGTAGGTGAACAGCTCGGCCTGTAGCCAGAACAGCAAGCTGCTCAACGGAATCCTCAAGGATGAGCTTGGTTTCCAGGGGTTTGTCATGACTGACTGGCTGGGTCATTACACAGGTGTGGCTTCAGCGCTGGCCGGCTTGGATATGGCTATGCCCGGTGACGGTGCTGTCCCTCTATTTGGCGACAGTTATTGGGGACCAGAGATGTCGCGCTCGGTTCTGAATGGAAGTGTCCCCGTGGACCGTCTGAACGACATGGTACGTTGATATAGTTAGCTCAAACATCTATCCGATCTAACACACAAGCTAGGTCACTCGTATTGTTGCGACTTGGTACAAGTTCGGTCAGGATAAAGACTACCCTTTGCCTAACTTCTCGACCAACACTCAAGACAAGGAGGGACCGCTTTACCCGGGTGCTCTCTTCTCTCCTTCTGGAGTTGTCAATCAATTCGTCGATGTCACAGCAAATCACAATGCCACAGTGCGAGCCGTTGCCCGAGAGGCAATTACCCTACTCAAGAATGACATGGACATACTCCCTCTCAGTCGCAATGACAACTTGAAAGTCTTCGGTACGGATGCAGGAGGAAACCCAGACGGTCTCAACTCATGCACTGATATGGGATGCAACAAGGGCGTTTTGACGATGGGCTGGGGCAGTGGCACGGCCAGATTCCCCTACCTCATCACTCCCCAGGAGGCCATTGCCAATGTGACCAACAATGTGGAATTCCATATCACCGACTCATTCCCTTCGGACGTCACCGCCAATTCCAGCGATATCGCTCTTGTCTTTATCAATGCTGACTCTGGGGAGAACTATGTCACTGTCGAAGGAAACCCTGGAGATCGCACCAACGCCGGCCTCAATGCTTGGCACAATGGTGACGACCTCGTAAAAGCGGCAGCCAAGAAGTTCTCGAATGTTGTGGTGATTATTCACACTGTCGGACCGATCTTAATGGAAGAATGGGTCGATTTGGAATCCGTTAAAGCCATTGTCGTAGCCCATCTTCCCGGACAAGAAGCAGGTAACTCTCTTACCGATGTCTTGTTCGGAGACTACAGTCCCAGTGGACACATGCCGTACACAATCCCCAAGAGCGAAGACGATTACCCGGAAAGTGTCGGCCTAATCAACCAGCCGTTCGGCCAGATCCAGGATACTTTCACCGAAGGTCTATACGTGGACTACCGCCATTTCATGAAAGCAAATGTGACACCTCGATACCCCTTCGGCCACGGTCTATCCTACACAACGTTCAACTTCTCCCAACCCTCCTTGTCAGTGGTTACTCCCTTGGACACTGCCTACCCAGCAGCCCGTCCCACCAAACCAGCCACTCCAACCTACAACGCCAGCATTCCCGCCGCATCAGAAGTAGCCTGGTCATCAACCACATTCACCCGCATCTGGCGCTACCTCTACCCTTACCTGGATAACCCACAGTCTATCACTGCATCCAACAAATACCCCTACCCAGATGGATACAGCACGGAACCGCACCCCGTTCCTCGCGCTGGTGGCGGCCAGGGTGGAAACCCAGCCCTCTTTGAAACCACCTTCTCGGTTCAGGTGCAGGTACAGAATACAGGAAAGCGACACGGCAAGGCCGTTGCCCAGCTTTATGTTGAGCTTCCGTCGTCTCTTGGTCTTGATACGCCTGAGCTACAGCTACGTCAATTTGAGAAGACCAAGGAGCTTGCGCCAGGCCAGAGTGAGACTCTGACACTTCATATTACTCGGAAGGATGTTAGTGTTTGGGATGTCGATGTGCAGGATTGGAAGGCTCCTGTTCATGGACAGGGTGTTAAGATCTGGGTTGGGAATAGTGTTGCTGATCTACCTGTTTTGTGTACTGTTGGTGGCGACTGTTCGGCCGAGTAAGGAAAGGTCAACCTGTAGAGATTTTTCTTGTATGTTTCCTTGGTTTCTCTGGATACTTGAGATCTAGTATATGCTATATTCATGTTCTATGTAATAATTAATGGGCCAAATCAAACGAAACTCCCATTTGTGACAGATGGAATCCTTGCATGACCACCTTAGGAATGGCGTGGTATTTGCAGTACCTGTATGGTGCTCTGGTGATTGAAGTTAGCCTCGACGATGTACAGCTTAAGTGCAAGGCGCTATATACAATGCATACCTGAAAGACGAGCTTGAAATACGCTGAGAGCAGCTTCAAACACGGCAAAACTTTGATACTATGATTCCCCGAGTAAATTGTATACAGGCGATGTTAGTGTGTATAGCTTTTCCTGTATAAATCAGGAACAGGATAACTACGCCTTGTCTCAGGGTTGTGTCAGTGGATTGGGATCTCTCTCATTATTCATATGGTCAGAAGTCATTGATTCTTGCTAAAGCTATGCTTTTGGACACACATCCATTGCAGCACCAATTAACCGAATCGTCGTCATGGTCGGCGAGCAGAGGTGCCGGTCGCGCGCCTGGAAACTTAGTTGCATTGGCTTTTTTGCACCGTCTCATCAATGCCAATAACCATCACGACCAAACCAACCGCCCAACCTTTATCCAGTTCGCCAAACCTGTGTATGCGAAGGCCAAGGGATGGACTTATTAGGGAACCATTAGTGGTTTGCTCTGCGGGAAATGATGAGTGGGGAAGCAGTCCAGAAAAGTTAAAGGCGCCCCCGTCGGCGCGCTCCTCTGACAAGGATATCATGCCATCAATTAGCCAACTGCAGCAAGATTCAAGGCATACGATTGTAACCTCGCCAAGGCTTCCTTGTCCACAGTGGTATCCAAACCAGGGCTTTATAGAACATGAACACGACCACCCTCATACTCAATCTTCCGTACCAATAACTGTGCCTCGGGCTATCGAACCTCAGCGAAGATTCAAAGATCCGATGGGGAATGGGCAGGCTCGTCATCGACGGAGACGCGTCCCACGGGACAACTGCGAAAGCCTGCAGTACTGCGGCGATACCAATACCAGAATAAGAATCGGAGCATGGCTTTACAAGGATGCCATTCTGATTTGCATTGTTGACAACTCGAGCAAATACCGTGAAGACGCCGCATGTTGTGATGTTAGGCTGGATAACGTCGATTTTCTTTCTGGTGATAGCTTCAAGACTTTGTCGATTTGATTTTCAAATGTCCCCAAGCAAGCATGCCTCCTCCGTCTTGGCGCGGATAAGGCCTATCAGGTATCGCGTTGGCTTCTCGCGTTCGAAAAGTAAAGTCATGCCATAATCAGCCGTCATGGGCCCGACCTTCCAGTCCTGCTTCCTCGTCGGCGAGGAGGCACGCAGTGAATATTCATGGTAATAAGGGCCCTCACTCCCCGCGAGAAGGTCGGAATGGTTTCCTTGCCCACGCGTAGAGGAGCTGAAATATGAGAAGACACCTAGCATGAAAGAAAGTGTAAGCAAGCATGCTAAGAGTATACACGATTAAGTCAAATCCCCCTGTCCCTTAGCAGAAGAGAAGGGATGTACTTTGAAATTTGTTGACAAACGCCTGTGCTAGGCTATATGTAGAGAGTGCTTATGGTTATTAGTGAACTTAGAAAGCGATTACTTACCTACAGGCGTAGGAGGAAACCACTCTAAAAAGTTCCCTTACCAAAACAGTGTATGTTAAGACCTCCGCGCGCGGTATGGAACCGCTTTCCGAGTTCGCTGATTATCATAAGCACTCTCTTAATATAGCCTAGCACCGCGTTTGTCAACAAATTTCAAAGTATATCCCTTCTCTTCTGCTAAGGGAGAGGGGAATTTGACTTAATCGTATATACTCTTAGCATGCTTGCTTGCACTTTCCTTTAGACGTCTCCTCACATTTCAGCTCCTCTGCACGTGGGCAAGGAACCCCTTCCGACCTTCTTGGGGCGATGTGGGTACCCTTATTACCCTGAATATTCACCGCGTGCCCCCTCGCCGACGAGGAAGGAGGACTAGAAGATCCGCGAGACTCTGTCCTGGCTGTCGGCATCATTTTCTGGGGTACTGGGAGGGAGAGGGCGACCATACGTTATGTGATGGATGTGATATTTATCTAGCGAACAGATGAAGGTCCGAAGAAAAGAAGTTGGAAACAGAAAATGCTGATAGGAAGAGAGTTGAGTGGAGGATATTTGCGAGCAGGAGAGGAGGGAAAAGGATTGTTTGGGGTGTGAGTCGGCAAGTCTTGATCAAAAGAGTCTTTTCATCAAAGACACTAAGCTAGAGAGAAGAAGAGAAAGAGAACAGGAGGGACGCTAGGAAGCTAGTCTATCTACATCTCCGTCCAATCGTTTCGGACCCCTGGTCTCACCGCCTCCCCATCCAGCCATCTAGCAAACTCCCCTATGTCGTCCGAATGTCATACATCACATGGGGGAATATCTGGGAGGAGGGTTAGGTGAAGATGGAGTTAGCCTTTATAGGAGGGAGGAAGCTAGGAGGGAGGAAGCTCTTTTGAAGTGGTGAGTTCTGCCGGGACGGGAGTGTCCGTGTGGGGCCGCAAAGCTTAATCCGGTTTGGTCTGAGTTTCGATAGTCAGGTATTAGTTGAATCCATTCATTTGAAATTTTTATTAAAATAAGAAGGGAGCATTGCTATAAGTGAATATCTGTAGTGTTAGATTCATCTTTTTGCGAGGGTTGACCAATGAGATAGGTTGCCTAATTGGGAAGGAAAGCGTCGAAGTAAAGATGGGTGTAACTTCTCCTAGCTCGTCTTTTCTCTCTTCCATTTTCTTCTTCTCTCTCCATTTACGTATCAGCTTACACTCACTTTACTATTAGCTGATATTCATTCTTTCTTCACTTGGAGGTCACTTCAAGCCTCTTTTCCATCAGAACATCCAACTCACTTGTCAGTTATGGATGGTTCATCGTTGCCCCTTTGGGGGATGCTTGTTTTCGGGTTCTTTGCTCTGTGGGCTCAGTGGTGCCCACGAAAGTGGTTCCGTGTTGTGGTCATTTTTTCGCTTTGCACTATTGTCTCTGCGTCTGTGGGTTTGGCCGTTTGGGCCAATGTCCACAAAGTCGTCGCATCTATTGGATACGGCTTTGTGGCCCGGGAAATCTGGATATTTGCGCGGTAAGCCAAAGAGACCCAGAGAGACATCCCGAGAGACACCTCAAGAGATACCCCAAGAGACACCCCAAGAGACACCCCAAACGGCTTGCTCCAGGATGTTCGAGACTGACAAATGCGAACAGTGTGTTGTGGAGCGGAGCGCCCATACACTTACCGGAGCCTCCTCAACGCGAATCCAGCAGCGCCGATTTGGTCCCAGCTGCGGATCTCAGAGCGTCGGAGGCCCAGGTGCGGGCATTGGACCACCAGGTCCGTCAGATGCGGCAAGATCGGGAGGCCGAGGTGAATCAATTGAACTCCACAATCCAATTGTACCAGCGTGGGGTGGTTTCCGGGCCTGGTCCAATTCGGCAGCTTATGGACGGGAAGCAGGCCGCGGAGAATAAAGCTCGAGGCCTTCAGTTGAAGGTGGACACGCTTGAGGCGAAGGTGGAATCTCTTGAGGGGGAGGGCGTGGCCATGAAGGCCCGAATCCCCAAAATACATGACCGGTGGGAGCACATGGGCAATGCTGGCATCTCCAAGCGGAGGCGTCGCCGGCCAGCCAAAGGGGCACTGTCCCCAGACAACAAACTGGCTTTATTCGACGCCGCCTGGGGGGCCAGGTGTTCCGTCATCCAGGCGAAGGGCAAGAAGGGACTTGAACTCGTTACCCAGCGTGTGGAGTGTTTGGAGGCATACAACAAGTGTCTCCACAAAGCAAACACCACTCTCAAGGGAGAAGTGGCCGAGAACGTTTCGCTGCGGTGGTACCAAGAAGGCCAGCTACAAAAGGCACTGCAACAAACAGAGAGAACAGCCGAACCATCCAGGGTCTGGTTTCTAGTGCCCGTCAGCAGAATATGGTGCTGACCAACCATATTGGGGGCCTAGAAGGTATACGCGACATGGAGGCCACTGCTGCCACCCACACCCACCATAGCGAATTGGAGAGCACCTACCTCACCTTGGAGAGGGCCCGCGAATCCACCCTTGCCGGTCAGAGCTATGAACACGAGGAGCGGCAGAGAGAGATCATCCGCCAGCACGAGGCGAAGAAGCTGAATGCCAAAGCCCAGATGGCAGAGGTCACTCGCCAACAAGCGGCGCAGAACCTCGATTCTCAGGGCAAGATGGAAGCCATGACCTGCCAGCACGCTGCGCTGAAACTCGACATTCATGCCAGGATGGAAGGGTTGACAGAGCAGGCAGCTTCAAACAAATCGCTGTTGGAACGGACCGAGGCCCGACTTGCGGAATCGCTCGCCGAAAACGTTGCCCTCACCAAAAGGCTAGACAGGGCTGAGAAATTTCAAGGGGCCACGAGATCTGCGCGTGGTGGCATTACGAAGTCCAAGCCAAAGCACGCCAAACTTCGCGATGGAACCAACAATCCCCAACAAAGCCAACGTTCCACAGAGGCAGCTGAAAAGCTACGAAAGGGACGGAATATGGTCCAAAGATTGAGGGCATTGCGCCCATCCTCTGAAGATCACGTCCCCAAGGCCGATGAGGACGAACTGGCGAACATCTGCAAAGGGTTGACGCTTTAGTTCAGAGGTTAGATATCGGCTGAGTCATCCAACTCAATTCCGACCTTCATGCGATCGTTATCTCCGCTCGCCGCTCTCTCTCTTCTCTCTGTTCTCTGTTCTGTGTTCCGCTCTGTTCTCTCTTCTTTGTTACGGCTCTTGCTCTCTGGTCTCTGTCTTTGCTCCCTGGTCTCTGCTCCGTCTCTTCTCTCCGATCACACTTTCCCTTCTCTCCGCCCACAGCATGTCCAATTGATTCTCCGCCTATGCATCCTTCGCCGTACCGTTCTCTCGCCGCTCGGCCCTTGATCCTGGGTTTGGCAAAACTTCTTCTCCTCGCCATCTCACAACTTCCACTCGCGACCGCAGCGCCCGCTCTTTCCCCTCTCTTTATCTCATCCGACGCAGAACCACCAAAGGAACCCAGTGACCCGAGTCTATGGCTTTACCTGGGAGTTTCGGCCGCCCTCGTTCTCAGCGGTGGAGCATTTGCGGGATTGACAATTGCCTTGATGGGACAGGATGAAGTTTATCTCCAAGTCATCAAGACCTCCGGCGAAGGATCCGAAAGGAAAAATGCCGGCAGTGTTCTCAACCTCTTGAAGCACGGAAAACATTGGGTTCTTGTCACTCTTCTTCTCAGCAATGTGATCACAAACGAAACATTGCCTATCGTCCTGGACCGATCATTGGGTGGTGGTTGGCCTGCCGTCCTAGGAAGTACAGCATTGATCGTCATCTTCGGCGAGATTGTTCCGCAGTCAATATGTGTTCGTCACGGTCTTCCAATTGGTGCCTGGATGGCTCCTTGTGTCTTAGTCTTGATGTACATCATGTCACCGGTGGCCTGGCCCATCGCAAAACTCCTGGACCGGCTGCTTGGCGAGGATCATGGTACCATCTACAAAAAGGCCGGACTGAAGACCCTTGTCACTCTCCATAAAACACTGGGCGAGGCAGGCGAACAACTCAATTCCGACGAGGTTACCATTATCAGTGCCGTCCTCGACTTGAAAGAAAAGTCAGTCGGCACAATTATGACCCCGATGGAAGATGTCTTCACCATGTCTGCAGACACCGTGCTGGATGAGCACACCATGGATTTGATTCTTTCCCAAGGATATTCTCGCATCCCCATCCACGCCCCCGATAACCCAATGAATTTCGTCGGCATGCTCCTTGTCAAAATGCTGATCACATATGACCCCGAGGATTGCAAACGAGTTCGCGACTTTGCGCTGGCCACACTTCCTGAAACACGGCCTGAAACGAGTTGTCTCGACATTGTCAATTTCTTCCAAGAAGGCAAGTCCCACATGGTGCTTGTCTCTGAATATCCCAGTGAGGATCGTGGCGCTCTTGGAGTTGTCACCCTGGAAGACGTGATTGAGGAATTGATTGGCGAAGAGATCATCGATGAATCTGATGTCTTTATTGATGTCCACAAGGCTATCCGAAGGATGGCTCCCGCCCCGAAATCCCGTGTTCCCAAGGGCAAGATTGTTGAAGAGCCTCCTCTCAATGCCACTATTGTCACAGATGGCGATTTGATTGATGCTGACCCCTCACATCCCACATCCACCCCCAAACTTTCTGATATGGTCCGACGCCGGAGCTCTGTGGAAGCGCCTCTCCCCCGCTTTCAGTTACGCAAGGCAAACGGCGAGCACAATACAAATGCGGCAGATGGATGGGTGACCCAAATGGGCACTACAGATGAGATTCGAGAGCACCTGAAGCATCTTGGTCCCTCGAATCTGGCCAGTCGTCCGCGTCAAACCCGATACTCCGCAGTCAAAATCAAACGTGGAAGTACCTCGCCATCACGCTCCGCGCAGGCAGATCTCGAGTCCGCACATAGCGCATCTGACTCTCCAAAGATTCAAAACATATCGACCGCCTACCAAGGTGGCATCGGCGCAGGCCTCCTCAACTCTGCTGGTCCAGACGCGAAGGACGGCGCGCATGTATTGAAGCTTGGCTACGGGACTATGACTTCGAATGATGCTATGAGCAAAGGCACAAGCGCACAGCAATATAAAGACCTCCCCCACGTCTCCATTCCCGAGGCAGTCGACGAAGAGCATGAAGACCAACCGCCTTCTGCTTCGACACGGAAGAGCAGTAGTGGTGAGGGTAGCATTCGCTCAACCGATTCTCCCACCTGTTTCCCCTATCGACGCCGAGGGCCGGCTCGCAGCGGCAGTATAACCGAACAAATAGTGGATGTCAACGGCATTCGCAAAGTCGTTCTTCACGCCAATCCGAGTTCTTCAGACAGTGAACCCCGCCCTTTACCAGAGTCTGAGCATACCGATTCTGCGGCCACAAAATCAAAAAAGAAGCGCCGTCGCAAGAAGCGTGGAAATAACTCAAAGACCGATGACGGTCCTTCCGAGGGGCAACCATTACTCCAAGGATGAAATAGACAGGCACGACATTAACGACTACATCTGCGGTAGTCTCTCCAATGAACAGCATGTTGGACAAATTGAGCAAACTTTCATATCCTTAACGCTATCAATGTATTATTCGGTTTCGGTCCGGCTGGTTATACTTCTCTTACCTCGCCTTTCGTAGATTCTCTACTCCGCTGCAGCGTTTCGGATATTGTAGTAAATAGCAGATTCACTTGGAGGGATCCACCGTAGTTCTGGCTGTCCCATGAATTATACTTGCCCGCCCAGTAGCTATGTTCCAGCAGCTACTGTGTGGCGTCTGCTTGGGAGATGACAAGCTTCAACTAGGTTGCTTCTGTTGTTTCTCGTGCTGACCGAACTCAACATACGCTTTTACTTCTCTTGATAGATCGCTGGCTGTACCTCCCTGGGAGTGAGGCAACGGGGGTGGATGTAAGGGAAGGAAAGCAAGGACTATCTATGAAACTGTTGGGGCGCAATCTAACAGTCTAATTGGTACTGTATGTACACTAAGGTCGTCCAGATTGACTTCTGATCCTCTTTTTATGTCATTTTCGAGGCGGTTTGGAATCGGGTGTTCCATTCGATTCGACCGTGGCACCTGGTGGCCAAATGCAGTCTTCTTTAGCTAGCCAAGGGCCATTATCATCAAACATGGCATGTTGGGGAGCCGAATATACATTAATTAATTTTTGTAGGGGCCAAGATCGAAGCGCAGTGCGAAGTCATATATATCGGACCTCAGGCAGCATCCAAATTCGTCGGTCGTCAATGCTTAGACTGCAATGGTACTACATTTCTTCAGAGTAATTGAATGTTGTTTTATTTTCTCGAGACCAGATACATGCTATGCCAAACTTCACCAGTACAGAAAGGGTCCTCGATAATGCTAACTAAGAAATGAGGGCACAATGATAGCACCGATACAAGACAATAGATGCAACATGTGATCGCTGGTAATAAAGACGTCATTTAGATGAGATGAATGGTCGACGGGGCCTCGTTAAAACCGTGAAGGGCTTAAAAAACTCATTTGAGAAAATGACCCGACACGGAAAGAGTACCCCAGTTGTCGGTTTATCGCTAGGCTGCGAATAGTCCATGAGTTGCCAAAAGTTGAGCAGTCTTGAGGGCCTGGGTTTTGATGAGCGTGCAAGCCGTAGATCTGCGATGGTGTCGATGACGTGAGATGTTGGCGGATATTTTGTCGCGAATGATACCGAAAAGCGGGAACAAGGTAGATGTAGTTCTCGTTGGTGTAAAGCGATTGAAGCAATCATTGGAGAAGAGGGTCCTGGTAGAATGTTAGTATCATTAATCAGACAGCAGCTAGGTGGAAAACATACGCGGAAGTGCTTCTGGTGGTTGGCGCCTTTCTGGACGCGTGCAAGATGGCGGTTTTCCTGGCGCATGCCACGGGTTCTTTCGCGGCGCTCTGCAACGCGAGCGGCTTGCTTCTGTTCTTCGGAGGCTCCGACCATACCCAGGCCACCGTTGGCGCGGGTAGTGAGGGCACGGTGGTGGTTGGGGCGGCCGCGGGGCTCTTCTTCAATTTCTCCGTTTTCAATGGCCAACTGGCGCTCGGCCCGTTCAGCGGCTGTGGGGTAGTTGTGTAGGTTCTGGCGGTAGTAAACGTTGAGCGAGCGGTGACCGACAGTCTTTCCTGATGGAAGGTGAAGCTCGTAGTCGTCTTCAACGGCGATTGGTGCCTTTCGGTGGTAATCGATATCGTCTTCGTCCACTGAAGATGCAGAACTCTCAGTTTCCCATCCCTGGTCATCAGCATCTGAGCGGTTGACTTTGACGCCGCCCTCCTCGGGTGCGGATTCGTCCTCGCCGTCGGAGTAGGTGCTCCGGAAGTCATAGTATTGTCCGATTTCGATTTGTTCGTCTTCTGTTTCAAATGCAATCATGCAGTGGCTCTTGTCGCGCATGTGGGCTTGGATAGCATGGGGGTTGTCTTTGATGGTGTGACAGTAAAGACATTCGGAGTTCTCCGTGATCTTGCGGTAGAGATAATGCACAAGACCGTCGAGATCTGCCAAATATTCTCTCTCTGGGATGAACATGCCATGAGTCTTGAACATGTGCTCGACGTTGGCGTGAATGTCGTCAGACTTGTCCTTGCAGAAAAGGCAGCGAGCTGCGGAAAATTCCTCCATCTCTGTATCCTCATCTCCTTCATTTTGTTCTTCAATGGTGGTAGTCTTGAGGTTGTCGGTAATGTTGTTAACGTCGGTTTTGACGGGTTCGCCAAGGGAGAATGCGGAACTCATGACGGAAGCGGAGTCGCCGTCCTTGCTCAGTTGAGCTTCGCGCTGCTTGTGCTTTGCACTTTTGATGTGATTTTGGTAGGAGTTCTCGCTGTAAAAGGCCTTGTTGCAAGTGTGGCAGGACTTTTCGTATGAAGCCTTGGCGGCGGCCTCGGTGGATGTAGCTTTGGCGGCCAAGACTTTTTCGTTGAAAACTTCAAGTGAAACGGGAGGCAAGGAAGCGATGCGGCGCTTCATGTTGTATAGACTGCGGAAGATTAACTACTGTTTTATGTTGACAAGGAAAAAAAAAGAAAGAAAAAAACCTACTGCCAATCTTTCCGCATGTGATCTCTCTGCGCATCGCTGCGATGGAAGGCGACGAGACAGGTGTTGCAGGTGTATTGCAGCGAAGACGCCGCGGTGTCCTGGTTGGAGGACATGTTGGATGTTTGATCGAGGTTGTTGGAAATGGTGGGTTTTCCTTGGTTGTGGGATGAATATTTATCGCAGGCGGGGTACATGCGAAGGCTCTGATTAGGCCTTGGTTTGGTTGTTTTCGATCGATCAGAAATGAATTTGATGGTGAAAGCCGCCAAAAGTGATGGGACGGGGATGGATGTAAAGCAGAGAGATTCTTGACAGCAAAAACTCCAGTGAGTCAGGCCTTATGCTTCTCGTCAGGCGGATTCATGGTTGATCAATGCGAATAATCTTTCTTATCGAGACGCTAAACCTGATTTAGATGTAGCTAAACCTTTCTTGGTAAGTGCGGTATCATTATGGATTAATCAGCAGTCCATCGGACTATCTCCGCTCCGACCTCCGGGCCCCGGACTTCTGCCTGAGGCCATACGGTCTCACTACGATGATATCAGGTGAGCTGGCCTTCGCATTCAACACGCGGTATTGATGACAGCCTAACCCGCCATCCACCTCATCTACCCTCTTCTGGCCTCTCAGATATGCGATTATTTTGTTGAAAATGACCAGGCTCCGAGGGGCTTCTATTGACGACCCTGACATCGCGCGGTCTGCCGGCGGTCATGGACGAGCTCAAATCTATCAGTCAAAACTACCACCAAATGCGCCCGAGCCTATTGTACAGAACACCATTGAAGTATCGGACTCGTCGAGGGTACTACAAAGGTATCGCGATGAGCGAAGACGGGGATTTAATGGGTTGGTGAGAAGGTAAGCTCGAAACACCTGCCATTACTTCGCCGCTTACCATTTCTTGAAATAGATATAAAGCCCAACTATTACATGGTTGTGAGGACCCCGGATGTCAGACCCCTACCTGCGCCAGTCGTCGCCGAAGAATCAGCGAAGGACCGTATCGCCGCTACACCGAACTGAGTGCGCGAACCCTGGCCTGCTACCTCGCTAGTCTTGATGATGCAGAGAGTGGTCTATGTCGGAACACACCTAAACTTCCGCCGGAATTAAAAGCCGAAGACTACCACCGTATTTCCTTACGCCGAACACGTACACTCGAAGCACAGAAAGCAGCGGCTCGCAAATCCCCCAAACCGGAAAAGAAGGTCGACGAGGAGGAGTTACCTGGCAGTGCTGTTGTTTCCCACGAGGCAAACGTTGCGAATGAAGCAGATACATCTCAGGTCCGGGGCACCAGCTACATTCGTGACCTCGACCATACGGCGGAACAACAACTAAAAGACCCAAAGTCATTCACTCAAAACCTCTTCGATACGATATCATTGCGCATGGTTGAATGGCTTCCCCTTCGTCGAGCACCAGATTCCATTGAAGCCAAGCCTATTCCAACCTCACAAACCACGAATATATCATCTGGCAAGAATCACGGCCACGAGAAAGTCTCAGGCGGGCTTCGAAAAGCCCAGGGGCGATCCGTCGCTACAAAGCAAACTCAACCTCGTACTCCGTCATCACGAAAATCACAACCTGCAGTGGAGCTCAAGTTTCCAAATCAACGTGTCAAACGACGACCTGTCCCTGAAGTTGACCATTGGCGTCAAAGTCCACGATCAAGCCTTGAAGACAAACGGAAACCGGAATTCAATCTCAAACTACCAGCACTACCTGCAAGTGAATTTCCCAGCCTGCCCTCTCCACCAGCATTAAAACACAGGCCCCAAAAGCATCGGGGAAGGATCGAAGAATTAGGACCCATTCCTAAGGAACGTCGCAAAACTCAACGACGTGTCTCTTGGGATAGTGAGAAGATTTTGCATCACGTCTCTGAGAAGGCCACAGTGAACACTGAGCTTCTCCCTCTGTTGCCAGCCGATGCTCAGTCACCTAGTGAGCGTAAAGCAAAACACGGCCATGTTGATCACTTACCAGATCAGGCGCCATTGGCTCAAACAGTGACCCATTTCACCCCAGAAATCATAGATGGCCTGTCACAAGTCATGATCGGATCTGAAGAGGATGCTGAGTGTTGGAAAGAGGAACTTGATCGCATGCAATCAGCGGGAAGCTTTGAGCCACCTGACTGGCGATTTGCGACCCTCAAGCAACGTGAAGCTTTTCCTTTCGTTGCTCAAAGTACATTTTTCGTGCTAAGTAGCCCTCGTCAAATCCTGTGCTCCTTTGGCAAAGAACAAACAGACGTTCTCGTGGCAAATCGTCTTGATATGGCGTGCTTGCACACATCGCTGCAGCGCCTGTTTTCTCTCTGCCCATGGGATATTGCATTGCATAGCCTATGGAGTAGCTTGGATAGGCTATTTGTGCCACCAGATGGATTCACTTCTGGCCGGCCATCGCGCCGTTCATCTCGGAGTTCGACAATGACTGGACCGGCGCCTCCAGTTGTTCCACGGCGGTTGTCTGAATCTGCCGAAGAGCATTTATCTGACTCTGATGCAGCCTATATTGCTACTATTGTGTTATTCGCCTTGGTCAGCTCAGTTCCAAAGATCGACCTGGGAGCTTGGCGCGCAGTTGTTCAGATGCGTTCCTCTGGCTTTGTTGCCTCCTTATCGGACATGCGCAAGCTGCCTGTTGAGTCTGCCCAGCAAGCGGTTGAGGTGACAGACAGATTCGAACATGAGCTAGGTCTTCGCTTGATCAATCGTCTTGTGCGTGCTCTCACTGCGCGCATAGCCTACCATGAAATTTCCAAAGCGCGACAAGTGTATAGCTTGGACTTTCCCAAACAGCGGAAGGTTAGCGTTCTGGATCGCGTGGTGGACTATCTCAGTGAACACCACAGCTCTCGGGATGTTGAAACAGGATCAATAAACCCCTCGTCCCTCATTGTTGAATGGCTTCGGACGCTCTTTTTACGCGAGTGGGATGGCAACCCAGATATGGCTCGTAGTAGTCCGGCTGGTGGGGCTGTGCAGATCCTAGCCTCGATGTATAAGCAGCGAAACCGACTCGGTCTGTCTGCTGAAGAATTCCACACACCCCTTCTCGCAGAGCGGCTGGACCCCTTGGAGATGCCTGTGGCGTGGGTTGGAGGGCTTTCAAACAACCGAACAATGCATCTACTCTCATACTCCTTCCTCTTCCCTCCTTCTTCACTTGTCATCTATTTCCGTTCCTTGAACTATTCTGCCATGGCTAAAAGCTACGAGGCTGCCATGACCACGACGAGACATGTCACACAAACTGCCTTTGGAGCTATCCAGATTACAGAGGATCTTGGCCTTCTCACTCGCATGAAAACATCCATGTCAACGTACCTTGTTCTCGTCGTTCGACGAGACAACATTCTCTCAGATGCCCTGAGCCAGTTATGGCGGCGGGAAAAACGAGAATTGATGCGACCGCTGAAGGTACAAATGGGCATGGACGAAGGAGAAGAAGGCCTTGATCACGGTGGTGTCCAGCAGGAATTCTTCCGTGTGCTGATGGGCGAAGCCCTGGATCCATCCTACGGCATGTTCACAGTTGATACCCGACACCGCGTGTCTTGGTTCCAGCCTTGCGCGTTGGAACCTTTGTACAAGTTTGAACTCATCGGTCTGTTGATGTCTATTGCCATTTACAACGGCCTCACCTTGCCTGTCAATTTCCCACTTGCATTTTACCGCAAGCTTTTAGGACTCAAGGTGAAGCATTTGGAACACATCCGTGATGGATGGCCTGAGCTGTCTCAGGGTCTGGATACCTTGTTGACATGGAAGGATGGCGACGTTGGCGACGTTTTTACACGGACATACGAATTCAGCTGCGAGGTCTTCGGTCGGATTGAGACAATCGACATGCAAAATGTTGACCGTGATGCTTCGTGGCCTATCTCTAGCAAAATTGCTGAACGTGGCTCTACTGCTGGATCTAGCGCTTGGATGGATGTCCCGAGTTATTGTCAGCCTACTCCGGCGAGTCCGCAGTCTTCCATGGCAGTGGAAACCGACACCACATCGAGGTATGGCTCGGATGGTATTGCCAAATCAGTGTCTGAGTCTTCACTGCACTCTATTCCAGTTGAAGAGGCTGCCCTTGTAACCAACCAAAACCGACACCAGTTTGTCAAGGACTATATCTTCTGGCTTACGGATAAATCGATCAGGCCACAGTTTGAAGCGTTCCAAAGAGGTTTCAACACATGCCTGGACCGGTCGGCCCTGTCAATCTTCACTCCTGAAGCCCTCAAGACTGTGGTTGAAGGTATCCAGTCAATTGACGTGAAGGAACTCGAGAACCACGCTCGTTACGAGGGTGGATTCGGTCCTGATCATCGTGTCATTCGTGACTTCTGGAGTGTCGTCCAGGAATACCCCAATGAGAAAAGAGCTCAGTTGCTCGAATTTGTCACTGCTAGTGATCGAGTTCCTGTCAATGGGATCTCTAGTATTATGTTTGTGATCCAGAAGAACGGTGTCGGCGATTTAGTAAGTCCCTTTCTACACTTCGTACATTCCCGAATTATCACACTGATTGAATATAGCGTCTTCCTACCAGCTTGACGTGCTTCGGGCGCTTGCTTCTACCCGAATACTCATCGAGGAAGGCATTGGCAGAGAAACTTGACAAGGCACTTGAAAACGCCCAGGGATTCGGCGTTGCATAAAAGAGTTTATACATACCCATTTTGTTTCATACTCTTGCCATGTAGTGGCATATTATTTTAGCCCAATAGAGCATTTCTCTCAGAGTAAATTGGGTTGGACAAATCAGACGCTATAGATCGCCATTAGCCCCAGTGCGAAGCTGTGGTTCGCCCTGACACGCGGCAAATATGAATCGGAGTCCTGACCTCCGTTTTAGGACTCTTCTCTCGAAATTACCTAAACTTTCAATATAATCTTTTAAATTTATCTATCCTACAGTAGAGCTTCAACAATTGACAGTTGGGCTCATCTAAGACTCGCACGTCCCCCCGGTCCCCGCCAGACCCCACGTTCGATAAGACTCATTCAGGGTCTTCAATACCCAATTCCTTCAACTATTCACCATGGCCCCAATCATCCACTGCGTCCGCCACGCCCAGGTACGTCCACATAACAATGATCAACATGCCGCATTCCTCCTCGGTTGCGACAATTGTATCCGCCGAACAGCAGGTCACTAACTTCAATCGCAGGGCGTGCACAACCTCTGCACCGAAAACCACGTTATCCCCGACCCTTTCCTCACAGACCTCGGCCATGAGCAGTGCAAAAAGCTGCGCGAGAGCTTCCCGCGCCACGCCGACATCGACCTGGTGACCGCCTCGCCGCTCCGTCGCACCATCTACACAGCGCTGGAGGCCTTCGAGCCTGTCTTCCAAGCCAAGCCGGACCTAAAGATTATCGCCCTCCCTGATATCCAGGAGACATCGGATGTTCCGTGCGACACTGGCAGCGAGCCCGAGGCGTTAAAGTGCGAATTCAAGAGTGGCGTGGATCTGACTCTTGTGCAGAAGGGGTGGAACAACAAGGTATGGAGAGAGTAGCCGAAGTCTGTGTTAGTATACTGACACCATTAGCAATCCGGTCGCTATGAACCAACCAACAGAGCACTGAAGGAGCGCGCCCGCGCAGCCCGCCGCTGGTTGAAAGCCCGTCCGGAGAAGGAGATCGTGATGGTCACGCACGGCGGATTCCTGCACTATTTCACCGAAGACTGGGAAGACAGCAGCCAGTTCCAGGGTATGTAGCACAACCACAAGGCGTGGAGGATTATCCAGCTGACGAACTTGCACGATAGGAACTGGGTGGATCAACACCGAGTACCGAACCTTTACTTTCACCGAGGAAGTGCACACCACCGACCTCGACGGAAACCCGCTGGACGGCGATAATGCTTCCATTGAGGAGACACTCGACTCTCGGGAACGTCGTGGTAAGAAGGGTCCCATGCACAGCCGTGAAGAGCAGAGGAACCTGTATAAGCTTGGTACCCAGGGCTGGGATGACCAGGGGTTGCAGATGAGCACGGCTGAGCGTGAGGCGGCCAAGGTTGGCGGGGGTAAAGAGGTGAACGGAGTGCGGGTATGAGAAAGACGAAAAGTGACTTTTGGACGCGTGCTTTGATACTCGACATTGCCATTGTGAGAGGCTACAAAGATAGAGCCGATAGATTGGTTCCCATTGTAGATAGACGAAAATAATTCATTGGATTTGGACTATACTCCTTTATTCTCTTCTAATGTCTTCTTTCTTCCTCCGGGGTCATTAGTCCTTGAGCCCCTGGGACTACTTCGGCCTTTTGAGTGTTATCGGCAAGAGAACAATGCTACAAGTCGACTGGGCAAGGCTCCACGTCGTAGTCTTCTTTATACTCTCCTTTAAACCCTTTGTGATCTCTCGTGCGCAATTCCCTTCTTCTGTCTCGGAGTCGATTCTGCGACAGATTCAGGGATTCGACAAAGGCCTTGTATAGAGGACCATGGCTGAGTTGATCATTGTCTTAGTTGGGATTGTCTATATAATAGCCGTCTGCTCCCACCTCAATCAGAAGTTCATCAGCATCGACTGCAAAGACCGAGTCTACCGTGCTATACAGCATTTCCAGATATATTGATATCCGCTGGGCACCTTTCTATTACTGTGATATACAGAGCTAACATACAAAATATGACTACTCACATGTCAGGAGCTATTTCACTTATGAGACTGAGTATTTTGCTTCCCATTTTGCCATACAGATGCTAACATACAGTTTAGGACCGTTCGCATACCACCACACTATGTCCACCTACATTGACTGAGTACCGTTCTCTTCCTGTTGTTATATGCAGACGCTAACAGCCACTTAGGACCATAACCAAACAGAAGCTACCTCATACTAGGCTATGTATATTTCCTTCGCGGTGTACTTTGCACATGCTAATATACCGTACAGGACGGCGAACATTATAACCCATTCGTGCTACATATGTAAGTGGCCCCTTCGGTGTTCATCATTGCTAATACTTGTTCGTCTAGGACACTATCCCTCCCTATACTGACGAGTTTGGCAGCTATTAACCATCTGTCCTGGCTAAGTCTTTTTATATTTTCCTCTCCCCCAAGAGTATGAATTTGGAGCTAACTACAAGTGTATACTGGAACCTCCCTCCGCGGACCGACCAGTGATCGCTATGTCGCATTCAACTGATACTAATGGCTAAGTCATTCATCGCCCCTCTCTTTGATCCGAGCTTATGCTAACTTAACATAGGTCCACCGAGACCCCGGCCCATCCTCTACCTATCTTCGAATCAGCTAAGTTATTCCCCAATCCCCATTGTTACTAGTGTTTATTTGCAGGTAACCTCGCGGTGGATGGATATCGTGACTTGTTCTCTTCACAAACCTATAGATAGATATATTTCTTGCCCCTTCTTGTCACCGCTTGTTCAGTATCAATGGTTGTACAGGTTCCTCGCAATTCTTCGTTCACAAAGTCGCCCATCTTCGGATTGTGAACAGATAAGTTGACCCCTTGTGTCTATTGTTACTAACCTTTACTTGATTCCATTGTCCCTATGGCTAAAGCAGGTAAGTTGATTCTTTGTCCCCCTTTTCACGCTAACTTTTGTTTACAGACACCTTCGATTCGACCCTACGCGGCATCCTACCCAGCCATGTCGATCTGCTGAGTCAACTCCATTCTCCTCGTTATCACTAACATGGATCTACAGGTACTCTGAACTCTCTCATGATGACCAGCTATGATGTATACAGCTGAGTCAATCCTGAGATCATTCTCCGTGGATGTTCTCACTACTAACAGAATCTAGGTATGTCGTTCTTTGTCTCTCAGGCTAGTGTGGGATGAATGGGTAAGGGCATGTGAAAGTCCCTAGATCATTGTTAGAAAGCAGCTACGGAAATCATACCCGGCCCACTTTGTTAATGAATATCATAGGTCCACGCCCTCAGATTATCGCCAATACGCGTCCAATAAGCTTACAGCTAAGTCCTTCCAAATGCCCGATTCCTATGAGCATGAATACGGTACTAATAGTATCTAGGTCCTTTGCCATTCTTTGTTTGATGAAATCGATCTATTGTATTCATTCAGGTATGGGATTATCTCAACCCGTTGCAGCTATTACTGACTATAAAGAACAAAGAAAAGCACAACCTCGGGCATAGATGTGCAATCCAAGACAGCTATTTATCTGGGAGATTAGTAGTGTAAGTTCTATTCTTTGAAGGTTTCTAAACCAAATGACGTAGGGTTTGATACATCACACAACGAAAAGTATAGACACGACGGTCAGTGAAATACTTTCAAGGTAAGCCTTCACCCTACCAATGTATGTATAGACTAAGAGTGTAAGCAATTGATCGTCTAATTTACCATGTCATAATTTACACCGGGTGCAGCATACTTACGCATTATATCCATTTTAAGACTTCTATTATCTGTTATTTGTTTAGATAGACACCTTGAGGGATGGTGAGACCAATCAAGTCGTACGCCGCTACATTGCATTGCGTATGAAGGTGACCATATAACTAATGTTCTGCTAAGCAGAATTCGTGACCCGGAGAATAATTTGACCCACGACATTAGAGAGCCGTAGGGTCGTTAGATAAGATCGTGTCTCACCCGTGGACCCTTATCCGACAGTCTCGGAAGCCGAGGGTGAGGAATCAATCCCGAGACTCGGGCCGAGAATGTTCTGACGGACGATTTCCGCAGTCAATCTCCGTGGTTGATAATCTTGAGCGGTGGGCCTTTCAGATTTATTCTTGATGCTGCCTTTTGGTTGGCTGTGAAAGCTGCCAAATACATGTATATCCACTCTGGCCTTCATGAAATGAAAGCTGAATAACCCCAGGAGTATATTATGAATTATTGAATCAGCAAAGGGAGCGTGGTCCATGACAAAGCCTAGTACTATATGTAGTTTCCGGTGATGCTCTTTAGGCACTCGACCATCCATAGAAAGGGGGTCTTTCCCGGTTCTCCTCCTCTTTGCTTTGAGCACTCACTCTTTTATTCTTTTATTTTGACGGAAAAATGCTGGCTGCCAGTCTCTCTCTCGCGGCTCTCGTGCTAGGCGCAGCTGCCAGCAGCCACCATGGTTCATCTTCCCAATATGACTTTGTCATTATTGGCGGAGGCACCAGTGGATTGGTTGTGGCCAACAGGCTTTCAGAAATGAAAAATTTCACTGTTGCTGTCATCGAAGCCGGAGATTCAGTACTCAACAATGTCAATGTCACCGATGTCATGGGCTATAGTCTCGCTTTTGGGACCGAAATCGACTGGGCCTATGAGACCGCCAATCAGTCATATGCTGGCGGACTGAAGCAGACAATCCGTGCCGGGAAGGCTATCGGTGGTACAAGCACGATTAACGGTAAACCGTTCTCATAATCCTTGTGAAACGGCTTCTAAATTGGGTTTCTCGCAGGAATGTCCTACACCCGAGCCGAAGACGCGCAAATTGACAACTGGGAACGGGTTGGGAATAAGGGATGGGGCTGGAAGAGCCTTCTCCCGTACTATAAAAAGTCCGAGGAATTCCAGACTCCTACCCAGGACCAAGCTTCCCATGGAGCTAGTTACGCTGCCAAATTTCACGGCCGGAACGGCCCTCTCAAGGTTGGGTGGCCGACATCAATGACCAATAGCAGCGTTTTCTCTGTCCTGAATGAAACAATGAATGAGCTCGGCGTGGGATACAACCCTGATGCAAACAGTGGCAAGATGACCGGGTTTACTTCTCATCCTGATACAATTGACAGAGAAAGAAATGTCCGTGAAGATGCTGCGAGAGCCTACTACTGGCCCTACGAGAGTCGTTCGAACCTCAAAATCATTTCCAACACGCGTGCAAATAAGATTATCTGGGCAAACACTACTGGCGAGGCTGCTGCTATTGGAGTGGAGTGTTCTACTGTCTATGGAGTGGAGAGAGTTTATGCTTCTAAAGAGGTTATTGTGTCGGCCGGTTCACTCAAAACACCACAGCTTCTTGAGCTTTCAGGTATCGGAAACCCAGCCATCCTCGACAAGTATAATATCTCTACAAAGGTTGCCCTCCCAACTGTGGGTGAGAACCTCCAGGATCAGACCAACAACGGTCTTACCTGGGAATCAACCGAAAGTTTGACAGGCCTTGCATCTTTCTCCGCCTTGATTTCAGTTGATCAAGTCTATGGCGACAATGTGTCGGCCGTGGAGTCACGAATCGACAATGACTTGACTCGTTATGCGAAGGCGTTGTCAAAGAAATCGAATGGTGCAGTGAAAGAGTCTAACCTTTTGGATGCCTTGAAGACTCAACGGGATTTAATCTTCAAGTCACTCGTCCCTTACGCAGAAGTTGTCTTCGCTCCTAGCGGGCAACTCTTTATATGTGAATACTGGCCGCTTCAACCGTTCTGAAGGGGAAGCGTGCACATTCAATCCGCAAATGCCTCTCAGTCCCCGAATATCGATCCGAACTACTTCATGTTTGAGCAAGACATCGACGCCCAAGCTGATGTCGCCCAATACATCCGCAAGACCTTCGGCACGGCGCCATTGAAAAGTATTGTCGGAGACGAACTTACTCCTGGACTGGATGTTCTTCCTGGAAATGCTTCCAGCTCGGCATGGGATAGTTGGATCAAGGAAAACTGTAAGCTACGTACTTTTGACCGAACGTAGGAAGCGTCACTAACAATTTCTAGACCGACCTAACTACCATCCAGTTGGCACTGTCAGTATGCTTCCGAGGGAGAAGGGTGGAGCCGTCAGTCCTGAGCTCAGAGTCTACGGTACCAAGAATGTCCGTGTCGTTGATGCTTCGATTGTGCCATACCAAATCTCCGGTCATTTGACCAGCACTCTCTCTGCCATTGCCGAGAAGGCCTCGGATCTGATCAAGGAGAGCTATAACTAAGCATTATGGCACGGTTGAAGAAAACGATCCCATCAATGGGAGGCTTCAACGTTGAACACAGACGTTGAGTTTATTGTGAAAGGATATGCTAAAGACTGGGTAAAGGAGGGTATGTAAATAGTTGATAAATATGAGCTACCGAAACATTTGTTTATAACCATATACCGGGATTCTTGGTTATGAGCATGGCGAATTGGGGCCAATAAGGAAGGAAGGACATACAGCGACATTGAATACCTGTTTCGGACATACTACGTAGGTCAAAGATAGTTTCGTAATGAGCGACATAGGCAGCTCTTTTATTTGGGAGATTGACTTATTGTAAGTTACCGTAAGTTCTATGTTCTATCCCTAGAAGGTATCTGGATTAATCAAACATTGGGCTTGATACACCACATCACGGAATATATACAGACAAGACGGTGAAAGATTTCCAAGGTAAGCCTCCCTATCTTGTATGTCTGAAACGCTTACAGAGTATATAGGTCAAGTATAGCCCCAGTGCCCGAGCCGTGTCAGATCAACGCGTCGTTTTGTGGGGGTCGTCGGCCCATAAAAAAAAGAGGATGGTGGCTTAGATTTTTGAACGTTAAGGTAAGCTGCAGATCCGACACTCAAATAGTGCATACTAACTTGACTAAATACTGCAGGGATTCCATTAATATGAAGCGTCGCATATAATACCTGTTTTGGATATATTACGCAACTTAGATCAGGGAGATACTATCGTAAATGTGCGGCATAGGCAGCTAAATTGATGACCTGCATAGCCGACGGACGCGTTGCTGTGCTTAATACCCCATAGATTTGCCTAAATATACTGGTGCCTTATAAACATGACGCCAATCAGCGAGTACAGCGTCAGGGCGGGCTTAGCTATTTTTAGGCGCCGATCACCGCGTCCCGTGGCGCAGACTGCAGACTGCAGACTTCCCGAAGTCTTCACATATAACTCCCCATAGCCAGTGGTTTGAAGTCCAGATATCAGTGGACAGAATGATTGATGAAAGTTTGCTCAGTAAGACATCTGCAGTCTCCCATTTTTTTAGTGGCTACGTCATCCCTGTTCTGATCACTGACCTCACCAGCGTTCTTCGTGAAGAACAACTCAAAGCAGTCTCAGATTAGCACGGTATACCACCGCCAGCATGGCAACGACCCCGAGCCTGCATACTCCCTGCGGGCCCTCGATCCCGCTCTCCCGACATCGAAGAACCGCTACGGTGTCGCGCTATACGATCCCTACGTGACCGACGTTGTCTATGGCGAGGTCGCTGTAGTGCCCGAATGGACGCAACCTAGTCTCTCAGCAGACACGATTCGTGCGAATGGTGGTGCACCACCTCCTCCGGAACCTATCCTCCCGACCGAGTTCATGATCCAGCTCTACAACCCCGACCAGGAGATCACAGTTAAATACAAGGCGAAGACGTGGAACCGCCCCGCACGTTGGGAGTTCGAAATGCCCCAAAATACGTTCCGGGTTCCCTCTGGTTCCTCACTGGATCAGATGCAAAGTGATCCAGCAACAGCGGACGTGACAGAAAAGCTACGATTCAGCTGGCGCAAGGATGGGAAGCTGTCCAAGGATTTGACCTGCCTGCTCCATGGAAAGACTTCTACCATCCCCGATACACGCACAAAGAGTCGCGAACCTGATATTACGGTGGCACTCTTCCAGGGTCTTAAGGAGCTTACTCTCTACGAGCCAAACCTATACCGGGTGGAGATGGAGGATTTCAAAGGATTGGAGGTCGTGCTACTCCTGGCAACTGTCGCTATCAAAGACATCTTCTTTGGCCCTGCAAAGGAAGCTTTCCACATCACCCCTGGTGGACCCAACCAGATCGCGCGTAAGCCAGCAGCGGCAGCGGCGACAACATCAGCTAGCAACGCTCAGCCGGCCCAAAGGAACCCGCAAGCTGCTACCCCTGGTCCCTCCGGTCCGAAGACGAAGCCATCCCCGCCTCGCCTTAGCATTCCAAATTCGTCATCTCCAGCCCCACAAGAACGGCAACGACAGGACGAACTCGCGCGACAGGAAGAACAGCGACGAGCGCAGGAAGTCTCCGCAGCAAAGCAACGCCGGCGCGACGCAGAGGTCGACAAAGAGACCAAGCGTCTTCAGCAAATCTACGGCAGAGAAGAGGAGCAAGCGCGCATGCAGCGCCGTACACCCGCTCCATCATCCCGACCTCATCTTCCACCCCGACATACCAACCCTTCCCAACCCTACTCCCACCAATACTCCCAATCCTCAGCCCAACTATCATCCCAACCCCGTCCATCCCGACAGTCCCGCCCCCATTCCCACTACCCACCACAAGGCGCACCCGTCCCTACATTTGCGAATGCCAACAACCCCTATCTCCACGCACCAGGTCGCATGGATCCCCGCGCCCAGTCCTCAACACACCTGATGCAATCACGCCCACAACAACCCTGGCCACAGCCCCGCCCTCAGTCTACAGTTGGCTTCTACGCCCAGCCTACTAGCAGTGGTGCTCTCCCCGCATCAAAGCCGGCCCCCAAAGTGCAGCAGAAAAAGAGCGGTTTCTTTGGGTTTAGGCGCAATAAGGAGGAGACTGCTGCTACCAAGCTGGAGAAAAAGCGGAGTTCTATGTTTTGATATGCGATACCCTGGCGTTTCTTCTCTCTCTTTTTTTATCCTTATTGGGATTGATACCCTGCATTTACTTGCGGTCATATCTTGGGCGCTTGGGAACATTCGTTTGGGAATGCTCTATTTTCCATATTCATGAAAAGAACTTTTGCAGCATACGTTGTCCGTTTGATAGGTCTTTGGGCATGCTAACACTCAACGTTAACCAAAATGAATAGACAAGTCGTGACTCGTATATCATAGAAAAGAGGGTTGGTCAGGTAGACTTTAGACAAAGATGAAAGGCCAAGCAGGCAGCCAGGCTAGCCTTTAAGGATTAGTGCATTTTCTGCTTCCCCTATCAGTTCCCTTTCTCTCCGGATCTAGCAATCCATTGCACTGCTCCCAGAAATGTCCGGGGACCCCAAAAAGGACGCCCAATACGGCCGCTTGGCCTTTGACAACTTCGCTCTAGTTCGGCCCCCACCACTCCCTTCTCATACCACATCTGACCTCCCAGGAACACTGGAGCAATGACCCTTCCAAAACAAGCAAACAACAATGGGAGGAACTAGTCTGGGAATACCAAAAATTGACTCTGATTCAGCCCTAGCTTACCCTTTGCACTAATGCATTGTCTAATATACAATGTACAGCCATACCAATGCCTCGCGGACTCCGAATCATCTCCCGTGGTAGTGGACAAAGAAGAGATCAACCGTATATTCCTAAACCAAACTATCCACGAACGCAACACAAGCCTAGGAACCAGTATGGGAATACAAATCATCTGGCTACGAACATGCTACGACAGAACCCTCACAGCAAAATATAACACACTAAAACGAGCAGCTGGAGCAGGTATCTCAGACTGTATGACGAAAGTCCTAGACGATGCTACGCGGTACAACTTTGAAGAATCCTGGCGTCGAATCTTAATCTGCATACCAGGCCTCACTGACTTATATGGAATCGTCGATATGGATGGTGATGGAAGCAATTTGCAATATAAATCCGGACAAGATGATATAGAGCTGGTTGCGCAGGTAGAAGGGGAAGATGAAGATTGTCGAGAGCTATCATTGGTAGAATTGAGGATTCAAGCTGGTATTTATTTGCTTGATAAGGAGGCTATTGAGTCTGGGTTTATTAAGGTTGTTTGGATTGATGAACATGGGGATTGTGTTTGGGATAATCGGTTGGATCCGGTTGTTTCTGATGTGGAAGGATTGGCTGGTGCGTTGATGAATTCAACTAGTTTGATTGAAATTACTGGGTATAATGGGACGAGAGGGGCTTTGATTGAGAGGTAGAGTAACTTGTCTAATATATACCTATTCTAGAGAAACATAGGGCTCGGCTCTAGCTACTAGATTACCTAGCACCCTCCTCGTTCTTTCCTAAAGGCGCCCTTCTCATAATATTGGATGGAGGCGAGGACTTCTCCATTCATAATCCCATGACCATAATAAATATATTTATTTTTATATATTAACAACTAAAAATGACGGTAAGAAATCCCTCCTGTGGTTGAAAAACAGGGTTAGGATGTTGAGTCATTGTAACCGAAAGCCATTCCTCCTTGCCAGCAGGAAATAAATCCCTAGAGAGTAACGGCGTAAGCACTCAGAATCCCACCTTCTTTACCTAGGTCAGCAGTAACATGAGGGGGAACATTTCGATCAATCCCCAGGATCATCAAGGATTCCTTCAAGAATACGCCCTTCGCCGGGGGCTCTTGGGTATCTTCCTTGCTGGGAACAGGCAAAGCATGCTTGGGCGAAAGCGGCGCCACCGTCATGAAATTGATGTTGATTCCCTCTCGACCAAGGATGCTGCCCACAACTCCGATCTTCCCGGGTGAATCATAGTTTTCACAGATCAGCAAGGTTCCTTCGGGCTCAAAAGAAGCTTCAAATCGGCCCAAGCGAGTAATCAGCAGTTGGTCTCCAGAGCAGGTGCCAGAGATGATGCGTTGCTGTTGGGCTGGGACAGGCACAGAGGTGTCAGCAGCAGGCGCCCGTGACGACGAGCGAGATGGTGGGCGGGCAACAAGAGTCACCAGCGATGAATATGACGAGTGCTCTGATGGGTCGCGGGAATGTTGCTCAGAGACATAGATACCACGTTCACGGGCCACAAGCTCAGCATTCACGATGTTTACATTCAATCCCTCGGTGCTGCTGATAGGCGACAGTAGACCCTTGATCAGGGCTGCAAACAACGGCTTTGTGTTATTGATATTAGCCAGCTCTCCTTGGTATATCAGATCAAAGGTGTTTTGTGTCATTGATCCCCCAGAGGTGGTGGCGTAGTGCTGAGTATACAGGCTGCCGAGCTTTTCAACCAGGCGCACAAATGGCTGCAGCTTTTTATACTCTTCGGGGAGGATGATGGGGACATTGACAGCCGAGCGAGGTAGTGAGCCTTGCAGAATCTCAAGTACTTGCTGGCAGACATCAACTGAAACATTCTCCTGTGCTTCCACCGTGGAGGCACCGAGATGCGGCGTGACAACTGCCCGTGGATGCGCGATAAGTCGCGCTGCAGGTGAATCTGGGGCTGGTGGCTCCGATGTAAACACATCAACGGCTGCCCCCGCAATATGGCCAGATTCCAGAGCTGCAAGTAGGGCACCTTCATCAAATGTGCCACCTCGAGCCACATTGAGCACGCGAGAACCCTTTTTCATCTGGGATAATTCAGCCTCTGCAATCATCCCTCGAGTGGAGGCGATGAGGGGTGTGTGGATGGTCAGAAAGTCGCAGGATGTGAGCAGTTCAGTCAACGATGATACGAGTGTAACACTGGCGGACGCTGCGACAGATGCGGAGGCATAAGGATCGAGAGCATTCACATTCATACCCAAGCCTTTGGCCAGTCGTGCGACAGTCAACCCAACTGTAATAGATTAGTTTATGATTCATGGACGATTTTATCAAACATTACCTTTTCCAAGTCCGATAATCGACAACGTCTTGCCCTTGACTTCCACACCTACATACTTGCTTCGCTCCCACTTCCCTTCTTTGAGACTGGCACAGCTCGCTGGGATATTTCGCGCCATGGACATCATCAGGGCAACCGTGTGTTCTGCCGCCGAATTGATGTTGCCCGAGGGCGAATTGACGACAACTATTCCCAATTTTGTTGCCTCCTGGACATCTAATGTACCAAATCAATGAGAGCCAGGAGAGGCTTGAGTCCATAAGCATACCAACATTGTCAACTCCTACACCCGCACGAGCAACCACCTTCAAACGCCGGGCAGCACGCAGCACAGCAGCGTTGACCTTGGTCTCGGAGCGTACGAGCAGCGCATCGTACTCTGGGATGATCTCAAGTAGCTCATCGGCGCTCAGATCTTTCCGTTCGTGGACATCGAGGGAACTGCGCATCAGGGCCAAGCCATCTTGAGATAGCTTTTCAGGCACGAGGACTTTGGGACGACTTTGGAACAGCATTGATACGAGTCAATGAAGTAAAATGAATCAAAAACAGAGAGCGAAGATGATGGAGGGGAAACATGACAGAACGTGACCCTGGATATCTTCCGCGGCAGCAGCGCATGTACTTCCACCAACCTCCTGACAACGCGGGGTACAATCTGTCTCATTGGGCTATCAAATACATCAAGGTACTCGTGTTTCTGCACAGGAAAGCATTCCGCTAACCATAAGCAAGGCTGAATCTGCACCGCCGTTGGGCGTCGTCTAGGGCCCACAATCACGATGTTCTCGTGTCGACAATATGAATGTCCAAGCCCGAGCCCAAGCCCAAGGCTAAGCCTCAATCTATATCTCCAATCTGATTCCCAATCTAAATCTCCTCCGATCGATCGCGAATCAGGGCCACTTTTTGAAACAAGAGTGCGGATTTACCCCTGGGCGCGGACTTTTGCCTGGCGTGGCTTAGCGACTTTCTTGAGACATGTAAGACTCTATCCTGGCTTTCGATCTTTCGATCTTACGACTTACTCTTCACCTACCGCTGTGTTCTTGCAGACCAGACGGCCTGCATGGATACATACCACTGGTTGTTCGTCCGAGAATTGACTTGCCTCTCTTCCGCGACCGCTATGATCTGACACGTTTCAGGCGTCTCAAAAGGACTGCCCCCATGGTTGGCGTTCCACATTCAAACGGCTGTGCTCTTTGCCGCGAGCGGCGTATTAAGGTACGTTCTTCGCAATGATCATACCAATTTTCTGACCCTCTAGTGTGATGAGGCGGTTCCGGAGTGCAACAATTGCCATCGTTACCGCAGACCTTGCCCCGGTTATCGGCGCGCCCTTCGGTTCCAGGATGAGGGTCCGATTCTTGCCAGAAGACATCAGTCTGGCTCGCGACGGAGAGAAAGGCCACCGAAACCGCCAGCAGCCCCTTCAACGCAAATTGAGCCACCCGAGAAAGCCCACGCAGCAGCTGACATAGTGCGTGGCAATACGGTCATGTTAATGCGACAAAATCCGGCCGGTAGTTTTGACGAACAACTTTCTGTCTCTCTAGTTCGCCAACAATTTCGCGACGCTCAGCCCCAGCTCTTTCTGAGATTTATTTCACATTCCTTCCCCACGGTAGGTTGGTGTGCCCACATTGAACTCTGGATACTTATCCCTTGGTAGCTCTACTATCACAACCGTTTCAGATCCGGGGAGGGTCTCGGGTTTGCTGAGTATGTGGTCCTTAACTATGGCAATGATGCATACCTCGATACGTCCGTCTGTTGCTTGAGCTCGATTTATCTCGCTCGCTTGACCCAAGATCGGACGCTTCTCAAAACGAGTCGACAGCTGTACTCCAACTCACTCAGGGTAGTCATCAAAGCTCTCTCGAAGCCGGAGCATGTGATGTCCGATAATATGCTTTGCACAACCATTATTTTAAGTGTTTTTGAAATGTACGCTCAGACTACACCGGACGCATGGGTTGTACACAGCGATGCCGTAAGGCGGCTTATGATAAAGAGAACTGCGGCCGCTTTCGAGTCTGGCTTCGGACGGTTCTGCTTCATAGCCTTCAGAGGCTTTCTTATCCTCTTAGCTTTATACGAAGGAAAGCCATGCTTCCTGGATGAAGAGGAATGGCAAAACTACACGATAAAGATGATGACCGAGGATCGCACCAAGCCTGGGGAATGGAGCGCATATACTGACCTTGTTGATCTACTTCACATGGAAACTGCCAAATGTCCGCGGTATATTAGTGAGACTCGAGATCTTCTCGCAGGGAACACCGATCCGGACCATGCCAAAATATACGGCCTCATCAGCCGTATACAGAATACCTCCCACCGACTTGAATCCCTGATCTCCGACCTCCGGTCCTGTATCAGCGCACACAATGAGCGCCAACAAGGAATCATCCAAGGTCCCAATAAACCCTTCATTGGACCTGTTCCAGAGGTTTTTCCCGACACTGGACCCTCACTCCTTCTCCTAGGAGCCGAGAACATGATGGAAACAATCCAAAAGCTAGTCACCCGACTTGAGGATAGACTCCGTGTGCGTGTGATTGAGGAAGCCCTTTCTCCAGAGTCCGTCAATTCACCACCCAGTGACCGCAGCACTTACTCTACTTCTCCTTCTACTGCCAGCTCTAAAAACTTCTCTCTTCCCTTTCGCGTTCAGTCAGAGCTTGAAAACGGTCCGTCCAAGGCTTCTGACGGCCATGATCCTCGTGGTGTTAATTTCCTGGATCGTGTGGCCTCGTCGATGGGCGTGCTAGGTGCGAGGGTTGTCTTTGACGAGACACCAGATCCATCCTCATGATAGGGTACGTTGTATGTGAAACACGAAAGATACTTGTACATTTCTTATTTAGCTTGTCTTTATGCATTCCAACTTGGACTGTTGAATCGGCGTTTCGTATAGTAGGTTAACTATGTATCATACTCCACTTATTGAGATTCATTCTAACAAAAAAAAGCACTTGGACGATGTGATTGTTCCTCATTTTTCAGGCCTCCAAATAACGTCAGCTGGCTTCCCACGTGCATTCGGAGATTCCAGTTTCTACCCTCAAGCCAAAGCCGATGCCTCTCCTCACTTGAAACCTCAACTTCATTGCAACCTCTGACGCTCATCAAACATCTCGGCCTAGTCCCCGGGAATTGACCGGCTAAAATAGGATATCGTTGGCTCCGGTCGCTACCAAGCGTCAGGGACGCTGTTTCGCCTTGCGTCTTTCCATGGAACCACACCCTCTCTTTTTTTATTTCTCCACAATGTTAAACGGCACAGCGCGGAATGGAATACCACGCCTCAGCACTGCACTGCCAAGAAACCCGCAACGTGATCGTCACGCTGATCTCTAAAGTCTACTCATCCTAGTATCCTAATGGATGGCTTGCACGAGTGGGAGCAATACTATTCCCGTTGTGTGCCCGATCGGGAAAATGATCCCTTGAGGAATATCCATCGCCTATCGAACACAGGTCCAACATCTGGAGATGCAGCCTCGATTATCTCCCAGATTGATTAAGGGACCCGCAAGTGGGCCAATGACGAGGCCAAGGCCATTTATTCAGTCCCACGGCTTCGTCGGCGGGCGGCGGTGGCCAACCTGACTGGGCGATGGTTCGGGAGTCCACCCAGCGTGAGGAAGTGATCTTCAGGGCTGGCTTTTCCAATGCGTATCCCCTATTTAAGATTCTGGGTGTCCAGATCTATCACGTCTTAACAAACTCACTTTCGTCACTCTTTAGATCGTTCATTTGAACAATTAGCTTTCCTTAATCATGAAGTGGTACACCGCAGGCAGCGCTCTGCTCCTGTCTCTTCAGGCAGCGGCATGGGACTACTCAACCTATTCCTCGATGGACTTCCAGCCTCCCAAGCTGGAGGTTAACAAGACTGGAACAACCGATCCCGGATACATCTTCCTCGGTCCTCGTGGTGGCGTCCAGGCGGCTGGTTCCGCTGCGCTTATATACGACGATGCAGGTAATTTGGTATACGAAGGCCCCGAAGAGGTCACTGCCAACTTCAGAGTGCAGAAGCTCGATGGCGAGGATGTTATCACCTTCTGGGCTGGTGAGATGATGGACGTTGGCTACGGTTATGGCTCGGTTCATATTCTCGACAACACGTACAAGGAGATCTACACCGTCACTCTCACTGGCACCTTTGTAACTCCCGATAACTCTCAGAAGGATAGTTACTGTGACCTCCACGAGAGCGAGATCACTCCCAGTGGCACCATCATCTGCACCGCGTACAATGTCACCCAGCACGACTTGACATCGATCAACGGGACTTCCTCTTCTTATATGTTGGACAGCCAGTTCCACGAAATCGACATCAAGACCAACCAGGTTCTCCACTCGTGGAGTGCTCTCGACCACGAGGACCAGATTCCTCTTACTACCTCCCACCAGGGTCTTGGCAAGGACGTTGGCACGCAGCAGTCTGACCCCTACGACGCCTACCACATTAACGCTATCGCCCCTACCAATCACGGCTACATGATTTCCCTGCGCCACATGTGGTCCGGCTACTACCTTGCCCAGAACGGCAGTGTGATGTGGACCATCGACGGCGAGGACGGCGGAGATTTCAAACAAATCAACAACCCACAATTCTCTTGGCAGCATGATATCCGTGTTTACAACGAGACTGACTCTGGTCTCGTTGTGAACCTGTTCAACAACGCCAACACACCCACCGATCAAGAGTCCGAGACCACAGGTCTCAGCATGGCCATCGACCTGACCAAGAAGACCGTCACTGGTCTCCGCTCACTCACCGACCCCAACGACCCCATCCACTCCGTCAGCCAGGGAAGCTACCAGCTCCTCGACGAGGTCGACAGCCACGTTTTCATGGGCTACGGTTCCATCTCCAAGGTCAAGGAGTTCGACGGTGACGACAACGTCGTTTTCAGCGCTCAATTCGGCGAGGATAACGCTGTTGCTTCTTACCGTGGTTTCCGCTGCCAGTGGGCTGCCACCCCTTTCTGGAACCCTTCTGTTGTCGTCTCCAAGACTGACTCTAATATCACTGTGTACATGAGCTGGAATGGTGCTACTGAGTATGACAACTGGGTTGTTTACTCTGCTTCTGACAACACTACCTCCAGCACAAACACCAAGATTGGTTCTGCGAACCGCGCTGGCTTCGAGACTTCTGTCACGGTGCCAATTCCCACTGAAGCGTACATTCAGGTTGTCGCTCAGCAGGGTGATAACGTCCTCGGTACTTCCGAGTTTGTTACCTTCTAAGCGGGTGCAACGGATGAAACATCATTCATTGACAGCTGCTAGATTTCTTTCTTCACATATATTCCATTTCACGGAAAAGGTACATGGATGTATATTTCTTTGCCTGTTTCATATTAATTTCGTTGTACATATTTATTATAGAATCTGTTCATACAACGCACGATCCTCAGATACAATCTAATCAATACAAACCAGATTAGATGAGATCAGGGCATTATGAATCGCTACTACTTTCGGTGAATCCGGCACACCCCTGAAACACGACGATATTTCAGGCTTGGCCGTCTCACCCACGATGGTGTGACAGACACAGTATCACTGCTTATCAAACAAACTGTAAATTTGAGGATAGTCTGCAGAGCCGTTGACTTGGTACTACAGTCTAGTGAAAATTAATCAAACATGTCAATGAGCAACTGACTTTCTGAGACTTACATGAATATCTCTGTTTCTGTGCAAGGTAGTGCTCCCGTTTTACAGAGAAGGATAAGAAGGAGTTATAATACGGCGATAAGTTCTGATATTTTCGATCTCAGGTTAATATCCCTGCAGTAGATGCATATACAGTACTTCTACAGCCATGTTATTTATGCAAATTTAATGAAGAACCCAAATCCGTACTAACCCACGGCCGACAACGGCAGTGAATGTTCAATTGTTTGATTTAACATTCCAAACCAGTTCCAAATCAAAGAATTCTCCGTGGAATTTGAGTTTGTGGGGAGGGTCGGGGCTAGATCTTGCCTGTCAGGAGTTCACATTCTTGGACGCTAGTTGCTACAGCTACCTGTTGATATTTACTGGAAATTACATTATGAGAAAAAGAGGGTTTTGACGGCTCGACACTAGTAGACTGATATTAATCGTTCAAATTAAGCTTCTTGGTTTTAGATGTGTGCTGGATCCCCTATTACTATTCTTCCTTCCAACCGGGGATGAATATCGTCTTGGATTAGTCTGGCCCTAGAATGCTCAGTGATATAAGTTACTAAATCTAACAAGTCTAATTGCTACTCTCGATTTGCCGGCAAATTACCTTTATATTTTTACCCAAGTGCATCGATCTCATTCTTCAGATACCCATGGGCTAAAATATCCGATGGGCTTTTCCCCGGCTACTCCAAATGATCTAAGATCAAAGGAACATTCCTCCCCGCGGAAGCTTGGGAATCCGAGAAATCATAAATAGGAATTGTGAATAGGAATTGTAAATAGGAATTGTAAGTAGAAATTTCATGGCTGTATACGCCAAGTAGGGAAAAGGTAACATTCTCCCAGTGTTTCCGCATACATATGTGTCAAACACCGATGGTACACGGCTACAGTGTGATACCTTGATATCCCTTCATTTTCTATGTATTGTATGGCTTAGTGTGGCTTGACTTCCCTGGTGCAGGATTTAAATGCCCTCATGGATATGTAGTTCCCCGTGAGGATGTCACATTCTAGGGGTTCAGACTGGACAAAAGGGAATGGAATGACACGAGTGGTGAAGCGAGAGAGCAGCATCTATAAAACCGACTCTCAATCCTACCATCCAGAGCCAGCCAACAGAGGACAAGAACCCCAAGCAGAACATCATCATATTACTCAAGATGTACCTCCCAACCATCCTTCCCTCCCTAGCGGCCCTCACCCTCGCCCATCCAACAAGAACCACCACCAACAACAACCTCATTCATCGCGCCCCAATCCCCGACAGCGCTTTCATAACACCAATAAGCGCCAAGTCAACCCCTAGTCCAACCCCCAGCCGTCGCCCCCACGGTCACGCAGTCGTAAACAACCACTGCAACTTCCCAATCTACCTCTGGTCCGTCGGAACAACAGCCCGACAGGAGAGGACTCTTCTCCCAAACGACGTCTACAGCGAGTTGTTCCGCGAAGAGAAAAACACAGGCGGCATAGCGATCAAGATCAGTACAGACGTCGACGGGCTGTATACCAGTGCGCCGCAGATGGTGTTTGCGTATAACCTTTCGAATCTCACACAGGGCAAGGTCTGGTATGATCTTAGTGATGTTTTTGGAGATCCATTCGAGGGATATCCTGTTAGTCTTTCGCCTGCTGAGCCGAGGATCTCTTGGCCGGATGGTGTTCCTAGTGCTGGGAGTCAGGTTAGGGTTACTTCTGCTGATACGGATTTGGTACTGTCGCTTTGTTAGGGTATTGCCTGGATGGGATGATGGAGAGAAAATATATAGTTTGGTTAATTAATCGCCAATTCAACGTTGACTCTATTCATTGTGTGCTAGTAATTGAAGTCATGATCAACATGGACCTCGGCTGTTCAGATTCCCTAGAGTTTCTCCATTTTGGAGAAACTAGAGATCTATAACCGAATAGCAAAGCACAATTAACGTTAGAGGCTCAGCTAATCAAAGTCACCTGTCACTCGGCCACAAGTCCGATCCCCGCATTCCCCAACTCCCCACCTCGCTTTCTCCTACTTCAACCTGCTCAACCCTTCAATTCCGCCTTCTCCCTCCAAACAATCATGGTGTCAGCAATCCGAGTCGCGCCCAGCGCAGCAAACCGCGCTCTTAATCTCCTTCGCACAGTGCAATATACACACCCTCCAAACTGTCCCTGTCATGGCAATCCCGCGCACCATCACCACCACAAAACCCCCACCCTCCTCAACCATGTAAAGCGCCACCTAGCCACGCCAATCGACCGATCGCGTGAGAAAGAGTATGCCTTTGAAATGGCGGCATCGAGTATCCGCTTCGGGCCTGGTGCGACGAAGGAGGTTGGCATGGATTTTGCGAATATGGGAGCGAAGCGCGTTTGCATTGTTACTGATTCGAATGTGGCGAAGCTTGATGCTATGAAGCAGGCTGTGGAGGGGTTGACCAAGGAGGGTATAGAGTTTACGGTCTTTGACAAGGTCCGAGTTGAGCCGAAGGATAGTAGGTAGGTTATTTCTTTCTTTTGGGGGATCCAGGGCTGACGGTGGGTGTAGCGTGAAAGAGGCTATTGCTTTTGTCAAGCCTTATAAGCCTGATGCTTTCTTAGCTGTTGGTATGTTTCCGCTATCTCCACAGTAATCAAATCTAACAGAATAGGTGGTGGCTCTGTCATTGACACGGCCAAATTGATGAACTTGTATAACGCCTACCCCGAAGCCGACTTCCTCGACTTTGTTAATGCACCCTTGGGCAAGGGTCTCCCCGTTGATAAGCCACTGCTCCCACTCGTGGCCGTGCCCACAACAGCAGGAACAGGCTCAGAGACAACCGGCACAGCCATCTTCGACCTGGTCTCCAAAAAGGCCAAGACTGGTATTGCCCACCGCAACCTGAAGCCCACACTGGGAATCTGTGACCCTCTGAACACCCGCACCATGCCCTCAGCTGTGCACGCCTCGTCCGGACTTGACGTGCTCTGCCACTCACTCGAGTCCTGGACTGCCATCCCATACAACGAGCGCACACCCCGTCCCACAAACCCAATCAACCGTCCGGCCTACCAAGGCGCAAACCCTATCTCTGATATCTTCTCCCTCCAGGCGCTACGGAGTACAGCCCAGTTCCTCCCCCGTGCAGTGCGCGATCCCGATGACCACGAAGCGCAGTCAAACATGCTGCTCGCTGCGACATTGGCCGGTGTGGGATTCGGCAACGCAGGAGTCCATCTATGCCACGGTCTCTCATACGGAATCAGCTCACAGAACCCCGGATACAAGCATGCCGGATATGATGTGGACCACCCAATCATCCCACACGGCGTCTCGGTCGCCATCACCGCCCCCGCAGTCTTCCGCTTCACCGCTGCGTCAAATCCTGATCGTCATCTTGCCGCCGCCGAAGCATTCGGCGTTGATATCTCGAATGTAAAGCGCGAGAGTGCCGGTGAGGTCCTTGGAAACGCCATTGCAGAGTTCCTTGTCAAGCTTGGTGATCAGCCTCGTGGACTGAAGGATCTGGGCTATAAGGCTTCAGATATTGATGGCCTGGTTGAAGGGACATTGCCTCAAAAGCGGGTTCTGATGTTGGCGCCTAATCTCAGTGAAGAGTTGCAGGCTGAGAAGGGTGAATTGAGGAAGTTGCTTGAGGAGTCTATGGATTATTAGATTTTTAGTTTTGGTTCGTACCTTGGAGTGGTTGAGGTGTGTACATTCATTAAAATCGAAGTAGTGAATATATATCTTTAGATCGGTGAATCAGGATTGAGTGGGGTCTACAAAGAGGTCTAAAAAGGGATTTGAAGTCGGCGGATATTATAGGGTAATATTCTTTCATGAAAACGCGAATGGGAGACGGTGTTGTATATCCCATTTAGATTCCCCTCCTAGATTGGTAGAATTACCAGAGTACCTTCAAACGGAAGATAGAGGCAGTAATTGAATTGATAAACAGGAACAGGAACTTGGACAACAGTTTTCTGTCCTCGTACAACCGCCTTTTCCTACTTGAAACAGATAGCAGGAAGCAGTTCAACGAAGACGCGACGCTCTGCTCGTAGACTGGCCTTGGGTGAATGAAAAGGGTAGTTCGATTCGATCTTGGAGTTACGCTACTCGTTGTTTCCGGAGTTACAGTAACCTGTTTTACCATGTGAGCAGATATTGGTATTCACTAGGCTGATGCTACTACAAACTTCGAACTTCCTAAGTTTCACGAAGATACAGGCTCCAACAACATACCAAAGGTGATATCCTTCACCTTGACCAAATGCTCTTCCATTGGGCCAGGACCGCACGCCGCACTTCCAACGCCCGCAACCTGGTCATCCAGTCTCAACAATACCGCATCCTCTTCGACAAGATCACACGGATGCCGCGCTGCCTCAATGGTCTGATCAGAGTACCGGCTAGCCGTCCAGCTCAAACTCGCTCTTCCCCCATCCACAACTGTACTTCCCGTTGGGGAAGCGCGGAAACCCGTGCCATTTAGAGTAACAAGCTCAACCCAAGCTGTATCCGTGCGGTTCCCATTCTCCTGCGGAATATCATAAACTGTCTGCAGCGAGGCGATATCTTCAGCATTCCACAGACCAAACTTCTGAGCAGCCTTCTTATCCGGATAGGACTCTCCAGGACCAAGCCCCAGCCAACGGGCAGACTGCAGAGCAGAGTTCGCGCGGAGATTGAGACCAACTCGCGGAACGGTTTTAGGTGCGGTTCCGGTGGGTTGCAGTGTTATAGTGGTTGTCAAAGAACCGTTGGGCTTAATTATATAGCGTGCCACGCATTTCCATCCCCAGGACAGGACTGGTGGGGATAGGAACGTTTCGCTGTCGACGCTGACACTACCATCCCCTGCTGAAGACACGTTCAACGAACGGAGCTGGTTCGTGAGAGTATGCACCCCGAATCGCTTCCAATATGGCGCTGCGGATGGTACGTCGTTGTCCGTTGGAGGGCGCCAGAAGCCAGGTATCATGGCGAGCCCTGTGTCGGCATCCGGCTTGAGAATACAGGTCGAGTTGTATGTCCACTTTCTGAGGTGGCCTCGGATGCGATCGAATTGGAAAGACCAGTTGGCTCCACTGACAGACACGGTTGTCTTGGTAACGTTCGTTGAGATGCCATTCTCGATACCTTGTGCGGAGCCCATGCCATTTACTATTGCCTTTTCGGTTGGCTTTGATACCAAGGCTTGCGTCCAGGCCACCGCATGAGGGTCTTGACTCCATTCTACCTTTTCATGTTGCTCAAGCGTAATGGTCAAGTAGGCTGGATGGGTTTCATGTTGGAATAACTCTGTCGGCAGAGGAAGTTCTGCAGATTGCCCGGGGGCCACAATGGGCAGCTCCAGTATTCCAGTTGCCAAAACTTTGACTCTGGGTTGGAAGGTTAGGTCTCTTCATTTTGCTTGGTTAATAGTTATGAACTTACCGTTTGTCAAAAGCTTCAAGCTTGTAACAGGCTTGGAGATTGCTCAGATTCAAGAAGTCGTACCGGTTCTTCAGAAGCAATGTCTGTCCACGGACTTCCAACTTGACCGGCTCAAAGGCTCTCTTCAGCTCCAACAGACCTGGCAGAGGCTGGTGGGCACTATTCAAGAGACCATCCATCACGAACGTTCCATCATTTGGATAGTCTTCGAAATCACCGCCATAGGCATAGAAACCATCTTTCTTGTTGGTTCCTCCAACATAAAGCCCATGATTGGCCCATTCCCATATGAAACCACCCTGCAAGCGCGGGATTTCGTCGAAGCACTTCTCATAATCGGCAAGCAGGCCGGGTCCGTTGCCCATGGCATGAGCGTATTCACAAAGGATAATAGGCTTGTCGAATTCCCCATTTGTAGCCCCCTCGGTGACTGCCAAGGATCGTAGCCGGTCGATTTCAGGATACATATAGCTGTACATGTCTGTGGTTTCCGCATGAATATCACCCTCGTAGTGGACCAGACGAGTGCCGTCGAAGCTGCGAGCATACTCTACCATGGAGCGGTGACATGTGCCGAAGAAAGCCTCATTGCCCATAGACCATATAATGACACTCGCATGATTCTTGTCTCGTTGCAGCAGTGAATGCACGCGATCAATGTAGGCCGCTCGCCAGACAGGGTTGTCTGATGTATGAACGCCGCACAGGGGGAAGGTCATGGCTTTTCGCTCCTCGTAGCCAAGCGTTTCGTCCATGTCCATTGGCCGGGCGACAGCATCATAGAAGCCGTGGCATTCGAGATCAGCTTCGTCAATGACCCAAAAGCCTAGCTCATCGGCCATGTCAAGAAGCCGAGGGTCGGGTGGATAGTGGCTGCAACGAAGGGCATTAATGTTGTGGGCTTTCATGAGAAGCAAATCTTGCCGCATGAAGTCCAGTGGCACGGCACGGCCGAAGAGTGGATGGTGGTCGTGTCGGTTGACTCCACGAAGCCGAATGGCCTTTCCGTTGACGGTGATTAGGCCACCCTTACGCTCAACTTTGCGGAAGCCAACACGCTGTGTGGTCTTGAATGTCTTATTAGAATCAGATGTTGTCAAAAGCATCTCCACTTCGTACAGATACGGCTGCTCGGCAGTCCATTTCTTGGGGTTGGTCACAGGCAAGCTGAGTTCAACTGCGGATGTTGCTGGCTCTATGCTGCTCTCAGTAGAAGCAATGATTTGAGTACTGCCCTCAATTGACTCGACCAAATTAATTGCAATGGTGCTTCGCTCTGAGACTTGGTAGTCAATTGCTGCGAGAAGCGTCGCATTTTTGTATTCTGGATCGAGGTCCGTACGTATAAACCAGTCATTCAAACGGTCGGCTGGTAACGCAATCAAAGTAACATCTCGGAAAATACCTATTACCATGGAGTTAGCAAATTCTTCATTTTCATTGTCGCTTATCATAATTTAGAGCTTACCAGATAGCCACCACTGATCCTGATCTTCGATATAAGTGGCATCTGACCACTGATACACTCTGACAAAGACTTCATTATCGCCATGTGCCCGCAAATATGGGGTGACATCAAATTCAGATGGGTTTCTGCTGCCTTGCGCGTACCCGACCAAGGAACCGTTCACCCAGACATGGTATGCACTGTCGACGCCGTCGAAGCGCAACCGAACATTGGTGTTATCGGATTGCCACTCGGCAGGTACTTGAAACTTCCGCCGGTATGTACCCGTGGGATTCTCGGTAGGTACGAAAGGAGGGCACACTGGGATAGGGAATTGTGTGTTGGTATAGTTCGGCTTTCCCCAGCCCTGCAGCTGCCAATGGCCTGGGACATTGATGCTGGACCAGTCCTCGCCGGAGGTCTGCTCGTTGGGCTCTGGGGCTTCCCCTGGTGACCGGCACATGTTGAATTCCCAGGGTCCATTGAGAAGTAGACATGTCGAGGGGATATGACAAGAACGCGCAGGGAGGGTATTTCTGCGAAAAACCGCGGGGTTCATGAAATCGGGCCGTTCGGGATCGGCCTGCAGTGACAGCTCTTTGGTCTGTGGAGAGCTCATGATGCATCAACTGCGTAGGAAATGAGTTGAGGGTCTTTGGTCGTCTAGGATGTTCTCTGTCATGTCCTTTATACCGGAGGGGTGGACTGGGGTATATTGGGGCGTGGGATCTTTTCACCGCGCTACCCCTCCAATGTTATCTCACATCTTGTTTGCATCATTCTGTGGGGGTGCCATCTCAACACGTCTTGAGTTATCTCATTGCTCCATCTTTGTCGGGTCTGTCGGAGCCGGTGTTTGTGGGGGTTGTTTTGCGGAGGTGAGAATGGAGACCTCGGGATTCCCTGATCCAATAGACACTCGCCGGGGCTATCGGCACCGGGGCTACTGGAGCCGGGGAAGATTTGGCATTTTCTTTACTTTCGCCGAACTCTGCCACAGTCTTCAATGCCCATCGCGTGGAGCTAAACGGGTGTATCGGGGCTCGTTATTGTCTTCGAGCTGTTGTCTCGTCCAATTCCAAACTTCCGCCTGCAAACTTCCAGCACTTGCCAGCAGCTAGCCCCGCCTCGGATCGGCTAGCTTCCCCGGATTGAGAGTATAGCATGATCAGGGGCGAGACTTCATACCCGAAGTCGGGGAAGAATGCGAAGGTAGCAGAGACACGCTTTGTGAAGAGTATTAAACCTACGAAACTCCCCACCTGAGCAGGTTTCATCGTCTCGATCATTTCCTTTTTCATTCATACCTTAGGTACCCTTGTTTACTTTCTTCTTCTTTTTCTCTTCCATCATGGATCTCGATAAAGACAAGTCTGTCGACAGTGTCCATGTCGAAGCTACGCCGGGTCCGATGGAGCCCATCGATATCAAGAAGCCTGAGTACCCCGGTCAGACCCTCGCACATGATATGAGCCTGAAGGAGGCACTCCGCAATTACCGCAAGGCCATGCTATACTGTTTGTTCTTCTGTTTCTCTGCTATCCTCTGGGGATACGACATGCAAGTCAGTGGAGGCCTTCTTGCCGCTCCAGAGTTCCGCGCCGTGTTTGGATACACTCAACCTGACGGCACGACGATCCTTCCAGCTAGATGGCAAGCAGCCTTCAACACGGTTGCGACGATTGGTGGAATGATAGGAAGTCTGCTTTGTGGTCCTATCTCGCCCTACGCAGGCCGAAAGATGAGTTTGACTATCGCCTGCGTCATCTCCAGCGGCTCCATCTTCTTGCAGTTCTTTGCTTTTACTCGGGGAGTGCTCCTCGCTGGAAAGTTGCTTAACGGTATCTCACTCGGCATGTTCCTCGTCACGGCTTGTGCCTATTGCTCTGAAGCTTGCCCTGTCGTGCTGCGCGGAATCACCATTGCCATGGTTAATCTGTTTGTTGTCATCGGCCAACTCCTCGGAAACTGCCTCATCAAGGCATTCGGTGCGCGAACAGATAATTTTGCGTACAGAATCCCCTTTGCGTTCCAGTGGCTTTTCCCAGCGGTTCTTCTCTGTGGAGTGTGGTTCTGCCCCGAATCCCCCTATTGGTACGTTCAAAGGGGTAGGCATGCTGAGGCCAAACGGTCTCTTGAACGATTCCAGACTAGCGGAAGCGTCGATCACTGGCTCGTTGAGATCCAAGAAACAGTCCGCATGGAAGAAGAATCCGCAAAGTCCGCAGGCTATTTGGATTGTTTCCGAGGAACTGATCTCCGTCGAACGATGATTGTCATCGCCGTTTGGACTATCAACTCTTTTAGTGGTGTCAACTTTGTACTTAGCTACTCCACCTACTTCTTCCAAAGTAAGTATCCCTCGGTTCACAAGACATTTCGGTTTGTTAACGAATATTTTCAACTCTAGTTGCCGGCCTCCCTACATCACGATCGTTCGACATGGGCGTTGGCGTAACTGCCGTTGGTGTTGTCGGAAACATCTGTTCCTGGTTCGTGATCAACACCATCGGCCGCAGAGTCCTCTATCCCGGTATGGTGATTCTCACCATAATTGTATTCATCATCGGCATCCTCGACATTGTACCGAATTATAACTCCTCGATTGCATGGGGACAGTGCGTTTTGATCATCATCTGGAACTTCTTCTATGATCTCACCCTCGGACCTCTTGGATACGTTATCTGCGGAGAGATGTCTTCAACTCGGTTGCGTTCGTACGGCGTGAGCATTGGCTTCTTCACGCAGAACTTTTGGACCTTGATTATGACCATCACCGTGCCTTACATGATCAACCCTGATGAAGGTGACCTTCGCGGCAAGACTGGCTTTATCTTTTTTGCCTTTTCGGTTATTGCTTCTATCTGGACTTACTTCTGTTTGCCAGAGACCAAAGGTAGAACCTTTGAGGAGTTGGATCATATGTTTGAGCAGAAAGTTTCGGCGCGGCAATTTGCCAAGTATGATACAAGGCCACATGTGGCATAGGTTTAGAATAGCCCTAGTATGTGAATATAAATAAATATAGAGTGCTAATCATGATAACTTCTGTATCACTTGAACAACCTTTCTCTACTCTCTAAAGTATTCAGCTTATAGTTGGCGCATCGCTTTTATATATATTGCGCTGCAAAGGCACATCTCTTTTGATTTCCTATCTGTCTCTAGTGTTCTTTTATATTCTTCAAATGTCTTCCGACTTCCTGGTTGACTGGACGGTCTATATAGACCTGGGAAGTCACGTGACTCCGCCGCAACCACTCGGCTGTACTGTCGCGACTCCGGGGCTGTCTTGGCGACCTCGCCCAGTGAGCAACCTACATCAAGTCAAGCTTTCCGTATCTTCTCCGCATTCTGCACCTTTGGTCAATAAATTTGCTTTTAGAACTTTATCGTTGGGCCCGAGAAAGCCTTCAAGAGAGAATATCCCGGCTCGAAATGAAGAGATTCAGGGCGGCTCGAGCGGTTTGTCTCCAATTCTCTCTTCTAGCCGAGAGGCCTAATAAGTTGGATCGAAGATTAAGACTAATGCAATCCATAGTGTGACTCATGCCGCCAACGCAAGACAAGGTATTCATATATTATGCGGGTTTTCGGTACGTCACGACTAACAAACCTAACAGATGTGACGCTCGAAATCCCTGCGGGCCCTGTACAAGTTTGAACCAAACATGTCTATACGGAACGGAAGCTATATCGTAAGCAGGTTCACTCTATCCTAAGAAAGAGCAATTAACGTCCGATTAGAAGAGGGAAAAGCGAAATGATCTTGGATACGGTTTTGCGAATGGAAGCTTCCATCGAAGAACTTAGGAGTATGGTCGTACGTAAGAGCCAACAAGGGCCAATTTTTGTGAGCTAATGATATATACCAGGCTATGGGCTCCAGTTCAAATGTTAGAGATGGCATCCAGGCCCATACAACGTCTCCAGTTTCAACAATTACCCCGAGGTCTCAGGATGCACGCCATCATCCAGGCGGGTGCACGATTAGGGACCCAACTGAAAGTGCTGTGCTCTCGTCTGGACATCTTTCCTCAGCGGAGTCTCTTCTAAAGTGGTCAGTTTTTCTTGATCATCCTTCCATATTGAAGGAGACAGAGACTCCATTTTTGTCCCTTGAATACGGACGACCATCCTTTCAAAGCAAAGTCTATGCAATATTCCCCAGCTTGGGTTTGTCAGAAATCAAGAGGATGGTGGGTATCTTCCAACAGACATATAATTTCTGGTTCCCTACAATGAGCTTCAACGATTTGAAGTCCCTGGAAATGAGGATATACCAAGAGAACCTGGAGCCTAATTGCCAATCATGTCTAGCTTTGTTGATCATGGCTTTAGGTTGCGTTGGGGCTTCCGTTATAGATGAAGGAGACTGCTCTGAACACGAGTCTCAGCAATTAAAGCTGCAAGGTGCATCATGGTTTACTGCTGCAATGAAGATGCTACATTTGGCCCACATTGAAATGAGTGTGGAAGCTTGCCAATGTCTCTTACTGACTGGGTATGAAAATATTCTTGCGCGCTAAATAACCAGCTGCCATGGAACTGACGAATTACTAGCCTGTACTTCTCCTTTTTACAAAGACCACTGCAAACATGGTCTTATGTGAACAGCGCAGCAACTCGTTGTCGGTTCCTGCTCTCTTGCCCTTTTGACAACCCAGAGCGTGATGACCGAGAGCACATCACCCGAATATTCTGGTCCTGCTTTGTACTAGAAAGGTCAGTAGAGACGACACCACTGCACTCACCACTAGCTGACAGGCAGCAGCAACTATATTTCCGAGCTACCAACTCTTCCGCAAAACTGCAACGCCGAAATCGAATCAATAATATCTCTTCCAGGCAAATTCCACTCACACGAAACAATCGAAGAGGAAGAAAAATCGACATTCTACTTCCTCGCATCAATAGCACTACGCCGCCTCCTCAACCGAGCACATTACATGCTGTATGACCGCGACATCGGCCTCCAGATCGACTCCAATAGTTTCTCTTCGGTAAACCAAGAACTGGCACGCCAACTACAAGACTGGTATCAAACCCTGCCATCAACTCTGCAGTTTCCCGAAGACGGAAAGCCTGCGGATGACCCGCACAGCGAGTACCTACGGCAGTGGTATCTCAGTTGTCGAAGTGTCATCTACCGACCATTTCTAGAATGGGCGCTGGCTAATCCATTATGGAATCTCAACAACAATCCACGTGTGCTCGATGGGTGTCGAGTTGCGCTCGATACTTGTCTATTTAAATTGAGGGATTTGAAGCAAGTGCCATATACTGTCATGGTCGATACATGGCCGTGTTCCCTTTCGCTTGCGACGGCGATGTTGACTCTCATGGGTGGCTTCTGTCATCCACAGTTGACAATTCAGCTTCGTCATATTGCCTTGTTGGAGCTAGGGCCTCGCCTAGAGCAACTTCTACAACGATGGATGGCTATCCACGGTTCCAGTGTTTCCCCTGGTGTTGAGAAGGCATTGCGATTAATCACGAAAGCTCACGAGTTCTTGCAAAGCAAAAGCGCCGACTTTAGCCCTTCCCGGGAAGAAGAACAACATCTCTCTCCTTATGCGTTGCGGATGTCTCACGGGTAATGGTTTAGCAGCGAGCTTTTGCCAAGGAAGGAAAAACTAGGCAAAGTATGTATGGCTTCTATATATAGAACCTCAAAAGTTTGGTGACCGTTGATCCTAAATTCGTCTCGCTGTATTAATGTAGGGAAAAGCAACCTGGTCAATATCTACCTTGGAAGATCGGGGTAGGCAAAAAAGAACAGGTGGAAGTTAGCATGAAATTGTTGTCGTGGTCCTTATGACGGGGGCAATTTAGTTGCGCTTGAGAGAGAGAAAGCGGGGTTGGAAAGCATGCTGAGTGTTGGAGAATAAAAGCGAACTAGGGATACTAATTTTCTTTATACTAACCCCGTTTAACGGGAATATAGATCGTATCGAAGAGGGACGTTTAAAGATGCACATGCGAACTAAAACGCCGCAACCTAGGAAATTGAGGGGAAGCACACGAGCAGTTTTAACGCCACAGAAGTAAAATCTGAAACGCCCTTACCCTTTTGTAGACTCGGGCCTTTTACCCCTGACCCCGACCTGCATGGGCCTCGTGTACAGCGTGGAGACCCCGGAAACAATAAAAGCCTCAAATTAGGAGATACTTCTACCTTGCATTCTTTGGCCACGTGGGAAACATACAGGTTCTTTGTCAAGTCCTTTGTGGGCAATGACAGAAACGTATCCTTTGTGTGTTTCACACGAGGAAATATGCCTGAAACACAAGTTGCGTGAGGGCGCCATTTCTTCCAAGAGTCCAAGAGTCGGGGCCAAATATTCCCACTGGCAACAAACTACCATAGTGGCACACAATGGCCCCAAAGGGAAACTCCCACAAAGCCACATTTACGCGACTTCAATGCGTAGTCAAAAAGTCAAGGAAAAATCCCCACTTGACACCCCTGTAGAACGGCAACCTTAGGCGACCCTAGAGGTTCTCTTAGGTAAAGTCACATAAGACTAACAAATCCCCCAGCTTACGATTCACGGCACTTTTCAAGTCGCGCGCATGATGTGGTATGTCTGAGATGACTCGGCGCGTTTGACAATTCTCAGGTCATAAGCCAGTTGGACTTGATCCATTTCCCCGTCCCTGCCTTTCCTCAACACCAATCATCGCAAAGCGGTTGGCGCATTCTCTTTTCCCCGGTACTGATCTCGATCTCGACATCAGCCACCATGGCCGACGACCGCATCGTCAAGCCTACCGAGCCCGATGCCCTCATTCTGGAGGCATGGGGCCAAGGCCTGATGGTTGGTAGTTTGCTGATCATGGCGGCCATCACGGTTGCTAACATGAAGAAACACATTCTCTTGCACAAGCTGATCTTTGCCGAGGTATGCGCTTCTACCCGCGCCCCGGGGCTCTTATGCTGATCTTTATGTCTGATATAGCTCATCCTGGCCATGGCCCATGGAACCTTTATCTTCCCCCACGAGCCGGTTTATGGTTGGTACCTGTCCGTCACGGCTATCGGGTTGAATATCTCTTGGGCATTGCACAATGTCATCGCGTGGATGAAATGCAAGGCTTTTCTCTCTCGGAAGGTTTCGATTTTCTACATCGTTACTGTTATTCTTTGCTGGCCATACTGGGGTTTAGAGATTTACGCCAACTTTACGTACTTCAACAATATCAATAAGTTGTTCCTGAAGACGAGGCCTTTGGAGCCGTTGTTCCGGTTTGTTATCCTATCCTCTCTGCCTCCATGGATGAACCCACTAACAAGATTGATCTGCAGTGATCCTTGGTGGGTATTCACTACAGTCAATCTGTTCTGGACCATCAAACGCCAATACAGCTTCGGACTCTACGAACTCGTGAGAATCAGCCCCCGTATGGGCATCATGCTCGGAGCAATGTGCTTGTCAATCATCTTCATCATCGTCGATACCTGCAGCGTGACCAATGTCTTTTCCAGCCTTCTCCCGACAGGCGTCGAACCCTTCTGGAAGGTAAGTCAAGCCAAAGTCCCATCAACCCTCCATTCACCCAATTCCATTTCACAATCTAATAAAACCCCTCACAGTTATCGTTTATCTTCAAGTGCCTCTGCGACACGGTCATCCTCGATGATTTCAAAACAGCCCTCGATCGGATGCGCGCACACTGGATGAAGAAGACCGCCAATACCGAGATCCACTCAACGCCCACGCCTCTTACCAGACCACAAGCTCGCAGACCCCATGACATCGAGGCCATGCCTTCCGCCAGTGATAATGATAATTCCATCAAGGTTACAGTCACCCACTCGGTTTTTAGGGAAGACATTCCTTTGCGCGATGCCTAGTCTTTGGATTCTTTTCTTCGAGTCTTCGGCTTGACATTTAGCGCTGGTGTTTGGCTTTCTGCTTTGTGCGACATGAATTCTATGCTTTGAAATTTTGTGGTTTTGCGTCGGCGTTATTATGAATTGGTCGTGGGTTTGGATAGGTGGATAGTCTCGTCTTGTAAATAATCTGGGTTTGATCTTTTATCAAAAGTTGCGATGTGTAAACGGCCGGTGATATTAATCTTGATAATTCAAATGCATGATCCATGCACGTTTCTATCACACTCAGTGTTATATGAAAACCCATTTCGAGAATCGTGATGTAGAGCTTCCAGGCAGATCCCCATTACCTGTGCCGTGGATATTGGTAAAATAAAAGCAATCATTATAGTACATTTTGCCCTTTCGTCTGTGGTGCCTACGTACGTGACGATATGGAGATAATCCCTGCTCAAGGTCGACTAGGAGGAATCAAGCAGAAGCGAAGTCGCACAGAGCCAGAACCTGATACGAGCAATTAGAAAAGAGCTAGAATGTCGGACGATGGAAATGTGCTATCGTATAAAGGACTCGATTCCAAAGGCAAAAACTAGGAGATTGCTAGAATTTCTGATGGCAAAAGACTGTTAATCTAGCGAGGGTGAAATGGACACAAATTCAAGATGTGATGCAAGAGGGAAGAATTTATTCTAGCGTCGGGAGTGATATGGCGAGTAGGGGCAAATGACGATTTCCTCCCAGCTCAACTCCCTCCACTTGCCTGTTACGAGGCGCAATTGCGGGTGTCCCATTTACTATGGTGTTTTAGGGTGGCCAGCTCGATTGTAAAATAAGTTAGTCGTGGGCCGAGTGATCAAGGCGCTGGATTATTTTAAGACTGAAATACTTGCTAATCTATAGCTCTCGAATTAAGGGGGAAATAACTGCTAATATTGTTAGCTTGGTCAGATAACGTTAACTTGCAATTCTTACTCGGCTTTTTCAGCGTAGAGCGGATTCAATGGATGAAGCAAGTTAAATAAAATTCGACAAAAGTGAGGGAAAAGGCTGAAAGCTATCTTTCATGTCGCTCATATAGATGGCCAGAGGTCTACTTTTTCGGCTTTCAGCTCTTTTTGTCATATTCTCTGTGTCATCTTTGCTCATCTTTGTCTATGTTCATCTTTGCTTTTATCTTCATTTATTTTATATTCTCTACCTACAATCTAGTTCTGCTGGGCAACAATATCCCGAACAGTCTCAGCAACAACCTGATGATCGTCCTCTTGTTTCAACCCACTAACAACAACAACAGCGACGATGCCCTCAACGCCCTTAACACGAATAGGATATCCGCCGCCATGGATAGCATACTCATCAGCAACGGCGCCCCCGTTTGCACTAGCAATAGCATATTTCTTCACGAACGCCGCCTCAATCTGATCAGCTGACGCGCCCGCAACCAGTCCACCAATTGTCTTTTGTCTCATTGCCCAGCTAGAAACACCCCAGCGCAAGACGGTGTTGCGCTTACGTCGCACCCAGTTCTCATTATCGGGAATGGTACCGCTCTCTGTTGCGCTTTGGAAGAGCACGTGGAGCGGAACGCCGCCGGATGTTGCTGTTGCCAATGCGATGGAAATCAGAGCCGGTTTGCGTTTGTTGGACGGGAGAGAGAGGATTCGGGTGCGGAGGGCATTGCCGAGAGTCCAGGCGGTTTCTGTTGTGAAGGTTCGGAATGTCTGTTCTGGACTTGACTCTTCTGCGATCAGGACTTGGGCCTGGTGGGGTTAGTTTGCTGTCCGAATTGTAGATGGACTTCAGGGGACTTACGTCGGTGCTGGGAGCTGCGAGGGCCATATTGAAGGTATAAATTGCCGTTGTCTAGCTTTTTTTTCTTGTCAGGAATAGAAGAAAGAAGAAGTTGGAGAATCGCGGAATGTCAAGAAACTGAGTGGGGAAGACCATGACGTCGTCCAATCGCCTGGACCTTCCCCGGCATAGATCTATGCTCCACTTGACCATTGTTATATCCGCTTCATAGACATCACTTCTAACGTATGTCGAGGTATGATTCCCGTGTTGCCAATCCCCGGGATATAAGTGTTTGTGGTTCAAAGACTGGGTTTTGTTCCAAGGTTTAAGTTCATTGCCTGACATAGAATAGATGCATTCACGAGACTCACATATGAAACCTTGTTGTTCTCCTCTCATCGTCAATATTATCCATGAAAAACATCGCATATTCTCCGACATGCAAGATCGGCAAATCTGCCGAAACTACCCCTCTGCAGCCAAAGTCCGACATCCCCGCACGGAGGACTTCATACTTTATCAAAATGACAATCTCAGTCACCCATGCCCCCAAAACGAGCCTGCGATAGGTGTATCTCCCGCAAAGTCAAATGCAGCGGCTCCTGGCCCTGCGATACATGCAGGACTTCCGTGAAGTGGGTTCGCTGTACCTACCTTCGGCCTGCCGGCCGAAGAGGCCCGAAAGCTAGGAAGCCTGCGAACTCTAACGTGGAAGCTCAGACTGTTGTTCCGGAAGACCAACCAGAGCTCGAAATAAGCACGAGAGCTGAAGAGCAGACTGAAAGGTACTGTTTCTCCAGGGATTCACCCAGTCTCCAGCGCATACCGAAGTCGATCCTGGCTACAGTAATCAATATATACCAGCAATGCTCGTACAGCGTCTGGCCTGTAATCCACGCTAAAAGCCTGCTTGAGAGAGTTGAGAATATAAAGCCAGAAGCAATTGATGAACAGGGTGGAAACACCGTGTGTCTGGCCACAGCGCTCTGCGCTGCAACAATGGCTCAGTTGCAGATGTCGCCCATGATGGACGGAGATGGATATGGAGATGGTTCCCAGAGAATCGATGCCACAACCATGGCACATACATGTCTACGAATGCGAGTGAAATGCGACAGTAATGGCGAGAATCTGTGCCTTCGCAGTATCTTGACATCGTTCTTTTTGCATGTATACCATGCCAAGGTCAATCAGCGGAATTCAGCAATGATGTTTATCCAGGAGGCTATAGCTGGTTCTCGGATTCTGCGGTTGGATGAAGGATTACCACAGCCAAAAGATGGTCTGATTGCAAATCAAGACTTGGTTTTTCCATTGCTTTGGGTTTCGGAGAGGTAAGTCAATCGCGTTTCGAACTATACAACCATATTTTAATCGAAAAGCAGGGGCTACTCGTTACATTTGGGACTTTCACCCTCATATACCGAGCCTCCAACCATTCTGGGGATTGAAAGCAGCATTGAATCTGATGTTCATGCGCAAGGCTTGCTGGAGCTAGTCAGACTATTCGTTGCGTTCGATAAAATCTCTATGCGTCGCAGACCCAATGGAGGTACCATAGCGGTCACAGATCTGACAGAGACAGAAAAAAGCTGTCTTCCCTGTCATTTAGTATGGCCGATCATGTCTCTACCCGATCGGCTGATTATCATGTCACGAGGGAGTGGATGAGAACGATAATCTGGCAGGAAGCTCTCGCGATGGGATTGCTCTCGTCCGCGGCGTATACCTCTGTTATGACCTTTGGATTTCCTGCACAAGTTGGACGAGATCTGCTGCAAGCTTTGAGAGGCTTTCGTGAGGCAGATTTGCTACCATTGGGTCGGGATCAGGTGGGTTGATGTTCAGTCGAAGGGTATCGGACACTTGCTTATATTGGGACTAGTTGCTTAAATGCTTCGAGGTTGCCAATTCACTAGCAGACACTGTTCTCTTGAGGTCGACTTTGATGAGCAGCAGGCGTGAACTAGGACCACATGATTTCCTTCATGCATTATATCAGAAGATTGTTCCTTTCCTTGAACAGGATCGCATGTTGCTGGGTATCCTTCGAGCGAAGACCGCCGAAGCTTTAGTCACGGCCCCAGCTCGCTTACTGACGATGAATGGAAGAAGTTCAGGTCTGTATGGGCTTGAAACTGAGACTGACCAGCGGACGCATCTTGGTGGATATCTACCATACGAGGTGGCCGAACAAAGCGACTTAGAGACCAACAGTTTGAATTTCTCACAGCAAGGACTGCAAATGATCTAAAATCAAACGTCGGAGAGTGATCATTCAGTGACTTGAAGAACGATCCGACCAGCAATATCCCCCTCTCCATCTCTTCATACACCTGCGGCAGCTCCGTGAACTGCCGGACCTTGACAACAGGCTTCACAACACCCCTTCGCACAAGATCCACAGCCTCCATACACTCTTTCAGTGACCCGACCAAGTTACCGGTAATCCTAAGCCCCTTGATCACGATAGTACAGATGGGAGTCTCCAGACACGGTCGTCCGGGTGGGATACCCACGCAGCTCAATGTCCCTCCCACGCGAAGCATATCGCAAGCATGAGCGAAAGCCTTTGCATTGCCTGCAGTAACAACTGCAGCGTGCGCACCAAGTCCGGTAACCTCTTTGACCTTCTTGACGGGATCCTCAGTGGCGAAATCAATGAAGTGCTGAGCGCCAATTGATTTCACAAAGTCCCCTTTGCCAGGCCCGGTATCGACACCAATGACCAATGCGCCTTGGGCCCTGGCATATTGAACTGGAACCCGTTAGTGCTGTCACAAATACTAAGCCAGGAAAGCAAGTCTCACCAGCCAAATGCCCAAGCCCGCCACCAGCCCCAACAACAACAACCCAATTTCCAGGCCGAATATTCGCGTTCAAAACTGCCTATCGGATACTCAGCACACATAGTCAACTCGGACACACTCCGGTTCTTGTTACATACCTTATACGCCGTCAAACCAGCACAAAGAACGGGCCCCATAACCTTCGGATCAACATCATCAGGAAGCAACGTCAAATAATCCGCATCAAGCGCAATATACTGCTGAAAACTGCCATCCTCATGATGCAAATGGTTCGTACTAGCAACACAGTACTGTTCCGTACCAGCAAGACAAAATTCGCAGCGTCGACAGATCCGGCTTGCGAATCGGATGCCGACGAGACTGCCTAGCTTGAGGTCTGTTGTATGTGTTATATCTGGGCCGAGGGCAATGACTCGGCCTATTCCTTCGTGGCCGCCGACGTGTGGGAGTTTAATCTTTGTAATTGGGGTTCCGTCTGGGCCTGCTGCTGTTCCCTGTTTTGTGTGGAGGTCTGCAGGGAGGAATTGTCGTCAGTGTGGGAGTGAATTGATATAGCTTTGAATTACATGAAGAATATGAGGTGGAACATGGGGCTTTGGGAAGACTCACCACTCTGGCAAACGCCGGTGTATAGCACCTTTGCTAGGACTTCATTTGGTCCTGGTGTTGGTACGGGATAATCTGTTTTGAATTCAACTTGCCCCCCGAGTTCTTTGACCAGGGCGACGGTTTGGGTTTGTGGGATATCGGGGGAGCCCATTTTCTTGGTGTTTGGTATTCCGTTGCATAGAATGATGTATGAAGTTGAAAGCTAATTCAATCTGGGAGACAAATGGATTGCAAATGGACTACATTTATATCTATAGCCTGCGGCCTGCGACTACTTCAACCACGTCAATTCTCCGAAAACATACATAATGTCGGGTGGGATCACAATACTAGAGCGGGGAAGATCACCATGTCGCCCCATTAGCATTTACAATCCAGACTAAACCAAGAATCTGCGATTGATGGAGATACACCCGACCAGTGGGGTAAAATCCAACGCCCTTTAGATCAGCCCCGAGCAGATAATGTGGAAACAGAGCCTGTCTAGACTCGGAGAAATGCAGCTAGTATAGAGTTTATTGTTGGCTCTGAACTCGTGACTAGGATCTGCATAGCCGTAATACTGCAGACAGACAAAGTATTTCGCCGAGCCAATTCTCCGTGTGGGGATGGATCTGTGCTTTGACCCCGCAAAGCAGAGGATATGTATAGACTGAGCATAGAAATCCACTTATCTTCGGACAGTGATGGCTTTGATTATATACTGCAGCCGAATGAGGAGCGTTTCTGTTCTATGCCGGCTCTTGGGGTTGAAAGCGAGGGACCCCTACAACATACTGTCTGACGAAAAATCTATAGAGTTTATAACAGAAATACAGTATGATTCAATTGTTTATTCCTGGATCAATACCTTATGTAACACTATTGATCAGAATCCATCGCATTGATATTATACAAGAATTACTTCAATGAGCACAGTTATATCATTATGGATGCATACGGCTTCGACGGACCTTCATACAACGTCAGATTCTTCTTCGCGAGCCATTTCAGCAAGCGCTAGCTAAGAAAGCGATCACCTCGTTACGTCGTTACGTCAAAATTAAACGTCGATTCATTGATAATTATACAGGTGTTGATTCACTTGTCAGTTCGTTGCGACATCGGGGCCCACGACAGCTGCGTCTACTCATGAGATCCATTCATTAGCCAACAGATTTGACGAATTACGGCAATAGAATGCATGTATAATCTTCCTCACTTCGTCCTTTACTCATGATGCTTAGGATTGATAACCAGCACCGACCATACAATCATGCAATCTACTGCTACTAATTCTTATCTTCAGCTCAGCTGCCGCTTTCGATCTTTAACATCCAGCAGTTCTTGCATTGTTCATTTCAAGTCCGCTTACATAAGCGGACGGCTTTACAAAAAGCAAAAAACGACAGCTGGGTGGTTCGAACACCCGCCTCCGAAGAGACTAGATTTCAAGTCTAGCGCCTTAGACCACTCGGCCAAGCTGCCGTATCGGTGAGAAAAGGCTCTAAATTGGGACCCGAGGTCCATATCGAGATTTCACGAATATAAAGAGCACCATGGCAGAGGGGTCAAATAGCAGTCATTTTCGGCATGAAACTGACAAATTCTTAGATTCCATCTATCAATTGCACACGAAAATCAACAATAGTCTGTGGAGAAGAGAGATTGGTAGTATGGGAGGATAAATCAGTGAGAGAGACAATCAACAATCAGCAACATGGAATGCATGCTTATCGAGATTGGACGTTGGACATGTAATTTCCATTCGAATATTTTGTTGCACCATTTTTGATCTCTTTATCTGTTTCAATTCTATACTTTTGAAACTTGACTTAAGGTGTTCCTTACTTTTCCCTTTGCAGCTGAACTAATACGCAAGTAACTACTAATCTTGTTTTTTGAGCTCAGAAGCCTCACGCTGGACCAAGGCCAGCATGACTGCCATCGGTTAGTCATGCTCAAACGCCAAATTAAGTACGCACAATAGCTGCTTGATTGCATAGCAGACCATTGATTATATAGGTAAGCTAAGCCAGTTATCCTGATAACTTAGGCTGCCCGCAGCCAAGGGTCCTAACTAACAAGAATAAAGGCTCGTTCTAGGAGTGGTTATTTTTTATATATCAGATGGTTGGTTGGCATGGTTAGATTAAGAAATTAGGAACTCATTAGGGAATTAATTAATCTGTCGAGACTGAAATGTAGAACCAACAGTCGTCTCTAGCATACACTTCGACGAAAAAGTGTCACCCTACGTCCTCGAACCTCTGCACCAGATAATGGCCTAATAGAATATCTACTTGTCTACTTTCAACAAATGCAAGGTATCATGGTGTATTCTTGACCGGCATAGCCAGGTCTACAGGTTACTTAAACAGATATCAAGACAAAAAAACTCAAGCAAGAGAAGAAAAAATGAACTCCATGAATAATGCCTCAAGATAATTTTACAGTTCGTCGTGGTCCAGGGGCTCATCATCATCCTCGTTGGGAGCGGCAGAGCCGTAGAGCTTGCTGGTGATGGGGTAAGCGACACTCGAGAGCTGCTCCTTCTGCTCCTCGAAGTCCTCCATGGTAGCGGTGGCGGCGTTGTCCTCGAGCCAGTCGTTGACCTCCTTGACAGCGTCGAGGATGGACTGCTTGTCATCCTCGTCAATCTGGCCACCGAGACCGTTCTCATCGTTGACCTGGTTCTTCAGGGAGAAGGCGTAGTTCTCGAGGCCGTTACGGGCCTCGATCTTGCCCTTGATAGCCTTGTCCTCCTCGGCGTACTGCTCGGCCTCCTGGACCATGCGGTCGATCTCCTCCTGGGACAGACGACCCTTGTCGTTGGTGATGGTGATGGACTCGGCCTTGCCGGTGCCCTTGTCGCTGGCGCTGACCTTGAGGATTCCGTTGGCGTCGAGGTCGAAGGCGACCTCGATCTGAGGAACACCACGGGGCGCGGGGGGATGTTGGTCAGCTCGAACTTGCCGAGCATGTTGTTGTCCTTGGTCATCGAGCGCTCACCCTCGAACACCTGGATCAGGACGGTGGGCTGGTTGTCGGCGGCAGTCGAGAAGATCTGCGACTTGCGGGTGGGGATGACAGTGTTGCGGGGAATGAGCTTGGTCATGACACCGCCAGTGGTCTCAATACCGAGAGTAAGGGGGTTAACATCCATGAGAACCATGTCGACCATCTCCTCGTCACCGGAGAGAATACCACCCTGGACGGCGGCACCGAAAGCGACAGCCTCATCGGGGTTGATACCCTTGCTGGCTTTCTTGCCGGCGAAGAACTCCTCGAGGAGGGCCTGAACCTTGGGAATACGGGTAGAGCCACCGACGAGAACGATGTCGTCAACCTCGGACTTCTTGACCTTGGCGTCCTTGAGGACCTGCTCAACGGGCTTGAGGGTCTTCTTGAAAAGATCCATGTTGAGCTCCTCGAACTTAGCCCGGGTGAGGGTCTCGGAGAAGTCCTCACCGTTGTGGAAGGCCTCAATCTCAATGCGAGTGGACATCTGGGAAGACAGAGTACGCTTGGCCTTCTCGACCTCGCGCTTCAGCTTACCCATAGCCTTGAGATCCTTCTTGACATCGGTGTTGTTCTTCTTGTTGTACTGCTTAACGAAGTACTCCATGACACGGTGGTCAAAGTCCTCACCACCAAGGTGGGTGTCACCAGCGGTAGCCAAGACCTCGAAGACACCGTTGTCAATCGACAGGAGGGAAACATCGAAAGTACCACCACCAAGATCGTAGACAATGACCTGGCGCTCGTCACCGGTCTTGTCCAGACCGTAGGCGATAGCGGCGGCGGTGGGCTCGTTGACAACACGGAGGACGTTGAGACCGGCGATGGTACCGGCGTCCTTGGTGGCCTGACGCTGGGCGTCGTTGAAGTAGGCGGGAACGGTAACAACAGCGTGGGTAACGGTCTTGCCGAGGTAGCCCTCAGCAATCTCCTTCATCTTACCCAGAACCATGGCGGAGATCTCCTCCGGGGTGAAGGTCTTGGGGGTCTTGTTGACGTCGACCTTAACCTGGGGCTTGCCATCCTTCTTGACAACCTTGAAGGGGTAGTTCTTGATGTCCTTCTGGATATCCTTGTCATCAAACTTGCGACCGATCATACGCCTGTGTCTGTTAGCATTGAAAAACACTCAGCGAGTGTGGCAACTTACTTGACGTCGAAGACAGTGCGCTCGGGGTTGGCGGCGTATTGGTTCTTGGCGGCGTCACCAACGAGGCGCTCCTCATCGGTGAATGCGACGTAAGAGGGAGTAATACGGTTTCCTTGGTCATTGACAAGAATCTCGACCTTGCCGTTCTGCATCACACCCACACAACTGTAATAAGTTAGCATTGTTTCAATGCCACGCATCCACTGATATACATACGAGTATGTGGTTCCCAAATCAATACCAATAACATTGCCGTAGTTCTCAGGGGAGTTCTCCTCCTGAGCGTGAGCGGTGTTACCAAAGAAGGCCAAGGGGGCGAGGAAGACGAAGAGGAGGTAGAAGACGGTGGTCCAGGCAAAAGGCTTGGACGCGCCGTCGCGTGCGGAGATTCGTGCCATTGTGAAGGGGTATAATGTAAAGGTAAGAGAAAAGTGCTATTCAAATCACACAATCGAGAAGCTGTCGAGGTCGAAGCTTCGTGCGTGCCGTTCTATACAGCGACGCGGAGTAAACACAAAAGACGTGTTGTACTCAACCCTTTCTAAAGTAAGCGGGAGAGGGACCCGAGGCGATGTGAGGGAAAGAAAGAATGGTTGCAAGAAGATCGAGGTGGACTTCTTGTACGCGAAATATGGCCCAGCGGCCATGCTGGCCTTTTCCCAGTTCAGGTCACTTCTCGTGCTCTGATTGGTTGCCACTCGTACGGCAGTGGCTTACTCAGAGTCCGCCTGTCTTGTTACCGCCTGCCCCTTTGGGGAACATACATTCTAAAGAGGACTAGCGGCAGGGGCCACCCAGGGATTCCTTTTGATTCCCACCAATCAGAAGCTGCCAGATGATCGAACTTGCTAGAAGGGGCCAAACACATGGCCCCTTGGGTCAAGTTTGGTCAAGTTTAGATCATTAACGGTGTATCTGGTGTATTCTGGCCTCGAATGCTTTTGCCACGTAGATATCAAGACATTGGCTTACATGTACTTTAGTCATGGTAGAAGTTAACA